TTTCTGGAATTTTCTTGTCTTGGTGAAGAAAAGGGGGGCCACGAGGCAGAGTAAATCGGTTTCGCCCGCCATAAGTTCCGTTAAAGCAACGACTTGCCAAAGTGGGCCTGACCCCACCCCGCATGCAGTTGTCGAATGGAGAGAGATTATGGGGGCAGGAACCCCCGGTCGGGATCAGACAGTGCAGTCATATTAAGCCCGAAAACATGGAAGGCTACGCAGTGACCTTTTTCTATGTGCTGATTCGATCGCGGCGGGACGTGCTTAACCGCATGCGGAGGGAAATATGGACCCTTTGGGGCCAGTTTCGCGGTTGACGCTAGGTATTCTATGAGAGAACAGGATTGATGAGGAAAAAACCAGAGAAATCAAGTTAGAATAGTGAGTGGAATTTACTTTATCCTGTAGTTCAAAGAGGCTGAGAAAAGATAAAAAAAGACACAAAAGACACGAAACCCGTGAACTTCGGGACCTGAGCCACGTGTGATGACTCAGCATTCTGGACTGGATGCCTGAATCAAGTAGAAGATCTTCACTGAAGATACGCATTCAGCTCGGCATTGGATGAATAAACAGAAGAAATACAGATTGAATTGTACGTTGTGATAAACCATAACTCGGAGATCCCATGGAACTGTACGACTACTGTACAGTATACCTGAAAAATCTTATGATATCGTTTGGCCTGGAAAGTCTCGATCTCGACCTTCTCTTTACAGTATACTCGGTCCACTCTTGCGTGCTCATTACCCATGATGGCCTCATGCGGAATCCACATACTCACCCGGGAACAACGGCGTCTCCGATCCCAATAGCCCCATAGCCCCCAAGAGCATGGATTCGAGTTTAATCCAACGCCCGGTTCGTGAATGACGCAGAAATCTTATTTCCAGAATACCGAAACGCTCGTGACGTGCGCTGCAGGGATATGTACCTTTCGGGCCTAGGTTCTAGCTTATCAGTATGCAGGCATTGGGGGCAACCTTTTACCTTCTTAGGCGATATCACACTGGTGGGGTCTACTCTAGTGTAGCTGAAGGAATGGTATTCGGATGGAAGGCCAGAGCGAGGATATTCAGTCCATAAGAGATAAAATTTTTGATTGGTATTTATTCTGGCCATGACCAAATAGCCATGCATCGATACAGACAGGTAAACATACAAAAGAACCCAAAGAACGCCGTCGACAGCAGGGAATGCACGGTATAATGTCGGTGCGACGTCACTTTTGATAAAGGAAAATAACGTATATGCAAAGAAGGAAAGGTGTAATCATGTCGATTACATGCCATCTTCCTCGTCCGCCAGCAGGGCTGCGTAGTCGTCGGCCGAGGCGAAGGTAGGCAGGTGCTTGAGCTTGCGGCGCTTCTTCTTGGAGTCCTCGGGAGCAGCTGCGGCTTCGGCGGCTTCCAAGTCCACACCGCCGAGCTCCATGTCGGATGGCAGGTCATCGTCGCTGTCGAGGAATGCCTCGTCGTCCGAGACATCCATGTCGAAGGCGTCCTCCTCGTCTTCTTCCTCGACCTTCTTCTTCTTCTTCTTCTCCTTCTCCTCCTTGGCGGGCTTCTTGGCCGCCTTCTTGGAGACAGGAGCCTCCTCCTCCTCATCGAAGCCATCGAAGTCTTCCATCTCCTCGTCGGACGGAGCATCGGACTCGTCGTTGAAGATGACCTCGTCATCGCTACCCTCGAGGTCAACCTCATCCTCGTCATCATCGTAGGCGGATTCCAGATCATCCAGGTCCAAATCGTCATCGCTGTCGTCGGCGGCTTCCAGGTCAGGTCGTGAGCCAACCATGGCCTTCCAGATCTCGTCCTCGTTGTCGCTGACTCCCTCGGGGTCCACGTCATCGTCACTGTCACGGGCTTCGGAAGCCTTGCCCTTCTTGGCCTTGGCCTTGTCTTTGTTGACACGGTTAAAGTACTCGTGGAAGAAGACATCCTCAGCCGCCACCTGGTCGGCCTTCTTCTTCCAGAAGTTCTCGGAGTTGAAGGGCATAGCCTGCTGACCAGACTTGGCAGCCTCCACCAGCCGGTCGGCGGCGTCACCACCGGCGAGAGGCTGCATAATAGAGGCTCCACGGGAAGCAGCGTTGGCCTTAGGAGTGCGGTAAACGAAACGGTCCAAGAAGTGGGAAAGAGTGTGAATAGTCAGATCAGGCTTGCCACTCATGGGGTTGTGCTCCAAGAGGTTCACGGCATTGACAGAAACAGAGGGATGGAAGTGAGAAGTGTAGGGCAGCAATTCCCAGAGACAGGTCTTGTCGGCGTTGCTGTGCTCAGGATCACGCTTGCGAGGATCATAAACGTTAGCTGACTTCCTAGGCGTGGTTTCAACGACAGGAGTAGGCTCGGGCTGCTCATCATCCTCGTCGGGAACGTCCCGGAAGACTTCTTCATCGTCGCTGTCATTCGCTTGGGGCTGATCAAATAGAGAAGAAAGGCTGGTGAAGGTCTTCTCCAGCTCGCGGATCAGATAAAAGACACCGCAAACAAAGGCAGGTTGGTGCAGTCCGAGAACTTGAACGATACGCTTGACAAATGCCTTAACGCGGCGAACATTCAAATCGTTCTTAAGTGCCTTGAACAAAACATTCAAGTAGAGTGATTGCTTGGAGGAGGTAATCACGCGCGGATCCAACAGCGACTCGTATAGGGTGCGGTAGAAGCGGTCATTGCCAACCTGGTGAGAGGCAGTGAGTTGCTGAATTAGCATCAGAGCCTGAATGCTGGTATTGAAGTTCGAGGAGTGAGTGATGCGGAACAAAGTGTCAATGTGCTTCGAAAGTCTGCAATCAAGCGGGTTAGCATGCGAAAAGTATCTGATATATCAGTGTGTCAGTCCTTACCGGTCAGAATCAGAGTCAGTGAATGGATATGCGCGGTTGACACCAGTTAAGACACCAGAGGTGAGCTTCTCGCGCATTTCATCGGTCTGGGCTTCTCCCTTCTCCCCCTTGGGAGGAGCTTTGCCCTTGGGGCCCTTCTTGCCATTTTGCTTTCCCTTGTAGCTAGGCTGAGTGGACTGCTGTGGCTTCAGAAGGGTAACAAACATAGAGAAGTAAATGTCAAGTAGCTGCCCAGCAACCTTTTGTTCCTTCGTGCTAAGAACGGTCTGGTTGAGGGTGATGATAGCGTAGTACTTCGCATGTTGGCTCTGGCCAGGCCGGAACAACAACTCTTCAACAGCCTTGATAATCAAGGGCTTCATCATGGGGTGTGTTTGTTCAAGCTGCAGGAGAAGGTAAGAGGCGCGCGAGGCGATCTTCTTTCCAGGGTCTCCAAGCTTGTTGACCAGCAAACGCAGTAAATTGGCTTCTTGCTCGGGCTTCTCCTTGAGGAGCTCGTAGACGTAACTGACGGCACGGGTTCGTGAGAACTCAATCTCGTCGTTACACCAAACTTCTAGAATCTTAAGAACCTCGAAGAATTGCTCCTTGACGATGTCCTCGAAAGCCCAAAGCATGAGGTGGCTCTTCTGCAGACCCCCAGGGAGCGGGTCCCGCTCGGTCCAGCGGCCGCCAGCACCTTGGAAAGCAGCAACCAGGGATGGTTGGTTGGCAAATGCTTTGAGACGACGGTCACTGGGCAGCAAGGTTCCCTGAGCAAACATATCCTTCAATGAACGAAGGACCTCAACAGCTTGCGCACGACTGCGTTTGCGTCCGAGGGTGATCAGGGCCTCTAGAGACTTTGTGTTGTGCAGTGGAGACTCTTGAACAGCAAGAGTCAATGCGGAAATCTTATCGCTAAGAGTACCGGAGGTCATAATGGTGGTGTAGAATTTGTGGGATGAAGAAGCCGAGGTTTGTTGGGCTTTGGCGTATTTCTCGTTTTCCTCTTGCAGAAGCGAATTGGCGAGCTCGTGTATGCGGTCAACCAGGTGTCGGGGAAGGGCAGTCATTTGCTTCGCATTGCCACTGGCAAGCTTGGGAACAGGAGCTGCGTACCAATCGGAACGAGGAAGGATGGTCTAGTAGTCGAATGTTAATGATAAGATCAAGTCAGGGAGAATCGTGCATTCTCACCAGTGAGGCATATTCTTTAGGGATCATGATCTCGGGCTGCTTCTCCTTGGGTTTGGGCGCCTCCTCAATGTCTGAAATATCGGAAACATCCTCAGGCTCGCTCTCCTCGACGTCACTAATTTCAGCGCCTTCAAAATTTTCCTCTTCCTCCTCTTCCTGCTCATCTTCTTCCTCCTCAACTTCATCCTCGGCTAAATCCTGGGGCACAACGTGACCAGCTGCCTCCAACATCTTTGAGAGCTCCTTGCGAAGGTCATTGTCGCCAACCTTGACGTTGACACCCTCGACCTCTGACTCGGAGTCAACATCGGCGAGAAGCTCAAGGTCCTCCTCGGTGCCGCCCATAGCCAAAATCTCTTGTCGGAGGGTCTCATCATCACCGCCCTTCTTAGGAGACTTGGCAGCCTTGTTCTTTCCCTCCTTCTTATCCTCGCGAGCAATCACTTCTCCATTGCGATCCCGCTTCTTTCCATGCGCAGAAGCGTCCTTGGCTTTACTAGCCTTGGGGTTAACCTCGCTCTCTTTCTTCGTAGGCGTGGCCTGAGCTTGGGCATTTGACTTGTCGTTCTTCTTCGATTTGCCCTTGGCGGAGCTCTGATCCTTCAATCGTTGCTCAATTTTCTGGCGGAGACCGGCGAAGGCGCTCTCGTCGATTTGAGGCTCACTGGGCGCAGACTGGGATTCGGAAAGTGAAACACCTCCATCTGGGATGGGCTCATTAGCGCCCGAAGAGCGCTTGCCTTTCCCTTTGACCATTGTGGTATATCTGGGGTTGCGGTATGTTTTTTAGACGGAGAGAAAAATGAACGGAGAAATCTTTTGCGGCGGGCCCGTTATCAGGACGCTCGGACCACTCCGATAAGGAACAGACCAGGAGTGACTGCAACGATTTCTCGAGTTTCTTATTTGTCGACTGAGGTGTGGTAATTGATTCGGAAGGCTATAAGATCTGCCTTCCACACTACTCTCAGCAATGTTTGTCACGCTCGAGACCCGTCGCTTGTTGAGGGTACAGCGGGCGCCGGCATTCCGTGCACAGCAATGCGGTTTACATGTACGCGTTCCCCGAAAACCCCCAAGCTTAATTGATAATATTAATGTTTTCTAGTATGATGGAAGAAGTCGAGTCTCTAATTTTTGGATTCCTACTGGCGGCATCTCCAAGAAACCGGTCGCCGGACAAACTGGTGCGCTGTCGTCCACTTGACAAGACAGTATGATCAGCGCAAAGCTAACACCATACTAGAGGATGCCAATGATCTATTGATTCGCGCCGGATTCCTTCGCCAAGTGAGCGATTCTCATGGCCCTGTCAAATTCAATACTAATGTTCACGGACAGGCATACTCTGGGGTTTTTCATCTACTTCCCCTTGGACTGCGAGTGCAAGACAAGCTTGAACGTCTCATTGACAAGCATATGCGCACATTAGGCACGTTGCCCCTTTACTTTACACAAATCAAAACTAATAGGCCTTGCAGGCGCATCTAAAGTGTCCTTGTCTTCGCTTTCCTCGCAGGAGTTATGGGAAAAGTCCGGTCGGTTAAGCGCGAGCTCTGAAGTATGTATAGTGGCTTGTCTTCTCGCGTATTATTATAATGCTAACACATCTCCCAGGAGGTATTTCGACTGCATGATAGAAAGGACACCCGTTTTCTTCTTGCTCCAACCCATGAAGAGGAAATAACTACTCTCGTCGGGAGCCTCACTACTTCCTACAAAAGCCTCCCTCTGCGAGTGTACCAAATCTGTAAGCGTCACCATAATACATGAGAATATGTAATTTGCTGACCTTTTTAAGCGCGGAAGTATCGAGATGAAGCACGACCACGGCAAGGTCTCCTACGGGGTCGGGAATTCATCATGAAGGATCTATACACGTTTGACTACAATGTGCAGGAAGCATTGAAAACATACCATGCGGTTAAGCACGCCTATACGCAGCTTTTCAATGAACTGAAGGTCCCATATCTGGTTGCGGCCGCTGACTCAGGAAATATGGGTGGCAGTCTTAGCCATGAATTCCATTTCATCAGCTCCAAAGGTGAAGACCGCGTGGTGAGCTGCTCGCACTGTGATCATGTGTACAATGAGGAGCTTGCCGATGGAAAAACACACAGCTTCAACGAATCTCCAGAGTCAAATAGTGTTCCGGGCTTCCAGACCGAGGATGCGTCGACCGAAGTTACCCCGACGGTCTCCACTGGTATGTGGATGTCTATCTCGCAGGACGGCAACACTCTACTACGTGGGTGGTACCCCAAGTTCTCGATGCAGAATGGGTCTACAGAGCCTGTCGAGCGCCATGTCAACTCACACGCTGTCAAGGCAATCGCCACTGCTGCTGGAGTGGACCTCGATCTAAGCGTGGAGAACCCATTAGACAAATGGGTTGCGCGGGTCAAATCACAATCTGTGGGTCAAAAACCTCGCGTTCTAGATCTGTACGACTCGCAAGTTCGGGTATACCAGCGTCCACCATTGAGCGACCTGCTGGAGAAAGCAGGCTGCACCGTTGCCGACATTCAATACTCGATGCTAGACCGGTTCCCTGGTGCATCAAACAAACTCAGCCTGGTTCGCGTGCACGATGAAGACAAATGCTCGCACTGTGCGGATGGACTGTTAACCAGCAACCCGGCTGTCGAGCTAGGGCACACATTTCACCTGGGCACCCGCTATAGTGAGGTGTTGCAGGCATCAGTCTCGGTCAATCCGGCGCTACTTGAAGGCGCGTCCCCGTCGGATGTCAAAGCGGGCAAGGAGCAGATTGTACCGATGCAGATGGGTTGCCATGGGATCGGCGTCTCACGTATGGTCTCTGCCGTAGCCAACCGACTAGTCGATCCCAAGGGGCTCAACTGGCCCCGTGCGATGGCTCCTTATGAGGCCGTAGTGGTCCCCGGGAAGGGATTGGACTCCGTTGCTGAACAGGTCTACGATAGCCTTACTTCAGGAGCTAAGCCCGTAGACACGCTCCTCGATGACCGTGACAAAGGCATGGGCTGGAAGCTCGGAGACGCAGACCTGATCGGGTACCCTGTCATCATTGTCGTTGGTAATGGCTGGAAGAAGCACCAGACTTTAGAGGTGCAATGTCGCCAACTCGATGTGAAGGAGGATGTATCCCTGGATCAGCTACCCGAGTTCGTTGAAAGTCTGCTCGCACAGCTGTGATCAAAAACAGCTTTTAGTTTGACCTGTACCATTAGCATATCTGCAATTGAGCCTGTACATTATCTTATTATAATCCATTTCCTTCTCCAACTCCCCAAAAGCGGACAGGATATCGTGCGTGTGCATACCACATCCATTGGTGGGGCCACCAACAAAATTGGCTGCCACCACACTAATGCCACGCCCCTCCACCCCACCTCCGCCCGCATCAACTCAACGCGCTCGAATCACTAATTTTCAAACTACAACCCCCAAACCACCCACAATGTCGGCTCAAAACTCCGACACAAGCTCCGGAGGGGCTCCCCCAGGCACAGGTGCGTCCAATAAGATCAGATCGAAACAATCCTTTCTGCAGCTGCGACCCAAGCCAGGCCCTCCCACTGGGCAACCTAGCTTTGGAAGCAAGCTACCCTATTTCCAACCCACAGCGCACAGCATACAACTATACCAATTGAGCATGTCAATAACACCGATATAGTGAACCTGGCTACCCTCTCCCTGCCTCAACTCCGTGCCCTTCAAACCCGTCTTACCTCCGAATTGGAGCACCTGACTACCTCCCACTCGAAGCTGCGCGCTGCGCAAGCCAAGTTCCGCGACTGTGTGCGCTCGATCAATGATGGTGTGACTGGTTCTGAGGCTAAGGGAACTGCCGGCTGTGACGAGATCCTGGTGCCGCTTACCAGCTCCTTGTATGTCAAGGGTCGGTTGACAAACCGGGAGAAGGTGCTTGTTGATGTTGGTACTGGATACTACGTTGAGAAGGTATGATACTGCGTGATGTTATTCACAAAAAGACAGGTGGCTGACTTCTTCTCTTTCTACGACACAGACACCCCAGAAGGCAATTGCTTTTTACGATGACAAGGTGAAGGGATTAGATGCGAACTTGCATGAGTTGGAGAAGATTGTCCAGGGCAAAAACTCTCAGCTGCGGGTTGTCGAAGAAGGTAGGTTTTGAGGTTCTCCCGATTTATACCCGATGCTCTGGAGCATACTTACTGACTATTTCTAGTGCTCAGGCAGAAGATGCTCAGCGGCGAAGGGGCAGAGGCTGGTGCGAGTGCCTAAACTTGTACACCACTTACGAAGCTTGATGACGGCTTTAGATAAGCCAGTAAATAAAAATCAAAAGACTTCCTTTTCCATTATATTGATGCTTTCTCGCAGAAGAGACGCCCAAGCCAATGCAGAATGCCAGGGTGTGCTGGCCCTAGTCGTCATAGAGAATCTACCCGATAACTCTAACAGTGTGACTGAAGCGGAAAGAACGAAAAGAAAAGTGAACATCGAGGTCGAAAGAAGCGAACTAGTTATCCGAGCCTAGAATAGCATTCCGAGCTCCATATCCATCAATCCTGCCATTCTCTGCTTAAGGGAATCCTCCGAAAGTTCCTCGAATTCTTCTTCGTTCAACCCAAGAAGGCAGGAGAGTTCACGAACAATTTTCATGTACTCCCAGAAGCCTTCGTTACTACCATCAAGGCTTGCAGCACTCTCAGGAAAGAAAGAATCAAAATTTCCCACATGTGTCGCGGTGTCCTTTGGGTCTGTTGCAAATGACTTGATAGACGCACCTAGGGCAGCATCCCAGCCAGGATTGAACAAGGTCGCCCCCCATGCAACGACCGGCGTCGTGGTCCAGCCCAAAGAAGTCGGAGTATATCGATCAAATCGAGCCAATTCGAACGCATACCTTGTTCCTTTGACGGTCAACCGGACTGCGGATTTTTCGACAAAGCTGGATACCGGTACAGCTTGGTCGAACAGAACCTTCTTGCGGGACTTGGTGGCCATTCCGTGCTCTCGAAGTTTATTATCGAATCTGATTGATTGCAGGAAGCTGCCTAGTTGTTCGCTTATCTGGTCATTATGCAGGGGCTCGAAGAGTTCAATATCACCTTGCCAGTCGGACCTGAACCATGTCAGTATATAAAGCTCTGAGTTGAAGTAATAACTGGCCCGTACTGTATGAAGTTCATCACGCCAAGCTGCATGGGGAGTCGGCGGACGTTGCCATTCTCCTTGTCATGGGTGTTGAACCACCGGTGGTAACCCATTTCAGTCTCGGTGCTGCGTCGTCGGAAATCCACTTCTAGGCGGAAAAAGGAGTTGGCCGATCCCGAGAACTGAAAACTAGCTGAGTAGGTGGGTATGATGCTCTTCAGTTCCTCAAGTGTGTATGAGGTATCTACGGGTCCAAAAACAGTGGCAGCGCCCATACATCGATTTAGCAGCTCTTCACCACTGATTTTCAATCTAGTAATTGCAGGAGTCTTAATTAGAATCATACGTTCGAAGATGGGAATTCGTGACCACTTACCCTGGTACCAGTCGTCCTCTCGAACGCTCGAGGAGAACCATCTCGCGGAACTCGTCAAGCCCATACGACTTTTGGCCATTGCTAGGTCCTCGGAACCTGTCCATAACAAAAGAGCCAAAGTGCACACGCATTCGGAGGTAGCCGGCGAAAAGGTTAGCTTGCGACAGGGCTTTCTGGAAGCTACTTAACAGCAGCTGGTTGTTGTTCTTATGGATATCGTTGACATTTTCGCATTTTTTATGATCTTGTGTCTTCAATGGATGTTGCTGAGCTCCATGGAGAAATGGCAATGCAAGGTTGCCACTCTTCACCATTATCACTGCTTCTCGCACAGTGTCCTTTGGGGGTGACTCAACAATGTAGGCTTTAATCCGGGTGCTAGCCTTTGCCATGGTTGCTTTCCACAATGCCTGCAGTCGAATAATGATCTGCTCTATGTCGGCTTCGCTGCCCCCGGAGATACAGATCTTGTCAGTGGAGTCTTCCTGCAGATACAGGTGCGCTTTAAACTCAGTTCGGATAAGGTCAAGCTTTTCCAGGCGAATGCCGAGTTCTTCCTGCACCGTTGGGCCATCGCTAGGCCAAGTATACACCCTCTTACCCATGAAGCCAGTTAGCCGAATGACTCGAACGCTAGCCAAAAGTCTCATTATGGATACGTGACTCACCTCAAATTCAGAGTTAGCTGTCCCGGGCTTCTCACGCAGTGAAGCCAGCTCATCCTTGATAGCCACGACAAGGAGCATTTTCTGGATGTCCTGCTCATATTCCGGGTGGATCTTTCGCCAGCTACGCTGTCCATCAACAGGTCTTTCTATGTTGAACCGCTCGGTAAGTCTTAGGAGGATGGTCTTTGCCGTGTGTACTTGCTCAGGCTCCCCCCAGATCAAAAGAAACTATCGACACGTTAGCCTTTCGGACAACATGAGTTGTTCTTCACTTACCCGATCACGGTACATGCCGCGCTTCATGAACACACCCGTCATCTGGGTGATACGCTTCAGAATCTCTTCCCGTTCCCGTGGGTGAGCCAGGGATTTCATCAATGCATTCGAAGGAACATTGTCCCCGGAACTAGTTCAATTTGTCAGTCGACGGGCCTTGAACAATAATTTGACACAAGTGTTTCTTACATGGGCTTGTTGTTGACAACCTCGTCAGGCAGACGCACAGCCGCTATTTCAAGATTAATATAAAAACTCCAACAAATGATTATAAACCATACCATCAGGTTTCTGACCCTGTCGCCATCGCTTCTTTGCTGGGGAATCATGAAAATCATGAGCAACTGGCGCGGCCCACTGCCGGGAACCGCGGGGCTTCCCACTGATGGGAGCTCCCTTCGGAGGTGAAATGGGACGAGCAGGCGGTTCCACGGGGATATTTGTGTCAGCAGGACTCGGGCCTTTAAAGGATGATGGTGATGTGTTTGAACTCAAGTCCAGTATGTTGGGCGTTTCTTTAACGGCATTGGCAGCAGGACGCTTGTCGTCCTCATCACGCCCATAGCTAGGCAGTGACCAGTCTTTATATGATCAGTATGTTTTGCAACGAATGTGACCTATGGGCCAGAATGAGAAATTATGTTTCACCTTGCGCCGCGGTCTTTTCCCACCTGAAATTCTATTAGCACAAATCCAAACCTCCACATTTGATAAAGACTTACTCCATGATAGGCTTGTACGCGATGCGTGCGTGAAATTAGTCGATGCAAGAATTGGTGAGAGTTTTTTGAGTACGTACCAAGGTCGTAGCAAAAGAAAAGATGGATTTTGGAACGTAATATTAACATATTTATAGCTTCGATCTAAGAATTCGCTTAAAGTGAAACTGAGATTCAGTGAATTCTGGCGCCTTTACTTTGATATCGTCTTTTCCTTGACGCGTTCTTCCTGGTCACATCTCTGACCCATTCCCCTTTGCTGTAAAAAGAACTCTCTTTCATTTTTTACGATACAGATACGACGCGCGAGTCAGCAATGAAGAATGATGCTGAGGCACCTGTCTGCCCCTCTGCCCTCACTCGATACTTCATCGAGGGAAAAGCCGGTCGCCTTCAGCTCCCTGCATATGAATTGGTAAGCGAGCGTGACCGTGGTCTCTGCTGGTCATAACAGATTACGCGCTAACAGATACGATAGAATCCCCTGGGAGAGGTTATCATTATCCCTGGTGAAATGTTCTGTCGGGTACCTAGCTGCTCGAAGGGCACGGTGAGTCCAATCATACCCATCTCATGTTCAATAGCTCACATTTTATAGAACGCCATGATCGGACCTAGTTCTATCAGAAAGCACCTAGCAGAATGGCACGACCTGGTTTGTGAGCCTAGCACTATAGGCAGGCCGACCAAAGAGGAGAAGAATGCACGAATGAAGTGGTTTGCAGCACTTCCATCCGTGGAAGAAGAGGAACATGTGGAGGAGGGTGCAAAGAGCTAGATACGAAAAGCAGCTCCTTCAAAACATATTGCAGGGCCTTGTATGCAATTAATCATATTTTTACATTTGATTCCATGGGCAATTATCATCTCCCGTAATATCTAGAGCTATGATGTGTAGTGTGTAGTGAGTGTTGATTGGCCCAGAATCTAGGGCATGGCGCTAAGCCAGATTAGGATGAAAGTGGACAACGCGTAGCTTCACTCTAACGCGATCCCCGATTTTAGCCCTTGCCACGGAATTGACCACCCTGCTAATTCTAGCAATGGCTACCGACTTGGATCATTCAAGCGATGCGGAGCCGCAGATCCGCACAAACGCTCGCCAACGGGCCCAGCAATGGATGACCAAGGGCGGCTTGGTCCGTGAAGACTCGGACGATGAATTGGGCGACGAGGACCATCCATGGGATTGGATATATGCCGACAAGGAAGCTGAGACGGAGGAAGTCAACAACACAAGCCCCGAAAAATCCAACCGACGACGATCCTCCCGCCCGGCCAGGAAGAAGCGTGCAATTGTCGGAGCTCGCATGGGATCATTCGAATGCAGGATCGGCCAAATCGTGCTATTGAAGTCGCCGGAGGCTGGCAAGGATTGGGTGGGAATTATAATGGAGTTTTTGGAGGAGGATGATGAAGATGGAGAAGATGAGAAGATCAAGTCGGCTAGCATTATGTGGTTCGCTTCTCCGGACGAGTTTCTGTCTACAAGGAATAAGCGCAGAGCCGATGCGCTGCCCAACGAGCAGTATCTGACTCAGGACTTTAACACAAACCCTCTCTACTCCATCAGTGGCAAGGCCACGGTTATGTCGAAGGACGCTTTCTTTGCGAAGTACCCCAATGGGGAACCTCCCAAGGACAAAGCCCAGTTGGCGGAATACAACAAGTGTATTGTCTGCCGCAGGGGGTGTTAACCAGGTCCAAGGAAGATACACAGAAGAATTTGTTTGGGAGGAAGTGTACCGGGAAGACAATGTCTTTGAGCTCATCACTATGGTTAAGGACGGGTTGAAAGCAGCCAGAAAGCGCAAGGCCGCTGATTCCGATGTGAGTGACCGCTTCAATCTGCAACATAATATTGCGCAACTGTACTGACTACTTCCCCCTCTCGTAGTATGTCGAGACCAAGGACGAGAACGCAGAACCCGCAACTCCGAGGAAAAAGCAGCGCGTGGCCTCCAGTGCGACACCTAAGTCCCAGCGGAAGAAGCCACTGACTACGCCCACACATAAAAGGATTGTAGTCAAGAAGCCTCTTGAATTTACGCCACTGGGCACCCGTGTCCTCTCACAAGATCATTTCGCCTCACCATATCGTCAAGCCCGTACCTTGCTCCATGTCTCCACGGTCCCGGAATCGCTACCATGCCGAAAGAACGAATTCAACGAAGTCTACAACCATCTCAGTGCGGCTATTATGGAGGGGACGGGAGCCTGTATCTATATTTCAGGTACTCCGGGTACAGGAAAAACAGCTACAGTCCGAGAAGTAGTAGCACAGCTGAACAGTGCCGTGGAAGCCGAGGAAATGGACGATTTCATCTTCTGCGAAATTAACGGCATGAAAATCACAGACCCACACCAAGCATATTCAATGCTATGGAAAGAATTGAAAGGAGACAGGGTATCGCCTTCTCATGCGCTGGATCTGCTCGAACAGGAATTCTCCCACCCTTCACCACGCCGAGTGTCTTGCGTCGTGCTGATGGATGAGTTGGACCAGCTGGTCACCAAAAACCAATCTGTCATGTACAATTTCTTTAACTGGCCAGCTCTCCGCCACTCTCGACTCATTGTCCTAGCCGTGGCCAACACCATGGATCTTCCCGAGCGAACACTGAGCAACAAGATTTCCAGTCGTCTCGGTCTTACCCGTATCACATTCCCAGGATACAAACACACCGACCTAATGGAGATCATCGGCACACGACTCGCAAATGTACCAGGTAACATCGTCGAACCGGACGCTGTCCAATTTGCCAGTCGAAAAGTCGCCGCCGTCAGCGGTGATGCCCGTCGCGCACTAGACATCTGTCGTCGTGCCGTCGAAATCGCCGAACAAGAAGCCGAAGCGGCCGCTGCTGCGGACTCGATCATCCCAGAAGAAGATGAAGAAGATGTACCTCCAACACCCAGCAAGACACCCGCTCGACGCAACAAGTCCCTCGCGGCAGAATCAGCCAATTCCCCCGCGTTGAAACCTAAGCCCGGTAAGGGAAAACCCGGCCGTGTCACAATTGCTACTATCAAACAAGCTATCCAAGAAGCAACCTCAACACCACTCCAACAATCCCTCCGCTGTCTCCCCCTCTCAGGCAAACTTTTCCTAGCAGCACTACTCGCCCGCGTTCACCGCACCGGTATCACCGAGTCAACATTCGGTGATGTCCTCGATGAAGCACGCCGCATCGCCGACGCATCTGTCGCTGTTGCTGGTGCGGCAGGTATGGGCGTGAAGGATTTCCTGCTTGGTGGGGGTCCTACTGCTCGAGTGCGTGCGTTGGGTTTCGCGGCTATGGAGTTGATGAATGCGGGTATCCTGGCTTTGGAACAGGGTACTGGTTCGAAGAATTTGCTTGGTGGTTCTACGATCCCAACTCGTGGTGAACGAACGAGTAAAGTTCGGCTGCGGGTTGCAGCGGAGGATGTACGATCTGCGTTCCGTGAGGATATTGAGGCTAAGGGTTTTGGATTGGGGATTGACGTGTAATTGTATGGTGGATGAAAGCATGTCTCTTTTTTTTGTACCACTACGTCTACCTAGACATGCATTGCATATGATACCCTTTGCATCAATATTTCTACTGGCTATGAAGAATCGCAGGTTCTTTGAAAATGCTTATGTATTATGAGATTCAGACCGATACTTGAAGGCATTTGCCCAGTTGGTGGAAGGACTAACTGCAATATCAACCGACAAGGTGTGGACACAGTAGGTTTTGTCTATTACATGGTTCGGGTTTCTCAACATTGAAAGTTACGAAATCAGTCGGAGCATTCAATGTTGAGTAGGTACTTGTACAGAAAAGTTGAAATTCTTTTAGATGACATGAGATCTTTTCCCAAAAGATATAAATTCTTCAATACCCAAGAAATTCTCAGGAGATCACAAAACCACGCTTAACTCCACACGGTGCCGTAAACAGATAAGATCAAGCATAAGGGTATTAATGACACAGAACCAACTAGAGTCTAATACCGCGTTCTACCCAGGCTGGGGGCCCAGGTAACGGGGTGAGACTCTGGTGTAGCATTCTCATCAGGCTTCCAGACCTTGATAGTTTTATCGGCCTCACCGGTGATGAGACGTAATCCTGTTTTATCGAATGTTGAGGCCATGATACCCGCCTCAGCCTCCAAGGAACCAGGTTGCGCTGTGGTCTCAATTGATTGGAAGCGGTAGCCAGTCTTCCAATCCCAGAAGGACATGGAGCCATTGTCAGCTCCTGAGAACATGACGTTCTCGTTGTTAACGGCAAGAGAGTTGATGACGGCGTTCTGTCCTTCGAAGTTCTGCATGAAGGCACCCTCCGGGCACTTCCACTGTTTGATGCTGCCGGTACTGGCACTCGCGAAAGTGAACTCGCTTGGGTGGGTGGCAAGAGCACGTACACCCTTCTTGTGGTGTGTCAGAACTCCCATGGATTTACCCGCAGCCAGATCCCACAGTCGAACTGTAGCGTCGAGCGAACCGGAGATGACTTGGGGATCAGCCTCTTGACACTTGATATCGGCAACAGTACCCTTGTGACCAGCAAGGACGTGGACATTGCTTCTTGTACGCATATCCCACACTCGGCACACACCGTCACGACCACCAGTCACCAGTAAGTCGAGACGAGGGTGTAGAGCCAGCGTGTACACACCACTCAGGTGACCGTGGTAGTGACGAATAACTTTGTTGGTTTCCAAATCCCAGCACTTAACCATCTTATCCTCACCACACGAGAAAAGGTACGGATGCCGCGGCGACACCGCCAATCCACGAACAGTAGAAATGTGACCCGTCAACGTGAGGCGCAGGGAACCAGTCGCCAAGTCCCAAATCTTGATCGTCCTGTCTCCAGCACCACTGGCAAACCACTGGTTATTAGGTTCAACAGCAAGAGCGCGCACCCAGCCCAAGTGGCCTGAGATCACACGCATGAGCTTCCACGGCGCATGCCAATCTGGTCGCTGCTGCTTCGTTGCTGAAGGTCTCTGGATCAAGCTCTTGGGCTGGTCATCGCCACCTGCTGCGCCCGCAGCGACACCTGGTGTTCTCCTTACAAGTGACATCGACGCACCGCTCCCGTCGCCGGATGTCTGCTGTGCCTGCGGTTGGATCTTGGGTCGTTTCGAGCGTCCTGCAGCCGCTTTGGCTTGGATTTCGGCCAGTGCGCGAGGTAATTCTTTCACATCATCGTACTCAGCTCTCCGCCGGTAGGAAATACCGATTGAGTCGTCTGTCAATGTCGTCGGTGTGACCATCAAGTAGTCTGTACCGAAAAGATCGGCGGTACGCTTCGCAGAGACCCGGACAGCTTCATCGGGGGTGTGGGATGAGACAGAGTCCATGGCTGTTAGGAATCGGGTATTGTAAAGGAAGGGAGGAACGGAGCTCGAAAAGGGTCAGGAGGGATGTAAAGAGGTTCCTGGTTTGAAGGCTTCGGGGCCTTGGCAAGGTGTGCGCGCAAAGAAAACCCTGCGCCGGGGTCGAGGATCAGGTAAAATACGCGGCGATATTAGCGCATCTGAATTGATATATTTCGCCAACGGGTATTGAAGAAGGAAACCCGTACGTAGTGATTGTCGAGGTGATTGGAAGATGGAGAAGTGAAGCTCGTGAATCTCTGCGGGCGGAAAGAAGGTCTGTTTGTTGCCTGAGGCGTCAACGGGTGTCGACGTGCAGTTTACTTATCGCAGCTCTTATCGATCATTCCACCTTCCAAGCCATCATGAATCCCACCCAGAACGCCAAATTTCCTCTGCATGAGGCTGCCCGGGAAGGCAGGAGTGAGTTAGGACCTGGTATATTCGGTCAAGGCCTTACTGACCTCTCGGACAGCTCAAATCGTGGAATCTCTTCTTAGCGTACGTGAAAGCTTGAAATGCTTACAACTGCCCCGCAAAACCTACCATCTACAACCGATAAAGGGCAATAATAAATATGAGGGTGCAAATTGTACTGATCGTAGAGATAGGCAAACCCAAAATCTGCATCTGTGAAAGACGACGATGATCGTCTTCCTATTCACTGGGCTGTAGCCAACAACCGACTAGCTGTCGTTGAGCTCTTGGTAGCCGTCAAGAATTTTGACCCCGATGTTGAAGTATGTATCTTCTTACGCGTCACAAATTACTCTTGTACTAGTCTGAGCTTACGAATCTCAAATAGGATGGATCTGGTTGGACTTCGCTCATGATCGCGGCCAGTCTCAAAGAAGCCGCTGGCGATCCCATCATCGATCTACTTCTACGCAAAGGAGCTGATGTGAGCATCAAGAGCAATTCTGGACAGGTATGTCATCCTCACTCTTGGGATAAAAGCCTGCAGCTAATGGATAATGGTACCTTTGCAGAATGCCCTCCACTTTGCTACCTCCAAGGGCAATATTTCCACAGTTCGAACTTTGATTGCCAACAAGTGCAGTGCCCGAGTGAAGGATATTCGCGGGCAGCTCCCATTGCACCGAGCAGCAGCCGTCGGCTCCGTTCCCATCCTCAAAACTCTTCTCGAGGAGGGAAGAAGCCCAGTTAATGCGACAGATGGCGATGGCTTCACGGCATTACACCATGCCGTTTCTGAGGGACACGGCGATGCGGCAATCCTGCTTTTGAAAGCCGGCGCAGAGGCAGACAAGAGAGATAACGAGGGCCGGTTGGCAGTCGATCTGATTCCCGATGATAAGGTAAGTTACTAATGGTAGCTGTAAGGCGGTTTGATTCGGTCATTATGGTGATCTAACTTGCTTCTAGGTCAAGCAATACATTTTGCAAACTGCGGAGCGGGAAGGCATTGAGCTCCCTTGATGAATTATGCTGTACATTATTGCTAATAGTACCCCGCTCATTAAATGAATTACTTCCTGCGGGCCTCGGCGGATCTCAAGGTTGATCTGCATTAGTTCCCCTCACTTCAAGCTCCATATTACCGAGGATCTAGGTGACTTTCGGATATACCCGTGCATGGAATGATTCAACACGTTACACATAGTCTATCGCCTCCCTTTGTTCATGTTTACTGAGGTCTGTAATTTGGTGTTAACTTGGCCCAGGTTTGATAGGAAATGTTGTGACCGTCATTTCCATCCATGACGATTGACTTGAAAGGAGTTTGATCATCAGTTAGCTTAGTCTAGTTCTACCGGGGGTCAATGTGTGTATGTGGAACTGAGGGGATCCAGTCAAGATATCAACTCTATATCCGGACTTAATGTCACCGATCAAATGAAAGAGGGGGGCTCCATACCTCCTTACCTAACCTTGGAATCAAGGGCTCAAGATTCCCGTTCCACATCGAACTCAACCCCTTTCTCGCCCATGATAATTTGACCAATATGTCGAGACCATCTAGCGCACGTCTCCCCGTAGGGAACAAGGATTTCACACAAGCGACGGTGGTCATCATTGGCGCAGGGATATCTGGTAAGCGGACCTTGGCCTATTATTCGTGGCATACTTGTCCTTGAGCTGATTTTATATACAGGAATGTGTATGGCCATTGACTTGATCAAACGAAATAAATGCCGGAACTTTGTCATCCTCGAGAAAGGCAGTAGTGTTGGAGGGACTTGGAATGACAACAAATATCCAGGCTGTTGCTGTGACGGTGAATGCACCTGGGCAGATGCTCACATAGTCCGTGATAGGATTTGTCAACATGGCTGACTAAATATTAGTCTGGAGTACTCTATACAGCTACTCCTTTGAGCAGAATCCGAACTGGACGAGAGACTATCCCGGACAGGAAGAACTTCATGTAAGAACGTTCTCAGGCGGAACACGTCTAGCATCAGAAGCTTTGCAATCTAACATGAAAGGACGGTAGGCCTATCTAGTCCGTACTGCTGAGAAATATGGACTCTATAAACATATCCGATTCAATTCGACCGTTGAAGAAGCAAGATGGAATGACACTGAATGCAAGTGGGAGGTTGGCGTCAAAGTGACAGGACAAAAGGATAGCGAGTTCGCTGACTCCTACACCATCAACTCCCAATTCCTCATCTCAGCGGTCGGTCAGCTTAACGCACCACAAGAACCAAATATCCCTTGCTTGCATGAGTTTCAGGGGAAGATGATGCACACGGCTCGATGGGACTGGAGCTATGATCTGAAGAACAAACGGGTAGCAATTATTGGCAATGGTACGCAGAATCATTCTCATCCCCCAGATTGGCTCGTTAACGGAAATATCAAGGTGCAACAGCGGCACAAATTGTCCCTGAGATTGTCACTGAGGTATCACACCTCACAATCTTCCAACGCACTCCAAACTGGGTCACTCCCCGACTTGATGCACCCGTATCTCCTCTTCAACAAGCTCTTTTAACCTACATCCCCCCGCTCCGCTGGCGCAAGCGTTCTCTCCAGATGGACTACCGTGAGACCTTTCATGGTGCCATTTTCGACAACGACTCCGCATTCGCGCAGGGTCTCCGTGACTCCAGTACCAATCACCTCAAGGCTCAGTTGGCCGATCATCCAGAGCTTTGGGACAAATTAACACCGAACTACGCGCCTGGCTGCAAGAGAGTGATCATATCCGATGACTACTATCCCGCGCTGGCACGCGACAATGTCAATCTAGAGACGCGACCAATCACTCGTATCACGGAACGAGGGATTGAAGTCGATGGTGATGGCGAGCAAGAATACGACCTTATCATACTGGCAACTGGATTCAAGACTGTCGAGTTCATGTACCCGATTAAAGTATTTGGTGCGAATGGAAGGCCCCTTGAGGAGATTTGGAAAGACGGTGCAAGGGCCTACAGAGGTGTGACTGTAGAGGACTTGCCAAATTTTGGCATGTTCTACGGTCCTAACACCAATCTTGGTGAGTAACAATAAGTCAATCTGAGCCTGCCATATCCCTTTGACTAAGTTTTATCACCAACAGGACACAATTCCATCATCCTTATGATTGAGGCTCAATCTAGGTACCTGAATGGCCTGGTCGCAGAAGTCATGCGAGCTAAACAACAGGGACAAAAGCTATCGCTTAAACCAACTCCTGAAGCGATGAAAGAATTCAACGATAAGATTCAGGCTATACTGCGGGATAGTAGTTTCGCAGACCCTAATTGCAACAGCTGGTATAAAAGAGCCGATGGTGTCATCACCAATAACTGGTGCGGGACGGTCATTGAGTACCAGGGAGAGCTTTCGCAGATCCAATGGGAAGACTATATTTCTGATGGGTCTGGAAAGGACCTCATGACTAATAAGCGTCCCACGAACTTGGGACGTGTCAGGGAAGAGTCATTTTTCACCAACATGTCGCTACTTATTGGCACTTTTGGCGCACTAGCTATTGCTGGAGGTTACTTGGCTACCCGTCCTAAGCTCTTGAGGTCTCGGTGATGCCTTTTTAATTTTACTTGAAATACAAGCTCGATATCAAGGAGACTGTCACGGCTAGATAAAGCACATGGGCAACCGTATATGTAAATAGGTCCCAGGTAGCCTAACCTTCGGAAAATATGTACCTGTGCTTTTACTCGATAAAGCTACTCCGGCCTCTATTCTTATTGGCAACCTTGGAAGTATTCGTGAAAGTCAGGTAGTGAATATTCGTACTCTTCTTCCAAGGTTTGAGCTCTGGGCGCTACAACTCGGGTGCCGAACCTAAGCATTTAAGGAATGGAAGCGGGACGGCGTCCACTGATCCCGTATGTATACACCTTGTAGTCCAGAGCAAAACCAACCACTGACACCTTCCAAGTCGAATGCAACGGCCTTGCAATCCTCATTCCTCGCGGTCATTGGCGCAAGTTACACCGCTAGGATCAGGATGGTATTGACGCTCGCCACTATGGCCTTCTTTATACTTTACTGCCAGTTCACAAGCCTCAGAAGAGAGAAGATACATCTAAGAATACTTTGTTCGAAGCTCTTGTTTTGGCCAGCTTGCAACCAATCACCGTCTGCACACCAGTTAAATCTAAACATGACATTAATATTAATATGAGTTATAAGAATATTTCGTGAATCAGGATACATTGATGTAGGATATCCTGGCACTCTACGGTCAAAGTAAAAACCCTCATAGCTCCATGCGTTCCTGGGGAACACTGATTCTCCCGGCGGCTTGGACCTGTATCCCGTCAATATGAGCGCGGAACGGAGCATCATCTTGAATACGTATCGGTCGGCTGAGCCCTATAGAATGCCCAGTGGAGTCCAAGGCCTCGGCAACAACAGAATATTGCCGAAGCACTTCCAAAGACCAGTTGACGTTGGCTTCGAACTTGGTTTCAAAACCTGTCCGGGCTTGCACGCCCAAAATATTGACATTCTGACCGGACTGGTTCTCGCGCAGGTGGAATTGCCAGGCTTTTGTTTCGGTATCACCATTCCACGATACACACACCAAGAGACCCCCTTCTTTCTTTCTCAAAGCTAGCACTGCGGGTTCTTCGCTAGAGATACCGGTCCAGTTTGATCGAAATGCCCGATAGCTGTGAACATTCTGGCTTGGGTACGAGTCCACGTGGGTTTGATATAATATAGTCCCATTTTCCGAGTGTTCTGTAATAACGCCCGTCTGGCCCCAGTTCACAAACGTGTTGCCATTGGGTAGAAATTGGACATTTCCTTGAGAATTTGCAATCATACCATCTGGGGCTGGGTATGTCCAGATCTCTGAAACTGTGTTTGCTGTGTGATTCAACTCAATATACCGAGCTTTGGAGACCAGGCCGGTGTCATGACTGGGGTCTGGACTACCGTTCGCATTATCAAGAAATGAGATTCGTTCAATGGAGCCATCGGGGGACTGGTACCTTATACGAGCGTCATGCTGAAAGGCAAACTCCAGGTTGGATGGAATGTGAAAATCAGATCCGTGACGTCCGCCTAGTTGCCATATTATCTCACCAGTGGTACCGTTGAGCTTGTAAATTGCTGAATAGTGGCGGGCTGATATTAGGTAATTTCCTTCGCTGTCTTTGTCCACGCTGTTGATCATGAAATAGTGCCAGCCACTCACAGCACTGCGAGCATTGTATGGACCCTCTGACTGTAGGGGTATTGCGCTGTCTGTTATTCATATCAGCAAATGGCGCATAATCTCTAGAGCAATCAAGCTTGTACATTCGGGGCTAACATGGTCTAAGCTATACCACTCAAAAATCAATTGGCCAGTTTGTATATCGATCTCTGTTGATTTGAATTAATTCCACGTATACTCGGTGACTCTTGGTAAAGGAGATCAAACCTTGAAACCCGGCTGAGATGACCCATTGCTGTCCATAATCGCCTCCGTAAATGCTAAGGTTTGTTGGAACTGGGACCAAGATCTCAACCAAAGCTGTTCTACCATCAATCACGTTAAATTCATGGCCCGAAACCAAGCGGTGTGACGCTGCCCTAACCACACTGATGGTCTGGTACATATTATCGAGTACTGTGTGGTGGCCATTCATGCGCACATGCTGTGGATCTAATGATCCTTGAAACGCTCGCAGCGCAGGTTTGCCGTCTAGCATGATGGCCCCAAAATCGATGACATAGCCACCATAGTAGCCGACACCAGACCAGACTAGCTCTCCATCATCGCGAAAGATATGGGGACCAGGTTGCTCAGGACCACTGCTAGTGGCATCTGCCCCGGGCTGACCTTTAGGTGCTACAAAGATGTACCCGGATTCTGCTTGGGTTGTAGCTGGCACCGTGATATTCAAGATGGGAGGGGCGAGATCGGGACGCGAAAGGAATTGCCAGTCTGCAGAAGCAAACTGTATGGTGAGACCCAGCCAAGCCAGGAACTTGAGGGCCATTATGCGGCAAGGGACCCGTTCGCTGAGAATGTCGCGGGTGGTACTATTAGGAATAAGGAAGGTCCACTGCGGGTGAACCTAATCGAGCGGCATGTTGGCGGTGGAACTCCCCGAGCCTAGGAACGTCAATGCCTTAAGGCTCGGGGGTCCGAAGATTTAAACGCCAACTGTCTTCACCGCCTAAGCTCACATCAACTCCTCCATAGCTTAGATATTATACAGTTAATTAGACATCTTCCTAATTGGTGAGTTCTCAAGGTATAATTAAAATACGGCATTCGGAAGCGGGAGAATTGGCAGCGGAAAGTAAATATTCAGGGACGCTCTAGACCCTCAATAAAGACACAACGCCCGAGTCAATCTATGATTAGGTATTTCAACGTGAAACGTATCATGTAGCACAAGAAAATTTGTATTCCACAGCGAGGATACTATGTTTAAGGAAGAGAAATCAAAAGGATTCATTAGGTAGGAGTTTTGCTTTCAATCTACGCTTCAACCTTGGAAGAGGAATAGAAAAGATAATAAAACATAAACGAGGCCCTTTAAGGATGATGGCTAAGACACAATACTAGTTTTGCCGCGTCAAACTCTTTCAATCTCTTCTTTCTCAAACTTTCCAGCATTTTCCCGTTTCATAACCAGGGCATCTAGCCCTTTCAGATATTTTCTCCATAAGCCGCCAGAGCCGAGTGAAATCACTCGTTTAAACCGAGAATAGTGGCGAACAGGCTCATCTTGTTCTTCTGTCTCAAGTTTCTGTTGAGAATCAGGGCCCCAAATCATCCACAGACTAGTATCAATTTCTTTTTCCCATGGCGCCTGGCCATGAACGAATCGAAGCCAAGCATTTTGAAGATCGGTCCCCATCGCGCGTTCCGCTTCATTCAGCTCAGTGTCAAGATTTCGGAATAGATAAATCACGTCAAAGCCGTGGTACGATTTGCCCAGTAGAGTATTGCGGATGCGAGAGCGCTGGTCAAAATGATATTCGAAGAGTGCGCCCTCTTCTCTCAGTCTGTTGTTCACGATTCCGGACTGATAATTCTTAATCTTGAATACCGCGTCGGCGGCCATGGTGCATACCCTTTCGAGGAGTACATTCTGAGTCAGGTCTGGTGAAATGCCATATTCACTGAATACGCTGTTGAGGAAATCCTCATCTTGAACATGCTTCATGAGCGTGGCTCGAACGGTATTATATGTGTCCTTTCTGAGATTCAGAATGAATATAACTCCCTCGTCATGAACATCACCAAACATGAAAGACTTCACCCAGGTAGGTGATTCGGTGAGCACTTGAGGATCGTGTGCATAGAACCAACCGTCTAGACATGGATTTCCAGTACCGGCCGGTACACCCTGAATAATATGGTCTGCATCAGCCAGGACTTGCTGATCAACTTGGCGCAATCGATCCAATGCATCTGGAGCAAGCGAATCAATATCGAAAAACCGACACGTGCTTTCGAACAGGTTCTCATGATCCTCTAGTGACATTGCGCTCAAAGTTGTCCCAACACCAGACATACAAATTGCACGGTGGAACTTCATCGGGTGATTCGAAGCCATATGGTGACCAATACTGACGCCTCCAGCTGATTGCCCCACAACCGTCACATTGTTGGAGTCTCCTCCGAAATTCTCAATGTACCTATGTACCCAGTCAAGGGCGACCTTTTGATCTGTGAAACCGAAATTGCCGTTGCCAGCGAACCCGTCCCGCTTCAACTCTTCTGCAATCTTCGCGCCGGCCAGAAACCCCCCCAGTCCGAGTCTATAGTTGATACTCACGGCGACGACTGGGAGTCCAATGGACTTGCTTTGTGAAACGAGATTTACCGTGTCGTATATGCCGTAGTTTGCGCTTCCGAATAATAAGGATCCACCATGAATCCATACGAAGACAGGAAGCTTTTGCTTAGCTGGCTCAGTTGAGGGTTGCTGAGCCGTGGCGATATTCAAGATAAGCGCGGTCTTTTCGTCGCTTATGGGGCTTTTTGTGAACGCTGGGTTTGGAGGCACTGGAATGAATGGATTTATCGGGCTAGAATCACTTCCCGAGGCTCGTGCTCGCGGGCAATTATTGCTTCGGTTGATCTGGTCAGCTATGTTTATGAACTTTCGATTTTGAGCAAATAACATACCCCAGCTGAGTCCCATCGTGGTATTTGTTCGGCCACGAAGTCTTCAATTCAGAACGCGTCCAGCGTTTGGGAAGGTCTGCGTATGGAATCCCACAGTACTGCTCCACTCCGTCTGCATAGTGCCAGCCATCAACCTTGCCGAGAGAATGAACCTCCAATGAACATTTATTTTGGGGAGTCTGGAACGTCATTTTGAGTGCCAGGTGGAGTTGTGTGAAGAACTCCAATCAACGAGGAATTGCTGATGTGTGGTTGCTGATAAGATTTGCTCTTTCCCAATTAACTAAAATGTTTCTCGACAGACTCTGAGCTCGTACAGGACACCAGGAAACGGAAAATTGTGAATATCGTTTCCAAGGTTCACAGAGACCTCAAAGACCAACAATGATCCTGTGTCGGGAATCACGACCTCTTGGGAGTTGATAGCAATCGGGGGATATGAAAAAACTCAAGTCCCGAGATGCAACACCGGGGCATATGCAAGTTTTCACTTCCGAAATCCCTCTAATCAGACCAAGAAGCATGAAGTTGGACCCTTTGTTCAATAATGAACCGTCGGGGATACCCCTGGAGAATAAACCTACTGATCGACCGTACATCAGTGGGTCCAGACAGGGTTTCGCCAAACGGAAGTGGCCGCGGAAGTCAAGTGGAGGCGAAAATACATCAGACTGAAAATTGAAGACTTGGGAGTTTCATCCAAAATTGCGCGTATCAGGCAGTAGAATTATGGCGTCATAAATGATGATCATATTCAATGTGAGTTTAAGCTTCATGTACTGTGTATCAAAAATAACCCCACACAAGACCCTGCACTATGATACTGATAGATATTCCGGGCATCCCTGATGAGCAATGTGAGGATCAATGGGCTCGCTCCTGAAATAAACATGCAAGACTGCTGTATCGCCAGATGAAAACCAAAAGCCGCCAAAGATGCATACATTTAATTCGATGGGTCGCACCCTACAGAATGTCCATATCGTCGTCATCCCAGCCCAGCTGGTCATAGATCGATTTGGATTGAGATTTGTCCGGCGTCACAGGTATGACATCGGCACCTTTGACAGGGGTGCCGAGCACAACTGGTGAAGATGGCGGACGAGTATTGTTGGTGATCATTACTGGGAAATTAGGAGCTGTGGGGATAGAGCGAGGGGCTGGCATGGGTTCTGGACCACGCTGCTTTGGTGGTGTCTCCATGATCATTGAAGAGCGGGCGCCTTCGAACGTCTTGCTGAGAGGCCGTGATGCTTCGGGCGTAGAAGTTGGGTTAATTTGTTTACGCCGAGATGAAACTGGGGTTGAGGGCGCCATTGGCTCGGGAGGGTTTGCACGAGGCTCTGGAATCTGGGGTACTCGGAACAGATCTGTCCCTTTGCTTGCAGATGAGAATATCCGGCGGGGATCCGTGCTGCTGGGTTTGTTGGTGTCAAACAACAGTCTATTAGGAGGGGGGCGAGTGGGCGTTTCTTGGATAGATCCAAGCTCTGCCGGTCGGGCCTGTCGTCGCCCACTGTCGCTTGTGTCGACAGCATGGCGAGACTTGAATGGGTTTGAGTCAGGCCCGGAGAATGAAATTGCTCGTCGACTCGAGGACGGAACCATAACCGGGGATTCAGCTAGGGAATGATTTTCCATTTCTCCGGCAAAGGATTTGGAAGGTTTGAGGCTTCGAGGAAGTGGAGGCATCCCCACGACTGCATCCTTCTTGCGATTGCCACGCGGTGTCGCCATGACCTGAACTCCTTGGCCATATGGGTTACGAACAGGGTTCTTTGGCTTTCGGGAGCTCCCTCCTCCATTGGAAACCCGTTTGGTAGCATCGTCAGCAATATCCTTCGCAACCATTTCTCTGTTTGGTTTTCGCAGAGCGTGAATGGCAGCATCGAGTTCCTTCTTCTGGTCGGCCAACATTTGAACCTTTCGCAATTTACTCTCGTGTTGACGGGCTGCTGCATTTAAATCAACCTCCCTGTTCTCCACACGCTTGACCTGGATTCCACCTCGCACATTCCCTGACAGAACAGTGGGAAGCAGAGGCTCCATAGAATCACGCCTGGCCTCTTGCTTGCTTGGTGCAGTATTAGACCGATGGAGAGATGGATGTCGATTTTGAGATGCCGCTGCCGCCTTCTCATCGGTCAAGACACGATGCAACGAGCGGCGGATGTTCTGAGGCGGCGCTTGTCGTTTGACTTCCGCTCCTGGCTCTGGACGCTCTCTCTTGTTGGATGATTTCTTGGCCGCTGGTGAGATACCACCAGATACGCCGAATTTGCGAGTGATCAACTTGCATTTGCCCGGCAAGCGTGCTGCATAGAATGGAATGATGACCTCGGTGCAAAAATCGCGCACCGCATCGCTTTCAACCTTCTTCCCAGACATGTGGCCCTCGTTAAAAGCCGATGTTCTTGCCGTTTCGGCCGTCGAAGATTCCTCAAGACCGACAGCATGCCAGATGCACAGTCGGTCAAGGTGCAGTTCGAGGAGCACATTCAGATCCTGAGGCTTCTTGGGTCTGGTCTTCTTGGCTGAATCCTTAGCTTCGACGATTTCTTTTGTCGGTCTCTCGTCTTCTTTCTCAACGGTAGGAGTCGATTCCAAAGCCATTACTTCCAAAATCAGGAGGATTTGCAGCTGTATTTCACGCAATCGAAGGTCAGATATGTGCTTCTTGGTCTCTGCTTCCCGTGAATCGTATGTAGAAGTTTCAGTCATGCTCCGGCCCTTCCACCACTTGTGGATGAAGCTATCCTCCTCGGGATACAGCCCGTTTTTGCTCATTTTCTTCTTTTTGCTCTTCCGCTTCTTCGTACCACCCTCACCATCAGACACAGCAATCACTGCTTCGTGAACAGCTGCTGGCAAGGCTTCTCGGTATTTGAGGTCCATTTTCTTAGCAGCCAGAATAGCCTCGCGGTAAAACTCGATTAGTTCACTTGGTGTCTGGGGGTTTCCAGAGCTTGATGATTGAAAAGCAGTGCGGCAGCGAGTCATGGGACCTTTGGCAAAGTAGGCCAGAGATGTCTAAGGAAATCGTTAGATATCAAGCTCCAGACTGAAATGAGCAAAATGTTAACCTTTGAGATGTAGAGAGCTTGTAAGTAATGATCTCTCATCTTATTGAGCAGCTCTTCGGGTGACTGCTTCGCATCAATGCCATTGTTGTCTGTGGAATCAACGTCCATAGCGCCTGTAGACCCCATACCCTGGGACTCAGATAGCGCAAAGGAAGCCTCGGTGTCGCTGTTCGCATTTTTTAGGACAGGAGGAATTGAATGGCCCCGGAACTCAAGCACATCAACAAAAGAAGGTGCAACTGTCCCCACATCCACCTCATCTTCAAACACAACACCAACCTGCAGCCCAGCGAAGTCATCTCCCAACCCAAAATCAGAAGTGGGTTCTTCGATCTGCGCAGCCTGCCACCAATTGAGAGCATCCGGCACAGGCAGGGATTTCTCCTCAGCATCAACATCTATGTCTACCGCTCGAGAAGACCCTTCCCAGCCCTTCACCGCAACCACAATATCTCCCTCATTCACCCACCGTGCAAGCCTAGTGAGCGAGTAAATGCCTCTCTTTACCCTCTCAACCACGTAGAGACTGCCATCAGCCACCAGCCGCACGGCAAGGACGATAGGCTCTGCACAGGCAAATAGTTCGTTTTCGAGGGCGGGGATATCGGCGACGAATAAGCCGCCCGGTTGGGCGTCAGAATGTGACCACGACGCGTCTTCGAGCCATGAGAGCGGTAGTCTGGTGCGGGGAAGTGTGGCAATGCGATCTAGGACGAGGGGTTCATCGGATAGTGAAGCGGCGTGGGCCTGGTAGAGATCAAACAAGAATGGTGAGTTAGGGATCGTGGACCAACAAGCAAATGCTAAACAGATTAATCAAACATACTCTGATCACTATAGAGGCACCTGCTATCTGGCCAGCAGTAGCGGCGTCGTGTCCGAATTTGCGCTTCTTCGACAGCGGCTGGGCCGCCTCGGGGAGTCTGTTCAGCGCGGATGCATTGAGGGGATCTAGGACAGTCGGGATCACATGGGCAGTCATGATCACGTCTAGGCGATGGTGTTCATTGTGCAAGTGTCCAGATTTCAGGAAACAGTATGCGAAATAACAGAAATAGAGATACGCTGATGCAATGCACGTCAATAGTGTAAGTGGGAGATCGCGGGTTTAATTTGTTAGTGGAGTTTTGGCGTCACGCGTCGAGGTCCAAGCACTAAGGTTGTCCCCGCCCGAACTAAAGAACGTCTTTCATTGATTTTCGCAAACGCTTCTTCTCTTAATGGTGAGTGCAGGATCTTACAGGGAATCATTAATTAAACTCCATATTCAAGGTATTAGGCAAGGCTGAGATTCGTATCTCGGATGAGTAACATTATCGAGCACATAACTACCCAGGTGCCTTCTTACTCAAGAGTACGTTATCCGCAAGGTGAAGATTATCAGGATACTCACTGAGCCAGCGCCTTTTCGTACCTAGGATTACAATGCCGGTATACATGCATTACCTTGAATGTTGACTTGTTGCTTTGATTTGACCTTGGAACCAGGGTGACATGTTCTTCAATTCTTGAGATAGCATTTTTGTCCAACTGTCTGCATTACGACTACTGATGGCTTTAAATGTGGTTAATGAGGTACATATAAAGAACATCTATAATTGGACTCTCCGAAAAGGTTACTTGGGCACCTCATCACGGTCTTTGGCTTGCGTGATGATCTTTATGCAGGAAAGTACTATTATCGACGACATACCCAGGCACCACTCAGCTATGTGAACGTGATAAAAGAGCAATGCCTACTAAGACGGCGACTTTTCTTACCCACATCCCGGCTCGAATGAAGCATTATGGATGTTGGCTTGAAGTAAGCGTAGTCATGCTCTTCAATACCTGAAAACCGGTACGGTTGCATCTTAGGTGAATTGCCCTTACCGTGCTAGTTCAGACACGGGCTAGTGAGGTATCCAACTGATTTTGTGGTCAACTGGAGATGCCCTTTCTACAATGGAAGTGGAAACTTGTGTTGTTTTAAATCGTTGAGATTCTTATTATTGTAATGCTAATGTTTAGATTAGCGACCTCTAAGCCACGAATGGGTCTTATGGTGTAAAAGTCCGACTCTCTTTGCCACCAATAAACCCTCCAATCGAGTCAACAGCCATAATGGTACACAGTACTGATCAGCCGTGAGCACGACCGAGGAGGTGAAAAGGAGAAGGTAATATGGTTGTTGAAGACTTCGCTCCCGAAAAAACGCCTGAACATCCCGTCCCAGTTGATGAAAGTGGTATCATGTTGAATTTTATCTTCGCCGTAATTTGCAAGACAAGCATGCAGATAATGAAACAAGAAAGTGTAAATTCCGAAAGGAATCAAACTTTTGAAAGATTTTTGTCGTTTTAGGTGTTATAATGCTCTATGCATGTGCTTTGAGTTGTTGAAAACAAAGCAATCTCATCACGTTCGTCAAAGCGTCTCCAAAGTTAATGGATGGAGGATTCCATTTAGAACTTCAGAGTCTTAGGCTTCTCCCAGGTGAAGTCCTGGTTGGTGAAGTGACCGTTCTTGGCAGTCTGGATGTAGATGGGCTTGGCCAAGTCCAGGTCCTTGACAATCACACCGGGACGGAGATCGAAGTTCTTGCGGATGATCTCCACAAGCTCATCGGAGGTCTTATCGGAAGTTCCGTAAGTCTCGACGAAGATGGAAAGGGGCTCGGCGACACCAATGGCGTACGACAGCTGGACCAGCGCACGGCGAGCCAGCTTGGCGTTGACCAAGGACTTAGCGATCCAGCGAGCAACGTAGGCAGCGGAACGGTCGACCTTGGAGTAGTCCTTTCCGGAGAAAGCACCACCACCGTGAGCACCCCAACCACCGTAGGTGTCGACAATGATCTTACGGCCAGTGAGACCGGCGTCACCCTGGGGACCACCGATGACGAAGCGGCCAGAGGGCTGCAGGTGGTAGACAGTGCGGTCATCCAAAAGCTCAGCGGGGATAACCTTCTTAACAATCTTCTCCTTAAGGGTGGCACGGATCTCCTCAGTGGAAAGATCGTCAGTGTGCTGGGCAGAGATAACAACGGTGTCGACACGCAGGGGCTTGACAGCACCGTTGTCGTGAGCGTACTCAACAGTGACCTGAGTCTTGGTGTCGGGCAGCAACCAGGGGATAGAGCCGTCATTGCGAGCGGCCTTCATGGCAGCGTTAAGCTTGTGAGAAAGGAGAATAGTGAGGGGGAGAAGCTCAGGGGTCTCGTCAGTGGCATAACCGAACATGATACCCTGGTCACCGGCACCGAGCTTCTCAAGAGCCTCATCGTAGTGAAGACCCTGAGCGATATCGGGGGACTGCTGCTCAATGGCAACAAGAACGTTGCAGGTCTTGTAGTCGAAGCCCTTCTCAGAGGCATCGTAACCGATGTCCTTGATAGCGCCACGGATGACCTTCTGGTAGTCCAGCTGGGCCTTGGTGGTAATCTCACCGAAGACCATAATCATACCTGGAGGAAAAGGACATATTATGTCAGATTTGGATGTCCGGTCAGGAAGACAATTGGGGGCCAATTGGACTTGTCACATACCGGTCTTGGTGGCAGTCTCGCAAGCAACCTTGGAGAGGGGGTCCTCCTTAAGACAGGCATCGAGGATAGCATCCGAGACCTGGTCACTAATAGATGGGGACACGTAGGTTAGAATTGATGCACGGAGACTTTTCGGCGCACGCCTCAGGGGAAAATAAACGGCGGAAAAACTCACGCAATCTTATCGGGGTGACCCTCTCCGACGGACTCGGAGGTGAAAAGGAAAGTGCCGGGCTTCTGAGAAACGGAACCCATTGTGAAGAATGGTGTGTGATTAAATTAAAGAGAGGTGAAGAGAAAAGGGGATGGATGAAGAAGAAGAAAAAAAGAAACGAAGAAAAAGAGGGAGAGGGGTTGGTATATGAGAGAGAGCGGGGCAGAAAAAAATGGGACCCGGAACCATAGAGCGAGGACAGTTCTGACTTCGGGTTCCGACCATCGACCATTGGCAACTCGATAACGCCATCCGTGCATGTCTGGTCCGGACGATTAGTTTCACCGCCTGGCCCCCAACCCCATCAGCATGCAAATCATGCAAAATCGAACCAGTCACATTCCCATACGGCTCACCGCCTAGCCCCGCCCCACCGGCAATGGAAAATTCTCATTTACCGATAAGCAATCACTGAGATAATCTTCATGGTGCTATACCTACTCACTACAAGATCATTATCCTCTATCTAATTGACCATGTCCAAGTTCGGCGTCTTGGTCATGGGCCCTGCTGGGGCAGGTAAAACCACCTTCAGCAATTCCGTGATCCAACATCTACAAAGCAACCGGCGAAGCTGTTTTTATGTCAATCTGGACCCCGCCGCCGAAAACTTCACATATCAACCGGATCTCGATATTCGGGACCTGATCACATTAGAAGATGTGATGGAGGAGCTGCAGCTCGGCCCCAACGGAGGTCTTATCTACTGTTTCGAATTCCTGCTCCAGAATCTGGAGTTCCTATCCGAGGCGCTTGAGCCACTGAGCGAGGAGTACCTCATTATCTTCGATATGCCCGGCCAAATCGAACTTTACACCCACATTCCTCTCCTACCATCCCTTGTACAGTTCCTTTCTCGCCAAGGTCCCTTGAATATCAACCTCTGCGCGGCATACCTCCTCGAAAGCACATTCGTCGTTGACAAGGCCAAATTCTTTGCTGGCACCTTGAGCGCCATGTCCGCCATGCTGATGCTGGAGATTCCTCACGTGAACATTCTCAGCAAAATGGATCAGGTTCGGGACATGGTCAGCCGCCGAGAGCTGAGACGGTTCACCAACGTGGACATGCAATTGCTATCGAATGAGAACGACGACCCGGCTGTTAGCGCCAATCCCATGGCTAAGGATGCCCTAATGAGTGGCGGTTCCTTCACGCAGCTTAACCGGGCTGTGGCGCAATTAATTGATGACTTCAGCATGGTCTCCTTTCTACAATTGGAGGTCCAGGATGAAGACAGCGTTGCCGGAGTTTTGAGCCATATTGATGATGCCATCCAATACCACGAAGCTCAGGAGCCCAGGGAGCCCAAGGACGAACAGGAGGTCAACTACGAGGACGAATAAACCGTTCGGTATTTTTTGTCTTCTTTTTCCCGGTTCGGTGTTTTACGGACGCCATGTAATCCCGAGACCGGACGAAGTAATCCCTACCCTCCGAGCCCCATCGGCGCTTATTTGTCGCCTTATACTACTGTGAACCGAACTCCGAGGATTCGGTGAAATTGATTACGGTCATTTACTCAAGCGACAACGGAATATCTGACTTGATGGTGAGAACGTGGTGTACAAACGCCCGGGCGCGGGGCGTGTGGAGGAAGACAAGAGACCCCACCAGCACCACATACAGCACCACACCAAGCGCCACATCAGAGTCCCACTGTTCGGAGGTCCCCTCGTTCAGGAGGAATAGAAAAAAATATCGACATGATCACTTAATAATACGCTAAAACCAATAAAGAAAGCTCACGAATGATGATAATTCCCAAACAAACAGAAACCCCGTACACCCCCCAGAGGCAATATATCTTGTCCAAAAGTACTAACCAAAGTATCGGAGAATCCTTCACTTATGCCATCTTTCTTTTACCTCCAGCCCCCACGAGTTCCTCGTTTCCCCGATTCTGAGCCTGACCCAGGCACCCAGCCCCCAGCAGCACTCCCACTCTTCTGGAAATCCTCCACAAAGCCCATTGCAACGCCCCACAGCCAACCGAGATCCCTTCCGGCATTTTCCACGCCCACCTGATACACGTAGAAGCCAAGCCCAACCAGAGAACCCCAGAAGACTAATCGGAAAGCCAGCATCACCCAAAACATGACAAGGCGGCGCGCATAGTCGAGGATCTTGAGCGAAATAAACAAGATGACCACTAGCAAGAACACGGAGATAAGGTCGGGCATTGCGGCAGTGCTTGTGGAGGTGAGGAAAGTCGAAAGCGGTTCAATGATGTAGGGCTGGACATAGGCTGAGCGCAGGTTGGCAAGCTGTGTTGTTACCTGGCTCTGAGTTGTGGTGCGAAGAAATGAAACTGTTGGGTGTTGGAGAAATGTTTGAATGTTTTCTGTAGATTGGATTTTTGGATTAGCAGATGCTTTTTTTTGCGCTGCCCGAGCAAGAAAAGAACTGAGGAGTTGTTTACAAACAACTGCCTGCGAGCAAGCTAGAGATAAGAAGTCGCACATACCTGGAAGGAAATCCATGGCTTCGTATCGTCCTTAAAGGTGGCAGATTTCTGGACTGGATATGCGCAGTTGGAGGCGGGAAAGAGAAGGACTGTTTGTCCAGTTCACTCTTTGGAAATTTGCTCCGACTTGAATCCAATCTTTGAAAGCGGCTTTGTTTGGGGTGGCGGTTCCCGGCTAGATATTTCTCCTTGTTCCGTGTTAATGCCGGTGAAGCGATCAAATTGAGCGGATATAAGAGATGTATTTCTCAAAAGCTCCGAAAGAGTGGAAACTTAGGATTTCATCAGAGAAAAGTTATGCAAGGCATCGCGAAGTGACAGCTGTTGCACGCAACAACGGCGATAACGTGATGCAAACCAAACAAACAGATAAGGTCTCCACATTTGTATCTTTTCTTGATTGGCTCTACGTTGGTTTTCTGAAGGGAATCCTTGAGATCATTAGTCCGACACCACACTAATTATATATGGTGTCATATAGTAATTTCAATTTGAACAAAATTCCGCTTTGCCTCATGTTCATGAGCATATGATCTCGCTTGATCCAAGTCAACATGCATAACGCTTCATTTGAGCCGGATCTAGGTAAGAAAACGCGCCAACCCCGTGGGGATTACCTTTGAATCGCCTTCACATTGGTACTAAAACCGAGTGTATGCAAGGAAATACCTGAGTATATACTTTCAAGGTTTATAATATTGTTACTCCAACGTCAAATACTACATTTCGCCTAATACCGTCAATGCAGTGTTCAACTACCGCAGACTGCGAGATGTTTTAATGTAGATGCCCATACTTTATTTTTATCCTATGACTTTTGACCATTGCTAGTATCGTGCAAGATGATGAATGACAGGAGTATACCCTCAATTGTCAGATCCACGGGATAATTTCAAAGTAGAAATCAATCATATCCTCCTCCTCCGCCTCTGAATCATACCCAGTATATTCTGGCCTGCTAACGGTTGTACCAGATCCAGCCCAGTAGCCAGCAATGTCAGAAGTCATGCCTACCAAAGGGTGATAATCTCTCTCGTAAAGGTCCCGTTCGTTATACCTTTCCATGCTGCAGGTCACCTTGAGGCCGGGGTTATCATATCTTTCTCCCAATCCGGATATCAAATCCTCCACTGCCCCAAGTGAAGAATTAACGACAACGCTATCATTGCTATAGTAGTTCACTTGGAAGGCGCTCTTTACGGGATAATGTATGTGGAGGAACCCCCTGATCAGGAATCGTTCCAAAAGTTCGGGTTCTCCATTGCGGCGCTTTTTAATCCCGTGGGTAGGAATGCCTGGCAGGATATCCGCATATTGGAGGCCATGATCCTCCATTGCAGCAACAAACATATCTTGGTAGCTGTTGAAGCTGGGGGACTGGGGACTGGATTGAGCCTGGGACTTGGGTGCGGGCTGGGGCTGGCCACCATAATAGTCAGACACGGCAGTGAAAATTATAGCTAGAACAGAGGCAACCGCCTGGCCAATTTCGTTGCACATGCTGTAGCCGGCCAGCCTGGATATGCACCGCGCCAACAAACCTCCGGCTAAAACATACATCACCCTGAAATATATTAGCAGGAAAATTATGATTAGAGTGCGCATCAACTGTGCTCAATGATGGTCATACCTGTAGTTTATGCTAAGAGCTCGGGAGGTCTCGCTCGAGGAATGAGAGATGCTGCTCCGGATCTTCGGACTCGCTGGTACATGTGCCCGCGCACCAAAGCTCTTACTCAGCCTTTCACAGTGGTCTTGATCTGTGACAATAACTTTACTGTGTAGATACTCAGATCCAAGTATGATGTCATTCTGTTTGAAGAGGCCTGTTTCTGCCATGTAGGCTGCCCGCGCGAGGAGAAGTGGGCTGAGGATTCTAGAAACGTCTTGGGAATCCAGTGAAACTTGCAATGGGAACTTTAAGGAATTGCAATCTGTCAATTAGTTCAAAATAATCGTTCAAGAAGGATGGAATATGGTCGAACCCTGATTGGAAATTCATCTCGGATTCTTCCAAGGGAGGAACAACGGGTGAACAGACAGCTCTGGTAGCCATCAGATTCTTGCCTGGGAGCAGAGACGCATTTTCATCATCAGTATCCCAAAGGACCCCATGAGTGTCGTACGCCATTTTCTGGATAGACTTAGTACTGATTGAATGTGTCGCTCGCCCACGCTGGTGGTTGCGAGATATAATATGTGGGAGCTTCGGGGTCCAACAAGTGGATTTAGTGATGTCGTTTGATTGGATAGCCAGATGAACCCCTTGCGCACGAGGCCCACTTATCTCAGGCACGGTGGAGCCTGGGCCTTGAAGTCTATATTTCTCCATCACAAACTAAATTACAAGACTATCCTCTGTACAGTATTTCAATAAGTCAGTACCTAGGGCTACTGATACAGCCTCTAGCTTTTTGCGCAGCCAACACTTTTGTTTCTGAGGAACAAATTCTATACCGATGGCAATTGTCAGTGGCCAAGCTAACAAAGTAGCCGCCATTGGGGATACTTCACTATCAAGGCCATTATTGGCATGGTGCCGGTCTCTTTCAATCATGATGCTGGTGACTGGATTGAAGAAGGACTCGACGCTGTAGCATATATCGGTAGCCAAACAGTCAATGGTAGATTTGCACTTTTGAATTTGTGTAATGAAGTCACTTTGAGGTGACATACTTGCCAAATTGAAGAGCAGCCGCAGGAAAGTACTGACAACAATCAACCGGCCGGCACGGTGTCGATTCCAAATAGTTGCGTGGTCAAATGTCGAGTAGATGTGGGCAGAGCCTTCGTATAGAAGATGAGACCTGGGCACCCCGATATCTTGAGGAGAATAAATGGAAACCCTCCACTCGTCGGGTAAAATGTATTCCCAAAATTCAAATGCAAAAGCCAATTCTTCAGCCTCGGTAACTAGGATTTGAAGCTGAGATATGACCGGGCTGTCGCATTGGTAGCGAAGTTGTAAGCATTTTGACCGTAGAATAGTGAGCCGAGTGTAAAGATCATCAAGCACAACCACTGGATCATCAGGCTCAATTCTTTCTGCATCTTCTTGGAGCCAATCAGGGGCTGGAACCCCTCGGAATAGGCATGATCGCACCTAAGAAGACATGTCAACGGATTATTCTTCAATAAAGTTTGTGGAATTGTACTCACGATTGGCCGTCGAGCGACTCGATCAAGGCCAGAGCTCGAGCCCCATCCTTGCTGCTGTCGAATCTGCAAAAGACCCGCTGTCCCTCGGCAATGACTGACACCAGGCAGGAAGCTGGATTCACCCCTCATTGCAGACCTGTGAGTAGACGGGGGAGTGCCAACACCAACATCCCCTCTATTTGGAACCGTGATATTCTAAACATTTTAGCCAAAATCCACAGAGTCTAAAGTCATATTCGAACACACATCATAGACACCCATCAGCAACGTAGCAACAAGCAGCTGATCAATCGTCTCATTCGACAAGCAAGCTATTTCCACCTGCATACACTTGATGCTTCTCCCGTAGAGCATTTCGGCGCTTTTTATGGCTTTATCCGAGCGCATCGCTTGCCCAAACTTTGCCAACGCAAAAGCAGAAACGGAGAGACGAAGCGCGGAGCGTGGATGGCAATGGTCCAAAAGGCGGAGTGCGGATCCACCAAACTCGCTCTCAATTTCTTGTAGGCCACTAGGCCAAGACGTAAAGTTCACCTTCCAGTAATTCAAGGCATAGACTTCGAGAGGCAAAGATAGAGACGTGCCCATTGGAGATGGTTGATTAACCATCAGGTCTTGCGAAGACGGGCTGCTATTGTGGGCGCGAGGGCGCCGTGGTTTGCCTTTTGCAAATGCATTCTCATTCTTGAATGGCCAAGCTTCTGATTTCTCTGATTCCCAGGCACAATTTCGTTTTGCTTTATGACATCGACCGCAGCTGGGTCGGGAAGAATCACACTGAAGGGATTAGGTCATGCAGGTCGGACATTAGGGACGAAGTATACCTTGACACGCCGCTTTTTACATGTAAGGCAGCCAGGGCTTGGGAAGACCATGCTTTTTTTTTTATAATATTACTGTAGTGTGCATGCAGTGAAGAGATTAAACGGCGGGAGTCAGGATGCATCATGCAGCTAGTGGAACGGATTTAATTTAACTCCGGGGTTCGTAAATGCTGAAACATACTCATTTTTTCTCACAGTACTTGGTATTTCTAGGTAGTCTGCAAGGTGTCCATCAAAATATGAAGCAACACCCTTGGTCAACGGCTCCTACACGAGGGATGTCTATATACAAATATTCTCAGCCATCCAGCTGTGACTCATGCTCATTAAGTCTCAAGGGGGAAAGCCAGGACGCATGAGACTAGTCCTTTCCTTCTCATTTCATAGTGCTATCCACCAATTCGCGATAGATCTTCTTCAAGTCAGCAATATCAGCTTCAAGTTCTTCGACTTGTTCGCTCTTTTCACCCAGCATCTCGAGGGTAGTCTGATATCGCTGGTCGATATCCGCAAGTCTGGCGGTAAGTTCCTCCACGCGGGAGTCTGAGGTTTTCTTTTCCTCTAGCTCGCGCATGAGATCCACGACTTGCTGTCTGGATTCATCGCGCTGGGCGGTGACACGCGCCAGCTCGTCCTTGGACCCGGCACGTTCACTTTCTAGGCGACGAACGGTAGCGCTCATGCGTTCGACTAGCTGCACTGATGGGCCAGCGCCCACAGTTGACTCCGAAATTATATCGTTGATACCGCGTGATGGTAGGGCCTGTGTACCGCCATACATGGATGGAGTAGCCGGTGTGGCAGAGCCGAAAAACTCGTCCGGCTCAAATGTAATTGAAGGAGTCTCCATGATGGTGCTGGTGTTGATAGGGGGAGGGGAGAGCGTTCCTTGATTAATTGATGCTGGGTAGGAGTTCTGGCGCGGCGGCGTGCCAATGTCAGGCGAGGCTGTGGGCATGGTGGACGAGCGACGGCTAGAAGGACGATAGTCATATAGACCTGATGGAACGGTGTCTAGATTACTCGATCGCCGTAAAGACTGGACGGGGGAGACACCGCGAGATTGCTGCAGGTTGTTCATTTGCTCCCGCCATTTGGTTCGCTCCTCGTCCAATTTCTGTGCCCATGAGGCATCACAGGCCTTCTTTTGCTCCACGAGGTCTTTTTGGGTGGTTGTAAAATCTTCGACTGCTTTGTCCAGCTTCTGTTGCATTTTCTGCATTTCTTCCATGCGCTCTTCAAGTTTGTTCTCCACCTCTTGCTCGGCCTCTCTGGCAGTCTCGATTTCCTCTTCCAGCTTCTTGGTCTTGAGATTCTAAAAGATTATTAGAATAGGATCGTACACTAACAGTAGATAAGGATTGCTTACCAGCTCCCGAATCTTCTTCCTAAGATCACCTTCTTTTCGGCTAAGATCATCTCGTTCTTTCTCAACATTGGCTAATCGAGAAAGCAAGGAACCTTCCAAACTATGCCAATTCTCGCTGGCGACCGAATATTGGGTCTGTAGGGTCTCAATCTGTCGCAGAAGCTTGGCCTGGGTCTCCCCAGTTGCACCAGACGACGCTTCTTCTGCCCGAGTTCGAAGGCTCTCCATCTTGCTTTCCAGGACTGACTGTTCACCCTTCAACTCTGCCTCAAGCATACGTGCGCGATCTCTCTCCTGGTCAAGCTTCTCCTGCAATTCAGCAATCTCCTTCTTCCCCTTCTCCTCGTTGATATCGCGTTCGATCTTTGTGTTTGCCAGCTCCTCTTCTAACTCATCAACTTTGCGCTTCTCTTGTTCCAACGCATCTGAATGAGCCTTGGCCTCAGCAGCCTCGGCACGTGCAAGAGCTCGACTCAACTGTGCCTTCATTTCAGAGACAGTCTGGTTCAGGGCATTCCGCTCATTCGACACGGCATCAAAGTCTTTGGTGGTTTTTGCCTGCGATGACAAAGACTCAGTTGCCCTCTTTTCTGCAGCCTCGGCTCGTTTCGCTCTCGCTTCTGAGTTGGCAAAATCCCGTTCCAGTTTCTCGTTCTTTTTCTTCATTTCTGTCTGACTTTTGGCATTGTCAGCAAGCTGTTGACGAAGCTTCTTGATGACGGTGCGATGGTCCATCTCGGACTTTGAAAGTTTCTGGCCCTCCTCCAGAAGCAATGCAATCTTTTCGTCCTTTTCTAGCAGCTGTTTCTTCGCACTTCCTGGTGATGCGCTGGCAGCTGCATTCTTGGCTGATTCGGCAGCTTCCTTGGCGAGGTATTTGAGTTTTGATTGTAGTGCGTCGATGCGTTCGATATATTCGTGAATTTCCTCTTGTCTCTCGGATTCGGCCGTTTTCCCGTCGTTGGGGTCATTGTCCGCCGGCAAGTCCACGCTTATCCGTGTGCTGTCTACTGAGGCACGAGGCACGGAATCTTCCGTTACCTGAGTCTCTAAAGTTTCCTCGTTGCTACTTTCCAAATTGCCTGGTCGCTCTCCCAGGTCGTCCGGATCTCGTAGCAGTGATTCGGAAACACTCATTTCTGCAGAATTCCGTATCGATGTTCCAGAGTCATGGCTAGGCCTGGGCGAAGTTGGTTCCAATTCGGTCCCGGCTTCGATATGCGATGGGCTCTTGAGAGCATCAGGAATCTCCGTAGAGGATGCTAGAGTGGAATCGACGTCCATACTCCGTCGCGCATCATTGCTCGGCCGTGGGCTAGCAGCTGGTGAAGAGCGACTCGGCGAAGACTGTGTGTTGCGATTTGTCGTATTTGATTTCACCATGGCACGCGCCAGGCGCTCTTGGAGCCGATCATTCCTTCGCGCATTTGAGGAGCTACGAGAAATCGCTAGAAGGTTGCATTAGCCAGGCTCTAGTCCAATTGTAATCCAGAATTCCCTACAGCCAGCTGGAGACCTTGTTAATGGCGTATTCTTGGTCTCGTTCTCCTGAGGCTTCGCGTTCGCAGCCGCATTTTTCTGTCTCTCCTCCTCGTCCAACAGAATGTGGTCCAACCGAGATTCGACACCAGCGACCGCCTGTTGGAAAAACGATCCCACTCCCCATTTTGGCTTGGACGGATTCTGTGAATCCTGCGACATTGTATCAGGCACGCTATGCGATGCGACTCGTGTTACTGGGCTCTAGACGCCTTATGTTCAATTTGCATGAGTTCGGTGGGGGCTGCGCTTGGACGACGGCTCGTTGCATTCGAGAAAATAGGTAGAGTGATGAATCGATGATGGGAGGATTGGCTCCTTGAAAGAGAGCTAGGCAACAGGCTAAGGGCTGGGAAACGAAGGACTTGGCGTAGGCTTCGAGGCCAAACTTGAAGTACAAGGCAACGACCACGTTGCTAAATAGACGTCGCACAAGGCGTACAGGTCAGAGAGAACAATAGAAATCAGTCTCGCGTCAATTATATGGCCATTGTTGCATAATCTCAAGGCAATACCAGGGAAGAGAGGGAGAGGAAGAGGAAGGCTCGCAAAGATGAAACGATACACTCCGATCGGTTGGGATGGACGTTGGTCTTGGCAAGAAGCTTCCGTCATCTCCCCAAGCTTCTCCCTCCTCCGACCTTAATTAACCTCCCCCTCCTTCAATATCTACCCCGGTTTCCACCTCTTTCTCTGGGGACACTTCATCATGTCGTTGGATCCACCCACCTACCTTAGCTCTCTTCAAAACAACATTAGGGCTCGGCCAATTCCTTGGGAGGGTGCAGTCCGAGCGGGCAACATCACCGATGACCACCTGAAGAAGATTAAGGCCGTGGACAAGGTGCGCAAAGAGCAGCGCAAGCAGACAATAGAGGCAGACCTTGACGGCTACACGAGCTTGCTTGCTGGTGGTTCACAAGGCAAGAGTGTGCTGGAGTCTGCATCCCGCAGGACAGATATTGTGCAGTACATATTGGTGCTGGCTTCGGATCTGATTCAGGGTATGTAGCCGATTCGAGGATTGCAATGACCTGGCAGGCTTGCTGATACATGGAATTTATACAGACGTTCCCTCGCTGGCCGATGCGCTCGTTTCCCACCCTGAACCGTACAAGCCGTTCCTACCGTTCTTGCATCAATCATCCAATGCCGAGGACCCTATCCCGCTGCTCACATCCACTTTCCTCACGGCTCTCGTGTCGCACAGTCTTATTAGCTCATCTAAACCCGCCTCCCGCGATGATGAGGCTCTTCCGCAGCTATACCTCTACCTCTCTACTCTGACCAAGAACCAAGACAGCGGGCTGCAGGATATTGGTGTTCAGGGATTCTCGGAGCTGCTCAGGAAGAAACGTTCGCGCGAGATCTTCTGGAACCATCGGAAGGAAACGTTGGAGCCCCTGATTGATACTCTCCGTACCGCAGCGGGCATCAAGGAAAATGTTTCTGCAGGAACCAGTACACGTGGCACTGACTCTGGTTTGGCAGGAGGTGTTGGTCTCCAACTGCTTTACCGGGTACTTCTTGTAGTGTGGCAGCTTACTTTTGAGAGTGAACTGGTCGGTGAGGAATTGCAAGAGTAAGTACCAAGAACAAGAACCTCTTCCAGGTCGACCCAAGTGACCATCTGCTTACCCTGTCTAGGAGCTACGAGATCATTCAGCTCTACACACAACTCCTGGTTATCTCCCAAAAGGAGAAGACTATCCGACTGCTTCTTGCAACCCTGCTCAACCTCCTCTCCAATAACCGTACCACCTTGCTCCCTGCTGCCGTCTTTGTTCGCCTCCCCGTTCAACTTACCAAACTATCTGGACGTCATTTGACCGACGAGGATCTTGTCGAGGACCTCCAAGCTTTGTCTGCTATGCTGGACGAGTACACCAAAACCCAGACTACATTCGATGAATACGCGGCCGAAATCCAGTCCGGTCACTTGCGCTGGTCGCCCCCGCACAAGAACCCCACTTTCTGGAAAGAAAATGCCCGTCGGATCTTGGAGGAGTCCAACGCGGCACTGCCTAAGAAGCTCGCTGAGATTATGTCTCAAAGCTGGGAGAATGACAAGCAAGTCTTGGCCATTGCCTGTAATGACGTGGGGCACTTGGTAAAGGAGCTTCCTGAAAAGCGTACACAACTGGAACGCCTTGGTCTGAAGGCTCGAGTGATGGAGTTGATGGCAGACCAAGACGAGTCGGTGCGATGGGAGAGTTTGCGCGCCGTCGGCGAGTGGCTGCGATATACCTTCGAGTAGAGAGTTAAGGGTTTTTTGCTTTGTGTCTTCTTTTAGGGATCTCCAACTTTCTCCACCTGTGAGATGAACATATACATTTTTTCTTTCTGGCATGTACTGCGTATTCCTGCCATAGCGCACATTATACTCCTGTCTCAGAGCAAGTTGTTTCCTTCTACAATATTTCAATCTGATTGGCAAGTTCTGGACTGATAACCCGCTGATCTGTGGATCCCCCACGAGGAATTGATCCGCTATTCAACACATCTCTTGCGCAAAGGCAAAGCCCTTGAAATCGCGATAATTTCCATGAAAACAGATTTTAACTTTATGTGACCCCAACAACCTCGTCTCTCTCCTGAGGAACCTGTCCCTTGGAAACCGTCCGATTTTGCCACACGCGCGTCCCGGAGATCTCGCACTTCCCCGCAGAAATTATTCTCTAGGAACCACACCTCCCACTCCACCCAGCACCCATGTCGAGATCCTTCAACGGTTGCACAAGATGTAAAGCACGACGTCAAAAATGTGACGAGCAGAGACCAACATGCGGCCGCTGCTTGACCGCAGGCGTGCAGTGCAAATATGCAATGCAGCTGCAGTGGGGAGGCCGAGCTTTTTCACGATCGCGATTCGGTGCCTGCGTAGGCACCGGCGGCATGCAAAGACTGGGTATGTTGGGAGGAAAGATACAATTTTAGGCCTATGAAGAATTGCACACTGACCAGATCCTAGAATACTCACCAGGAGAATTTATCTACACCACCAAATCCAAGTCCAAATCGGCTCAGGCCGCATCATCAGATCTCGCTTTGACACAACCTGTCGATCCCTTCTCGTCCCTCTCGCCCGATCAGAGAGCATTGCTACACCATTTTATTAATGATGCGTCCCAGATTACCGCGTGTCATTCTGGTATGCAGCAGGATATCTGCCGCATGCTTGTGCCCATGGCTCTACAGACCCCATCTTTACTCTACGCCACCACTGCCCTTTCAGCGATACATCTCCAAGCCCTACATAATCAGTCTGAGAGCGTGAAAACAGCACCCGATATAGCCCGGTATATGGCCCTCAGCCTGGAACATTTTCGGAAAGAATTGCAAAACCCTGCAGCCAAAGGGTCGGAGGCGCTGGTGGCGACAGCACGAACACTCTGCCTAGCAGAGATCCACTCGGGCGCAATAAACCCGAATTCTTGGAGGGCACATATTGAAGGCGCGAGGGCCTTAATGAAGACCACAGATCGAAGCGGAGGAGAGAACTCTCTTGCCTCTGCAAACGGGTTCCGCCGGTATCTAGATCGCTGGTACTGGTCGATCGTATCACTCACAGCATTAACTGGCAATGGCCCACCAATCGGTGATAATTCGGATTTCGCGCCATTCGACATGACCAGTCAACAAGAGTCCCCAGACTATCTGGATGACTACTGGGGCTTCACGGTCGATTTGGCAGCAGTATTTCGCCAGATTGGCGCAGCAGCCTGGCGCAGTCTTGAAGCCGAGAAGGGAGCGCAAGGCTTCGTTGAGGGAGAGATTGATAGCAATGCTGAAGACGAGGCTGCATTGCTAGAGATGTCAGTACGACAGTTGATGGACCGAGGCGCTAGTTCACAGCCCTCGCTTTATCCTGATGTAGCGGAGGGCTTGACAGCGGAGAGTATACAACAACTTGCGCTTTGTAACGAGGCATTCCAGCATAGTGCTCTTATCCAAATTCATAGACGACTTCGCAAGACGCCGACTACTTCGGCTTATGTGCAGCAGTCCGTTCAGCGGATTTTGGAGTGCACGGCTCAGATTGGTCCATCTTCTGGATTAAGTCCATGGGTTATGCTCACGACCCCGATATTTATTGCGGGCTGTGAAGCACGAGGCGAAGATCGAGATACAGTGCGGCGGCTACTCACATCTTTGCATGATACCGTGCGCATCCCGAATGTGCTGCAGTCTTTGAAGTTCCTCGAGCAGTATTGGGCGAATCAGCTCAGCGAGGATGAGGACTGGAGTCATTTTCTTGGTATGTTCCATTTCCATTCAAACTAGGGTTGTTATCGTTTCTAACGCATGGTTCAGATCGTATGAAATTTGATTTCATTCCTTATTAGTGTCAAGGGAATGTCCCTGATATGTGTCATGTGCAACGAGCAATGTTTCTCTAGGTGGTGCTGAGGATGATGGTCTTCTCTTGTTCTATTATATTATACTCTATCTTGCTCCAGTGATGGTTTCAATAAGCTGCAAGGTTTCTTGTGGGTACATATTATTCCCATGGCGTTTTATGGCATCGTGGTTTTCTTTGTATATGCCATATTTCAGACGAATTAAAGCTCTAGTCAGAATCAGTAGCAGATCAAGGAGCTTGGAACATTGAAGCTTCTAAAGTCTAAGTGAAAGATCTTCAACGTGTAACTTTAGTACAAGTATCAAGCAGAGCGTACGAAATTAGGGATATCTATTATGTAGATGATTTCGGTGGTCCACCTGAGGACGTGCAGTACGTCAGTCTCTTTATATAGACAAGCTGACTAGGAGCCATTCCCCACCTAAACGCATCTCTTGGGTGAAACCCTCCTGTATGACTTTCGGCTGATCTAGACCGGATGGGCGCTAACAGGGGGTTTCAATATATTCACCAGGGGCCATCTTTAATGTTTGCTTCAGGGCGTAGTATAAATAGACATGAGACCCACATTGCATATTTTGGCAACAATAAGGCCGGCACTTGAGACTAGAGGTCAAGATAGTGTCACCTATATTAAGAATATGGATACAGAACAAAGCAGCGTATCGGCGTATTGGCGAAAGCGCAATGTAGTGGGGACATACTGAGCGGTAAGGAGGTTGTTCAGATTTAGGCTCACGTTATGGTTACCGGTTTGCTTCAGGGTCTCTACTACAGTATTCTAATATAGAAAGTTCCACAGCCGTCTGGCAATTTATCCAATGTTTGTAAAGCATACCTTTGTAGCATCGGTATAGCTACTTTGGGGTCAAATTCCGAAGCCAGGCTCGATACTCAACACATCTGACTCGACTCACGACCAGTCACCAAGGCTTGAAGATCCAAACGTATAGTACATCTACACCAGTTGAGATGCAGGTCAATCCCCGGGTAGTGACATAGATAACTCCTTTCAAGGCTCCGGATTTTGAGACTGAGGTTGGTCACTATCTCAATAGCAGCCACATTATAGGGGAAGACAGAGGTGGGACCCTTGAAACCAGCCCTACGTAGACCCTGGCCAGCCACCACCCCTACAACAGATCCAGCCACCACGTTCACCTGCAATTCCTCAGGCTGCTAGGTGACGCTGTGTCACCCAGACGGGTCTTTGATTGTCTCTAGGAAGTTGCTAGCTCATATTCATTTTCATCACTACGTGCTACGTGCTACGTTGAAGGTGTCAGGTCTTTTCAAAAAGTGGATACATGGATCGGGCCCATCTCGCTAAAACGCAAATGAGCAAAAGAAAGAAAAAAAAAAAAGTGGATATACGAAGAGAATAGGAAAAAGAAAAGAGCCTGGCGGCCTTAGCTCGAACGCGGTCTCGAACTGTGACGCGGTCAGGAACTCCACCAGGAGTGGAATTAGGATTTCTGTTCTACATGGTTTCAGGAGTTGCCGAGACATTTCGCTGTACAATGACGCTGGTATGAATGTACCCCATGTCTCAAGCCTAAGTCCCAAAAATGGGTCGAGGGCTGGGGCTAAGACTGCAGTTGGTTGGAATTGGAAATGAATTTTAGCCAAAGGTTAGATAAAAGAAAAAAAAAAAGTAAATTTATGATCATCAATTGGATCAGCATAATCCTGTGGAAATGCAGCTGATGTTACAATGTCAGCTTTGGCTCGTACGGTGATAGGGCAGCTGAACAAATGGGCAATTTGATGCGATGTGCAGGTACAACAGGCCATTGCGCAAGCACACTGGAGAGTTAGCGCTTGAGGTGACAGGCGCAGGAACACCACCGTGACCATTCCCGTTACAGCAAGTAGCGGCCACGCGTTGGTCCGAGTGTGCCGGCGACACGCCAGAGTTGGGGTAACCCGGGCCTGTGATTGGTGACGAGCCACGGCACACTACTGTACGGCGAGGATGCAGGAAGCACGTTCTTGAACTTGGAACTTGGCTATGCACGGGCCGGAAAGGAATTTCCTGCGAGGCACGAAAAAAGGGGGCGTTGTAGAAGAAGTACGTCGTAGGACCAGAGAAGCTGTGAACTCCACTGGGATCCACTGGGGGCGACACATTCACAGATCGGAGGTTTACGTAGAATATGGACAACCCCTTAATCTGGAGGTACGGATTAGGTTCATTACCCACAAATAATTGTGCTTGCTCATAGTTTGTACCAGAGTACGAATCGTGAATCGAAGCAAGTGCGTTCGCCACGTACTCTGGGCTGAGTTCATCATGATGAAGCCTTGCGTGGAAACCTAGGAACCCTTAAACTACAGTGGCGTATTCTTGAAGTACCTCAAGCATTAAGGAAGGGAGCAAAGGTATATTAAAAAGTATATTAATTATGCTGCAGGTACCTAGGAGGTACAACCTCCCGTTTACCCCTGAATTGCGCCAAACTAACTAGCGTGGGTCCCGAGTGTCCTCGACCTTGATCTCGACTCAAGGGGCTCATTGGCTGATAAACTATTGAATCTCGTTCTATTTTTACGAGACCATGTACAGCGATGATGTCTGTACATACAGGAGGCTTCGAGCTCCAACGTGGACATCGTGACCATAAACTAATCTCGAATAGCAGAATAGCAGAATATACCAGATACTATACAAAGTCCAAAAACACTTCCAATGTCGATCACGGCCAGAGCGGTCCTTGGCAGCGCTATCAGTTACACTGTGTAGGCCTGTACCAATCGAATTCATGCATGGGAGACTCCATCAGAGGCGCTTAACCCCCTGCAAAAGACCAGAACCCCACTCACGCTTACTCGTCCCGTACTTTTCCTTTTGCGCCAATCCATCCTCCTACGGAAAAGTCGTCGTAGACTTTCTCCTTTTTTTTTAAGATTTCTTTAATTGGTTTTGGGACGATTATCACTTGTCTCTCCCATAATCCCCCCCCTAATAACATCCTTTCCTCTTTGGTCTCAATTGGCGCCTCTTGTCTACCCGTGCTATCGGCATGAGCGACCGTCGATCGATGGCTATTTTTTAGATACGACCAGGGTTTCATGGCGTCTCTCCATACTCGCGGGTCTCCCGCTCCTTCTGTCTCCTCCGACGGTTCTTCATATTCCCCTCCATCGTCTCAGCCTGTGCGAAGGAAACCTTTGCCGCAGCATGCCATCCCGTCTCCCCGTTTAAACTCCCTGTCTATCGAGGATATATCCACCCCCATTCCCCCTCCTGGCGCCAGACCACCTTCCCTGTCATCGCTGGAAGGCTCCTTTATATCGCCAAGGAATTCTAATAGGTATGCGTGGAGCCACTCCCCTCCCCGACGTGCGAATGCGCCCTCCCCTTTTCTTTGTCTGTGGACCAAACAAAGAAAAGGAGCCCCAGTCCTGTCAACCTAGACAAAACACTATCGAAGCTTTCAGGCTATAGTGTGACATGGCCTCTACATGCTGCGACGCTTCCCCAGAATCCGACCTCATTACTTACCTACGTCGCACTTCCCCAGATTCTCCCGCGGCCGCAACTCGTCGGAACCTCTCCGCATCGACACGTCTGGTACTGCCTCTGCCTCGTTCCTGAGGTCCGTGGTTGAGGACGACGACGACTCCGAAGAAGGCGACGACTACTTTGACGAAATATACGAACATCAGTTCACGAATGGAACCCCATCCTCCCTCCACAGTCGTCTAGTGAGCGAGCCTTTTATACCGGTCCTGGCCTCCCCTCCCCCGACCAACCGGCGCGTCTCGAGTATGGCCTTGCACCCACCCATCAATCGGCCACCTCTACATATAGATATTGACAACCGGCGGTCATTGTCCATGGGTCCGGATCCCCGACAACCCAAAACCCCCGGCAACAAAATCAGCTCCTTTTTTGGGTGGAAAGGGAATACTGCCAGCTCCCCCGGCGGCGATTCATCCAGCACCGAGATCTCGGACGGCGGTCGCTCCCCCATGCCTTCACCAATGCCTCCCCTGGCAAACGTTCCCATTAAACCACCCTCCCCTTATGATACCAAATCCAACCACTATGGCCTTCCGGCTAGAACACCTTCGGTTAGCGGTATGAGTGCCCAGGATGTTATATATGCGTCCAAGTTTGCAGATTTAGAAAATGAATTACGTGAAATCAGCTCTGAGTTGGCGGGCTCCATCCGTCGAGAGATGGAGCTGGAGGATCTGATTGAGCGTTTCCAGTCTGAGGGGCCGGAGTTCAATCGTCGGACAAGTGATTATTTCTCGGACTCGGGCACTAGCTCAGTTCGAATCACCTCAGATGTGAGCCGTCTGGAAGAAGATATGGGCAAGATTCGCCGAGCTGCAGAGCAGGAACGTGCGCAGTTGAAGGTGCAGCTATCACAGAAGCTGCAAGAAGAGCGCTTGAAGCGCACCACATCAGAGTCGCACGTTCAAATTCTGGAGAATCAGGTTCAGCAGGTAAGATGAATCTTTACTATATCAAGACTAAGTGACTGACGGAGATTTAGCTTCGCCGTGAACGAGTCGACCTGTCCGATCTATCGTCCAAGACTCGTGAACTCGAAACTGCCCTTGAAGATACTCGCCGAAAGCTGCTCGAGGAGCGACAGTCAAAAGATAATTTTGAAGATTTGTTGACGGCCATGCGTGTGGAACTAGAGCAATTAAGAAACGAAAGGGATTTGCTTCGGGAGGATAAGGCAACACCTGCCCTTGCGCCTGTTCCTGCTCCTGTCGAAACTCGGGATATGCAGCAAACACAGCGGTTGGTCGAAGAGATCGAAGCTCTCAAGGTCGAAAACGCATCTCTCGCACAGCTACATGGTGGGCGATTTGCGTCGATTGCGGAAGAAGAGGGCGGAGCGAGCAAGCGAAACTCGGCTTTTGGACTTTCACGATCCAACTCTCTTGCCCGTAAGCCTACCGGGTTAGCACGATCTGGGTCATTGTCACGATCCAACTCGGTGAAGGCTCCAAATGAACGGGAAAGTGGAGGCGAGGGATCGTTGGTCGATAAAGTGAAGGATATCGAAGCTCAGCGTGACGCCCTTCACCGAACATTAAGAAGTCTTCTCGATCGCCATGCCCAGCAAGCGCGTGAGTTTGAGAAACGTGCCCGGGTTATGGAGGTGGAACTGGAGCGTGCCCAGCAGGCTGGCCCTCCCCGCAAGCCCGGGTATGAGAGGGACGTGCTAAGCTTGCGGGACGAGGTGAACCACCTTCGCATGCGTGCTGAAGATGCCCTGGATGGCAAGTGGCAGTGTGAGAAGAACCTGGCGGGTCTGAAGATGGATCTTGATCGTGCCGAGCAGGAGACCAGCTCTTTGAGAGTGCTGCTCCAGGAGCTCGACACGGGTGCCTCTGACGCGCTGGACGCAGATCAAGACAGCTTTGCTGAGGTGATGGCAACTTCGTCGTCTCTGGAGGCTGCGTACCAGCAGCTTCAGGCCGACCGACAGCAAGTCGAGGCCAGCGCTGGGCCCGATGAAATAGCTGCCTCAGAGCAGCTGGCTTATGATGTGCAACAGCAATTGCAGATCAACACCTCTTTGCGTAGCCGTCTGGCAACTGCCATTGATAAGGGTGAGAAAGACCAACACCTCTCTGTTGAGCGCATCAATTATCTCCAAAACCGTATGAAGGAGTACGAAGACTCCCTCCTGTTCGCCCAACACCACTCCGAAGAAGAGATGAGCAAACACGAAGAGGAAATTCGCCTGTTGAAGGAAAGCCACAATGCCCAACTGCTACGGATGAAGACCGGGTCACGCACCCCCGCAGCTCTCTCACCAAGACCCATGAACGCCCCTTTCAGCACTCGTTCCCCACGTCTAGATAAGACCACCAGCGGCGAAGGCGTCCCGTTGATCGAGGTTGTTCAAGTCGAAGTCCTCGAGAAGCATGTCAAGAATCTCGAAAGACTTGTCCGTGACGCAGACATGGAGATGGAAGAAGTAATAGGACGAATGAATCGCGCACAGGTGGATGTAGCCCAACTCCAATCTGACAGGTATGTTTTCCAATTTTTTTCCGAGATCTATTTGACTGGTCGTGTTTCGGGATTGCGGAGAACTGAAACTAACCAATCCACTTACAGGGACGAGGCCCTCCGTCGGACCCGCCGACTACAGGCTGACATTCAAGCCGAGCGTGATACATTACAGACTTTAATGGGCCACGCATGATTTAAAAAAGGATTTACATAAGGAAAAATCTGTCGCGCTTACATTTTCAATGGGTTCTGAATCTTGGATTTGGATTTTGTTTCGTTCTATACCACACATCTGCATCTGCATCCGGACTTTACATCTGGCTCATATAACCTGGAGCCGGGTGGGCTTAGTCTTTTGGCGTTGATTTGATCTGATTCCAACTTGGCGTTTCACCTTCTTTTTCTTTTTCTTCTCAACTTCTTGGGTCGGTGTTTACTGGGGATGACTTTGGATTGGATCTGGATCTTTTGCGCTGGTATCGCGCAAATTGGTGGATCCGGGTTTTTCTGCTTTGCTTTGGTTCCGCTTGTATATATGGACCATGCACGGCTTCTATCAGTAAATAATCTATTTGTACAGTACTCGACTCACATTGTCGAGAGTCACTCTTTCTTGTGATCTTTCTTTTGGATATGGGTGTAATACTTTGCATGGCCTTCTATGCTAAAAACTTATTCGACTACTCAGGTGAGATGCATGTGTTAAGGTCTCTTTGGTCGGTCATTGGTGGCCTGAACGGTTTTATGGCTGGTTTGACCTACCTAATCTCTGGCTGCTGCCCTAAAGAACCAGCGGTGCTATCTATACACACAGTTCATCACGGGTGTCGAAGGTTCCTGTCATGGTAGATGCCCATTCTCTGATTTTGACTAATTGATTCTCAATGTCGCATATATGATTATCTGCACACTACCTTTAAGAGATGTAGATATTTCTGGCCTAAAAGAATATCTCCAATATGCATGATTGAAATCCTCTAAGACCTCCACCGTTGTCAGTAGGAAATAATGAAGCATGGCCAAGTGGACGTTCGATGGCCACGAAAGAGAATTGCCTCATTCCTCCATTTTCGTCAGCTTGCCAGTCCATTCCATCATCAGAGTCCGTGTTGCTGACGCTTTGAGGCTCATTATACAATCCCCCAAATTACAATCTTCATGCCCAGAATGACGAAATTATTTGACGGACGGGAGATGATCAATCGATTGAAATAACAAAAGAAGTCCATGTTACTATTTATTCATACAGACAGAGTATACTCCACTAATACTAGAAGTGACCAGCCACTGGTCTCGCCTCGTAGGCCTCCTCCAGATATCCCACTTCTTCATCCGTCAACACCTTCCCTTTCAACTCACACATGTCCTCAATCTTTTCAACAGAGGTGCAACCCACAATCGGGAGAGTTCCTTTACTCTTAAGCCAAACCAAAGCAACATGACTCATCTTCCAGCCCTTCTTCTCAGCCACTTCCTGAACACGCCCGATAATAGCTTTATCAGCCTCGCTCAACCCGGGATGGTGATACGAGGGCCGCTTAGATCGCACCGAGCTCTCATCTCCAACCGGACGAGCCAAACGCCCCGCAAACAAGGGCGACCAGGGCATAAGACCGACACCTGTCTCGTTGCAGTAGCGATTCATCTCACGCTCTTCCTCGCGGTAGCAGAGGTTGTAGTAGTTCTGCATACTGATGAACTTAGTCCAACCGTTCTTTTCGGCGAGGAATTGAAGCTGGGCGAATTGCGTGGCCCACATGGAGCTTGCGCCAAGGTAGCGGACTTTGCCTGCCTGGACGAGATCGTGCAGCGCCTTCATTGTCTCCTCGGGTGGTGTAAGGGGGTCGTAGCGCTGTATTTGCAGTAGGTCGATATATGTGGTTCCCAGACGGGCTAGGGATGCATCGACTGCTTGGAAGATGGCGCTACGAGTTAAGCCTGGAATCACTTATCAGAATGGCGTGTTGTATGCTGAGACAAAATTCTGCTTACCTCCTTGGTTGATATAGTCTTTGCTTTGGTTCAGCTCATCGGCGAAGGCGGCGCCGATGACGTCTGCTTCCTCGCCGACATGGAATGCGCACTTGGTCATGATTACAACTTTTTCCCGGGGAATGTTGAACTTTTGGATTGCTTTGCCAAGGATTTCCTCACTTGCGCCGTTTGAATAGACGTTTGACGTGTCCCAGGTATTGATGCCGCGGTCGTAGGCTGCTTTCAGGACTTCGAGCGAGGCCTCTTCGTTTAGAAGCCATGGTGCCACTGGTTGTGGGGGTCCAAAGGACAATGCACCCAATACCGGGTAGGAAACCCGCAAGCCAGATTTTCCAAGTTGGTAGTACTCAACTTTGGTTTCGTCCAGTGATTTCTTGAGGGATGGTGGTAGAGGAATTCCATACATCGTGAAGGAAGGTTGCGATTGTTCGATTGCGTGTAGAAAAGAAGATTTGTCCCGTTCCTGTTGATGATGGAAAATTCCGAGGCTCATCCCATCCTTTTATATCTTCCTGGCTTATCTTGACATCTTCAATCTCTACGGACTTATCAGCAAACAATCGGTATTAAGAAAACCAAAACCCGAGATGATCATCTGCCTCGCGGGTTTTTCTAGAAGCGGTTAGCACCATGAGCTTAAATTGGAGTTCGCGAGTTTATCTCAATTGGGACTAGCGTATCATGTCATCAACACCACTTCGGATGGTGTTCAATTGGTGTGACTCGAAACTGGGTCAAAAATGGGATGCATAAAGAGGGTATGGTGCTACGTGCTCTGTTTCTAGAAGTTGTGGATTATCTGTGGCTTGTAACAAATCGTCTAGTCTTTGTATCTCTATGATCTGCTCTGAGAAGTCCCCCGGCTTCCTTTTCTCGTCTATGGCTTGATGAAGAAGCTCTGTGAGCTCTTCCAAGGTAGGCTTTCGCTAATTTCCTTCTGCTCGCCTTTTCTTTCTTCTTTCCTTGACTGACTGATAAATGCTATAAAAAAACATCTAAAAAACAGGGAAAATCAGCCAACACGATCTTTCATATTCCTGTCTATTTTCATTTTGAGCCCTACCCAAGTGAACCCCTAGTCCATGGGTACCTTTGGCCCAGACTATGAAAAGGGCGATCTACGGTGTTGGCGAGTTGAATGCGATGGCGAAACCACGCCTCTCGTTGAATACTCGAACCAGTGTAAGCAAAAGTATCTGGATTCGATGTGGTTTCCACAGATTATGCACCCGTCGGCTTGGCCGAAAGTTCACCAAGTGCATCCCACCATTGATGAATACACACCTCCAATGACAAAGGTCGTCCTTGATTTTGAAAATTTTCATTGTGGATTTAGATGACGCGTTTTCTTTAACAAAATACGATGTATTTATAAAGCTCATGGATGGCCCGATTCCTTCGATCGCGAACATTGCAAGGAAACACCGATAGCATGGTATCATGCAAGCTGAGTGTCGATCTAAAGGAATTGTAGAAAATGCCAAAACTGGCTTCAAGAAGATTCAGAACTTGACTGAAAGAGAAGTAATAATTTCAAGCTTTGATATATAAATTCAGTAAATCTTACAGTCGATCATCTGGTATGCAGGACATATGGGCATCTCATATCTAGTTATCATCGTCATTGTCATCATTGTCGTCTGGCGAGAAGATATCAGCATCTCCCTTCAACGCCTCCCAGAGAATACTTCTTAGGATGGTCATTAGCTTTTCTTTTACCAATTTTCTGTTAGTTGAGAGTGTCATAAACCACCGAATCCAGGCTCAGCCACAGGAGCCGGGGCAGGAGCAGCTTCTGGAGCAGGGAGGGCAGCAGCGGCAGCCATGGCGGCGAAGACAGAGAAAGTCAGAACCTTAAAGAACTGCATTCTGTAGATGATTTAAACTCAATTTCAAGCTTGGAGCTGGGAGGCGAGTTTGGAAGATTGAGAATGGGGCGGATTTGATGCTTGGAGCTGTTGTTGATGGAGAATTGACTTTACGGACTATGGACATCTTATTTATATAAATCGTATCTAACATTTGGCCCGTGAAGCTCAACCTCATTAATTGTTTGTATTACGATTTTAGGCAGGTGTTCATTCTATTGAAATTCAGTCGGATGGCAAATGTCAGTCTAGGAAGGGATCGCTATGCTATGGGGGCGGTGGCGGGCGTTGCATATCGCGAAGCAAACAACCTTTATGTCTGCCGAGCGAGGCTAACGCTTCCCGTATATGCCTCTGGTCATGCCTTGTGTTGGAAGCCTAAATAGAAACATTCAACATGGTCTCGGGGCATCCAATGCGGTTGCATGGCCTCATATACTTTACATTATGGCATCTGATTCGGTTATTTTTCCTCCTGTAGCAGCAGAAACTCTCTATCTGAGCGACGAGTAACGTCTCCGCCTCCTATTTCACTGTCTCCAGCTGTTTATTTTCCACATGCATGATTATGAAAGGATTAATAAAGTGCAATAGATATAGAAGGCCTTCGATAGCGCTTGATTGATGAACAAGGTCAACTTAGAAAGTACCCTATCAAATTGGCCCCCACTTGTTGTCAAATCTCGCTTCTTGCCTTTTTCCATTTTTCTGGTCATTGGCATTGCAGTAATAACAGTCTCGGGCACAGCAGCATCATACTTTTCTTTCCCAGCTAGCATACACTGCAGGTCTTTCCCTCAAGCGCCTCGGCCACCGAGTAAAAAGCCGGCTTAGCTTGAAGGGTGTCATTGAAGAGGTCGGCACCACCCTGTCCAGAAAATGTGCTCGGCACCCAAGAATAAGCATCGTCAAAGTCCCAGACAACAATACCAACGCATCGAGGTCCAGCGTCAATACAACTAGAGACGCTGGTATAATAATCAGTGGCTTGTTGCTGCTGAACAGCGGCAGTATAGTAAGGAGCCTCCGAGAATCGAATATCAAGCTCAGTGATGACAACATCCAAGTCGGCCTTGATAAATGCTTTCTTGGTGGAAACCTGATCGGCAAGAGAAGGTGTTTCCCCGACAATGAAATGTGACTCGAGACCAACACCATCTATCCGAATTCCACGCTTTCGCAACTCATGCACCAGATCTAGGACAGAGTCGGCCTTGGTACCGGGGTTCTCAATGCCATAGTCATTGTAATAGAGCTTCACATCATGGGCGCCGATCTCTGCCAATGCCTCCTGGGCAAACTTGAAGGCGAGGAAGAAGTAGTCTTCACCAATTGTATCATACCAGACACTAGAGGAGAAGGTTCCATCGCTATTGAGTGCCTCATTGACCACGTCCCACGAATAGCAGCGTCGACCAAAGTGCTGGACAGTCTTGAAGATATGGTTTTTCATGACTTGAGTGAGAGCTTTGGCAGTCCAATTTTGTGATGTGACAAAGTCCGAAAGCTCACTCACCCAGACGAGATTGTGACAGCGTACGCGGGCGTTGTACCTTTCAGCAACCTCGAGGAAGTAATCACCTTCGGTGAAGTTGAATACATTTTGCTCGGGCTCTGTGTACATAAACTATAGTAACCATGATTTTTAGCACGAGTAACACTCTTTAATAAAATTTGATAGTACCTTCATGGCATTCGCAGGCGTAATTTCGCCGAAGTTTTGTCGTAAAATCTTCAGGTAGGCCTGGTCAGTCGTCTCGGCCGTTCCAGGGATATCGGCCGCGGTGCCAAACCACAACTTTCCTGCACGCTGGGCGAGGGTATTTAGGTCAACATTGCTTTTTGGCTGAGAATGAGATTGGTGAGGAGCTGCCTGGCTGAGCCCGGCCAGCAGAACGGCAAAACCAACGATTGCGCGCATTATGGCCAGGTTTATGAAAAAGAGATTAAAATTGACTTGGAAAATTATAGCACATGAAGAATCTCAGGAACGGGACTATTTAAGTAGACATTCGAAATTGCACTTACATCTTCCCCGCAAAATAATAATCCGCAGTTCCAAGGTGTAGAGTAACTTCCCCACAGCTTGAAGCCACAAGGGTGTCATTGCTTCGCTTCTTTGGATGTAGGTATCCTTCAGGCAAAATAGAAGATCAATCAGGCTATAGGATGTACTCGGGGCCTTGCCTAAACCTAACCGTTTCCTAAGCGAGAGAAAGCCAGGCGCCAGTAACGAGTCTTCGAACAGGCACAAGACAAGGCTCACGATCCCCAGGTTTAGGCTAAATAGTACAGAGTGTAGAAAGCTAAAGGGGCCTACCGATGTTTTCCCCCTGGTCTTCAATTCGATGAGTAGCCTGCCTAAATGAAAATGGAGAGGGGGTGTTTTGAAGCGATTGGTCGTGACCATTCAGGGGACGGCAAATTGCCGGCACAGTAAACCCGCCGAGCTTGTGTTTGGAAAAGTGCCGACGCCTTTGTCAAAAAGTCGTTCTTTATGCCCTTGGAAATGAAATAATCTTAGCGCAAACCACCCATGCATGAATGGGATTGTCATGGGATTGATGCCTAAATCTTCTTGGGCTGACATTCGATAAGCAAGCTCCCTTGTTTTCTGTACCATCTCACCAGTTGCTGTCTAGTGCAACTTGCCACCACTCATCTACTTAGCAGGAGGTCCCCATTGGAATAAACATTCTAAGCACTAGAAAGTCTTTGATCTCACAATATTAAGCTAATTCGTCTGCTCCACTTCTGCATCGGAATACGAACATCAATGTTGGTCAATGAACCAAAAAATAATCCAGTGATGGCATTTCACGAAAGTTCAATCAGCGCACCTCCATATACACCAGTTCAAGCAGGCAAAACAGTGATCCTGTCTATAAGCGAGGGATGTATCATTACTGCGGATGGAAGGGAAGTGAGGGTACTCGCGCAGAAATGGAAGGTCGAGATGAAAGATGGACGCTATGCCTTCCGAAACCTACACAGTGGCATGCTTCTGGGTCTCCATTTCTTTGGAAATGTCACGGCTGGTGTTTCAGAGATAAATGAATGGGAGTTGTTTGTTCTGGATCCTGTGGATGGCGGTTACAGATTCATGGTATCAAATTACTGGTTGTGGAGCAATGGTTTTCTTCTACGTCCATCTCTCACGAACTATCTTCAGAGCTCTTCTGATGAGGGTCACTATACCCCTATCAGTATCCAATACATCGATTCCTAATGGTGGGAGATATGCAATAGAGGGGTAATTGAATTGGACTGTCTCATGATTTATTCTACATCAATAGTTGGATTTGCTTTTGATGGCCGCAGAGATTCGATACTTTTTAGTGTACCCCTAGCACAATAGTCATTTTCAATACCCCCGAGACGCTTCCATGCATAATGCCGTTGATTTCATCATTCAAAGCAAGATTATCAGAAAGTTACATGAGATTTCCTTGAAAATCACATCAAGCTTCTATCAAAGGTTAACAGATCAGGTCACTTTACCAAGCGCCCCGGTAATTCTCTGATGGTAGATCAATCCTCACCTCTTTTTCCCCAAGGCTCTCAACTTCGACCCCCAGACCCACAACAACAATGGCGTCGGTACCCCAAGAATGAGAAACACAAAGGCCAACAAGCTATTTCCCCATCCATAATCAAGCCTATCATACATTTGTGGTGCAAAAATAGGAAACGCAAACCCACAGATATTCGAAAGCATCCGGGAGGCAGCATTAGCGGACGCAGCATGCTCAATCTCATCCAAAAGATACGCCAACATGCCTTGGTTAACGATGAAACTCCCACAGGTATAAATGGCAGCACCAGCGTCAACCATTACCCATGACATAGTTTTTTCGGCAGACCATCCATACCAGAAAAGGCCAATGGGAACCAGCATCACACCTGGCACCAAAAAGGGAACCCGGTATTCAGGGTTTGCTTGACCCTTGTTTCTCTTTCGGAGTCTTCGATAAATCCAATCCATTAAGTAGCCACCACTCTGTGTTGCTATGGTTGTACCAATGGCTATAGCGATGTAATTTAGGCTGCTGATAGTCTCACTTTCGTTGTACCTATCTGTCCACAGGCTGGCGTAAGTAGAAAGCATCAAGCAGTAGACCCCGAAGTTCAGGGATATGATGAGTGACACAACTTGAACAACAGGCCTCTTAACCAGCATATAAACCGGGCGTAAGATACTAGGCTTCAACCGCTTAGAGAAATCTCGGTAGAAGACTTTGACCTTCACCATTCTGGATGACGCTAGAGACGCGTCGTGTCGTTGGGCTGCAGCTTTACGACGAAGTAATGTCGGTGTGTAGGTCTCAATAAATAATAGAAGACCAACCAGAGTGACTGCAGCTTCAAAGAAAGAGAGAATCCAAAAGGACCACTCCCACCTCAGATTTTGAGAAATCGCTCCGCCCAGAATCGGCCCTATAGCCGGACCAAGGTAAGGAATGAAGGTCGCTATAGCCAAAGACTTCCCTCGATCCTCAGCACGATACATATCTGTAAGCACAGTTGAAGTGAGCTAGAAATGAAGCTCAGCATGAGACGTTTTCTGGTGCCATGGCCGTCTTACCGTGTTCCCCACGCTAGCCCCAGAGCCTGCCATAAAACGTCCTAGAATCATCATCCCGCTGGAGTGACCGACGGGGCATAATGAGTTCCAAAGAATATACCACAAGTTGCAAATAATCCATATCTTTTTCCGGCCGTACATTTCGGATAGTGCAGCGATGAGGAAAGGCGCGAATGCAAGTCCGAGGACGAAAATGGAGAATGTGACTTGCATTTCTGAATCTTCCATGTGTAGATCTCTGGCAATTGCTGATAAAGATGGGGCTACTATGCTTGTCGTCATGATTGTGATCAGCTGGCCTAGTGAGACAATGATGTCCACGGTGATTTTGCGAGTAGAAGACCAATTATATGGATCTTGAGGATCATAAGGGCTGTCCCAAGTGCACTGGTTCCATTAATATCTGGTTGAACAGGCCCAGGGCTCATGTACTTAATCATTTTAAACTTACTCCATGTTCTTTCAAGAGAGCATCCAATCGGTCTTGTTGTTTTTGTTGCTCGACTTCCTCTTCAGTAGGCTGAGTGGTTATCTCCGAGACGGACTTTTCCATGTCTATGGTAGCCGCCATTTCCCTTCCAATTTTAAATCCAAGCAGTGAATTTCAGTCTTTGTGACGGGTGCTCTGTTTGAATATATTATTCTATTCGATTCCAGTTGAGATTAAGAGTGGTTTATAGTCAGTGCCTCACGAGCTCTAAAACCGAGATCCGAGCTCCGAGCCAAAGCCGATTATCATCATTCTAACTTTGACGACTCAAGTAATTCGACTGGCTTGGCACAGAGATAACAATATTTCGTGGAGAAGGTCTGTTTCGCTCTCTTTCCGATTCCCTATAAGCATCACGCAATAACGGCTTGTTTTGTTCCGCTCAATTATCCGGCTGCTAGACCGAGCCATGCTAACAATTTTTGAAAGCCGACATTTCTGCTTTTCTACGTTGATATCTTATCCAAGCTCTCACTCACACTCAAAGGATTATTCCTGTCTTCTTATCAAGTCTCAAATGCTATCTCTCACTCACTAACACATTTTCAAAATTCTGGCATGGGCTACGAGTGTTGCTAGACCTCAGATGCGCTTGGCCAATTCTGTCACCATTTTCCTGCAAGCCTTTAATTGGCGGATTTATTCATCTCGGATTTCGGGCGTCTTGATTCGAGTGGGAAAGGACGTCTTATATAATAGTCAGTGACATATCGTGTTTGCATTGCTGGTAGACTTTCTCCAGGGCTGTAAGATAATTAGTCTCTTTTTGTGACGCCAAGATTATGACCTCCAATTGTGAGAGATTGAAAAACACATGGATTCCAAGGTTCTTGGCCTTGGTTTCCAGCTTTGCGAAGTCAATTAAAAAATGAATATTGTAACTGTTATTCATACGCACCATCGGGATCCCAAATCAAGCAATTCCTCCATGGTAGTAGATGGCAAATTTACGTCAAAAAATTCCAAGGTATAAGGAAATGAAGAAATGATGATCTCAAACTTGGTGGCACGGAATCTAAATTCACAAATAGTACCTAGGATGAAGCATGATTCCAAGTGAGGCGGCGGAACAGAATCCACCCAATGAGGAGGCGTCTCGAGCCTCCAGGTGCGCAGGGGTGGAGACCGCAGCATCCGTACAGCTCGACAGCTTTCGATTGCTTCCAATTACTTAGCGCGTCAAAAGTCCAGTGTCTGAAAAAAGCGCTAGGTAATAATGACAGCATTACAGTAACTTTAAAATATTTCATGCTAAATATACTTGAGATTTTTGCCGTTGCTTCTCGGGTGGCGATCGAGATCGTCTTATTCAGTACCCCAATAGGCATTTCTATAAGCGGTAATCGATGTAATCCCCACTCTTCAGAGGGTCAGATGATCCCGGTGAGTCACGATTAAGGTGAAGAGATGCAAAGAAATCTGGGGAATTTGGGAGTTTGGGGACTAAGAGAATATTTCAAGTGAAGTCGGAAAACAGTCTTAGAAATTACAGAGGATGAATTTTGACCAGCAAAAAAATCGGGTTGGTGAATTAGTGGATATATAGCTATGTACAGGATCCCATTTTGTTCTATCATCAGGTAAAAGTCGTCATAACATCATGAAGTCGTAGAGTCAGGTCCAAGGAGCCGGAAGAATCGGTGGCGTAGAGTAGGTGGAGATGGGTAGAGGTGGCATGTTGAAAGGGTTTTCGCACTAGGCGGTTATAGGTTGAACGGTAACGGCACATAGATTATGATCCATGTAGTTGTCGGTAAGGTCACTCTCAGGAATGATCTCTGATGCTGTGACTAAAGGTTCCTTTTCTTCGGGAGTGATTTGCACCGTGACGATGGTGTTTTGGGCTTTTTGTGACTTTTGTCTGAGCTTGATCTCATTCATTTTCTTGTGGTCGAAGTCGTCCTCGGACTCGGACTCAGATTCCTCAAATTCGAAGGAGCTAATGCGGGACTTCATGTCATTCTCGGTCCAGAGAACGGAGCCACAGTGTAGGCGGAAGTGTGCAACGCAGCGGCGAAGGTCTGGGTCTGGAGCGGTAGCTTCACGGGCCAGCTTCTCCTTGGAGATGACCGTGAGCTTGTATGGGAGGGCGTTGCGGTTTGCCATGGGGGGCCAGCGCTTTCTGGTGTTCTTTTGGAAATTGGGAAGAGAAGGACGGGGCGTTGGCGTGGTGGGTGTGCCATTGGCAACAGTCATTATGGGCGACTGATTTATTGTGGGGTTTATATGATAGAATTGTCTGAGCCCAAGATTCGATTATGCACGGAAGAAGTAGATTTATGCGGTGGTGAATTGGTTAAGACTCGAAAGGAGGGAGAGAGAAACAAAAAGCTAGGGAGCAGGATGGGACGGACTTTTATACGGACAGATCTGCAGAGAACCTGGCTCCCAAAAGAATCTTCCAAGCGGGTCACCAGGACTGGATCCCCACTCTGCACATCCGGGTACCCGTTCTAGACCATGGTCCAGCGCCCTGATGGCTTCCACGCTAAACTACTTCTCTGTTTTCTACGTCCACAAACCTGATCTTTGCCAATTCACCACTCCATTGACCCCGCCTTAGAGGAATCGATCGAGATTCCAGGCTTTCTTTACCTTGTCCCTTGTCTGCATGTATCCCCAGGCCCCCAAACAGGAAATGGGAGAGATTTGTTGGGGCCAGTTACATGGAGGCAAAAACGGCTGTTCGATCCCTTCAGATGTGGGTCTTGGTGGATTTGGACCCAGTTTTATTGATCAGACGATGCCACGAAAATTTTTCCAGTGGAGACCCTTCGTAGCTTATCTTCCTTTGAACTTCGAGAATAGAAACGCCACTCGGCGAACCTGCTATGAACACTCACGATCCCCACGGGTTACCGAGTCTGGAAGGCCGAACCCCCTCAACATCGTGAAACTTTCGCATGCGGCACCGTGCGCCGTCAACGGTGACTCGGTTTCGTCTTCGACTCGAGTCAAGATCATACCATCGATTAATCTTTTTCTTTTTCCTTTAATTCCTTCCGCTTTACGAAATTCTTCAACAAAGAACCACGGTTCTCATTTTCCCTGACTCAACAGATGGAAGTCCAGATCGCCGTGAGAGAAAACCCCTGAAATGGCGTGCTGTGTGACTCAGCATTCCTTGGCGAACTTCCATTCTATCAAATCCCTCCGTGGCAGTACCAAGTTCCACTCAAACTCCACTCTTCACATTTCTGTTATTCACTGACTCTCTTCTCCGCATCCCAATTGCCCCATGGCACTGTTTTTCTAGAAGTATCTACAAGCCTCGCGCCTGCTCACGAGGTTGAAACGTGTCCCTCGCCCGATGGAAGATCATCACCTCCCGCGAATTATCGTGGCTCCAAGAGGTCCAATATTGCTCAGATGATCTTCCTTCACCGCTTGGTAATAATATTGGGCGAGACGCCCTCGACCCCACCCTCTCTGCGTTGTCCGCAAACGGGTCTGCGGATCCGAAATCCGCTACTTTGCTAATGTTACTGATCCTCGCTTCATGTACAGTACAATGTACATGTACGTCTTCGTCTGCGACCAAAGATCAAAAACAATTCAGAAGTACATCGTACGTTCTATGTAGCTATCGTCCAATGCCAACTTGAAAATGTATCACAAACAGATCCGACCCTGCCATCACGGAAACCGAAGAACGGACCCTCAATAGCATTAACACCAGAACAAAAGCAAAAAAAAAATCCATCCAATGCTGCCAGTCGGATGCGCTCACTAGCGCTAAACTCTGCTAATAAAATGCAAAGAATCTTTTTCCCCGCCTTTTCTGAGTGAAAAAGTAAGCACGTGGACTACGATCCCCGCGCGGACCTTCTTCACGACGCCTTCTCCGTGCGTACCCCAGTATATCCGTCCTTGGCAGTAATATGCCGCTTTTCCAGCGCATACATCTTGGTCTGAGCGATCAAAAAGTATCGACGGACCAGGTTGAGAAGTCTGATCATGCGAATATGGAACGGCCCTTTCCTGCCAAGTTGAGAACATGATGTTGAGAGCAATGGAGGCTATCAACGAATTGAAACTGCATCGACTGAAATCTGGAAGATGACATGCAGTGCGACATGTCCACGTCAGTATGGAAACACGAATGGTGAATCCCAGATGCGCCGGCATTCAGTAATGTGGCTTTGATTCGTCCAAACCATTCGTATTGATACTCACGTCGTGCTTGTGAGCGCGGTCGCATTGACATATATTTTCACGCAGTACTCGAACCAAAATTTCTTCTTGATTCTCCTAGACATCCTCCTGTCACGGGCCCTTAAAATACTACCTTAGGTCGATTTCGCTGCTCATCGATGGCTCTATACGATCATGTTCGCGTTTACCTCTGTTTGTTGCCAAAATGCGAATAGCAGTACCCGTTCTTACAGATTCATTCAAGGTTATTTCTAGTATCATATCCTCCTTGTAGCAATTATTTCGATTTTGCTTTGCATCAAATACGTCGACGACAAGGAATGACACAGGCAGATCTTCTCTGCTAATCACTTCAGTACAAAGTTCTTCCCTGAGTCGGATATAAAAACTAGATATATGTATGTTCTTGTGCCATGGCTTACTCTGCTTTTGTAGTAACAATTGCCATCGAATAGCCGGCAGTGCCAAGATTGACCTGAGGGAATAGAGCGCTCCAATATGTTTATGCGTAGGCATAGCCACTCTTTTGATCATTTTCTTTACTACGAATCACATATAACTCACTCGTAACCTCATTTTGCCCTTGCGCCCTTTATGACCTTTGTATTTATGTACCAATACAGCTCCAGGCAGAGCTGTCCATCTTATTTCATATCCCTGGAAGAACGGAATTCCCCTGTGGTATACCCTACTCTTGGGTTTACTTTGACACTTTGTCGGGACAAGGCCCTGCTACACATGGATAAGGTCGGGGGATATGTATCATTTCCCTGATATTCAGCCATGCCGAGTGGTGATGTGTTAGCGTCCGGTTTAAGCAATATCGGCGATGTTTGCCAAGTCATGTCCCACCGATCAAAAGGTTATATTATCCGATTATTCATCTTTTCTGTATACTGCCCTTCCGCCTATCTCGCTGAAGAGTGTGCAGATGTTATTTCAAGAAATCGAAATAAAATACCAGGTGGCTAGTTTCATGAAAGGATTCACCTTAGCTGATAGACATAGCACTGAGCATCGATCTGAGTTCGAAGGTTAGATCTCTAGTACCAACATCATACCTTGCAAAGCCATCCAGGCAAAGCTCCGGAGTAATCCCAGTATGGAATACTCCGAGAAACCATATGTACCAACAGTCAGGATCTAAATGCAGTGCATGATCATGTTCATTCTATGCCATGAAAACCACCCTAATCTCTGTAAACACTTGACAAAGCCAACATCCGTAAGACAGGGCTACCTAGTGCGCCGGTCTATATCCCAGCGCAAGGCTTTCTTAACGTCGTGTCGCGAATACTGATCTACCGGTCATGGGTCCTAATCAGCCCCGCCCCAATGCACGTCGCCTCCCGGCTCCCCTGCAACCTGAAACGTTCCTAGCTCCCACTAATGCATGGACGCGACCGACAACTCCACGCTGGAAACATTTCCCTGTCTTATCACATCGCTAATGTGAATCTCCAGCCATTGTAAGCTCGCTTTCCATGATCCCGCTCAGCAGTAGAACAGAAAATATATTCAAATTAAAATTCCAGATTTAATAAATGTTTGATACACAAGATGTTATTAATCCTGCGTTCCATCCTCGGGTGTAAGAACTTAACCCAAAGACTCGGGGCACATCAGTCGGGTCTAATGCAGCTTGTCACATTCGAGGGATAGTAGAGAGGGGAATGGACCACTAGATTTGGTTGGATCGAAACTGGATTGTTTCTCCTCTTTGGAGATTCAAACGATCTACATAGAATCTAGTCTGATTGGGAAGTGATGCTCAGGTGCACGGTGGAAACGCCGGCGAGTTGTCTTCTCTCATTTAGACGGTTTTTGCTCAAGAGGAATAGAGTTTTGGGTTCAAAACGATTGAGGCTATTTCAAAGTAGTTCTAGGTAATGTTTCCAAGTCCTGTGATAGATCAGCATAAGCCCGATGATTTTTCCTTTTTTTTCGGATTTTCCGTGCCCTTGGCTGCCCTATTCGAGGTCGAGATGCAATTCGTGAAACGCGTGGCTTATTTTCCTCCGAATTCGCGACGCTACGTTCCGATGTCAAGCCTGCGCCCGTTATACTAAAAGCAGTGCGAGATAGAAACAGAAGACCAGGACAGAAAAACGTCACAGAACAGAGACAGAAACAGGGAAATGCAAAATGCGAAAATGGCAAAATTCCAAATGGAAACGAGTAGAGGAAAAGAAAGCCCCTCGATCACTTCCATGGCTCTGTGATGCGCGTGATGATGTCCACATGCCACGGGCTTTCCTAGCTTTGAATCTCCTGTCGAATGAGACTTCGCTTCGCCTTGTGAATCGCCGTTTTTGGCTATACCACGGCGTTGGAATAGGTCAGGATCGTCCTTTGTAGAGGTTGCCTTGCGATTCATTTCCTCAGTTCTCGGTTAGACAGGATTGTAAGCTAGAAAGCTTTCTGATTTTGTGATGGGGCACTTTGCTCATTTGCCACTTCATCTCGGTGCCTGGTGCTGCGGTTGCATCTGGAAAGAGGCACCCGAGTCCCTTACGTGAGCCTTTGGAATCAGCCCACAACAAAGAATGCGGTGATGGCATCTGTCAACTTGTCATGGTCCATCACATCGAGCTGACGAATGTGGCTACTCCTCTTCTGGTTGATAAGGTGCGCCACCTTCAGACTGATGTATGTCTAGATTGCTGACCGTACAAGAAGCTTTTTGCATATCTATTGGTAATCAATCTAGGACGGTATTCTGGTTAAAAAGAATGTGGAACTTCAGAGCTTGTCAGCACTAAGACCATATATAATACCTCAAGTATCAAGAGGGCATGTATTGATATACGTATTTCGTATTGTAGGTGAGATCTAATTACCCCGATCATCCTCTTGCATATTCATATCTAGTATGTAACCTTCATTGCCTTTAAGGCTGCACGTTGCATTCAAAGGTACAGATTGGGTTAGGGACTGACCCTGCATCGATGCGAGCACCTAGCACGAGGGAATCAGTCATTTGCCCAATCGGGACCTGCAGAGTCACCTTCTGTCTGTTCCAAATTCCCAGAGTTGCGTTCCCTCTGTGTGACGAGGCGGCCATCTGCCGAAGCCGAGTGTGTAAACGGCAGTGCTGCAAGTCGGCTGTTGTAAGACCAGCCTCATGGAACGCAAGGCTGGTGACTATTTCCGTTTTGGACGGCGTACATAGCGATGCCTTGGGAAGTCGGAGCGTCGTTTATTGTGTAACGCTGTGCGTCTTCTTGACCGACCTTGTACGGTGGACGTTCAGTCTCTCAGGGCCGGATATCGCGCGTCTAGGGTATTTGGAATTGGTTATTGTACGCATGGACCGTTGATCTTCTCAAGTGACTGTTCTATTCTGGGTCATCTGCTGCTCAAGGAAACCGCGCTAGAGGCGGGGCTCCCGCGCAGATTCGAAAACCGACCATTCCAACCCTGGAGAACCGATGGGATAAGTATATGATCCATGGAATGGATATGATACCACATCACTTCCTTGTTTCTCTCCAGTGTCAAGGCATTAACCATGCTTTCGTCTCAATCTGTTCTCGGGGTATCCAAACCAGAATCTCCGTATTGTTCCAGGCGCACGAGCACTTTCATCTCTGTGATTCACTAGTTCAGATTCCTTAGCTCGTCTCCGGCTGACAAGATGAGGCCTGAGCTCACCATGGAACTCTCTCGGCCTTTTTTCAGTTTCATGGATCTTAATACCAGGGCCCCTCTTTGGCTAATTCTTTTTTATTTCCGGGGGGTTATCGCCCGACAGGGCACCGGCGCAAAAAAAAAAATCAAATACCTCTTTGCCCTAAATCAGTAGCATTTGGCCCCCATGTTGGATCCGATATAATCCGATTGACGGTATCTCCCGTCCTGCAGAAACGGGTCCCATGCCCATTTCGTGTCTGCATAATCAGTATAGAATCAGGCATATATCGTCTTGCAATAATTCAAACCCCGATGGCACTTACCTCGATGAATCCCATTCAAATCCCATTCTTTTCCAGATCGGACCATGATTCCCATGGTAGTTTTTAAGACACCTCAAGTTACACAATCCCAGGCTGGGCGCGATCCAAAGGCGGGAAAACCTATCACAGTGATAGCTTCCCTGGTTGTGTGATGACGGCGTGAAGAATGAAACTGGACGGGAGGGGCGTGGAAAAGGGCTTTATAGTCTAGAGCTTGGATATATAGGTCTGAAATTTAGGACTTTTAGCAACCTTTTTTCTTTTCATTTGGTTTCCTACATAAAATCTTATGATTGGGTCTTTCCCGCAAGTACTACTTAGTCCCAATCTATTTCATCTGTACGACGGTTACTTCCTCAGTGCTTTGTTCCTTTTTCCTTTCTTTTTTTCCATTTTCTCTTGAATCTCTGGCTCACTATCTCAGGGTCCATCTCTGCCAACCCCATCGGTATTTCGATCGTTGTCCCACCCCGGGAAAATCACCCTCCGCTCGAGCCATCATTATTGGTTCCACTACGCAGGATCTTATTTGTCTTGCTAAAGCCTTGAACCCTTGGCCTCGCGCCATACCCGCGCCCCTCCCAGAACAAAAAGAACACACCGTCCCCTCCAGATCTGATCCTTTGTGGAATCGTGGCCAATATCCGATTCTGATGGTCTTACAACGTTAATTTTTGCTTCCTTTCTTCGGCCCCGCGGCTGATCCCGAATCCTCCCCGGGCTTTAATCCGCTTCACAACCTGCTTTTGGGTCATTTTCCCCGTCCTTTGGTCACTTGAACTACGTTTACATGGTTTTTGTTTTTAATTTGGGATGTTTCTTTTATCCTAATTTTGCTTATATCCGGGAATATTTCCTGCTGATCTGATTTGCTGTTGATCCGCTAGGAATCTTCTATTGTGCTTCATTCTGTTCTGCAACTTGCTTTTACTCCAACTTCCCCCATTCCCGTGACCAATCACGCGACGCATTCCACTCTGGCCCCTTGCACCCATTTTGCTTTTTGGGGGGGGTTCTTTTCCTCTTTGAATATCCCTTAAAAGTGTGTGGTCTCCGCTCTGTTGGTCTGTGTGATCTGACTGGAGATTTCGCCTCCCCTCCTGCCCAAAAAAAGAAAAGTCCTGAAGAATATCAAGTTTGAGACATATCTCCAAGGTTGTATACTTTCTCACGTGGAGTTGGATACCTCAGGCTACACAAAGGAACTTCAGGCATACAGGCATACAGGCAAATATCAGGCACCAACACCATTCAACTCACCACTCACCGCCTCGCCCCTCTCAAAGTTCCAATCTTCCCAAACCCCCGGGAACATAGAGCTGCGTTGTTCACCTTTTCCCGTTGTGATCGACCCTACCCATCCTGCATGCAAGCCTAGTTTACCCGCCCTTTCTTTGCGCCACCCCCCATCGCGACCTGATTTTCTATCGGGCGCGTCCTTTGTTCTCTTTCCCGACGCGCGCCTCGGCCTCCAGGCCGTCTGATTTTCCACTATGTATGGCACGCCTCACTCCCTCTCAACGATGAACGGTATTGGAGGAGAGGTTGTCGATGGCTCGGGTACGATCGACCCGGCGAACTTGAGCAATTCAGGTATGTGGCTTTTGATTTCATTCTCTTATTCTCTTAATATATCTTCATTGCCCTATCTTTTCTTGCATTGGCCATGTTTGGCTTCCCCGTCGCGGCTTGTCGCGCGTCATCGGCGTTTTGGATGACCGGTCAGCGAGACTACCTACACTCCCTGGACTGTAGTCCCCGTCACCTTCCAGACTGATGCCCCTCCTAGTCGCTGTTCTACCGGTGCCATCCCCTGCAGAAGCAACCCCCCGTGGTATCAAGCGTACTCGCACTCCAGATCGCAGTGGGAATGGCCATATTGAAGGAGATCAGGACGATGGTATGTGCGCAATGGGGCGCCATGTTTCCTGTTATCTTGCTTTCCTCGTATTTTGAGACTGCTCCACTTCCTCACGCTTTTCTCATCGGTCGCATTTGGCATTGTATTGTATGACAGGGTATGCTGACCGAACGTATCCATTCCAGAGGACCAGGGTCGTCGCAAGCGAGGCCGTCCACCGAAGATCCCGCGGGCTACCTCTAACGATCATTCGGCTGGTACCCCAATTCAAACACCGCAGATGCAAGCCCGCCCGCTTCCCCAACATGCCGGATCGCCAACTCTTGCCTCTCCCCAAGACAAGACTACCCCGACAAAAGCACTGGTCAAGGCACTTCCAACGGTCCGAGACCACACGTCCGATCAACTGAATGATGAGGGTGACGAATACATCCCAAAGGAGTTCGATGAAGCGGGAGAGACCAAGGTCGATGCCATGGGATATCTACAGGGTACTCGCGAATATAAATGCCGAACCTTCCGTGTGCCCCATCGAGGCACTAAGCTGTTTATGTTGGCGACGGAGTGCGCAAGGGTATTGAACTATCGTGATTCGTACTTGCTGTTTAACAAGAATCGATCGTTGCACAAGATAATAGCATCGCAAATCGAAAAGGACGATCTGATTCAACAAGATATTCTTCCCTATTCCTATCGGTCCCGGCAGATCGCGATTGTCTCAGCCCGTTCCATGTTCCGTCAGTTTGGGAGCCGCGTCATTGTCAATGGCCGTCGGGTTCGAGATGATTACTGGGAAAGCAAAGCGAGAAAGCAAGGTTTCACCGAGGACGATCTAGCGGGTGAGAAGCGTCCAGGTGCGGCCAAGATTCGAGATGGACTTGCGGCAGATACCACGACTTCCAGCCTGCTGCCAGCCCTCCCCCATAATGATGTTATCTTCAGCAATACGGTCGAGCCACTGCCCCCCGGTCTCTCGTTGGATGTTTCAGATGCTTCTCCCTCGTTAACGCAACTTCCTATGATACATCTGGCCACAACGGATGATCCACGGTTGCGGGACTACAACGCCATTCCTCGCGCTCGCCAAGAGCTAACGGGACAGATCTACCACGATCGCAATCAGCCCAGCTCGGGCTCAGAGATCATCAACCAAGCTCAACATGCAGCTGACTTCAATAAGACTCTAGGGGCACAGCGAAGCTTTCGCCGGAAGGGTTTGGACGAATTCTACTCAAAGCCGCGTGAAGCCCCTGAGACAGAGGATCAGTCTACTACTGCCCTGGAATCCGGTCTCTCTGTGTCACAGCCTATCCAACCTACACAAATCCCACCCACGGGTATGGGCAACCCGGGTCATGCGCAGCACGTCATGCCTCACCAGGCAACGATGATACAAGGTCAACAGAATTTCCCTCAGCTTGCACATCAATCTGCAGTCAATCAGTCGCCAATGAGAGGAATGCCAACTGGTATGCGACCTGATCTCATGCACCAACGATCGAATCCATCCATGTCTGCTGGGGTCGGCCAAGCCCCCTATGGCTACCCTCCTCAACAGCAGGCTCAGCAGCAAATGTGGGGTCGGCCACCACCCCAGCCACAACAGTCGCCCATGTCTTCGGGTCAACAAGGTGTCAATATGGCACAATACGCTCAGCAAATGGCTGCGGCTCCGCAGCAAGCACCGTCGCCTCTTCACCATGCTCAGCAGCCTCAGCAATCTCCGCGCAACATGCCTCAGATGCCCCAGCAATACCACCAGATGCAACATCCACAGGCGCAGCAGCAAGCAATGGGAGGCATGGGTTTCCCTGGAGGAAATCCGGCCGCTTTCCAGGGTATGGCACGGGCTATGTATCCTCAAGCTCAAGGAGCACCGGGTGGACAGGCCTATATGGCTGCCAACCCTCAACAGGCTGGTATGGCGATGGGCATGGGTGCAGGCGGTATGCAAGGGTGGCCTACTGGGCCTGGCGCACAGATGCAACCTGGTCAACCCCAGCCAGGTCAGTCAGGAAGCCCATTGGGCGGGTGGTCAGGCTACTAGATTTCGATTCGGCGTTATCTAGAGAGGGCGCTTTGTGGAGTTCTTTTTTTTGTTCTGCATCAAACGCCGGTGATGTGAGGTTTCCTATCTGTATCTCTCTTGATTTTCTGCTTGATGCTCTTTATAAGCTGCTCTCCGCTTACCTCCTCTGTTTTCTCTTTGCCCTTACATTGCACTTGTGTGACACTCCCTCGAGGGTGATTCGGTAATGTTAATCTGGGCCATTTACCTTATTATACCCTTTTTTTTTTATGTCCTCGACGAGGCTCTCCTCAAATCAAGTACTACCTTGCCTCCTTGTCTTCATGTCCATTTCTATCTTATTTTTGAGAATGTTTTCCCGGCGTCATCCCCGAGTTACCTGGCGTTCCTTCTATTGCTATTTCTACAGGAATATGAGTATGTATGTTTGTCTTACCTTTTTTTGTCTCATACATGGTCGATAGATGGGGCGTCTATCTTTCGTCGCGGAATCGGCGATTTTTTCCCTGAGCCCGAGACATTGTTCTTCTTATCCTCTCGACCATGGTTCTTTGCATTTCCTCCATGGTCTGTGTTTTATTCTTTGTATCTTCCATGTATTTTGACCTGGAGCTGCGGTTGATACTTGATCTGTCCCGCTGCCTTGTTCCACATCTATATTCGGAGATCGACATCTGACAATATCAACACCCCGTTCTTTTTTCCTCTTTAGCTGTCTATACTATCATCATGTGTCGTCTTTTGCGCTTCTTTCCGCTTGTTCACATTAGCTTCAAATTGGCAATTATACCTTGCTACTATCTCAACGTTCTATGTAGCGGAAGGTCTACATCTGGCTCGTAATTGTCGGGGTTTCTTCGATTGATTGGCTGATATATTGAGTCTTATCTTATTTCCTTCTTGACTTCTCCTCTCATTACTTTTTTGGATCAATTTAAATCAATTTAGGGGCAAAAAAATAAAATTCTTCATTAGCTCTTCATTGGAAGAAAGATAAAAAAGAAGCGTCCCCGGGAAGGCTCGAACTTCCAACCTCCTGATTAACAGTCAGACGCGCTAGCCAATTGCGCCACGGAGACTTGCTTGATGGTAGTCGGCAAATTTTGTGCACCATACACCAAACTTGTTTAGCTAGAGATTTTGTCCATAAAATTTTGCTCGAGGCTTGAGAAAGTCACGATTAAACCATGCTACTTACTAACTAGAAGCGAGAGGGCAAAGTGAGGGGCTATGGAATAAAATACGATTACATTATATTAGGTAGAGTTTATAATGAATCTTTGGTTTGAAGTCCATAGAAAGACTTTAAAAGTTAGGTGCCTAGTGGTAGCGTACATGTAGACCAAGTGATGGACAATGACTGGCTTTAGGTTATAGTATTCCCCTAAGCTTGATTTCAAGATATCATTTCATAGCCTATTTGATGGGGCAATCATGTAGTATTTTTGCAAATCTAATTCATCATTATAGATTATTTCCATGCGTTTTCCTTGCAAAAAAAAAAATTTTAAAAAATAAAAAATCACCTTCAATCTCAGTGTCACTACCATGAATCTAGTTACGATCTCAAAATAAAAAGAGCAGTATTGTATGACAAGATAAATTAACTTCCTCCAATAAGAAGTCTCCGTGGCGCAATTGGCTAGCGCGTCTGACTGTTAATCAGGAGGTTGGAAGTTCGAGCCTTCCCGGGGACGCTTCTTTTTGTCTTTTTGCCATATAATATTACCGCCCGCACACATAAACAAAGGCTAGGCGATTAATCTTGCTGAAAGAGAATAAAGTAGGCTACTTTTGGCTGAGGCCGTAGATTTGATTGATGGACGTTAATTTTACGAGAATGTGAGATTACTGATACTAAATGATATGCATTTCCAGGGTGATTGATGTTGATACCGCCTTAGACAATTTAATCTATCTTGCATATTTTGCGCTGAATTTCTATATGGTGCTTCTCAGATGTGGATTTAAGGCTGAGATGAGGGACATCCAGTTCCAGCTACTATCCCTCACTGAGTCTTACTTGACAGCATAGGCATTCTGATATATTTGCCACAGAAGCCGTTCACTTTCCTTTGGACTTTGTATGGGCAACATTCTTCTTTGTCTTTAAATTGACTTCATTGTCTTGTCTTTGATTTTTGCACCGTGCTAATACAAAGATATCAAAGCCAGATCTTAATGAAAGAGACAGTCACGTATAGCCATCGTCAACTCGAAGCCGACATCTCAGTACTGCCAAAGAGTCTAGCCTATATACTGGACATTGAACATAGTGCTAGCAGCAATTTTCGAGTCGTAACGTCTAATCATTTTGTTAAGAATGAAGGTATTCCTCCGAATATGGTGCTCATGATTCTCAAGTTGCGGGTGGCTCTCGAATTTCAATCCTAGAAGGGGAATTCGATCTATTTATATTAAGGTAGGAGGAGATGGTCATGGAAACTGCAGTAAAGAGCACAAGGAGTGTTTACCTTATGAATTCAATTTAGCTTTGGGCCCCCGCTTTGGCTACGTTATGGCCTCACCTCGCTGTATACCCTTCGGCTTTCAACGAGCTCCAGGTGCGGATCCAGGGGAGTTTGTGAGCTTTTGGCGAGCCTCGGGGGGAAATCTAGGTGGCCTATAGAAAAGTTAAAGTCATTATCTCATTCGCCTTTTGGTGGTCATGTCAGTAATGTTAGGAACATTAAAAAATCTGGTGCAGTAATATGCCAACTTGTCGTGAAAGCTGGACCGAAGGGTCCTCACTGAAACAACAAAAATGCGAACACAACATAGAGATGCAAATAATATCTATTGAAACACGAAATCTTGGTAAGCAAGATATATTATTAGAAGCGAGTTATGAGTGGCTTTAAAACATTTTCAAGGGAGGTAAAGGTTTCAAAGGGAGACGAAAGGAAGAAAGTAGGGTCCAGAAGCCGGTTTCAATAGTCAAAGGACAACAGGTAACCATGATGTCGACCCCTTGGTAACCTTTTTCTATTGAGGTGATAATGCATGCGAATTGAGCACATGACCAGAGAACTAGAAGTTGATGCATTCGCATCGAGTTGGGTCACAAGTTTAGAAGTGAAAGGGGCATTTTAGTTGTGTCCGCGATTTTGTTACTATTGTTCCTCCTAAGCAATAGTTCATAGTCAGTGTCCTCCTGCTTGATCTAATTAGAATTTGGAGGCTCACGCTGGAAGGTGTTATGCAATTTTTTGAATCTCCAAGGTTAGGAGTATCCAGGTGTGAGGTGCCCACCTTGGAGAATACCCTTCACTATATATATATCATCCGTTAAGGACTACCTAAGAAAAGTCATCGCCCTAGCAAAATTAACTTTTAAAGCCTTCAAACTAAGGATTGGAAATAGATGGAGAAATTAGTGTCGAAGAGAGAAAGATTTAATTCAGATGACCGAAAGGTGGTAAGAAACAATTCAAAGACATCAACTTATGAATGATGTCAGTTCGTACGTAGCAGATGTCGGGGCTGTAAAGTGCTACAGATTCATATAACAAGAGAGGCTCATCTCTTTCATCAAGCAAGTCTCCGTGGCGCAATTGGCTAGCGCGTCTGACTGTTAATCAGGAGGTTGGAAGTTCGAGCCTTCCCGGGGACGCTTCTTTTTTGTCTTTTGCTTTTCCGTCCGGGTTAATGAAACGAGTCAATTGTCCACGGGTATTCAAAACACCGAAAATAAATTTTTATTATTATTTTTGTGTTATTTGAGAAGAAAAGGCAGCCCCATAGTATACCTGTCATGTAGAGGAGGCCGTTTGAAATTTGACCTGTAGACACGTTTGAATTAATTGATCCTACTAGACTGCAGTATCTTTATGGATATTCCAAGGACTCAAAAACGGGGTTGGCAATTCAGCACCCGCGACTGGATATACATTTAGCCCATGTTTCAAAGCTTGAAATATTTAGACAAGTTTGGGACAAAATGAAAGAAAAAGAACATTATTTTCCAATTGTGACATCCGTGGATGTTTAGACACATGAACTACCAATCGATCTTTCTAACAAGCCAAATCATTACCAAACCAAGCTATCGGTACATCACTCCCAGCAAAACTTTTTAAACATCAGTGACCAAAGGAGTGGTGACCGGCACAGCACTAGAAGGGCAAACACAAGCTGTGACAGAAGTAACAGGGGGCACAGTGCAATGAGCACTAGTAGTCCAAGCAACGGACGTAGTGGTAGCCTTAGCCTTCCGAACCTTCTCAGCCTTCACAAGCACAGGAATGACAGCACCAGTATTCAAGCTGAAAGTACGGTGTCCAACAACCCGCAAGATAGAAGAAATCTCACCGGAGTGCGAGGTAACAGATACGAACAAATCCTTCTTACTAGACGCAGAAGTGAAGAACACCTGGTCAAGCACGGTCTCGCTACGAACGTCCTGCGCAGCACTCGTTTCGGCAGTAACGCCGTTCCAAAGCTCGTCTTCTTCGCTGAAGCCCTTCTCGATGGGCCACTCGGGGAAGAGGTCGTGGATGTAGCTGCGGTCACGACGGTGGTCGCAGGTGTGGATGCTGATTCCCTCGCGGAAGAGCTCCTTGATGAGAGGCTTGAATTTGGCGCTGCCCTTGGGAAACTCCAGGCCTGTGAAAGTGTAGTTGGCGGTTTGGAGGGTGCGGGTCAATGGGCTGACGAAGTAGTTATCTGGTGTGTGGATGCGCTGTTCGTCAATCTCCTTTTGCCAGAAGTTGTGGGCGACTAGGGCTTGATCGACACCATTTGTGGTGAGCTCGGCGTCATTCCAGGTTGCGGTGCCGTTGCCGTCCATTTCGGCCCAGTAGCACTAGTTGAGGGTTAGAGTTGGCTTATGAAGAGTCTTCAGAGAGAAGGTACTCACGTTCCAGGCTGCGTCGCCATAGTAAGTCTGGGCAGCGTTGTGCCAACCCTCGCCGTGGCGGCCCAGGAAGAGCACCTTGTACTCCACATCACTGTGGGATTCATCATTCAGCTTCTCTACCTGGTGGTAGAAGCGCTCCCACTGGGTGAGATCCTTGGCGTGTTTAAGTTCATGATCGGCGGGATAGGTGCGGTTGAGGAGACCAAAGTTCACGGCTGTCTATATATTAACAATAGGTTAATGAAATTTCGAGGAAAACTCGGGAATGCGGGTACATACGTAATCGAAAGTTGAAGCATCGGTGGCAGTCTCATCCTGCAAGAAATAGCCAGTAACAGTTGTATAGGTAATGGTGGAAGCTTGAGCGAAAGCGACCAGGCCCATAAGGGCAGGAGTAAGGGCCAACAGCTTCATTGTAGATAGTAATGAAATAGAAATTTCTGTTTAGATTCGAAAAAGATCGGCATAGTCCCATCTTTTATAGCCAAAGAATGTTAAGAGATAAACATTCTTGACCATGTGCTTGAACAATCTCTCCGCAGTGGAGATGGCGGAGAAGGTATGTCATCCTATGGTGTGGCACACGTGTGGCCGACTCTGGCAGCGGGTTTGCCCGCTCCGGCTTGGGCTTTCTCGGAGCTAAACGCTAACAGTTATTAGGCGCGGCCAGCGATCGTACTTTGCTATAAATTAGCCGTTGACGAATACTCCTGGAGCCAATCGCTAAGGGAAAGGGCGGGTCTACGTCGGCTGTTGACTTAGCTAGGTAATAGCAATTTACAATGTTCGGAGATCGGACGGATCATGTACCAAAGTGGTTTTTTCTGAAAATATCACTCCTTTTTTCGCGTGCGAGAACCAAACATCACAGAGTGAAAAACGTATATGTGACAGTATATATCAAAAAAAAAAATAATAAAAAATAGCCAAATGCTGCCAAATATGCAAGTCCAAGTCCCAATCCAAAGCCGAACCGGTTCCAAAAAATAATTTCAAACGAAGGTAAGAAGGGAATGTCGAGCCCGTGGGCTCGCAAGAATTAAAAGTCGTATCACACCAATATAAATCCCAGGCCAATAAACACAATGCAAAATCTGCTCCCAATATGTAAACAAAAATCCCCGGAGGAAGAACACCAAAAAAAAAAAAAGACAAGAGAAGTGAAAGAAAAGCTCAGGTATGTAGGAAGAAAAAGAAAGAGTAAAGTGACAGAACTTCTCCGCACACGGAGTGTTGGAATAGACAGGCCTCCCGTAGGCAGGCGAAAGGGTAACAAAAAAATAAACAAATCGCAGGGGACGAGACGTTGCGTAGCGGTTCGTCCTAGACCAACAAAAGCATATTTATCGCGGTACATTTCTCATTCATCCATCGAGAGACGGTAACCCTGCATCAGGGGTAGTGGCTCGGTGTGGAGTTGTTCGCAAATGTGTATGCCTTTGGCTTGTGAACAGACCCCATCTGGTGAGCGGCGAAATGGTGCGCCTCTGGCTGCTCGTGATACTCGTGCATAGTAAACTCCGAAGCTTTCCTTTCCCCAGCACCTGTTGAAATAGGCATATCGGCATCCTCAATCGAGTAAATCAAGGGTGGTGAGCCAGAAACGGGTTCCATAAAACCATGCCCGCGGCCGTCAACGGAGCCATCGTACCCAATTGGTGAGACGGTGCTGGAGTGAGGCACTTGAAGACCGGCTGGGTATTCCGGCGAGGAGAGAGCAGTAGTATCTGCCCAGCTTCGCGCAGTCATGGGAACCGGGTCACAGTTAACATACTCGGGAAAGTTGCTGACTTGAGCCGGAGCCGACATCGGCGGGGCGCCATTCTGGTAGGTGAAAGGAGAGTAGATATCCAGGGGAGTAGTAGGAGGTGAGGCAATATTTACTTGCATGGGCTGAGAGGAGGGGAAGAACTGAGTATTAGAATGTGCAGACAAGCAGTAGCTATCGGTCGGGGAAGCCGGCATGAAGTGCTGGAAGTCCTGAGGGGTCAACGGGGTTGGCGGGGCCAAGGTCGTTGACGAGACCGATGGCCGCAGCATCTCAGCCTTGCTAGACTTCATGGAGCCGGATTCGGCGAAGGTGAAGTTGAGAGGAGAGCGCTGGGCCGCCGAAGCCTTGCGAACACCGGCATATCTGTTGTTTAGGCACTGGGCCGACTTGGAATGCCTCATCGAGTTACCAGCACCCGAACTAGGCACGCGGCTAGTTGGAGAAAGAGAAGACATGGAGGTGGAAGCAGCCAGGGAGCGAGTATTGGAAGTACCGATGGCAGCAGGACGGGGGCGCTTTCGCCGAGCAGCGAGATCAAGCTCCTGGCCCGGTCCCTTCCACGATCCTTCAGCCTGACTAGAAGACTGGGACATAGCCGAAGATCCAGGTGTGCAGATACCGATACCATCCAAAGAAGCTGTGAGAGCACTCGACGACTCACGGCGGGTGACGGAGATATCGGGAGTCTGCATGGACAGGGGGTATTGCATGTTTGTGTAACCAAGACCGGCATCGGATCCAACTGCATGCATATGCTGATCCTTCGGAGTCTCAACCCAGTCCTCGTGCTGAGAGAACTGGGCACCTGTGAATGCATCCACATTCTGAGGGACAGAAGAAGTCTCGGAGTGACCGTGGGATGTCCACTGAGTCGTTTGTTTGACCTCGGGCCAGTCCTGGTACTGGTAAGAAGCATGTCCCTTGTTGTCCTGTGCGGTAGGGGCCTTCGGCGGAGCCATCGACGAGGGAGAGATCGGTTCTTCCTCAATGGGAGAGTTGTGTTTGGTGTGCGAGTCCCGGCGGGTGAAGCGATCCCTTGCAGCAACTGCCGCGTTCAGTGCTCGCTGCAATGATGCGAAGGTTGCGTCGCGGGCAGACTCACTCTTCGTTTTTTGATGCTTCTTCAAATCATCGGCCTTTGAACTGCCTTCAGCCTTCACACTGGAGGATTGTTTCGGGGTCGGGGAACGCTCCGGCTCCTCCTTGGCAGCAGAGGACTGAGACCCCGACGGTTGGTCCGAAGTCTCCGACTTGCGACGAGCCAGCTCCTCCGCCTCGGCCTTGGCTTTTTGCATCTTCTCAAACTCCTCCTGGCGTTTCTGTTGCTTTGCCTTGGCGCGTCGATTTTGGAACCAGTTCTATGAGGGCAGGTGGGTTAGCTTCATCACACTGGCGGGAAAGTCAACATGGAACATACAGCAACGCGAGGCAAGCTCAGATTAGTCTGAGCTGCCAATTGACGCTTGACATTGCTGCTGGGCTTAGGATGAGCCTGGAATTGATTCTCTAGGGTCTCAACTTGCTCCTTTGTCAAGCGCGGGCGGGACAAGTTCTCTGTGTATTCGTCGTAGTCCATGATTGGTTGGTGGTAGTAGTCAATCATCTCCATGGGCGGGTGAGGGTAGCAGTAGCCGTCCATGGGGTGCATCATGGGAGGAGGGACCATGCTTGGGTCGTATGCGAGGGTGTGGTCCATTGGGAGACCCGAATGGCCAGGGTAGTTCCATGAGGGATGAATGTAGCTCATGGTGAAGGTGGTGATGTGATGGGTATGGAGAAAAGAAGGAATGGCGGGAGGGCGTAGAGGGAATTAAAGGAAAGTGAAGCGCTGCACAAGACAGGGCAGGCAACTCAGGGCGATAGCTATATCATGGAGGTTTCCGAAGGTCTGGGATCCGGAAGTGATGCGAGAGAAGGGAAAGCAATAGCAGAGATAGATAGCTATAAACAAATGCGGCGTTCAAAGGAGAGACGTGGGTGGGCCAACCAAAAAGGAGCGACAAAAAAGAAAAGAAAAAAGGAACGTTAATAGAGCCACCAAAGAATGGATGTGAAGGAAGAAGAGGAGAGAGAGAGGAAAAGATGGGGTGTGGAAAGGGCGGTCTTGGGGACGGGCCGTGATGATTGGTCTGGGGGACCAGGTACATGTACTGATACGTACACTTCTCCTCTTCTTTAGGTATATATGATATTTAGATATTTCGGATTTTTATTATATTTTTCGTCTGTGCTGGGCCCAGATGGAAATGAAACTGCGATAATCCCCTCTTCCCCCCCCCTCCAAACCCGAATTTCATGAATAATTCGGGATATTTCTCTCGAGATCTGATCGTCTACCATTCCCTGAAGGAGAAAAAGCGGGCTGAAAATGAAAAATAGAAAATTAAGTATAAATTACTAGATTAATACTAGCCTAAGCAACTTCACCCCCACTGTTTACAATTGTTTTATTTTATTTTTCGCCCGTGGAGTCGCGCTACCGCCCGCGCGGTTCTTCTAGGGGGTGGCGGCCTGGGGGCCCTCGGACTGCATAGAGTCACACACATCTGGAATTCCGATCCTGTCTGGAACTATACTTGAGGTTACATGGAGAGAGTCAAATCTCCTTATATAATGTTATCATATAGAACGATCTAGGTAATCGGGAAACCCCCGTTCATAAATCACAAGAAGGAAAGAAAAAAAAAAAGAAAGAAAGGGACCAATTTGTTTACTTTTCGACCTAGAGTCTAAAACCCAGTTTTTTTTTCACACAGCCCTAAGCAAATTGGATCTCTCCAAAAGAAAAAGTGACCGTTCCGGCCAATCATCGGACTGGCCCCGATCAACCGCTGTTTGAGAAGGTCTCCACTATGATGTTTTCTCTCAGGTACCCAGTACGTGTACCATACGTAGCTCGACAGGCTTTTGGTACCAAAGTGTAAACGCCGCGTTCCCATGGTTATGCGTTGCGGACGGCTCGGGGGGCAGCAAGATAGCCCTGAAAAAGCATGTATCCTCCAATCATGGACGGGCTCCCGTGATTATGGGTATCCTATCAGGGGCTGCAGAAACTACATCTCCGATGGCTTGAAGGGTCCTTGATTAGGATGCCATGGCAATAGTTGCATAGTTACTTCCGAGCACTCGTTTTTTTTTTTTTCTTCTTCCCGCCCTTGGGCAGTTCCTGCATTAGCGTCATGTCTGAGCCCAAAGGAAAATTACCGTATCAAGGCAAGAGTAATACTCAAAGCTCAAATGTTGTTCCGGGGAGGAAAATCAAACTATTCAAGATTTGTGGAGTCAAGATAGGAGAAGGGGGGGCGATGCAAAGGAAATCATCTATGGCAGCCACCACCCACTCTATACTTAGTCTGGAGCGTAATTTACCCCGAAGAGTTTAGGCGTGAAGAAGTTTTGAAATCATGACAGTGAAGTGGGGAACTGAGCGCGCCAGCTTCGACCCGCGTATCCCTGCAATCTGTCACGGGTGATCCAACCTGCATGGTAAATCCTCAGACCAAAGTGGTTTCTTACTGGATCATTGGACAAAGTTAATTACATTCGATCGAAGGGTTTCTTCGAGATGTTTCCTCATACCCAGTCACCGGGGATCTGGGACGATCGGAGCCTGTTCCCCGGTCATCCAGCATTGCAGATTGTACTACCATCCCCTTGGCTGTACTGTACAACGTCGATATCGGGGTTATGATCGACATCCCGATGGGGGCGATGATGTCTTTTCGACGCACTATTGAGGCCTGAAGCAAGCCTGTCTGTCAGCTATCTGTCAGCTAGATCGTGTTTGGGTGTCGGGAATGACTCTTTGTCCCCCGCTAGACTGTTTTGAGGGCGCATGGCATTACGCCAAGCCCAACTAAACATCAATAGTCGACAGATCCCGTCGATCACTTCAGGATCTGCCGAGCTTTGTTTCCCCTCGAGTTAATGGGGTAGAGGGGACAAGTGTACTAGCACAAATCCTTGCACGGGTGTTCTTCCGACTCTCATTGTTTGATCGGAAGAAGTCAATTTCGCCGCCCCTGTGGTTCCCGAGAGTATGGGTGGCCCCATTCGACGGCGCTAAACGGCTTGGATCGAGAGGCTCCATGCACCCAAGTCACGAGGATGTGTTGTGATCCAACTTGTCTGGTAGGAGGAGAGTTAGATTCTATCCACTTAGGTTTTTTTTTTTTTTTTTTTTTTTTTTTTTTTTTTTCTTTCTGTCCAACTGCAAGCCACAGGAAGCTCATGAGCTATATCTGTCGGCATTATGATCCAGAGAGCTTGGCTCTCCGGTATGTAATGTGGTATGCTGTGAGCTGTTGTGTACCCTGCAGTTTGAGCCTACGCTCCACTCTACAGGTCTATCCGATCTCTTTGTTCCAACGGTCATGGGCCAGGGAATCTCGATTTCCCGGCAATTTTATCCTTTTCACTATGCCCATAGGGAGTACCTGACAGGAAAACGTTTCACAAGGAACTTAGGTCTTAAAAGTTTAATCTATGGAGTCGTCTAATTCTATCCTAAACTCTGATGCCGTCGTACAGGCGGAAGCACCTTAGAAGAGTATCTGGGAACTCATCCTGCGTCCTTCCCCTCATCCAACCCCATTTCCCTCGTAATTCGGTATAGATAGTCACTAGAAATGAGGGGCATATCGGCCTAACGGAAATGCTGCCTCAAGTCACCAGATCCACTGTGTCGCCCCTCATTGCAGTGCAAATGATCACCTCCTATTCTTACCAAGTCCAGATCAGGATCTGACTCGATGAAGCGTACAACGCTCCAATCCAAGACGGATCGCTACGATGAACCAGTCATGTGGCCCAGGACAGAGTGGAGATGATCGTAATTCACGACCACATAGGGGGATCCCAATTTGTATCCCTTGGGCAGAGAAAGAGGCTGTGAAGGCTCAGAAAAAAACTGGGACCCAGGGCCCCACGCTTGGTATGGAGCAACAACGTGGCCATCTGGTGCTACTGCTGCCACCAAACTTTGAGTTCCAGTACGTTAGGCACATCGTGAACACCCATGATCGACTCTCTCGTGACGATCCGGCTGAGTAGACATCTGAAAGCTTCACATGCATTAGGGCGCCTATCAGCATTGTAAATCACATTAAAAAGCCTCGCTCATCACTGATTGGGGAGGTTTGGGATTTGCGGACTTGCGGAGCGATTTTGTGCGCTGGCACCCCTCCTCTTTTTTTTCTCCCTCCTTCTCCCTGTCCAAAAATGCTCCACAATGACATGTAGATAAAGCCCGAAGCGATAGGAATAGTTCGGATTCGTGCGCTAAGACCTCGGCCGAATCGACAATCCCCGAATGTCCCGCGGTGCTGGGGGAGGAGCCACTAGGGATGGGAGTATGGCGTGCATGGCGAAAATCATGGTCCATGCCATGGATCCCCGTCATCTCCGTCATTAAGATATTCGCATTAGGATTAGGGGGTGGGCAGGATCTGCCCTTGACGTGCCCCTGGATTGATCTACAACGCGCCGCACGGATCCCTTGGCTCCATCCGACTATTGATTGGATCTGGAGTGAACCGTTATGGCGGAACAAAAATCTCAAATATCGGAGAACGAGGACGAGCGTGGAGATAAAGGGTCGGCAAAAAGAAAATAGTGAAAGTAAAAAAAGAAGAAAATTCCTTAGTTCAATAAAGCACGGAAGTTGCAAAACACCAGAAAATTCCCCGATCTTTCCGAGGCCAGAACTCTCGGAGTACACGATCTGCACAGAGTGTGACGTTCAGTTGATCCTTGGCTATGGGGGATCCTCAAGATCGCCTTCTTCGGAGCTGTGATTCCGTCTCCGATCCCCCGTATTGTGTCATGTACTACTCACCCTGGACCTGTTCCACCTTTCCCAATGTGGATTCGGGGGTGTTCGGTGAACAATAGTCTGTTCCGTAGTGGCTGAAGCTGATGTTCGTTCCATCTCTGTTTAGCCCTTGTATCACTTTGGTCTGGGCACGGTACCCATGATCACCGAAATGTGACAGATCCATCTCCACCACTCCCTTGTGTGGCTCACCTGAACGAAGTGTGGCGGTGTCTGACGCCTGCAGGCAGCAAGAAACCGATGTAGCTCCCTGATACGGGATTTGTCAAAGGGAGCCATGGGGCTAGTTCGGCAAGGTCGATGCAGGCGGATGAACTGGGAAGGAGACACCATGTATTCGGGACTGTCCGTGGGATCCGCTCGTTCGCAGGCCCGTTCAATTCACTTGTCATGCCGAAGCTGTGGTCCAGATCGGAAACCAAACTAAAACCTGCTCCTGTACGTGATGAGATTGTCCGCCACATTCGCCATCACGCATACCGTTGGGGTGGCCTGGACGATCAACCGTGAGGGGCAAAGACGGCAAAGAAAGCAAAGCAAAGCAAAGATAGACAATCGGTGATCTGTCAATAATCTACCTCGTGATCTTCAAGTCAATCTACAATTCAAAATTTCCATGGCCATCCTGTTTGAGCGCTGAACGAAGTTGGGACTTGCTCACTGGGACACTTGCTCTCAACAGTATTTAGTATTGTGATATTCAGGAGCCATCCGCGCTAAACCGGTCTTTTCCTAGATCCGTGCGCATGGTACCTCCATCCCTTGCATGCTCGCCCTTTCTCACCGGGACATGTTGCTGCATTATGACCATTCGGGACGCTTGAGGAGCTCTGCCCCTTCTCTTGTGCCGGGCTCGGTACCTGTAACATTTCAGCTCTGCCCAATGACAGGACAATACGCTTTGTTGCCGGCCCGTGAGGCTGGGCTTGTAAGAGCTGCAGCAAGCTGCAGCCTCGAGTGAGACTTTATCATGCGGTCCGTGATAGGAAAGACAACAGCTCGTAGTGTAATATACAACGTAATCCGTAGCCCACGCCATGCTCGTTCTCTCGACCGGATCTCAATTCGGAGGTTGGATCCTGGCCGAGTTGATAGTGGGACCGGAGCTGCGTTTAGTGTGGTTCAGCTTGCATGAACAGCTGTTCGCAGCAACTCTCACTGGGGTTGCCGTTGGCCAGTTTCCCTGCTTTTTCTTCTCTCGGCCATTGTCTACGGGATGTCTGTATCACACCCTGTTGGGGCACACGGCAAGTCCTGCAAGGACTGCATTTGCAGGCGTTTCATGTCCGCCACTCACGCCATGTTAGAGCCTAGACTGCGATACTTGAGTATACAGGGCGTGAAAGCTAAAGGTAACTTTACTCCAAACTACGGCCGAAGCTGGTTTTAAGTCCGAGATACTCTGTCATTGGACCGGATTCGCTGGCTATCATCCTTGTAATGCGACATGGGGGCCTGCCGTCATCATACCTGTGCAGTAGGGCGTCCGGGCTTGGAACTAGGTTTAGGTACATGGCGCATCGAGGGTCTAGTTCATCACACCCCCGTCGCGCCTTGTATTCTCTGGTAGATGTCCATCGTAATTTGGAATGCAACCATGATCCGGAGTGAAATCGGCATTTGATTCCCGATCTGTAAAGAGCGCAAACGAGGTGACGGGCATCGTGCGACCCTGTCGTCACTAGTTGGAATTGAAATGCCGTCATCTGGGCCTGATTTAAGTGGTCGATTGAATATCGAAAGCGGATTGGCCATCTCGCCCTAAAGGAAGACAAGGCTTCGGGAATAAAATGTGCATCTGTGTATCTATTGACTAGTTTTAAACGCCCCCACCTGGATCATGTTACGTACCGGACACAAGTACCAACTGCTAAGGGATGGCACTTAAGCCGTGTGCAGTAACACAATTAAACGACTGGAGACGCAAAGGTACGGAAAATCTCGCGCAGGGTCTGGACTAACCGCAAACTGTACAACCTGTGGCGCACGTTTATCTACAAAGTACCGTGTATGGAGCTCTGCCCCGCTTCCATGCTGTATGCTGTGCAACTCGAACCTCGACGCCCTGGGTTCACTGCAAACTGCACCTGCAGCAGGCCAGGTGCATCGTAGATCCCTGACTCCTGCACCAAAGAACCTATTGGAAAGCATTCAAGATCTCAATCTGGACCCGCCCATCAACAACAGCCTTCACCGAGACACTGCGTAGGTCCTCTACAATCCAGTCCGCTCCAGCCGCCTGGAGTTTCTCAAGTGAGTGAGTCGTTTTCAGCGCAATCACCTTAAACCCGGCTGCCTTGCCCGCCTTGATTCCGGATGGCGCATCTTCCAGCACAACGATCGAGGTCGAGTCCTCGAGACCCAGCTTCTTGCGACCAAGCAGGTAGCACCGGGGGTCCGGCTTGCCGAGCTCCACGTCCTGTGCGACGACAAGGATCTTTGGCCGGGCGAGCTTCATCACGCCGAGCCAGCCGTCAATCAAAGCGGATGTGCCGGAGGTCACGACACCCCATTTTGCGCCGGCGGTTTCGAGTGCGTTGAGGAGGTCGCGACCACCGGGGATCTCGACGGCGTCGGAGCCGTATTTTTGAGGAATTCGGCCTTCAACAAAGTTGACGTCTAAAAACGTGATTACATTAGCTTAACCTCTCATAGGTTATGTGAAGGTCCCTCATGGAACCGGGGTGCAGAACATACACTCCCAGTTGGCCTTGCTCTGGTCGTATAGTTGCATGACGTCAATGCTTCTGCGGCCATGCGAAGTGGCCAAGATGGTCTTGGGGTCTACGCCCAGCTCTTCGCCAATCCTGTAACGTAATTGGAGTCAACGTTGCTCATGTAGTGTCTTATCAGTATGGGAAGGAGGTACTGACTCATGCCAGTGCTTCACGATAGCTAAATTGTTGTTAGTGTCATTGTATGCTTCTAAGTAAAAGTTGGAGATGTACATACCATCTGTAGAGTCTACAATTGTACCATCGAAATCAGAAAGAACGCCGTCAAAAGTGTGAACCTGCGGAGGCGCGGAGAAGGACCCGGTCTCGGATGACATGGTGGGGTGAGGGGTGATGCGAAGATATGTTCCGAGAGGTTTAGTCGACAATTGAGGTGACAATGGATATTGATCCAGTTTTTCAGTTCGAGAAGCTTTTATTTGAAAGAGCTTTCTTATTTGAACAGGGAACTAAAAATTAAAGAGCGAGAAACGTCACATCTTGGGCGACTATCGCAGGCGGATCTCCTGCTGCATTCGACCAGTGTTCCGCATGTTTGCACTGTTTGGTCGGTGATCGGCGCAAGTGATTTTCCGCTTATCGAAATTCTGAGTTGGCTTGGCGCTCAACTTTTTCGAAGCCGATTGTTGAAGCACCAGTATAATCACCAGTCCACCTAACTGTTTACTCTCCAGTTGGGCATACAGGCAAAATGGTCAAGAGCAACTTCGGTAAGCACATACTCTTTCCGGCTTTATAGAAATTCTTGAGCCCCATTCTAACTTTTTTTTGCAGGCAAGTCCTCTAAGCGGGTGCCCGTCCGCTTAAGACACAAAATTGAAAAGTCCTCTGTTGCCAAGCAGAAGAAAATGAGAAAGCTTGCCAAGCAGGTATGTGACTCTGGGTTGCTTCTTCCCTTTGCGCCGGTGGAATAGGCATTTTTTAACTATTTTAATATACAGAACCCGGAATGGCGGTCTAAGCTTAAGAAGGACCCCGGTATTCCCAGTCTCTTCCCGTTCAAGGACAAGATGCTCCATGATATCGAGGAGAAGAAGCGTTTGAAGGCAGAGGAGCAGGAACGCATCAGGGAGGAGGCTCGCCTTCGCAAAGCTGAGGCTAAGCAGGCCAAGACTAGCGGCCAGCCCGGCGTGGAAATTGACGAGAACGATCTGGACGACGATATGGATGTGGAGGGCGATGAGTCCAACCCTATGGCTGCACTGCTTGCATCTGCGCGCGCCCGGGCTGCGGACTACGACGACGACAACGAAGATGATGATGATGAGATGGAGGACGACGACGAAGACGAGATGGACGAGGATGATGAGGAAGGCGCCATGACTTTCGACACTGCCGTTCCCGATCTGGTCAACGCACACAATCCCACCAAGGAAAGCTCACGGCGCCAGTTCGATAAGGTCTTCAAGAATGTTACTGAGAATGCCGACGTCGTTCTCTATGTGCTCGACGCCCGCGACCCTGAGGGCACTCGCTCGAAGGAGGTGGAGCGCGAAATCATGGCTGCCGATGCTGGTTCCAAGCGTTTGATTCTCATCTTGAACAAGATCGACCTCGTCCCGCCGCCAGTGCTTAAGGCCTGGTTGATTCACCTGCGCCGCTACTTCCCTACTCTCCCACTGAAGGCATCCAACGGCTCAGGCAATGCTCACTCTTTCGACCACAAGCAGCTGACCGTCAAGGGTACTTCGGATACCCTCTTCCGCGCCCTCAAGTCCTACGCACACAGCAAGCAATTGAAGCGCTCTATTTCCGTTGGTGTCATTGGTTACCCCAACGTCGGCAAGTCGTCCGTCATCAATGCTCTTACCGCTCGTCTCAACAAGGGCTCTAGCAACGCATGCCCCACCGGTGCCGAGGCCGGTGTCACCACCAGCCTGCGTTCCGTGAAGCTTGACAACAAGCTCAAGCTAATTGACTCTCCCGGTATCGTCTTCCCCAGTGCCAACGGAAAGACTGGCAAGAAGTCCAAGGAGAACGAGCAGGCCCGCCTGGTCCTGCTCAACGCTATCCCTCCCAAGCAGATTGAGGACCCCATTCCTGCAGTTAACCTGCTGGTCAAGCGTCTTTCCGCGTCGGAGAATTTGATCGCCAAGATGCTCGAGGTCTACGGTATCACTTCGCTCTTCCCGACAAATGGTGACAAGACTACCGATTTCCTGATCCAAGTGGCCCGCAAGCGTGGTCGTCTTGGAAAGGGCGGTGTCCCTAACATCGAGAGCGCCGCGATGACCGTGATCAACGACTGGAGAGACGGACGTATCCAAGGCTGGGCCAACGCCCCGGTCCTGTCCGTTAACACTGTCGCTGATGTTGGTACAGCCACTGATGCTGGACCTGCTGCGGACACCACCCAGGTCGTTACGGAGTGGGCCAAGGAATTCAAGATCGAGGGCCTCTGGGGCAACGGCGAGGGTGACGACGAGGAGATGGCCGAGTAAATGGCTTTCATCTCTTGCTATCCCATAACGATATCAGCCGTTCTCGTTTGCGATTTCTTTGGATACCAAAAAATAGGCGTTTTCATATATGGATGTTCTAGTTTTCAATCGAAGCATTTGTCAATAAACTCTCGACGACCGCAATTTAAATGAATACTGCACAATTTACCGAAGGTATCTCGTAAAATTAAACCGGGCAAAATACTTTATACCTTAACTCAAAAGAAAAAGAATAAAGTTGTAATCGTATCTACTAGCGCAATGTCTGGAACATGTACTGCGTTCCAGTGTCGGCACGACACCCTGCAGTCCCCACACCGCGCCAATCAATCCCAACCGCCAGCGCGACGCGGATTTCGCGTTTTCATCCTCTCCCCACTCATCTTACCTCAACTCTTCAGCATCACGAGGACCGTCCACTAAAGTCCAATTCAGCCCAGGGACGGGACTACTCAGCAAACACACATTATACCGCCTGGTCCCAAACCAGGACTACCTCGTCCACCCGACCGCACCTCAAGACAGAGAAAAAAGCAAGCTCCTAGACCACGCCCAATATGCCGCCACGCAAATCTACGTCTTCGATGACGCCTGCGGACCCAGATGACACATCGCTCTTGTCACCTGTGGCACCGACCTCTGACAAGCCCATTACTGCGACGGAGCAGCAGATCAAGGCGCGGGCTGAGTTGGGTGTTAGTGTCGATGTAAGCACCTACACTGCTCTCCCTGCTTACACTTTTTCGATCAATATGATATGGAGAGATCTTTATGCAATGCTGCAGGAAATAATGAGTAGAATGCCGAATGCTGACGGCATTTCTGTTAGGACTACCTCCTCCCTCGCTCTTTAACTATTCGTCTGGCGAAATCCGTCCTTCCCCCCAATACCACAATTCAGAAGGATGCTGTCCTGGCTATTCAGAAGGCGGCTACGGTATTTGTTTCGTATCTATCCTCACAGTATGTTTATATCCCTTTCAATCCAATCCCTAGTCATAACCCAAGATCATCCGCATCTCCATCTTCACTTCTATCTTTACTTCTACCTGATCTGATCCTTGTGACCAATGACAACAGTGCCAACGACGCGACCCTCAAACGAACCCTCGCTCCCGCAGACGTCTTCGCCGCCCTCTCAGAAATAGAGTTTGATTCCTTCCGCGGCCGATTGGAGCAGGAGCTTGAAGCATTCACGGAGATCAAGGCCGGCAAGCGGAAGGTGAAGAAGGCTGATGCGAATGGTGCTGGCGCTACCGATGTGGTCGCCGCTGCGGACGAGGATGTTGAGATGGTGGATAACCCGGCTAAGAGGGTGAAGCGTGATGGGGAGGATGCGGTGCAGGAAGGTGGAGATGGAGATGAGACGCAGGAGGAGGAGTTGGAAGAGGAGGAAGAGGTTCACCATGAAGAGGATGAAGAGGAGGAGGAAGATGAGGAGGAAACGCAGGAGAGGGTTGATGAGGATATTGATCGGGTAGAGGATTTGGATGGGACTGTTAGACCTACTGATCCGGATGCTGAGGATACGGATGATGATGATGATGGACCAGCCAGTCAGTTGCGTGATGATCTTGGACTTGGCTAAGGTTGATTCAGGCCTGGATGTTAGATAACCTTCGGGGGAGGAGTGTGCCCGAGATGTTCCAAGTCATGTTGGCATTCCGAGACCTGGACTGGGGATGGTGATAGTAGGAGTTCAGTTAAAACCGCTGTAATATATACTATAATGATGAATGGCTTCATGCGCTCTATTCCACCTGCCTGGCAATACTTTGAATCAAGAAGAAGCAGACAGAAGCGAGAAATTGCAATGGTATACGTAGAAGCGAAGATATAATTCCAAGCCCGATAGAACAATATCTGACCAAAGACCTCGGACCGCATGCGAGCCAATCCGGGCTTGGATGAAAACCATAGCCAAATCCGCTAATGAAACACCTGAATCACTATGAAAGCAGAATTGTAAACTAAGTTGCACTCCCCTGAAATCATACACCGAACTTGCCCCCATATGCAGTGTGCCCGAAGCAACACCAACAGCAATCAAATAGAAACCATCAAGCCCCCAAACGCCCGCGCCGCCCCATGCATGAAACCGTAGTCTATCATTGGTATCTTTCGAGAAGAACGAAGAAAAAAAGACAACCTCTTCCCAGAGACATTCGGAAGAAGCAGCAAATTGAAGAGGGCCCCTGGAAGGGGAAAGAAGAAGGGGAAAAGGCCGAAGCGCCATCTGAACATACACCATGCAGTGATGAACAAAGTAAATGAAATGAGAAAAAAAATCATGGTCGAGAACATGGCATGATCAATAACAGAATGACAGTGCTTTAGCTGCGACACGCCCTGCCAACGGGGAGAGGGTTTATCTCAGTGACACCCTTATCAGCAGATTTGCGGGCAAGGTTGGGAAACACGGCGCTAGCCAGCACCTTCGGCTTGTTGGCAACTTGCTTCTCTGCGGAGACACCGACTGTAGCAGATTTGCCAACAGTAGTGTAACTGGTAATCTGCGTTGGCTTTACAGGTGCAGATTTGCCACGGGGCTTCTTGGCTCCCGTGCCAGCGACCTTCTTGCGGGCCGCTGGCTTGGCCAGGGCTTTCTTTGCCTTGGAAGGTCCCAGAATATCCTTGATCGGGCGACCCTTGCTTGCCGGGAGTTCGAATTTGGGGACCTTCCTGATCGGTAGCTCTGCCTTCTCGTCATTGCTGGCTGAAGGTGTGAGCAGGCCAGTCTCAACTAGTGGTCGCTTCCGTGGGGTACTAATGACGACTGCGATATTGCCAGACTCTGTTTCGGAGGATTCCGAGTCTGGACACTCCTTGATTCCGAAGACGGGCTCTGGCAACAAAGATTCGTAGGGGGTGGAGTCTTCCCAGCTCTTGAGTCCCACGAGGTCCGCGACCTGGTCCGTGGATCCTTGCACAATCAGATCGAAGCAGTTCTCGAACTCTTTGCCCACTGGAGGCTCGTTGTTGATGAACATGGTGACACCATCCTTTCGAGTCCGGATGACAGCGCAGAGACTCTTCACGAGGCGTCGAACTCCAGGAATCTTGAGGCTGGTACCGGCAACAACTAGGACACGAGGGCGTGACTTGACATCCGAGTTCATGACGGATGTGATTGCCTCCTCATCGGGGTTGTGCTCGTTGTAAAGGACAATCCGTGGCCGAAGGCGTCCTACACCATGGCTGCGCTGCTCAGCAATCCGGCGGGCTCTGTCGTTCTCCGCGCATTCCCCGCACTCTGGTGGGTCAGTTTCCAAGAACATGTTGGGGTCGAGATCTGATGTGAAGCGGCATTTCTGGCACACCATTTTTTGAATGCTGCCGTGAAGCTGAATAGTAACCGGCCATCGGCCCTTGATGTTGAGGGGGATTTCTGTTTGTAGCGGCGCCATTGATGTCTCGATTCCGTCGATGTTCTGGGTATACAGGCGCTTCAGACGGTTCTCCTTGCCCAACCGGGCAAGCATTTGGTGGAATTTAGTTGGAGTGGTCTTTTCGGACTCAATGTTAAGCGACCGGACTAGTTCGTGGAAGGGCGCCGTCAAGGCGTCATCCTGATAGACAGCAGCATCAAATAAAAGTTTACCAGATGCTTTCAAGTTATGCTTCTTCTGTAGAGACTTGAACAGACCATCTGCGGAGCGAAAGTCCGGAACTATATGTGCGGGTTAGCTGTGGCGTCCGAAAAGGTAAAATGCGGGAGAAAACTTACTACCCGCGGAAGTGGAGATGCCAGCTCCGGCGATCACGACAATATCTTTTTGGTGACGGAGGGTTTCGACAAGTAATCTAGCCTGGTCCTTTTGGCTGTCGGATGATTCAGATAGCTTGAGATACTGGGTGGTGCGCTCCTTGGGTAGGGGGTTGCGTCTCCTCTTTTTCGCGGGAGGACAGTCTTGGCGCGTAGAATCCTCACCCTCCTGGGATGACGGCGTCAGGTACCGGGCCGCAGGCTCTGGCGAAGACCGTGGAGACGAGGCTAAGGAGCTCATATCTGAGCAGTCTGAAACCTCATATTCCATGATGATGAATATCCTTGGGGGAAAGGTAGAGAATTAAAGGGCCTATGCCCCTGTGGTTGAGCAGACTCGGAGGGGCCAGGTAGATGAAGATCAGAGGGGTCCTATTCAACGTCGATAGATTCACAAATCAGAAGAATTGTGAATCATCGAGTTTTTCAGGACACAGAAGTAGTTGTCGCAGGCCAATGGAGTGGGAAATATACAGATTGAATGGTGGAAGGGGTGGTAGGGTCGAGGAGGAAGGAGGGTGGAAAGGGGAGAGGTGCGATGAGGTCAGCTGTCGGGGGGGGGGGGATCGATATTAAAGTAGAAATTGGGGAGAAAAAATAAAAATCCACAAAGGAAAAAAAGTCCAGAGGTAACGGGCCGCTTGTTCGAAAGCTTTGTTTTGACCCACGGCACCCGAGTTGCGGAGGATTTAGACGTCGAGGAATGTGGTCGTGACGAACAACGCAGTTGATGCCCCAAACCCCCCGGTATGTTGGGCGAATGAGAAGTGCGGGACAGTGATTCGATGATGCGCTTGTTTCGAAGTAACATCAGAATCGGATTGGGGAACATTCACTGATCTTCCCTTTAGCTAGATACTAGTAGAAGCTCTATTGGGTTCGTCCGGAAGATAAAGACCTTCAGGCAGGTTTACAGTGAGAATATATACACCAGCGTTACGAGATCTCCCGAGTCGCTCACGTTGTTTTCTTTTCCTCTGTGTTTTCTTTGCATTGTGGTTTTTTCGTTCGCGATTTGGATATTGCAGCGAGCGTGATGATTGGTGCTGCGGGATGTGGAGATATCGTCAGTGCTGTGATTGGTCAACGCCGGTTGGCAGGGCTACCGTCACCTGATGTCACTGGTGACTAAGCCGAGTCGAGATCGCGTGTTTGAGAAGAATTGAAGATGCGATTGGAGTGAATAGGGAAAGTATAGATATAGTATTGTATATCTTCTAAGGGCACCGAGTGAAGCTATATATTCAAACAGAAAGCCAAGAACATCTCTTTGACACCGCCCTGTCATCAAATAGCGGCTGGGATCCTTGGGTCCTTGTTTGATTTCCCCCCTCCCAACGGAGCCGCCCGGTCATCGTCTATCAGGGCCGGTCTAGATCGACAACCATTCAAGTTATGCGGGGTTGAACTCCATTCGCCTACTGTGTGGATGTGCTCTTGTCCGTGATTAGATCCACAGAATGCCATTGATCATGGAACAGGGCCTCAATGTCGATGATCTCTTTGGGGAGTCCGGCTCCCTCGAGCTGGGCTTGCCTGCGGGTCCACCCCCGACCAAAGGCTTAGCACAATGTCAGGATGAAATGCGTCTCTTAGGGTGTCGTCAGTGAGTGGTCTTTGTCGGAACATACTTATTTCGATGCACTCTTCAATTTACTGACTCTCTATCTAGGAAAATTGCCTGGTCTCGACTGGGATGTATCGCATATATCTCCGCAGATGGACTGCAGGTCAATTTGCGCCATCTGAATTCCAGTCCTTCGAATGGAAAATGGGTACTGAGCGAGGAAACTACACTCGCTCCGGTCGCGGAGACCCATGGCGGTAATCAGCTCGTCCACCTGTCCTGGAACGAGTCTGGTTCGGAAATGGCGGTCGTGGACTGCCTGGGACGAATTTCCATCTATTCAATCTCAATAGCTTTGAACAGTATCACAGGTGTACGGCAGGCCAATTTTGATTCAAGTGATGATAGTAACCAAATTGTTGGCATGATGTGGCTTAACACCCAGCGAATGGTACGCTTTTCATGTCTACTTTTACATATGAAACTTGTCTGATACACTTACTAGGTACATGCCTTTCACCAAGCAGCCAAGGTTAATGGCCGTTGGGCCTACTCTCCCTTTCGTCGCCGCCCAATTGGTCCCTTTAATCCCGCCAATAAAGGTGCACTGATCTGTGTCACCCGAGCAGGCCAGATCCGGCTCATCTTCCAAAATCCAGACAGCAAATGGACTGAACTACCTGCGGAGCTAAAGAACACCGGGTATTCAGACAGGCTATTGACCCATGCCTCTATCGTTGCAACTCAAAGTTAGACCTTCCTATTACTCCCGCGAGGGTCATCGACTAACAATTCGAATAGCTGGTATCTTGGTTGCAACCTACTCCGTATGCCAAAAAATATGCCTTTACCGAGTACAAATATCCTGGAACCCCCCACAGTGGGATACCACTCAAGGGAAACAAGCCCAATTTCCCATCCCATCATTCGCCTTCCTGCATTGCAAGATTGACATGCCGAGTAGTATCTTGGATGTCAACCGGGGTTCCCAGCAACATACGGATAACCCATTACCATTTCACAATTCCGTTTATTCATTGAATTGGTTAGAGATCATGCCTGGTCAAATCGATAGCCCAACGGGATCAACGGCCAACCCCTGGATCCTTGCTGTGTTTGCCAAGCCGCTTCACTCCACACCTGAATATCCAGACCAACAAGGACCTTCTAGTGTCATTGTTCGATGGCAATTGGAGAATGCCCCTCAAGCCTTCCACCCCAAGTTTGACGAGGTCGCACCGAAAAAGAGCAATGCTCAGGCCAAGGTATGTGCTTTCGTAATACATCCCAGGTCCACGAAGCCAGCTGACATGCATAAAGTCCAAGATGGAGTTGCGTCGGCTAGACGACATTCACTGCCATAAATACATCGTTTCCGTGGATATAGTGGAGCACGGAACTGCTCTGGCTGTCACACATGATGACAGCTCGATTACATTCTATGATACACGGACGATGGCCGTTTTCAACGGAATGGATGATGCTAGCACAGTGACCTGCCTAGCTCAAGCTGGATTCCAGTTCCCGATGGACTCAGCCGGTATGTGACCGGAACCATTATTTAACATGTGCCATGGCTCACTTGTATAGGTATCTCAATTGCCTTTTCTCCAAATGCCTGCGTTGCCGTCACGCTAGATGCAGAGGGGCAAATACATATGAGGTCGATGGAACATCCATTTGGATCCAATGACGGCCTCTATGACGATAGTATGGACTACCTCTCTGATAATCGAAGAGCACAAGACGCTAATGCGAAACCAGGTAAATTTTCATCCGCCATTGCAGCACTCACTCTTGCCTTCAGTCGTGGATGTGGAGCCGAGGTCAACACAGACGATATTTTGATGGTTGCTCTAAAGCGACTTACGCCTGGTATGTCCTGTCAGTTGTCCAGAGATGAAAAGGGACTAAAGATAGCAACAGAGGCTCAATCAACACTTATCGGCGAAGTGTATCGTGCTTTGCCTGTGAATTGTAACTTCACCGTTGAAACCGAAAAGCTCATGACACATCCATATATTCCTCGATGTCTGAGCTTACAGGCTGCTTTGGGCTACAAGGGAAGACTCAAGCGCCGAAACCTCTCATCTGCTGTCCCGTGGGCCATTATTCAGCTTCGCCATGCTGCTGTGCTGATTGCATACTTTTTCCAACATGGGAACAAAGGGCAGAGCGAGGCACATGATCCAGGTAAGGAAGGTCCAATGCCAACCAACACCAGGCTAAGTACAGCTAACCACATTCAAAGAAATCCTACAAATGCTTTTAGGCAATATAAAATGGGTCCTAGACTTCACCCACTTCATCTTGAGCGAGGCATTCGACCTTGCCGACGAATTCGATGTTCTCTTCACCGACCAAGAAGCCTTTACTCAGAAATGTAACTACAATCCCCAACACTTTAAAAAGAACAAGATTACTTACTTCTCTTCCAGTGAGAACCGTCAACTCCGTCTCCCTCATCGTCCTCCTCTCCAGCATGTCCCGCGCCTTCCTCCGCTTCATCTGCCGCGGCCTCCGAGGCGTCCTCGGCGGCTTCACGCAAACAAACCCAGCGTCAATCCCCAGCGCCTCGAGAGTCTACTACACCGAGATCTGTCAAATCCTCCAATCCTCTCCCGTCCGCATTGACATCTACGAAAAGTTCCTAGCAGGCGTCGACTCAGCCGTGAAACACGCCTACCAAGGCTCCGGCTTCGGAGACGCAGAAAGACCAGGTCCAGAAAAGGAACTCCTCGTAAATGCACGCATCCCACCCGTTCTCGTGACAGCCGTCGCAACCCTCCTTCGTCAAACAGTCCCTTCAATGAAATCAGAGATCAACCGCAAAGATATTCTCCTGGGCGATTATAGCTGGCTTGGTTTCGGGACTGATGTTCGTACGGCGATGTATCGTCGGCAACGGGAAGTTGATATTCTGAAGAAGGTCCCGCTGAGGCCGCCGCTCGCTGTTGGACGGAATGGGAGGGTTATTCAGCAGCAGAAGAAACGAAGATGCGTGCGCTGTGGTGAGGTCTCTGGGGATGTGGCTTTGCCTAAATCTTTGCCTTATTTCAAGATGATCGCTAAGTTGAATTTGTTGCGTTGTTGTCCGTGTGGGGGTTTGTGGATGTTGGAGTCAGAGCCTAGGGAGAGGGCCAATAACGTGGCGAATGGGCAGCATGTTCCTGTGAGGACGCCGGCTGCTGTGGCTGCTGCACTAGGGTAGAATTACTTGGATATTTCTTTAGATTCCCATTATCGTGTTGAATGAATTGTTTAGGTTGGACCGTTGTTCAACCTATGTATCAAATGGAGTACATGGAGTACTTGTATACGACCTAGTACAGGGCTCATGTCTACGTAGACAATAGACACAAAGAGTAACCTTACCATAGTTAACTCTGGGCCATAGATAGGTATCAGAATCACATCCAAATCCAAGAACAGCGCCATGGTTGAATACGTCTAATGTCTACATCCACAGGCACGTCTGGAAAATCGAATGTCTAAGTCATGTCATGTCAAGAGTCAATTTGCATCCACCTAAGATACATAATCAAATTCCATTTTTTGGATAAAAAAAGAGAAAATCGACCCTGCCCAAGGTTTCAGGTCCACACTTTCACACGTCCTGTTTTATGTGTCCAAGGGCAAGTAACGTCTTCCCACAAACTCCAGATCCATTGTTTTTAGAAAACTTAAGCCTGTTTTAAAGTTAGTGGTTGTTCTGGAAATGATAGTGGATTGCCAGCGTAGGACGTAGTCATGGAAGATAAGAGTAGTGTAGTGGGGTATTCCGAGTAGTAAACCCATCAACCCACAATACACCATCACATCTGCCAAAAAAACCACATCCCGCAGATGGACATTCATGGACAGACTCATACCTTAACGGCGTACTTCCGCTGGGGGAAGTGGATCTCACGCTTGCGCTGGCGCTCGGTGGTGCGGGTAGCCTCGTGCTTGGTGAGCTTGCGGCGCAGCTCACGGGTGAGCTTGGGGCGGAGGTCGAGCGGCATGTACTTCTTGTTCTTGTAGAACAGACGCAGCTGGGCGCGCTGGTTGGCGTTGATGACGGTGAGGACACGAGCGATCGACTTGCGGACGTCGTGGCTACAAAGTGGACCACATGTTAGTATTTCCGAAATTTCAAGATTTCATAATATCCGCAGAATTTCTCATTGCGAGTCGGTTCCATCGGGGATTGTGCAGGCGTTGTTGTCGATAGTCAATTCTAGTGTTGTGATCCTGAAGGTTTGCCTCCTCTTTCAAGAAATTTTTTTCGATGTTCGCCGCCCGATCGCACAACCCCCTCAGTTCCCCCTCGAAAGTCGAATCGTTGGAATAGGAATGTCGGTCGAATACGCACATCCGCAGGGTCTTGGAAGAAGCACCGTTGGTGATCTTCTGAACGCGGAGGTTGTTGAGCTCAGTCTTCAACTCCTCGAGCTGCTGGGAGAGCTCCTCCTTGTTCTTGCCCCAGAGCTGACCAGCCTTGACCTTGGACGACTAGAAAAAACATAACGATCAGCTGCGATGTTCCGATATAGCGATGGCGTTACGACATACCATGGTGACTGATGTGTGTGCTGGGTTGTCGGCGTTGAGAATTGAAGATGTCCGAGTCAGTCAAATTGTGGTTGTGGGACTAGGGCTAAGCGAGTTGGCCGCACTAAACGGAGCACGTGATGAACACCAAAGTTTCATGGTTGGTGCCTGGAATATTGGGTGTCACTCTGTCAGGCCATCAGGCACAAAGGGGCCTTCCATATCGGGTTAGTGCAGGCGGTGCACTTACGTCGTCTCTGCTGGATTGTCCGGGGTGAGAACTAAAGAAAGAACTGACCAGGTATCGGCAAAGAGCTCAAGAATTCCTTCAGGTATTTCCTGATATCTTGCCTTCCATGACGTCCACCAGCTCCGGTTGGTCGCAGCTTCGCCAGCAAGCCCGCTCCCTTGAGACTCAGGTACCATAACCCAATCCGGTCGAGCTGGCCGAGGCATTTCAGAAAGGACGAAACATTGACCTAAAGCTTCACACAGACCGAAAACCTCTTCCATACTTATGCACAATTCGCCTCTCTCACAAAGCCTCCACCAGAACCCACAGATGAGGAGCTGCGGATTGAATCCCAACTGAAAGACCTCCTTGAACGAGTAGGTCCCCACCATCCAAAATCTATACCATATGTGACAATTACCTTATGCTTACCCTCACAGCGTGATGCCCTAATCGCTCAACTATCTCGCCTTCTTGACTCCGAAGCTACCCTCACATCTTCCGCTCTAAAACAGAGTAATCTCTCCCGCCACCGTGAAGTTCTTCAAGACCACCGTCGCGAGCTCCAAAGGCTGAACTCCGCCATCGCTGAGGCACGCGACCGTGCCAACCTTCTCTCCAATGTACGCTCCGACATTGATGCATACCGCGCATCGAACCCTAGTGCCGCCGAGGCTGAATACATGCTTGAGGAGCGCGGCCGGGTCGAGAATAGCCACAACATGATGGACGGAGTCCTAAGCCAGGCATATGCTATCAATGAGAACTTTGGCGTGCAGCGTGAAACACTCGCCAGCATTAACCGGCGTATTGTCGGTGCTGCCAGTCAGGTCCCGGGTATGAACTACCTCATGACCAAGATCGGGACGAAGAAGCGGAGAGACGCTATAATCTTGGGATGTTTCATTGGGTTCTGTTTCCTAATGCTGCTTTACTTCCGGTAACGGCGCCGGACCTGCCCTTTGTTCATTCGTCTTTGTTTCCTATAATTTCTCTGCTTCTCCCGTTACAGCCGTCCAGCGTCTTCCAGGGTTCTTCTATTCTTCTGCTTATTTTCATTGAGGCGTCCGGGTTGGGCATTTCCCTAAATCCCTGTTCAACAGGAATGTTGATAATATTGCACTTGGTTTGCGATGGCGTCTGATGTCTATTCTTTTCTTCTGTTATACACATTCTCTATTACTATGTACAAATCCAATGGAGAGGGGATTCGCGGCATACCCACAAAATCTTACACAACAATTGAACAGGCCGTAGGCTCTGCCCTTTTCTCACTTAACGACGAGCCGATGACTGCAACTCAACAGCAGCCTTTTGCTCGGCAATCAACTTTTCCAACGCAATATGCATGGCCTCCACCTCGTCGGGGTGAGCGGGCCCACTACCTGCCCACCGAATTCGACAATCGGCATCAACAAGATAAACGTATCCCACGAATTTATTCACCATACCAACCGCCTCCTTCAAGGACTCGTCAAATCCCTTCTCAATCAAAAAATAGCGCGGGTGCTGCTCGACTGGGAACTTCTTGCGCACGCCACCCAAAAACCGCTTTACTAGCCATGCCTTCATGCGATTTTCCTCGAGATTGAGATCGACTCTTTGCGCATACTTAGAATTATTCGCAAGCAGTTCCTTCAGCGCCGGATTCCTGTCTTCGCCTGAGAAATTGCCGGTGAATGTAGTTGTTTGCTCCTCACCCCATAGACTGCAGAAGAGGTTCACGACGCTAACTTTGCCTCGGAAGATAGCTGTAGTATCTTGAGGATCTTTTGGAGAGGCGAGAGTTATGCCGTGGAGGTTGGGGAAGTAAAGAGCCTTGTCGGCGCGGAAGAGTCGTGGGTTCGAGATGAAGGTTTTACCCTTGTGGTATTGCAAGTTTGACCATTCGCGGAAGTAGGGCTTTGCGACTAGTCGAGTTCTGCAGCGGAGAGACCCTCATTAGCTTCTAGACTCGGTCATTGTTGTGTGTATCTGCGCTGGTCCGGGGGCGCAGTCTAAGGGATGCTTGGCGATTCGACATACAGTTCCTTCCGGCGCGCGATATGCTTATCGTAGTCGACAAAGTCATCGCGTCGTTCCTTAATTGTACGAGAATCGACACCTGTATTCTCTCCCACTTCTGGGGGGGCTGCTGCGCCGATCGGACGACTCAATACTGGGGGTACGAAGTCCAGGTCGCCTGGTTTGGAAGATGGTTTGGGGGTTGGGGTCGGGTTCTGTTGGAAAGGAACGGAGCGTCGAAGGGGTTGTGCCTCCCTTTGTGGACGAGGAGAGATCTTGAATTCAGCATTGCTAGCATCGCTCGAGGGTTTCGTGCTGTTGGTCGTGGCGTATTGGCGTATAGAGCGGAGGTTCGAAAGGGTTCTGGTGCTGCGGAGTTGGCAGCCCAGGCACCGGTTGCTTTGGAAGATTGCCGGCTCCAAAACCTGGTAGACGGAAATTGATGACCTCCACATTTTGAACGAAGGTTATTGATGGAAAGTCAATGGGTTCAGTCGCAAGGTTACAGCTCCGGCATCAAAAATTCCCGAACGGGAAAATGAAGGTCACCTGATCAGATTCTGTGAGCGATATCTTGACCTCGAAAATGCCTTTCCGTTATTGGTTATGAAGATATTTATACTGTCTTGCTTGATCTGCTCAGCATCTATTTGGTCTATCTTGATAATACGAGCCGATTCTGTGCAAAGCTAGAGATAGGAATGGTTCTGGAGGTTGTCTTTACTATAACCAGGCTAGCTATCAGAAAATATACCGGCGACTGGACACAAATCACACTGTGAGCACACAGCATTTGTTCACTATTGAATAAAACAATAGACTAAATCATTCATGACTTAAATCAAACATACATTTAGGTCCAAATTGTAAGACGAAAGCGAAATATAGCATTGTACGGATTCGGATAAATAGACTTTTTCCGTGACCTGGTAATAATTTCGCGTGTCGTGGACCGCGATCCACGCCGTCGACCAGACAACTGCAGTGTCGGAGCTGCCTAAAGTGACCACCATTCTGACTTCATTTTGGAAACTAAGATGAATCATCTATGGATCATACATACTTGCCTAAATCGGACGCCAGACTAACCGGCCATGGAGGAGGAGCAACTTAGCAAGAGGAGATTCTTTGCAGCCCTCGAAAGACTAGATCACCTCGACGATACTGAGGATGATGAAGAGGGCTCCTTTGAGCGTGTTGCCGTTCTGAAACCCTCAGGAATTCCAATACCAACCGCCGCGAGTGTCTCACTTTCCCCAGAGCCTCCAGCACTGGAAATACCTGCCCGGGCGAGCTCAGATCCGAAGCCACCACCCACAGACAAACTTGGACTGAAAGAAAAAACCAGAGTGAAGAACCTCCGAAGGACTGAGCAATCGAGAAAGGTTGAGCCATCGACTGAACCCAAAGTGAGAAGTGTTCAGCGTGGACACACTACCGGAAGTATGCCGGACATAACGAGTAGAGGCCCAATCCCAAAGAAAAGAAAGCCAAACAAAAACATCAAAGTGGTTCCTGAAGATCAGCAGATTTTCAAACACCTGGTATTCTGTGGGTAGCTCAGCTACGTTCTCAACGCGAGCTTTTGCTAATAGCTCCAGTCTTCTTCCCAAACAATGACGTCTCTCCATCTCGTCGACTTCGGATCCAACGAGCCCAGGAGTATGGTGTACAATGGGCCCAAGAAAGACCAGACAAAGTGACCCATATCATTGTGGACAAAGGATTGTCATATCGGGATCTTGTCACCCACCTTAAGCTGGATAATTTTCCTGTTAGTGGATACTCACTCGGAGCTTTCTTTTGAACCCAACTTACACGATGACAGGAAAAAGTTTCTATAGTCAATGAGCTATATCCATCAGACTGCATTAGATTCCGCTCGGTCTTGAGCCCATGCTATGGTCGGTTTCAAGTCGAGGGAACCCCGGTGGTTACCGAAAAAAAGACACCAGTTGTACCAGAAGAACCGGAACCTGCGTCCTCGAACTCTTTACCTCTGAAGCAATCCAAACGCGCACAAGAGCAGGACCAAGGGTCAACTCAACGTTCTCATGAAGATAGCTCTCCTGTCGCTCTTCCTGCATCGACAGCACTAATCAGTGAGCCCGTGCAGAATATTATCCGTGACGAAGAGACTCGGGAAAGGGATGCCCTAGATGACTTAATTGATGACACTAGAGCTATTAGCCATTTGGTGAATACCCAAGTATACCCGGATTAGGATTGATTGCTGACAATGATTATCAGCCTCTCGATTATTTCGACTCTCACGATGAAGGCACAGATGATGCAGATAATGAATCAACTGCATCGGAGTCTGACACACTTCGAAAGTCCCCTGAATCATCCAAAGTGGAAAGGACGGAATCTTGGGCAAAGAGCTTCGCGTGTATGCAGAAGTTCGACCCTGACATGCGAAACAATAACCCCAACAGCAAAACCATCGAAATCCTGCAGCAAATGTGCGATTACTATGAACGCACCGCCGATCACTGGCGCAACTTTGCCTATCGAAAGGGAATCAATGCTTTGCGGCGTCAAAAGGAGAAGATTGTTACACAAAAGCAGGCCCGGGCTATTCCTGGCATCGGAAAGCGATTAGCGGGCAAGATCGAGGAGATCGTGCTGACCAACCGACTCCGCCAATTTGACAATACAAATTACACCGCCGAGGATCGTATCCTCCAGGAATTTCTCGGGGTCTATGGCGCTGGTCTTTCTCAGGCGTCCAAATGGCTGGCCCAGGGATATCGGTCCCTCAGCGATCTTCTCGAGAAGGCCAGCCTAACCACAAATCAGCGCATTGGGGTGGAGCACTATCATGACTTTATGCAGCGAATCCCACGTAAGGAGGTTGAAGCCCACGGGGCGTTCGTCCGGAAGGCAGTACAGTCAGTGGATCACGACCTGCAGGTGATCATTGCAGGTTCTTACCGCCGCGGGGCACTGGACTCGGGAGACATCGATATCCTCATTACCAAGCCGAATGCCTCGATAGACCAGGTTCGGTCTTTGATGAAAGACACAGTCATTCCCAAATTATTCGAGGATGGATTCCTTCAGGTAGGGCTTGCCACTTCACGAAAGCATAATCACGATGGGTCTAAATGGCATGGCGCATCGACTCTTCCCGGTAGCCCGATCTGGCGGCGCATCGATCTACTCTTTGTGCCTGGGGCAGAAATTGGAGCGGCCTTACTCTACTTTACCGGGAATGACATTTTCAATCGTAGCATGCGACTCCTAGCTCGCAAGAAAGGCCTTTGTTTGAATCAGCGCGGGCTCTATGAAAATGTACTACGTGGCGCGCAGCGAGCGAAGGTCAGTCCGGGCCGATTGCTTGAGAGTCGGGATGAGCATCGGATTTTCTCATTGCTGGGAGTGCCGTGGCGACCTCCTGAGCACCGAATATGTTGAATGGGCTTGATCATGGTTTATAGGTATTTTATTCCGGGGGAAATTTTTTATTTTTAAAGAAATTACAAATAAATCCATAAAACAAAACAGTCCAATAGAATAGGGTTGAAAGTACATCTAGGAAAAATGCCCGCAGCAATTATGTGTGGGTTGGAAAGTCAATGTAGAATCAGAAAGTATTCTACCAGAGGAGGAATTTTCCCTTCTACGCTCCCCAAGTGTGACCTTCGACTCGTCATTCTCTGTCCCTTTGTCTCCATCCCCTTGATCTCCCATAACATCTTCTCTTCCCTGACATCACTTCCCTTTCTCATCCACCGCCTTGGTTCCCCATCACCGCCTTTTCATCCACTCATCACCGCCTTGCGTGCGGTGAAGCCGTCGCGTTGTCTTTTCCCCCTTGTGCCTCCCAGACCGCCCTCTACTGCCCCCCAGTTTTGCCGCACATCTCGTTGCGAGAGACATTATTTCTCGCAAGTCGATTCAGGCTACGCCTGACCTTCTTTGGTCCCGACTTCTTTGGATCTTGGGCGTGGGCATACAGTGCCTCATCGACCCCCTCCGGTCCATTCGCCCCCATCGTAATCTCACCCAGACCGCGTCTTGTTGTGGTGGGTTGGATCGCGTCTTTGCCATCGAATTCTGGAAAAAACATTAGACTGCGATTGAACAGAAACAACAACATCGACTCTCTGAAGCGAGGGTTGGTTTGGAACACTTCAACAAACCCTTCACCCCACATCTCCTATATTTGTCCCGTGCAAAATGGGACGCAAACCCAACCAACTCATCCTCGAGTTCTTCAACCGAGGCCCCAAGCTCGAGGACTCTAGCAACCGCTACCAGCACACCTGCAAGGCCTGTGGTGAGCGATTCCCCAAGGGCCGTATCGATAGCCTCACCAACCACCTGGTCAAGAAGTGCCAGGCCATTCCCCTCCGTGACCGCCAGCGTGTGCTTTTGCGACTCCACGAACTCCCCGACCTGACCGAGGACGCAAACAAAGATCCCAACGCGCCGGCTGGTAAAAAAGGAGACGGGTTCCCCAATCCGAACCGTCCGAACTTTGATGGTCTGAACGTCTTGGCTGAGGCTTCCCGCCAGGTAGGTGCGTCTGACACCACCAAGCGAGGGCCCGCATACACCCAGTCTGTGACGGCCGGTGGCAAGACAGTCATTGTCGATCCGGCACTTGAGGCCGAGGGCTTTCAGGGACAGAACCAGGAGGAAAAGGGAGAGGACCACGCAGGTATGTCGACTGCCTGATTTTTGTGAGCTTCATGGATACTAACAGTCAATACCCAGGTTCACAAACCTCCAACCCTCCCGCCATTCCGGCCCTTCCCAGTCATACCTCAGGCGATCACGCATCTATGTCACCAACCCTTGGTGATAACTCCATGACTCCCGAATCCGCCTCCAATGCGCGCCAGTCCCTCTCGATGATCGCAGCTTCAGCAAATGAAATGGTTCCCCAGGGAGGTTTGATGGACGGCGATCATCTTGGTGATATGAAAATGGGTCAGTGGAATCAGCAGCTGTCGACTCAGGAACAACTGCTCTTCGACAGCTTGCAAGAGCACGACCCAACTTTGACGGCTGCTACCCAGCGTGCTGCTTCTTACCCGCGTCCCATTGCCATGAATCCTAACACACAAGCCAAAGGCTTTGTGAACGAGTTTGGCAACTCGACCAAGCCAACAAAGCCCAAGGTGCGGGGTCGTTTCACTGCTGAGCGACGTCGTGAGGTTCAAGAAGTGCGAAAACGAGGCGCTTGTATTCGTTGCCGTATGCTGAAGAAACCTGTATGAATCACTGTCAGTCTCACGAAGGAAGCTTTTACTAACGATATTCATAGTGCTCAGGGGATACCCCCTGTACTACCTGCGCTAGTGTCGAAAGTGCTCGACTCTGGAAACACCCTTGCATTCGAACTCGTCTGTCTGAAGAGTTCGAGCTTTACAATGCCAGTATGTATTTCTGGTTGTCCCATAAAGATTCCCACTGACACCTTGCAGACTTGCATGCTACCCTTGCCTACCATGATACCAATGCCATTAAGAACCAGGTCAAGTTTGAAATGTATGTTGGTCGTATGGAGGCGACCCACTTCGAGGAGAGCAGGGTGTTTATCACTATCAACGGTCTTCGAGGCCATCACAATTCGGTTTCCGCCCTCGACCCCGCGCTTCAAGGCCTGGGTGATGATCAGTTCCCTGGTCCCTCCCATGAGATTTATCTGCTGGACAGTGACTCCGATGATATCCCAAGCAAGCTCGAATTGTACATCAAGAAGACTGCACCATTCTTCTTTGAGCGTGAAACCTCGACTTTCATGAAGCCCACTTTACTCCTGTCTGCTGAACTGGGACAGTCGAAAAAGGACACTTTGCTTGAACGTGCAGTTGAGTTGTGGGTTGCCACCCATATCCTGGTTGATACCGAACTTGGATGGAAGGTGTACCAAAACCCTAATCTCCCCCCTACTACGATCCATGGCCTTGCTCAGCCCACCGACGAGGGCCGTGTGCCAATTGAGGAGGTCTCAGAGCCCGAGTCATACGGCTTGCTATGCAGCCAGCTTCGTGCTGCCATGGAGAAACGTGCCATGCAGCTGAGCAAATCAGTTATCAATGACCTGGAGCGTCGTCTGCTGCAACGCCAGAAGACTGGCTGGTTCGAAACCTTCCTTGTGGCCATTGTACTACTGAACTGCGTAGAGCGTACATGCTGGCTCTTCCGCTCCTGGGATAACGAAAGCTTCTCTCAGCGCTGGCCCCTGGACAAGCGTCCTCCTTACTACTACGCCCAGTCCGAGCAGTTCGCAGACATCTTGCACATGCTATTGCGGATGCGCAGTCTCCCACCCAAGACTACCGTTCGCCCCGAGAATGGCTTTTTGAAGGCTGCCGAGGGCAGTGACGAAAATGCCGTGCGCTGGTTTGACATGATCCAGATCTCTCGTATGTCCAACCCTTCCATTTCCTGATATTTCACCCGCTAACTTGTTTCTCAGCCTACTACCTCGAGGAACGTGTCAATGCACTCTTCGACCCCTCCGACTCCCGCTCCCTTGACCTCCACCACAGCGCCCGGTTGCTGTTGCCGGCCAACTCTTGAAATCCAAGCGCCTTACCGTCAAATCTGAATCAGTCTTAGCTTTTCGATGTTTTTATTTTCTTTATCTTTTAAGGATTTATTTTTATCACACGTTCTTACTGGAGGATGTTTCATTGCGAAGAGAGGAAACAAAAGGAATTGCATGCAAGCTCGAATCCTGTTTTATGAGACCCTAGTGTCTTTTGCTTCTGTGGTGTTGAGGGGTTTTGGTGTGATTATCGACTGATAACTGGTAGCCTTGAATGTTTTAATACTCGACTCATCTCTGTTCCATGTATGTAGCTGGCCAGGTAGATATTTGAATGGTTATTCCCTCTATATCTTATGGTCAGGTCATGTGGCTCATTGCATATAAAACCCAGGAGGCAATCACGCACCTGGAATTTTCTCTTCACACATCTCCAGATTCGGTAATTTTGACATATAGATGTTATATCAACTTCGAATGTAACCATATATCACCTAGATTATCTTTTTTAACCGATGAACTTCGTTCTCGATTTGAGCGTCAACATCATAATTATCCTCTTCTCCCCTTAGTGGAAGCACGGTCAAGTAATAATACTAGGTGCAAGCAGCTACCTACGAGATACACGAAAGATATAACAAAGCCATCAATTTGATTCGAGCGGGGACGAAATAGCCCGCGGTATTAAAAAAAAAAAAAAAAAAAAAACCTCCAAAGGAAACCATCTAGAGCCTCAAGCAGGGCATGGAAATAGTACTAACACAAGAGAAATACACTATACAAATCAAGCTGATCCCATAGATGACCCCATAGCTCCTTCTGCCTGTCCATGCGTGTACACCTGGTTCTGTTCCAAGACCACGGCGTAAAACTTTCCCTCTTCAGAGGTATCGTGGTAAGGACCAGCCGAGAGAACGGCCCTATGTAATGATTAGCCACAGCTCGGCTCAGTTTACTGGTCCATCAGTGAGTCCTGGAAGCCTTGAATGGAAAAGAATACACATGAGAGGGGAACAAGAGCGAGACAGACTCGAGAAAACATAACAAAACAAAAGAATGAACATACCACCCCTTGTACTTGGGCTGATTAAAAAGCTCTGTAAAAAACCTCAAGCTTCGTAACGGCAGTTCCAGGATGGATGGTAGCTCCGGCCCATCACCGCAGACAGGGAGACCGAGTTTGTTGACGGGGAGGTAGACGATCTCCGCGCTGTTTTGCGGGTTGCGCGTCTCCTGGAAGATGAGGAGACGGCGCGAGGGATGATTTGGTTTGCTCATGATTTGAATGAACTTGATACAGACTGAATCCAGTCTCTAGGACTTGGACTTGGATTTGGGCTTGAGGTTTGCGCTTCTGGTGAATGATATTGTCGCAAAACCCGGAACCAGCACCGACTTTTTGAGGTGGGGTTTCTGCACTCTTATTCGCACTTTGAGCGCTTGCGCCCTGGACTCAGAGTTAGTATTCATGGTGTTTACGATGGATGCGCCTGGGCTACCGTTTTTGCTTCTGCTTTGCGACCACGTTCCGGCGCGCGACAGAGGCTGCTTATCGCGTCTTGGCTGATTGCCGGACGCGGGGCAGAAAAGGGGGCACAACACGCACTTGCGCTCGAGCGTTGGCGATGATGAATGGAATGCTAAATAGCACCTAATTGATGGAGAGTTATTCGGAGAATTCAATCATGTATGCGCTTGCTTCAAAGAATAATGTGTAGTCTTTGGTGGATCATCGCGTTGCTTTTATTTGCTGTGCGCGTCTGAAGTGGGGGTAGTCAAAGTGTGGATTTTTACTAATACTATGTAGTTTTACATGCGGATTATAGGATCATCAATTTGATAGGTCTGACAGGTATATTTTTTACTCAATCTATTAAACTTTAGTTTGGACTGCAAATGTAAACAATGTAGAGACTTGGGGAATCATGCTACTAGGGGCCAATCGTACATGAACATAAAACAAGATGGAGAGAAGGAAAGACAAGATCATTGGGTATCATAGTGAAGTTAAAGGAAAAGAGATCGGAAGGACATGTACAGAAGCATGATGCACACAGAAATCATACTGGGTAAGAGCCCAGTGGGGGTATTAAGTATCCAATTCTCCGTCCAGCACTCTCCGTGCGGCATCCAATCGTCGTCGAAGAACCCGAGCGGCCTTCAAGTCGGGATCAGGAGAGGTCGTGATAGCCTGAAGATCCATGCAGACATTACCCAGACTCGAGAACAGTTGCTCTAACATCTGGGTATCATCATCATTGATGCCGCCAGCCGAGGTTGGAGTCACGGAGCCTGGGTGCGGGCTGGAAGCGGCCCGCACGGTGGAAACGAGGGAGGAGACGAGAGAGGTTGGAGTTGCGGAGCCGGTGGTGGCAGATGAGGAGCGGCCAGTCATGTCCACGCGACGGGGGGTCAGCTGTTGGTCTTCAACGGGAGTGACAGAGCCATTTTCTTCCCGAATCCCTCGGGGAGTTTCAGACCGATCAGTCTCAATGTGTTGGGCCTGGCGGCTTTGTGAATGGCGATGTCGCAATTCTGCTCGGGGTTAGTTGGAGTGTTGGAGTGGTATCAATGGAGAGACCAAACGTACCATGGTTGAACTTCCGGTCCCAATATAACAAATCATCCTCTTCCTCTTCTGGGATCTCCCCCTCGGTGGCTGTCGCGAACGTGGCAACCGTTGAGACGGACATGGCACTGTTCGTGCGCGAGTGTCGCACTGATCGGCCCGGCCGCGTCGTCTCGACTGAACCACGGGAGCTTTGGCTTGGACGGCGTACCTGGCGGGAGTAGTTGCCCAGGGCACTGTGGAGAATGAAGTGCTCATAGTCGAATGCATCTTCTCGTTCCTCGTGGGGCCGAGTATCAACACCGGGAAACTCATCAAGGCTTTCTAGGTCTTCATCAAGCGGTTCTCGCAAGATTTCATCCAACGCCTCACGGTCGATATCGCCATCCTCAAAGTCCCCTTCCTCGGCATCTTCGTACAGACTTTCAGCAACAGATTGCCGTCCATCGTCGTAAGCCTCAGGTCTTGAATTAGGCCAGGCATCTGGAGCCCGAGAAAGGCTCGCGCGATTGTTGTCCATGGGGCTTTCTTCAGTCCGTTCAGATTGCTTGACCTTGTCAAGTTGCTCGTTAGAAGAGCGAGCCTCGCGAGCATACTCTGAGCTCACATCTCGTCGACCATTTGACCCACGGCTGCTTTGTCCCTCTCTCAACTCGAGAGCATTGGCATACCAGGCATCAGCTTGCGTCAGAGGACTCGGCGTACGCAAGCTCTGTAGACTTCGACGACGCATGTTGTCCTCCTGGGTCCGAACTTTGAGAGAGGAGATCTTGATGTGAAGGCCTTTCATTTGATATTGCAAGTCACGCACCTGCAGCTGAGACTGTGCACGACTTTGTGGGCCAAAAGTACTGTATACTGGACTGAAGTCTCCTGGGTTGGAGTTTGACTCGTCATCTGCCGAGATGCCCAGTCCTCTTGGAGAGTCCGATGAGCTATTCTCTTCAGGCACAGGGGATTCTATGAGCTGCGGTGAATGCACGGGCTGTGGCGATTCTGGACAAGGCGGTTTGATAGATGGGGTCGACGACCGGTGCGTCAAGTATGCGCGAGTCGGCTCATACTGGAATGAGCGCTCATCATGGTGAAATGACGAAGTGCTGGCACCCATAGCACTTACGGAGCGGGATAGGCGCTTTGTATCGTTCGACATACTCGACTCAGGAGGGAAGTTCGTGTCGCTGTGTACCCGCGAATGCCTGTTGTTAGGGGAATCCTGCGAGGATACGAACGACTGCCGTCGTAGCGTGGATGGTCTGCGGTCAGTCCGAGAAATTGACCTGTACAGTCCGCCAGCCGGCTGATGCGCGCCCAGAGGCTGAATATTGCCCGGCGCTGAGGGCGAAGGCGAAGGCGTGAGGCGCGTAGTAGAACGAGCGCGGTTCAGATTGCCCTCCATGAGCTAAAAACGGGTCAGCATTCCTTGGGGATACCATGCGCCAGTCCTCACATACCGTCAAACGTTTCTTTGCATTTTCCAGAATCCTCTCCGCTTCGCTACTCAAGATCGCTGAGGAGTAATCCTCTCCGGGACCTTTGCCCGTAGCAGCAGCCGTAGCAATTGCAATGGGACTACCCGATATACTGGCACCACTATCAGGAGACAGCACTTTCTTCACCTCCTCGTTCTCAGCACTCGACATGCTAATCACTTCATTCGGAGGCGACACCTCACGAACTGTCGCTGGAGAAGTCACCTCCCTTGGACGTGCACTCCCCGCACTAACCGTGGAGCTTGAACTACTCCACGCATTATCCTTCGCGTCAGGAGTTCCCTGCGCATCCCCGAGCCCCTTATCCTGGCCCTCTTCCTCATCAAAACCCCCCAAACGCGCAGGCGACAGCTCCTCCCCGATATCAGACAAGCGTCTCGGGTTGGTAGTGACGTCCTCGTGGGTCCAGGTATTTCGCGAAAAATTCTTCTTGGCCCGGCTGCCGGAGCTGGCTACACTGGAGCTGGCATGGGGGTCTGACGAGTTGTACCGAGCATTCAGGTTGGATAGGTAGACGAGCTGGGAGGGCGGAGAGGGAGTAGAGGATTCGCGTTCGCTACCGTCATACGGCAGGATCATGTCCGGGTCGGTCAGAGTGAGGGAGGGCATGCGGAAGGCGGGAGCCCTGGGCCGACAACCTGGAGGATATGAGGATATGAAGAACTGGAAAAGACCGGCCTGGTTTTGTACCCTGAAAAAGCTGCCCCTAACGGACGGATTGGATACGGTTTAGCGTGGCTAATGATCATTGCCTGATTGGGCAATCGGGACTTGAAGATTCAATGCGCTTTTTACAATCACAAGTCTTCCATGTCTCGAGGGCTCATGTAGCTTGTACGGTGGCAGCTGGTCGTCATCTAGATTCAGAATTCTCTATATATGCTATGCTACCTCTACCTATCGCCTTTCACCATTAAAGCGCTAACAATCCCCATTGTGTTCTTTTAGCTCGTAAGTCTAATTACCGGCATGTTTGTGTTTAGTGGAACTGTCTTAGCGCCCCATTTTGATATCTCTTGTACAGATACAACTTCTAAGGCAGGGTTCCAGTCGCACAATGATGCATGAGCCGCACAATGCAAGGCATGTCTCGCTTGACTCCTAGCAATTTCCAATTCTCAGAAGACAACAGTATTCGGGCTGCCGTTGAATGGAACGAACCCCTGAGAGCCGCGGTTTCAAACCATGGGAGCTCCACTCGGTGGGGAATTTAATTTCGATCACTTCTACTGTACAAATCTCCTAGGGCAAAATGAAGAACTTGTATGAAAAATAAAATAATCGGATGCTTTTTGGTTCGCAAACTCCTTTTTATACCTTAAGTACACATATTACATCAAAAAAAACAATACCCGCTAGATGTTTATAGCTTCTGCAGCAACAACTTGGCGCCGCTGCTGGTCGGGCCGGCCTTCTTGCCCTCTGCGCCCGACGCCGAGGCCTGCTCCAGCGCCTTCTTGTTCTTCTTGAGAGTCTTGAGCAGCTCGCTCTTCTTCTCAAAGTCGTCTGACTCAGCCAAGGCGACAATCACAAACACGTTCGCTCCGGTAGCCCACTCCACAATCTCATCGCGGATCTGCTCGTAGAGCAAACCGTGGAAGTTGAGTGCGGGTTCCACCTTCTCGACAGTCTTCTCGGCGGGGTTGAACCGGCCGCCTTGCACAAGTGACTTGAGAAGACGTCCAACGGAGGAGTCTGGGGTGTCGGCCTTGGCCTTGGCGGCTTGGGCTACAGCCGCAAGGGCGGCATCCTTGTTGCCATCGGCCTCGAAGAGTACCTCACCGATGAGCTGACAACCAAATGTAGTCTCAAGCAGAGTCTCGGCACGAGCGGCAATGAGCTCGAGCAAGGTCGCTGATGCGGCCTTGACCAACTCTTGGCGTCGGATGGAGGCATCCTTCTTGGAGGTCTCTTTCCGGACCTCACGGACCTCCTTGAGCACCTCGTGGTCCTGCTCGGGCAGGAGCCACTTAACGCGGTCGCCAGCGAAGGGGAACAGAATGGGAACACGGGCAGTCAGATCGTTGATCTGGTAGAGCAATTCTTCATGGCGGGCTTCCTCGGGGTCGTTCTGGTTCAAGAGTTCGGGGAAGATGGCCTTGGAACTCAACTTTGTGTCATCAATAACTTCGTATGCGGCAAGCAGGACCATGTGGCCGTTCATATCACCAGCCATCGCCTTGATGGTTTCGCGGAAGAAACGCAAAAGCAGCTTACGATCTTTGGCATTGGCATAAGCCAGAGTCAAGCTCATCAGGCGCGAACCGGACTGAGTGAAAGCCAAGTTTTTCGCCAAATCACCCTCCTCGTCGCCCTTGATCAACTCAATGAACTCGTTCGCCTCAGAGCTACCGGGCTTGGTAGCAAGGAAGTATTGCAGCATAGCATCGTGCAGAAGGGTGAAACCAGTGGACTTCTTCTGAACCAGCTGGTTAATCAGCTCACGGAGGAAGTTCATAATGGGATTCCGCTTCTCTGGGGAGGCCTCCAGAATCTTGCGGAGGTCCGCCGACTTCTCCTTGTCATCCTGGAAATGAATGAACTCGGGGCCGTACCACTCGCGCAGGATTCTTGTGCGCTGCTCCTTTGTGGCGACTGTGCGGTAGATATCATCAAGAATCCAAGAGCCCTCGGGGTGGCGAATGAGGCGCTTGACATGTCCGTAGAACTCGGGAATGATGAGATCCCGAGTCTCAGAATCACCATGGACAATTAATTTTCCAACCAAGAACTTAGCGTAACGGCTCTGGGCCAATTCCTTGTAGCTTCCCTTCAATTCCTGTGCAATTCCCTTGCGCTGCTCCAAGTTTCCGTATTTCAAAGCGGTCTGAATGACACGAACAGAGTCGTGCTTGAACACGAAATCCCGAACGCGGCCAGTGATGATTTCGAACAGCTCCTTGATGAGCTTCTTTCTCTGCTCCAGAGGGACGTGGGACTTGCGGCGCAGCTGCTCCCAGAGCTTCTTGGAACGGGCAATCATATCGGCATTGGGCTTCGCGGCCTTGCGCTCCTGTTGAAGAGCCTTTTGCTTGATGTGGGACTCGCGAGACGCATTCGCATTGGGGTCTGGAAAAGAGATATCTGTTAGTTTTTCTGCTCCGAATATTGCACCGCCATGAGGAAACATACTTCTGTGGCCTTCAGGCTTGTCATCCTCCATTTCCTCATCATCATCCTCGGCGGCTTCCTTCTCATCGCTCACATCCTCCATATCAACATCCTCCTTGGGAATCTCATCAACCTCGTCGAGATCATCGTCGGAAGAAATGTTGTCAATATCGAACTCGTCCTCGTCCTCGGATGATTCCTCCTTCTGGACCTTCTTCGACGACTTCTTGTCGCTCTTTCCAGACTTCACGTCCTTCGATTTAGACTTCACTGGCGCAGCGACCTTAGATTTCTTCGCGGGTGCGGAGGCCTGCTTGCTCCGCTTTCCATTGCGGTCTTCTTTGGCATCGACGGGACGTTTCACACCGGCCATTGTGGATATATGAGGTAGCGACTTTTGCTACGTCTCCGGAACCGGTTTAGAAAAAAAAGTGGGTGAATATCCGAGCTGGTGATGCTCGGCGTGCTAGAGGATAATTTTTTTGGTTTGCGGGCGGAGGAAGTTTTTTTGCCGGTTCCATGTTTGCACAGTTTGCAGTGATAAGACAAGGTGAAATCTACGCAGTAAATGTATCAGTATCAGTAGCGTTGAGGAACTTGCAATTCATTTGGACGTACAGGAATTAAAAGAGATCCATGCAAGTGTTGAATTGCAGATGTACGTCATCGATCTATGAAATAAAGATGTATTGTCCAAGAAAAATGATCTCTTGCAGCGATTATCATCCACAAGACAAAGAAATGTACAATATGCGAGTCCGCAAATACAATCAAAGCAAGCCGTATAACGCTTACAGCCTACTAATTCGTATCCAACAGGAACTACCCAGTCCCAGGATATCATAATAGAGTGCAAACCCCCCAGATGAACTCCAAACGCCTCTCATAAATCAGAGCCTTATCAGCAAGTTTCATCATTCATGCTCATTCGCGATTAATTTCTGGCGTAGATGCGGTCATGGGCTCAGGCTTTGGCATAGAGCACATCTCCGATCCCCCGCCGCTCTGCCCGCGCTTCCTGCCAGGAATGTGGAACCCAAAGGAAGTAGACTTGCCAGATGACGGCGCATCGCTAGAATCGCCAAACCGGGCGAAAATGCCCTTTTTCTTAGGCTTTGCCTCGTCGTTGAGTCCAACGTCCTCGAAGACTTCTTCTTTCATTACGTCGGGCTTTTCGAAAGTTGTGGGTCGCATGGCGGGCGATGTAACTCGGCAAAAGCGGGAGTCGAGGGAGGTGCGGGATGGGACGGCATCGGGGTGTGATACTGGGGCGCGGGCGGATATATCCTGCGGTCGGGTCAGTAGTGCGCAGAGGGACAAAAAGATGAGGCGCATACAAAAGACCGGCGGTAGGAGTCAAAGGATTCGCGCGATATTGAGAATGGTTCGTTCTCGTCCACTAGATCGCGATGATGATTTGACGACCGCGTTGAGCCGGGGTAGCGGGACCAGAAACTCTGCTTCTCTGGTGGAGAGGGCTGGAGGTCATTTAGTTCCTGGCATATAATGCTCAATTGCAAAGAAGTGTCATACTGGAAGATAGACGCCGCTGTCATTCACAACTGTTAAAGCGATTAGCATGAACTTCCCCATTGGTTTGTAGCGACGATATCGGCCGCCCTAGAGCGATTCCAGAGACTAGGTCATACCACTCAATTTATACTCGGGAGGCACCCCATCATGGCTTCCCCGTACCTCGATTGGTGTGGGACCAGGACGCTGGAGTTGACTAGGTGGATTGTTCTCATTGTTTTCGTTGAAGCCAACGGTTTCCCCGCCATTGGGCTGGGGTTTACGGCCGAGGAAGTTGCGGAATGGGGCCATATTGGCAATGGATTCTGGGTCACAATGGGGTAAGGAAATGGACAAAGATGAGCGGATGGCAAAAGTATCTCCACAACTTCACATGATCAGGCCATGGTTGGGTGGGGAGTGTACAGTATGGGGATAATGATCCGATCGTCCACTGCCGAGCGCCAGGGCGCCGGCATCTACGTCATGGGCATTCCGTTTGCTTCGGGGCTATGCTGATGAACACTTCTTCGCCAAGTAATAATCCCTGAACTGGGGGCGGCGCTGCTCGAAACGGAGATGATCGAAATTGAAGTTTTCATATTTCCTCTTTTCAATTTCTTTCGGGGCTTCCAGGTTGTGGTTGGCCATGGTTCCTGAATATAGTTTGATCCATACTTGATTCCGGGGCCTTTTACCTTGGGAATAAAATTTTTTTTTTCTCTTTCAAGAAAAGGATAAGCATTTCAAAGAAGCAAAGGCGTTATCTGTATCAAACCGGAGAAGTATGAAATGAGGATTCGTACATTGCAATGGAGAGTAAATCCATGAGGACTATTGGTCTTAAGGTTTGACCTTTGCTTTGTGTTCCATCTATAAGCCTAATATGTGACGAAAATAGGTAATCTGTCATGGATAACCTAGTGGAAGGCTCACCGCCAAGTCCGCAACCTTGCTTCGGTCACCTGACCAGCAGGTACTGGTGCCTGGTACGAATCCTGGGGTCGTCACTTCACTCGCGCGAGTAATCCGCGACGCTGTTTGGCGCTAAGCAATGAAAGTGACCCTTGAGGGAAGCAATTCTGCAGAGACACTTTCACCCTGGGATGGCGTCGCCAGAATACACCGTCTTGTTACAAGGAATTGGGCTACTTGGTGAGACAACCATATCTTCTTTTTTTATTTTTACCTAGGTATTATTCATTTCACCTTCGACTCACAGTATCTTCATTGTTTTATCAACCTTAGAAATGCAATCTATTTCGTCTGTTTGAACGTTGGAATAAAATCTATTTTCACACTAATGTACAGGAAAAGAAAACAAATCAGATCATCAGCCTCGATGAGCTCATATCCATCTCCAGCTGTTGATACTCATGCCTCGAGTCTGAATGTTTTTGAGTTGACGGTAGTAAATCGATGATGAAAGAAAGTATATAACCAGTGAATGTCAAGGCAATCACTGTCCAAGCACTAATTAGTCAAACCACTCCCACAAAAAAGATATCGGGACTATGCTCACCCCATTCAAGAATAGCTGCTGTATTCTTCTCGATGGTTCCTTGCGCAGCAGTAATGCGAAATGCCAAAATGAAAGCCAGCTCCACAATGACAAACGACAACTTGATCACAAAACTCGCCATGAGCATGCGTTTATTGACGCGATTGGATTTACCCAGATAAAAGTAATCTATGCATATAACGGCTGCACTGACCAAGTAGCCCGTCCTGCAGAGAGTAAGCAAAGTCTTCCTTTAACAAGGACCCTTGAAATAGACTCACATGAAGACGGCGACAAAACTATCGTGCAATATTAAATGATCGAGGTTGTCAAAGACAGACAACATTACCAATCCAAGGCTTCCAAAGATTGCAAAAAGGAATGAAAGGTACATGCAGACTTTGTTGACATGTTCTTTATGATGCAAGAATTGGTAGAACGAGATGTTCATGAATAGCATGGTGATTATGCTTCCAATCATGAACAATGGCTTCAATTCTTGTGCACCAATGTCAGAGATGAAGCTGGTGACATCATATTAGTCCTCACGATAGAACATGCAGGAGAGCATGAATACGCACGGTATAGTCTGCTCAGGCTTCATCCTGCCGAATCTCGGCTCTCCAATGACGACCCAATGTGTTAACATCGCAGAAAGCATGGCTAGAAATTTGATTAGGACGACGATGTGACTCTGATAAGTGGTCCTACTTACTTAGCCATGTTGATGCAGAGATCACAGGAAAAAGCCAGAAGAGATCGATCAACATCATGTGGCGATCGGACAGCTGAGGCGCTGCCGACCTCAGCACGTTGTTGACGTGAGTATAATTAGTTGTGGGTTGGAGGAGAGCCAAGTCCAAGTCTGGAATTATTGACAAGACACTGGGGGAACAAATTTGATCTGGATTCCCCTCAGGAACGAGCAAATGACGTTCTGTAGCCCTTGCGTTGATATGGGGACCATGAATGTCGATCCTGATTTGTGATACAATGTACTATTGAAATGCTTTCTTGTTGCTCATAGTTTGGGTGATCATCCTTCTGATCGTCACGGGAGAATTTATATCCTTGATACAGATTAAACGAATTGTATATAACAATCACTTGGATATCTAGATTAGCAGGGTCCTTTAGAAAGAAACCCGTTGTTTACTTGAAACCAACGGCCAAAACATGTCCAACCCAAATCGTGGTCGCGTGTTGGCATGTTCTCCTGAGCGAAGGGTAAAATATGTGGGTCGCTTACGACAGGGTCTCCAGAATGAACCCCCTTTTGTTCTGGCTAAGCAATTAAAATGACGATCTGTTTCGCATGTAAAACCCTGAAGCAGGTGCAATTCTCTCCACAGTTACCCCTTACTTAAGCGCGTACTGTACCTTACACATATAACCTTTTAACACCCGACATACCTGCATAATTCAACCCTAACGGCTCAAAACACTAACCCTAGTATCCGAAGATTTGGGACCCTCACTTTCCCACGGGGACAGGGCTCATTAATGGGTACTATTTGGTAATCCTATTTCTTTGATCGACGTGGGTCTGTCTCCGCTTTCCTTTACTTAATTATTCAGCCTGTCCTGGTGTGTCCTTCCGGATCGTTTCAAGTAAAATGCCAGCAACCGCCTTCATTCCATCAAGATTAGGGTGAAGAACAGGCCCTTTCCGGATGATGGAGGACACATCAAAGCCACCAACCCAAGGCTCCTCGCTACCAAGGGCATGTTTCAAACTGAGTTCGTGGATTGGAATCCTTTCACACCAGTCCGATCTCGTCGCTGCTGCCACGGCATAAGCATTCTGTAATGTAGATGCCACTTGAGAATGATAGTCAATCCTTTCTTGATTGAAAGGGATGTCAATGCGAGGCTTTGTGGAGGGGCCCAGAACAGCAAGGTATTCTACCAGATAAATGCGTGCTTTCGGGGCTCTTGCGTGTATCTTATCAAGGGTGTCACCTAGTCTCTCAGACAATTCCTCTGGCGAGAGAGGAGTAGACGTTTGTACTGTTGGTTGGGAGAAGATAGATGTAATTGACTTCACACCTTGCACGAGCGCCATGACAGCCGAGCCTAGCATGGTTGCGGACCCAGCGTCCTGAATCATGTTGCCGATGTAGCCGATGTCATTTCCGCCGGCAGTGACGGTGATGATGTCTGCATCCTCGGGCACCGACAGAATTTGAGGTGGGAATGTATCATTTGAGAAAGGTGTGCTTTGTGGATCAACCGTAATATTGAGTAAGGTTGCGCCAGAGACTGATAGGTCGGTGAGATCTGCATCTAGCTCCTTGGCCAGCAGATGAGGGTAATTTTGGCCGGAGCGAGCCGCAGAAAGGGGTTCGATTTGCGGGGGGATGCCAGGGCCTGCGGCGAAGGAGCTCCCCAGGCTCGCAATTCGGAGTTTCTTGTTCGCAGAAGTCATGACAAGCGAAGGTGCAGATGTAGTTTCTCAAAGTTGCAGGAGGGGTTACATGGCTTAGTTTGAGGTTAAGTTCGGAGGTAGAAATTGATGCCGATGACATGGTTAGCGCCAAATCTCGGGAATTGCTCGGGAATGCGACCGAGGTCGCGTGCTTCGGTTGAGCCACGCTTCCAAGGTGCTGTATGCTCTTGGATCTGTTGAATTTGATTTCAGTATCATGTCCATAGTTCAATGTGCTTCATTTCTAATACAAGTGTTGTTACAATGGATCAAAAAACACCTAAATTTTTTTAGAGACAGGCTGGAGCTACAGTGCTCCGCCTTCAACCAGTCGTACATCCTCTGCTAACATTGTCTAAATATCTAGAGAGTAGTAAAGGGACCTGTCCTGATAACCTAAGAGAAGACGGAATTGAATATATGTAAAATCCGAGCGTTGACAAATCATGCACAATGCAGTAGCTTATACTTGGTGGCGCATATATCCGGGATAATGTCTGGCAAAGTTTTGGTTGCCCTTGCCGCTTTTTGCTTACTGAGTAAAACTGACCATGCCCCTAAGCACTCCACCCCGCTCACTGAGTATTATATAAAAGCTCTGACTTACTCACTAAGCACTCACTGAGTATTATCTGGACTTCCGCAGGACCGAAGAGTCACTTAAAGTGAGCCCATAATGAGCAGCTCTCCGAGCTCTAATTTCCCTCTATGTCAAGGAAGGAGAAGAATCCCTATATTTTAGGTTCCCTCCGTCCTTAATAATTACTTTTGCAGCCAACATGAATCATATTGCCTTGTAATGTATTCTAAAAGAAATATCTACAGGGTCCTCTGACATATGTGTAAACTAATACGACTAACAACTTTGGAGTGCCTGATATCGCCAAATATCTTCCAAATCAATCCTAATTATGTCTGCAACGACAAAGCCCATTTGATAGATTCGGTCGAGAAGTTTTAATATCTTGCGCTTCTTGGAATCTTCAGAGACGTTAGCTCCAGCCATTCTTAGAGGAAAAAGTAATAGTACTCCAGGGATCCCTGAGGATCGGAGAAGTCTGTCACTTCGTTCTAAAATGGCATCAACGTGTTTCTCAATTTCATATTCCTGTAGCGAAGGAATCAAGCTTTCTCTCCAGAACGAGTGATATGTGAAATTCTTGCAATGAAATAGGAGAAGACCATGAAAGTTGGCCATAGCCAGCCCGCAGGGTGCCTCTGTAATGTCTGTAAGCGGTTCGTTTTTACTCTGCCACTGCATAATTTCCTTTTGAAGTTCAATTCCCTGGGTAGCAAGTGCATCCAAAGTCAGATCTACATCTACCAGGCACCCCGTTAGACTTTCAGTTTGGCTGAAAAGACTGTATAATCCAGGTTAGATAAATGATAAGAACGACTAACCAATTGAAAATCTCACCTATGGCTGAAAGAGGAAGTCTTCATCATGAGTGTGAGGATTGTTCCCACCGAATCCCAACCATCATTTTTCTGGAAGGGCATACTGTCTCCAGAAACCGGCCATCCATCTTGTGAAAGCATTGTCGACTCTCCGTATAGAATAGTTCTGTTGATTTCCAAGATTTGAAAAGCTTTAAACAATTTCTGCCAGGAGGGAAATCTTTTGGTGTTCTTCATCGATTGCAAAATTTGGGATGTACCAAATACCATGTGCTTTGCCCATTCATCCGCCGAAGTTTTGGTCATTAGCTATATTCAAAGATTAGCAAAAGAAATGTGTTATGGATCGCTCGGAACTTACTTCAAACAAACCAAGAAGGAATGTGCACCAGAGCGTGTCTTCTTCACAAGCTGAAAGGCCTCTTGATATTTGGAATTGGAGAGCTTGGATGGAGGCCCCATAAGATTTCAACGCAACATAGTGAGTTGATTTATGTCTACTCAGTGACCTGACGGAACATCTTCTGCTAGCTCTTAGTGAGCCAATGGCAACGGCTATATGCCAGAGTGGAGGTGATCTGCTCACTAAAGGCACGAGATCCCCATGCACTGAAGCAAATTCTCTTGTGAAGTGGCTTTGATGGAGAAAATCTGCAAAATGATCTAGATACACAGCATGAGTGGGACTATGCACTTGCTGAGGAACCAGAATCATCGGAGAGGATTTGGTAGATTCCGCCGAGAAGATGAATCCAATCTCTGCATGCTTTACCCTTTGTGCTTGGCATATCTTCCCCGTTCGAATACAGTACTCGCATGGGGGACCTCCTTCACACTGATGTCATGTATTAGCTTTATTATTGATAATGCCCACTTTCAACTTGGGTTGCTTAGACCTTAATTCGCCTCGTGGCACAAGGTTGACAGCGCGTTATCCTTCTTCGCTGGTCCAGAGGGCCTATAGTTCGCTTCATCTCTCTTTCTTTATGCCCTTGTCATACGCCCAACGTAATTTATAGCTGATGGTTCACGTGCCCAGGTTTCCAGAAGCTGTATGAATAGCAGAAATGCACTGAAGCCTAGAGATCCGCTCTAGGCAACCACCAAGTCGATGGCCGTCAACAATGCTTACCAAATCGAATTATTTGTGTTCGACTGGCTGAGCTTTAGACTTGCTAGTAATGAAGGAGAGAAACGAGAGAATGGAAAAGGGAAAGTCTACGAAAGTGAAGCTTAAGTAGTCAGAGGAAGGCACTAGTCACAGAATGGACGTCAACAGCTAGGCCAAGGTTTCAAGAGTGCGGGCCCACTTAATCGACTAATATCCGTGAGTCACTCTTCAACCATCGAAGGATATGGTAACAAATCAAGTTCAGCATTCATTCCACGATTCATTTTGTCAAAAGTTTTGGCGGTTTCGCAGGTGCCATGCTCGATAGTGGTATATTGGCCATCATAGCTTGGCTATGTTAGACTGCTAACGGAACTTCTCGCATGGGCGTGGACACAAAGCAAAATATAATATTCGAGACTCAACTAAGTCATCAGAGTTATAATACTCTGACCAATTGAAAGTCAATAAAGATAGCTATAATGAGGATCAGGCAAACAACTAAGCCAATGGCGGGCTGTCAATGCATATTGGAGGCATTCCAACCACTTCGCCTCCGCCCCAATAGTTATACAATTGCAACCCTTGCCGCACGTATCTCGGCACGCGCTCATCTATGCCGTAGATGAGGCATTGGCTTGAATGTTGAAGTATTCAGTAAGCGCTCTTGTTCGCTCCTCAGTAACGAAGAAATCGTAGCCGACCACGTAGTTGCAGTTATTGACGTAAACTGTGACTGGAATCGCACCTTGATACATAACGTTCCACTAATAGTGACTTTGTTAACACTAGTCTTTTTATTGCATACCCGAGACTCTTTGGTGGCATGGGGCCCGTTGGGGAACTTACAGATGCCACATGGCCTTCATAGAATCGCCTTTTGACCAGTCCGCCAAAGATCGCCTTATTGGTAACGAGAAAGTCCCGTGCAAACAAAGGAAAGGCTGAGTTGACATATCCCCTCCAAATCACCGGAGTACTGGCGCTGCCTGGATAGGTTGACAGTGTGTTGTCTACTAGACCATCCTGAGTGGTGTTGGCGTAGTCGAAAACTGACGAGGCCAAGCCATCATCAGAGGCTTCACCAACAGAGACTATACCAAGAGATGGCGAGTTGCTGATATGGCCCGCCGTAATGTGAGACAGATTTTGGTTCCTAAGACCTCGGTTAGGGTATGAACGGAGAAGCATCGGACGTAAACATGAATCTCGTACCACTTATGCTGGATGAAATTTGCCGTGAATTCGTCCTTCACCACTGGGGGAGATGGCTCCTGGAACCCGGAAGCATATTCAATCAAGGAGGAAGAGAATGGTGGGCAGCTGGAAAATTTCGACGCTGTCACCATAGGAGAGGTGACAAGCAATGCCAGTGTAAGCAGGACGAAATGCATGATCAAGTACTGGAAAAAGGAATCTAGAGAAATGATTTGGTTCAAAGAGTTGGCGGTGCTTGAAGCTTGCTGTGTAGATGGCTTTTCCTGATACTCGCGGTCTCTTTATACCATTGAGAAGGACTTATTCCCGCTCCTCTGACAGTCGATGGCTGCCTCCAAAGATGCCCACATCTTCGGTCGCGTTCAATTGATGGCTCTTTAGGACACCGATCCGAGATTAGGCCTTGCCAAAAAGTATTCCCCTTGAATATTGGTGCCTGGAAAAGCCCACGTCTAATGATTTCCTAATTTTAAGAATATTTACGTTAGTTGTATTATTGAATAGTAGAACCTGGGGTAGTAAGCGCGTTCAATCAGTTCCCAATTCGGCAATAAAGATAAGCTCAAGTGGGTTTTTTGTGTTTCTGCCCCGTTCCCGCCCCACTTTTATACGTAATGAACATCGCTATCGTCGCCGCCCTTACATCGGGATTTGAATTAAAATAGAGGTTGGTGCGAGGTGGAGAAGTAGTAGTAGTATTAGTAGTAGGATTCATTTGCCCGATACAGCTTGCCTCTAGCAATGGCCGCTATGCAGGGGTGCTGTCGGGCCTGTCCGGCAGCGGTAGGAAAGCCCCACTTGGCAGGCATTATTTTGTCTATATAGGTGCATATAGCCGTCTTGCTCGGTTACCAGATCTGTGCCCCGAAGCGTGGGGTATAGTCAAGGACGCCCACGTTCATTCATAGCCCGACAAGCACTAAATTATTGAATAATTCTAAAGCGGACTAAATGGCAAATCTGCTGCTCTTCCCGCTTCTTCTTTGATCTAACCATCTTTTGTGAGCTTAATGCAAAGATCCCATGGAATTTCACCAACATATACCTATGATCACTATTCATTACCAACCGAGCACCACAATCAAGTGGTAGAAGAATCTCCATTCTGACCTCTTCTAGTCCAAATGGCAGACCAAAAAGCATTACACATGTCTCCCGGGATTCCTCATAAAGGAAGTAGACCGGCGGATCTCAATTACCCTAGGTGGTTCGGCGGGTCTGCTTCATGTATGGCGGTGTTGCTTTCGCATCCTTTTGATCTCAGTAAGTTAACCCAGTAGCAGCTTCCTCGTTGAAACCCTTTTAATTATCTGTTTTAGTCAAAGTTCGAATGCAGATGGTACCAAACGGGGCCAAAGAGGGGTTTATTCGAACTGGATTTCATATTATTCAAAATGAGGGAACGAGAGGGTTATACCATGGTGTGAGTATGACCATTAAATTAAGCTCATTTAAGTTACACTGACATGTATATTGGTAAGCTCTCTGCTGGCTTCATGAGATCAAGTGAGTGGATATACATATATCTAGAAAGGGCTCCACTGACTTCATTCAGTAACATATGGAACGTCTCGAATTGCTCTGTACGAAGAGCTGAAACTGTCAGCCAAAAAATCGGACCAGCCTCTTACAGTCCCAATTTTGGCTATAATGGCAGCAGTCTCAGGATTTGCAGGTGCTATCATCGGCACACCTTCGGATATCGCCAACGTGAGAATGCAAAACGACCGTTCTTTAGCTGTTCAAAACCGTCGCAACTATAAGAACGTCTTCGATGCGTGGATTCAAATGAAGCGCCACGAGGGTTGGAGGGCATTCACTCAGGGACTCTGGACGAATTGCTTCCGTTCTGGAATTATGACAGCAAGTCAGCTGGCCTCGTACGATGCATTCAAAAGATTGCTGCAAAGTATCGCCAATACGAATGAAGAGAGACCATCAATCCACTTCAGTGCGTCAGTGCTGGCTAGCTTGGTTGCAACATCGATCTCGAGTCCAATGGATGTGATTCGAACCCAGTTGATGAGTTCTTCGCAGAAGAAATCCGTCTTGAATATTGTGAGGCAGCTTACGCGGGACGAAGGATTCCGATGGCTATTCCGGGGCTGGACTCCTAGTTTTATTCGATTGGGGCCTCAGACAATTGCTACATTGGTGGCGTTAGAACAGCATAAACGGATTTATCGGTTGATCAAGACGGGGAGAGACTAGAGCCAGGGGATGCTGAGGCTTCTTAGATAATGGTGATTCAAATTCAAATTTCAAGTTCAATGTCAATGTCAAGGTCAATTTTGATGGAAATAAATAGTGAAATTATCATTGTGTCTGCTCAACCACATCCTTGATTGCACGAGCCACATACCCGACATTCTTGCCATTCAGTCCACTCATGCTCATGCGCCCATTCTCAAGCATATAGACATGATGCACCTTTTTCAATCGGTGAACTTGTGTTTTTGATAGCCCAGTGTAGCTAAACATGCCGATCTGTCGCGTGATATGCGACCAATCTCCTTTCGTGTTGTTCTTCTCCAATTCCGATCTCAAGGCAACTCGGACCCCTTGGATCCGCAACGCCATTGTCTTCACATCTTTCTCCCACTGTGCACGTAGCCCAGAGTCAGACAAAATGGTAGTCACAACTCGAGCGCCGGATAAAGCAGGACAAGAGATCTCAGAGCGAGCCAACTTAATCAAGTGCGTGTACGCGCCCTCAGCGGAAACAGATGGATGCGTGATAAGATGCAGCGCCCCAATACGCTCACCATATAATCCAAAATTCTTAGAAAAAGACTGACAGACGAGCATACCGGATGGTGGACCTGACATTGACGCAGATGAATGACTGAAAAAAGTTGAGTAGAAGTATCGGATTGCCCATGCATCTGCATCAGGATCACCTGAGGCAAAACCTTGATAGGCGCTGTCAAAAACGACAAAGAGACGCTTGCGTCCCACGACATCGACAATTCTTTTCCATTGCTCATGTGTCGGATCATGTCCTGTTGGATTATGAGCACAAGGATGCAGGACCACAACATCGTTTTCTTCTGCTGAGTTTTCGAGCTCAGCTATCATCCCCTCAAAGTTGAAAGTCCGTGACTCCGCGTCATAATACGGGTAGAGCCTTTGATTAATAGCTGGACCGGCAGTCTCCCAGATTGAATAGTGGTTATCCCAGGTTGGGTCGGAGATGAAAACGTTCTTTGGGCGGATGTAGCGCGCACAGAACAAAGCGGCAAGATGATTTGCGCCCGTTCCTGCTATTGTCTGTAGAGTGCGGATATTCTGATGATTTGCCAGCTCGTCACCGAATAGAAGCTCTCGCGCTTTCTGATTGAAAGCGGCGTGACCGGTGATAGGGAGGTATTCATGGTTGAGATTTTGGTTATGGAGACTCTCCTCAGCCTTGGGCTTGATGTTAGTAAGGCTCAATGTATACGGACCGATTTGCATGTTATGACTCACGGATCGAACACTTGGTAGAACCCATGGCTGGCAGTTCTCGTCACGATAGACTCCTTGACCGAGATTGACTTTGTCAGGAAACGAGTCAGCGTTGTAGGCTGCAGTGAGTCCAAAGGATTCAGCCAGTGGTAGAACTGGCAGCTCTTCAAAGCAAGATTGATGATGCATTCTAGATATTTATCAGATATGAAATATGAGTAAAACAAAACAGGCCTAACGATATGTGCTCTTGAAATGTGAAATTAAATTTGGGTTGCGGTTTTATGTACAATCGGCAAGCGATCCTGTCGCCGAAAAGCCTCTCGGCAACATCCACAGGTGGCCGCTTTCATCGCAGACAGCGTATAAAAATTGTTCAAAAACCTGGACGCTCTGAGTAAGAACGCCGAGTCTGATTCGTTATTTTCTCCAAGTGCCATTAAAATGGAATTCTGTCAAGAAATATACTTCTTGTGCTCACCCTGTGCAATAATAATCGGGTCATATTCTCAATCATTGGAAACTTCGCCGAACTCTATATTGACAACGAATATGTTTCAACAAAATCATCAACATTTATCTACTCAAAGACAATAGAGTACTCTCTTGGAGACAAATTGCCTCGGATAACTACTCTGGCCCGACGGGTGTAATTTTGGCACCAGAAACCTTGCTGCCATCAATAGACGAGCTGTCAATGGAAGAATGTCCCGACGATTCAGGACCAAACCCTTCAATTTCCGTATTTGCCTCTTTCTTCTTGTCCCACCAAAGTAAAAACTGAATAGAAGCAGTGACAATAACTTCAACTAGTTAGCAAAACCGACTTATGTATGAGTTTCAGAGGGTGAATTACTCAATAAGATCTGTAATATGATTGACCAAAGGTATCCCTCTTTCGCAGCAGGGAAGGCTGTGGTTTTCCATACAAAGTTGGGAGCCTGTATCATATTAGATAGGGTCCATGATTAACTTATAGCAGAATGACATACCACCGCCTGTACAACATACGCAAGGTCGTTGGCCAATGCAATGATCAAGGCTCTCTTTTCGGTATCGGCTGAGCAGATTTCATTGATCCAACTGAGAATCAGCGGACCGGCACCATTCTAAATGCGAATGTGAGTAACGTGGATTTTGTCAGTCGGCATTTTAAGCTTACCCCAATGAAACTGAGCCAGTAAACGACCGTGCGACCGGGTATGTTTGTATAAAGAGGCATCTGTCGCAAAAGCACATCAAATATGAGCTACAAGTAGTACAATTAGTATAATAGTATAGATCATGGTAGTCGCTACTTCTTACCGTAATGATAGCACCAGCGTAAATAAAGGGCCAGCGTAGACCTTTGCAAGGTCCATCGGACAGAAAGCCCCAGATAAAGGCCACCACGATGAAAATAGCGGTTGTGATCAAAGGCACTGTAGGTGAAGGTCAGTATTGTCATGTAACAATGCAATGTCAAACTCACAGTTGTCAATCTGAGCGACTGAATAAGATGTGCCCGGGACTGGAGCAGGTGTTGCATTGAAACTCTTGAGCCAGTATCCCATACCAAGTTGGGCAATTCCATTGTTCCAGACAATATAACACAAGGCTATAACTGTTAACTTCTGTCGGGTGCGGTTGAAAGATGGACGTACGAAGAAGATATGTGTGCCAGCTGGATAGAATCCTCTTCACCTTGGCCATGGTCCAAGGTTGTTTACCAGCGCGACCAATTGCCTTCATACGCCTCACCGAAAGATTATGTTCTTCCTCGGAAGTCCACCACGTCTTCTTGCCGCTTTGTGGCAAGTTCGGGAAAAAGAGAAAGCCAGCAAGGGCGAGCGGCAACGTGATGATACCATCAATAATAAAAAGCCATCGCCATCCTGCTCGACCTTCCACCCCGTCCAAGTTTGTGTAGGCCGCGGCCTGAAGAAAGCCACTGAAGATCGTGCCGATTGAGCCCGCGAGCCAGAATATCATTGCTCGCTTGCCGATTTCACGGGGTGTGTACCAAGATCCGAGGAGATAGTGAATACCGGGGTAGAATCCCGATCTGTTGTGTGATGGGTCAGTTTTTGTTGCGTTAATGGAAAGACTAAATTGCTCACTCGAAAATTCCAACGAGAAACCGAAGACCGTAGAGAGCTTTGTAAGTCTTAACACTTGACATACACATCGTGGCGATTCCCCAGCCAACTTCGAGCTACAATATATTAGTATATGCGCTGAAGAAAGATAAACAAAATTGGGAAAGTAGTATACTTACCGAAGGAATGACCCAGCGAGGCGAGACTCGAGTGAGCAGTAGATTGCAAGGAATTTGTCCAATTACATAGCCGACAGTGAAGATCGAAGTACTTGTCACTAGCTGATTGCCGTACATCTCCAGGTCCTCCTCCATGCCACTAAGATATGCATTTGTGACATTTTGAAGGTCTAGGTATTTGAGAAAATAACCGATCTGAATATCTTAGCTTTCTCCAGGCTTTCTCGGCCATAAAAATAACTCACGGAGGCAAATGTAAGTACAAATGCATCAAGCTTGAATAAGAGCCATCGCTCGTCGCTCGGTAACTCCCAGGTGTCCCAGATGTAACCTTTCCACGATTTTGTTGGTTGGACTATATTCTGCTCCCGAGGAAAGTTGGCTTCTGTGTCGATCGCCATGATTGAACTTTGCTCTGGTCATCCCAATTCCGAGACGAACTTGATTTAAATAAACAATATGCTGGGCATGACCCCATTACGCATCTTGATCACGTCACTTCAAGTACCTATAAAGCCTTAGCGGTAGCAATTTTACCTCTGCCATTCTAAGCTTTGGAGCAAGATGGCGAATATTCCTGTTCTATCGGCCTTCAGAAATTATATTCTCGTTAAACCATCTCTCGGGAACCTGATCAAAATGAGCAAAATCTCCTGTAGACCTATATTATCCACAGTATTCTTAACCAGGTCGTAGCTACGTCGAAGGCCTTGTTGTAGTGGTGAGGGGGTGGTGTTATGGCGCAATCGTCTCCATTTATTATATCTTCCGCGAGACTTACGACGGGTGAATTTCGGGATTGGCATTGGTCTGCACATAGAGTCCCTAGATAGTAAGCAGGATTAATTCTCACAGTGAGTATCGGAATATTTGCCTTTTCTTCCTGGCCTGGAATAGCAACTTCCTGGATCCACCAAACTAGTCGATTGCTCGAGACCACTCTCTAAGTAAATTGTCTTGCGTTGAGACATCACATTTAGTTTGCATTCAGCAAAGTCATAGAAGGTATCATGTTAGGTGAACACGAATGTTTAATAGATACAAAATAATCTCATATAAAGGTGATTTGATTGATCGTGGTGCATTCTAAAGCAGAAACACCATGATTACCGTGTTAGATTAAAGGATTGCGAAATTCTGACTATCTGTACTGTCATCGTACCTTTTTATTGGACGTTTCAACAAGACCATTCTTATCATATCCCTTCATAATAGTTCATGTACTGAGTTGACTTCAATGCATCGCTATATACTTTGCGCTGAATTTTCATCACAGTCCAGGGTGGAATTCTTTGCGAAGTGATCAAGCCTCAATATGGGCCACTTCAGTCGCCTTTTCTTCTCTTAAAAACTCGGCAAGATGTCTCCTTGGTAGCTTTTGGGCGACTGAAACCGTGTCGAAGATACTCGTCGAGGCTTCAAAAATCTCGTCAATTTCTTCAAGCGAGCGCTTTGCCGTCTCGGGAAAGAAGAAATAGATGACTGGAACGAACGACGCATTGAGACAGCAGTAGACAATAAAGTACTTCCAGCCAATATCATCGAAAGCCGAGGGTGTGACCTCGGCAACCAAGAAGTTGAACAGCCAGGAAATTGCAGTCGACAGTCCACACGTTGCGGCCCGAAGATGAGTTGGTGCGATCTCACTCGCATAGAGGAAGGGAATTCCGAGGAAGCCAAGGACATAGACAAAAAAGTAGAGATAAAGAAAAACCACTGCTGCCTTCAAAGCAGCAGGATTGTCAGGCTGCGATGTGAGGCCAGCAATCAAGGCAAAGCACACAGACATGCTGGCAGCGCTGAACATCATGAGTTTCCTGCGTCCAAAGCGATCCACCGTCCACGCACAGCAGAATGCTCCTATAATCAAGACAAGCTGCGACGATGCAGCCAAAAGTCCTGAATCAGTGTGACCGAAATGAAGCTGTTGCTCGTAAATAGTCGGGGCATAATAAGTGATCGAGTTAACTCCCGTCATTTGCAGGAAAATCTGAGCCACGGCGGCAATTACCACCCGATGAAACACTCTCTGAGGACCCATCTTAAACATAGCACCCAGGCGGCCTTTGTTCGCTCGATCCAATGAGATCCGTATGTCTTCTATTTCCTTGTTCACAGTGTTGCCGCTTTGGTCTTCATCATACAGTAGTCCCAGAGTATCGCGAGCCTCTTCCCAGCGATCCTGTTTGCATAGCCAACGAGGACTTTCGGGTAGTGAGAAAATCGATATACAGACAAGAAAAGAGAGAAAAAGGGTAAATGCCAGAGGGAAGCGCCATGACACAGAGCTCGGCTGAGTATAAGACATGCCGAAAGCAACCCACAGTGCCAAAGCGATGCCAGATCCGCAGAAAATCCCAAATGCAGAGACATGCTCACCACGGTTCTCTGCCTTTGAAACTTCTGATTGCCACACCGAGACCGTCGCAATGATGCCCCCAGTGCCAAAGCCCAACACAATCCGCCCGACGATGAATTGTGCGAAAGCGAATGACGAGCATTGGATTATGGCTCCGACGCCTTGAACCACACTGGCAAGAAATATTGTTTTTCGACGACCCAAAATGTCGCCAAGGAAGGTGCAGCCTAATGCTCCAAAAACTCCAAACAGGGTGTATAGCGCGACGACCGTGCCTACATGGGGTCAGTTGCTTGGCTTCGGTCATTGTCTGGGGTCATTTACCTTGGATCCTGGAATTCTCCTTCTGCAAGGACCCTGTCGTGGAAATCGTATTCATTCGCGGGAACTGAAGATTAAATGTCGAATCTGAAAGAACACCACCGGCAGCCGATTGATTATAACCAAACGTCATGACACAAAAGCAAGCTTCTACCCAGATGGCAAAATGAAGCTTTGAGCCTCGTAGGCCCCAATATGGTGCCATGTTGACGTTTTAAAATTCTTGTTGACCAGAGAGATACGTTTCTCTCCGCTGGCAAAAGGTGGCCAAGTCTTCTTATAGCACCTGAACAAACAGGGTCCAAGCCTGCCCGACGGGGTAGCTCGGTCCGCATACTAGCGTGATACCCCAACTTTGGGATGGCATGAAAAGCTTAACAGTGTTGTTTGGGGATATAGCCGACTTAAATGGCTCAAGGAAACCGAAGCGGAACTTTGTTGTCCGTGCCAACCTCCATTCCCGAGGTCCCTCCATGTTAAGAATTAGAAACGTAAAGGGTTCGAAAATCTAAAACAAGGCCGATCACTCAACGTATATAGGTGTCACTTCCACTCTTTACAATTAGGACTTTCTCTACTAAGTAAACCCAAATAGAGAAAATAAGCTCACAGGAATGAGGGAGAATGAGGGGAAGACAAAAAAGAGGAGAAGAATCGGGGTTTGAAAAAGAGGGGAGGGAAGAGGGGGGTTTTGTACGCGAAGATCGCGCCTTCTGATTTTGGATATATCGCGTCTTCTTAAAACAAATGAATGATGCATACCACCTGGCAGACTCGATAGAAACGGTTGCAAATTATTTTGCTTTAGATACATCAGACATTGTTTCAGAGCTAGACGGTGCCACTTGAAGACCGAACTCAAGGAAGCTGATTTGAAAGTCGAGGAGAAAAATACGAAGAGAGTTAGTCGAGGGAAGAGAACGGTGGACAGAAGGTGACTGTCTCAAGGGACATGCAGCACGTGGATAAGCAGCAAACAAACAACTGCTACCTGGAACCTTCCATCATCCACAGGTGTACGTGACCTGATTTCTGTATCTGACCTACTGAATTGATAAATATGAAGATACATTCTGATTTTGAGGCACTTTGAAAGAAATGCTTGTGCTGGATTTTGGTTAAACGTTAAAGAATTCCCGAAATGCAACTACCATGTATCAACCAACTGGCATGCATGATCAATGGTTTGGATGACTAGATAGAGCTTTATCGGATAGATACTCCGTACTCCGAGCCATGATGAAACTGGCAGGTATATTCCAGCCCCCACAGGTTCGCTACTGCGGTCCCGTAATGCCTGCAGACCCTTCCTACCATAACAAACTTGCCGCCCCCAATATCACCCAGTGAAACAACTACAGGGATTTATCGATGCATATAAAAAAATCTATCATTGAACTATATGGAATCCTATGGCAAAACTTACAGTAGATGCTTCACACCTCTAGTTGAGAATTTCCAGTAACGACCTCTTCCCTAGAGTGAAACAGTCTTACGCCGTCCCCGAGCGACGATGTTTGCGACTCCCTCCCCGCCGCGTTACGTATCTTTCCATAAGGGGCCCTCACATTAGCCATTCCCTTTCTCATTCGAAATAATGGTCCATATGTTGGTAGACATGCACAAACAATAGCACACGCCAGCTCAACGGTGGTCCAATCTAGTGATGCTGGTATATCACCTGGAAGATTACGGTTAGTTCTCTCGTATCCATGGCCCCATTGCATATTGCCACTTACGATCATAGCCCGTGGATGGAAGCCAGCTGAACCAGACCCGCACGGCACAGGTGACGCAAACACTGTGATTGTAAGTCAGCGCCGCGTGTGTCCATCACTCCTCAACATGGTAACTCACAAACCACCCAATAAAAACACACCCATCAGACTGGCTCGCTTCAATACAGGCATTTGTAGGTTGCGGACCATTACCGCTGGATGCGCCAAGATCATAATGTCAATGGGTATTTCAGCGATCCCAAAGCCGGCGATCATGGTGCCCTCCGGAATACAAATGTTCTTGTCGCGTAATGTGTTATAGTTCCACATAGCCCGAACAGGGTTGCATTCGAAGACAATGACGAAAAAGGCAATAATGCACCAGCACGCGCAGACACCCATGAGAATCCAATTGATACGTATAAAGGAGGGAACCGCGAAGATATGGCGGTAAAATGTCAAGATCGAGAATTTCGTTGCGGTGATACCGAGAAGGAACAGAATTTCTTCGACAAAAAGGTACTACTTCACCCATTAATGATGATATCGTGATTTCGATACTGTGTTTCGGGCTTACCTTTAGAAACCGATTCATCTGGTATTCCGTCATTAAAGTAAAATCAGACCCACCAGAGGACCCATTTCCTAGTATGGCTAGATGAAATAGGTAATCTTAGCCATGGATCATCATTGGGGCCAACAGTCACTTACCATGTAGGAATGTCCCCTGGTTAGCGTAGAACATGGCCGCAGCGAGAAAAATAAGCATATCCTCTGGTAGAATGCCCTTGCGGACCTTGCTTCGAGCCCATACTCGTAGACATAGAGAAATAAAGACTAGTAATATCATCGATGCCGATACTCGTAATGACATAGAGCCTGTCGGGCCAAGTTGTACCTCAGACATGATGAGGTGAATATTTGTCAAGGCAACCCAGAGGGGGAGGAAGTTGCACGAGGCATTTACTTCAGTTCGAAGTCGATGCGGGAGGAGGGAATGGAATATGATTATATTGTCAGACGCCTGGGGACTTTATGAATAACACACCAAGACTTGCAAGGTTAGTTCGACAAGGGATAGTAAGAATAGACCCCAAGGTTTCTCGTTTCAGTGCCTTTTTGCCACAAGGTATACCTAATGAGGAGATGTTCAAGGTTTATACGATGCTTATGGGCGGAAAGGAAGGCCTAAGTGGCAACTCGTCTGCTGAAGAACGCCCATTCTTCACGAAGCCATGTGGGCTTGGAATATGTGGAAGCCACGTGGATATCGATCAAATCACTCTATTAAATTTGGGTCTCTCGTGTTTGGTTGCTCAATGGATTCTTGCTTGGAAATGCCGTAGTTTTAGATAAGAGAATTAAATTCTGTTTCAAAATGATGTCTCGTTTCAAGCGTATGCCGTGAAACCTTCCCAACTCTCTAGAGCGCTTGTGCAACTCTTCCACCAGCTTTGCATACCACCAAGATAGATGAGTGGTTCTCGTCGCTTCCCTGGAATGTTGGCCCCCATGTACCAAGAGTCTGTCTTGGGATACAATGTGTGACTACTGACAGCAACAACCTGCTCTCGCCACGCCTCGGCAGCTTTTTGCGTTGGCTCAATGGACCCAATATTTCTCTCTTGCATCTTAGAAATGGTCTTGCAAATCCAATCGACTTCCATCTCAATGAAAGGCGGCCCGTTGGCCAAGGACGTTGGAGCCTGGGGGCCATACACCATGAAGAGATTGGGAGCATCGGGAATCATTAGTCCCAAATAGGTCAAGACACCATCTTTCCATTTCTCGGTAAGAGGTACCTGGTTCTTGTCCACGATCGCGAGGTCCAGTAAACTACCTGTGACGGCATCATAGCCAGTAGCAAAGATCAATACATCAAAATCGTGGTGCTGAGTTTTCTCGCCATTGCCTGTGACCATGCCAGCGTGATCAAAGTCGACAATTGGCTCGGTCTTCAGATCGTGTAAGGTGACATTGGACCGGTCAATCATCTCATAGTAGTCTTGCTCCAGACTTGGTCGCTTGGTTCCAACTAGCATATGCTGCTTCAACGGTGCGACAAGGTCCATTTTCGTGCGATTCGTCATGCGGGCACGGGTCTTTTGGACCCAATAGTCATAGAATATAGCATTGGTCTTCTCGTCGAGCAAAAAATCGTAGTAATTCGATACCAAGAAGCTGTATCCACCACGCTCCCAAAGCTCATCAAAAAGTTCCTTCCTCTCCTCTGGTGTTGCTTGATGCGCAGACTGGAACCGGGTGTTGTGTGGAAAGCCAGAGGCAGAGCTGTAGCATCGATCAAAGACACAGTCGTAATAACCTTTGAGCATTTCAGCCTCTTCAGGTAGGATGGATCGTTGCTTCATCGGGATGGCAAAGCAAGGTGTGCGAATGAAAGCCGTAAGCTCACAATCCTCCTTGGCAAGGCTCTGGATGATTTGGAGGCCGGAAGCGCCGTTGCCAACAACCCCAACTCGTTTTCCCTTCACATTCAGCTTGTTGGGATAATCTGCAGCGTGAACTAGTTGACCGCCATACTTTTCCAAGCCATTGAATCGAGGGAAGTGCTTCTTGTAAGAAGATCCGGTCGCAGCGACGAGATATTTGCAAGAGGCCGTGAGGCCAGTATCCGTAGAGATATTCCAGCGACGAGTTGTAGCATCATACTGCACACTAGTCACGACGGTATTGAAAAAAGTATCGTGGCTCAACCCCAAGACAGAGTCAACATGCTTGAAATAGCGTCGTAGTTCATCATCGCCGGGAAAGCGCTCAGACCAGTTCCAACCTTTGTATACCGCTGGGATATTGAACTGATAAGATGGCATTTCTGTGTCGACGCGGGCACCGGGGTAGCGGTTCCAGTGCCATACGCCACCAAAGGCACTGCCGGCCTCGATCAATCTTACAGACAGACCGAGGTTCCGGAGTTTGTACAGCGAATTGCAGCCGCCGAAGCCACCACCGATGACGATGGCATCAGTCTCGACATGATCAACTGTTCGTGTCATAATGTTTTCAGTCGTAGTGCAATTGAATTGAAACCATGACGAACGATCCATTTCAGGATTGGAAGATTAAATAGGAGGCCTCGGTTGCACTTGGACGAGGCACCGAGAACATTACGGAGATCATCCACATTCTCGGCTGCCGGGAAAACCATCCAAGCTGGCCCGGCTTCTTGATATCCGAGTTGTTGAGTCTCAAGACGATAATGTCGAGATGCATACGGTATAGATCTGGTTATCTGAATAGGAAGCCCACAACGAGAAGGTTTAGTGTGGAGCATTGGAGCCCCACATCGGCACCACGACTTGTCCGCCGTTTCGTACCGCCAATGCCCCCAATGCAGGAGGTCCTTCCATTGGACCATGGGAGCACTGATTTAGGTCGGAACGGACTGTCTCCGTATCCGAGAATGGGGTAGAGAGCCAGCAATGGACCAGATATCATCGAAGCACGGCTGTAATCATTCCGTCAAATCGGTATTAAAAGCATCCACTACAGCGCTGTGATATCAATAGATTAAAACTCAGTTGTATCGAATCGCAAAAATGGCGTCCATGGTCAAGGGAACGGCTTTCATCACCGGCGGGGCATCGGGTATGAGTTCCACCGTCGCAGTTGGAGGCATACAAATTAATCCAAGATAGGTATTGGCAAGAGCACTGCAATCGTCTTCGCGCAGAATGGTATCAGCACATTGGCTCTGCTTGATTTGAATCTATCAATACTGCAAGCAACTCGTGATGAAATTCGGGCTCAGTTTCCACTTGTCACTATTGAGATTTTTGAAGTCAATGTCGCAGATGAAACATCTGTCGAGGCAGTTGTAACCAATGTAGTGAATCAATTTGGTAGTATCGAAATCGGTATCAACTGTGCTGGTATCAGCGGCACGCCGACTCCAACTCATTTGATGTCCCTGATGGAGTGGCAGAAGGTAATTGATGTCAACCAAACCGGGGTGTGGATTTGTCAAAGAGCTCTGATCCGGCAGATGTTGAAGCAAGAGTATGTTGCCACTATATGCTGGGCGAAAACTGAAAATCACTGAAATATTTTAGATCGCGTGGTGTCCGCGAGGGTCGTGGTGTTATTGTTAATGTCTCGTCGATGTTCGGGGTCGGCGGTCCTCCAGGACCTTTCAGTATCCCGCACTATACGGCAGCCAAACACGGTACGTGGCGATGCACCCAATGCTCAAATTATGCTGACAGGAATAGCGGTGGTCGGTGTCACAAAAATGGTATAGTCAAGGCTGTCTTCTCGCAGTAGGCTTCGCTAATAATTTGTAGGATGCCAAGGCGTATGCCCGAGAAGGAATTCGCATCAATGCCATTTGTCCAGGATTCGTTGACACGCCTATTATCGGCGAGCAGATCAAATCCGGATCAATGAATCCTCAGTTCGAGATGACACCTATTGGGCGTCCAGCACATGTGGAAGAGATATCTGATGTGCTGCTTTTCCTCTCATCCTCAATGAGCAGCTACATGTGCGGTGCGGCCCTGGTGGTTGATGGAGGGTATACCGTTTAGATATTGCGCACACATAGAAACAGCCATTTTTGCATATAACATGTATGTTGTTGTTCAAATTGATGCCAGTTATAATTATACAATCATAATATCAAAATCAGCTTCTTTGGCAATCTCTTGCCAATGAATATCTCTATACGGCCCAGCCTGCTCTCGCCGATGCCATAGAGTCTTCACGATTTCACTCAGAATATTGATACTCTGGATGCCATGACGACTTTTGCGACCAAAGTAAGCCATCATCCTGGCTTGCAGATCCGGCCTCTGGCATTCCGCTGCCACAACGAAACTGGCCCAGTTGTAGGCACAACCCCCGTTCCTATCGTGGGTTAAAGTATCAACTGCCTCCAAGTCTTGTATAGCCTTCTCAACCATGTCCTGGACTTCACTCAAAGCCGCATGTCGTAGTGTTCGTCGAAAGAATATGATGGAGGCATAATAAAATGAGTTCAGGGCATGCTGAATGATAATGGAGCCAGGGCCATCCGGCCCCGAGGGAGAAGGAAATTTGAGGTAGAGCTGCAACTCTAAACGATCCAATTCCTCTGTGGAGATCAAGGTGTTCGAATCAATGATTGCTGTAATCCGTGCCAGGCATTGCACCAAAAGTGGTGTGACACCATGCGACCGCTCGAGATAGTGACGCAATTCGGGTGGTCCATCAAGAAGCGACATCATATGTGTGGACATAGGCAAGCTGCAAAGCGATGAAAGAGACAAGTAGCTTTGAAGCAAACGAGACGCCGTTGGGCTCCGTATCCAGCCGTCGTGAATCTCGTTTTCCAAAAGACCAAGTCCGCCAGCAACATGCGCTCTCCATCGACTCCGTCGTCCGGACATTGCTTCGGCGGTTATGCATGTGAGGATGGCAGCCAGTGTCGGCTCGTCGAGACGTTTTGCTCGTTGAAGGTTTTCCCTTAGGTGTCGCAACGCAAGTTGGTCATGATTCATTGCGAGGGACTGGTATCGAGGGTCGCGTCGAAGATGGAATAAGCTGAAGGCCGATGATGCACAAATGGCGTGAAAGATAGAAAGATGAATATTAGATTCTGTCGTAGAACTTTCGAAGGCTTTCAAAGCCATTGGCATGAACACTGTCCGACAGGGATTATCAGGGGTATCAATTAGGATCATATTACCGCTCAGAAAGACCACCCAATGGTGGACCAGTTCAGTCTCCGGTCTTGAAAGCTGTGAGGGGCCCAGAGATGCGATAGGAGGAAGTGTACATGACATGGAAGTGGCCTTGTATCTGCTCGTGTCAGAGCCAATATCTATATTAGTGTGTCGATTCCCATATGAAACAAGAGCTGTGGCATGATAAGCTTGTTCGACGTTCTCGGGCGGCACAGGTGAAGGTGCTGGTGATGTTTCAAGACTCGAAGGTTGCGGCGACTGGGGAGTAATGCGCGGGAGCTCATTTCCGGGCACCGAGACAAATTGATTCGCTTCCTCGGGGCTAGCCGTTGATGTGTTTGAATCGAGCGAACCTGCAAGAGAATGCTCGGCTGCTGGCTCGTCTCTGCTCTCGATCACTGGCGAAGACAATTTTTTTGAGTCGAGTGTAACCAAGGTGTTGGGGTCTTCGGATTCAGGACTAGAGGTGGAGAACACCGAAAAAGGTCCCCGTTGCTGGGCACTGCCGTCGCCGGAGCATTCATCTAGCTCCGCCAAAAGAGCCGTCACCGCGGCAGAAGACAAGTCCATGGTGGACGGTGGGGTCGATGTACATAATTGACGACGATGAGACCGACTGCCTGCAGTTTCAGACCATCCTAGACGCATGCCATACCCCTGACACTGCCAGCCGCTACGGCGACAACGACGGCAGTGTGGTTTCTCATCGTCGCATTTTACTCTGCGGGCCCGACAGGTCCAGCATCCCGTAAATGTCTTAGTGCGGGATTTTGGGGTTCTCGCGGTCGGTGATCTTTCGGTCATTCCCAGGTTCGATGGAGGGGAATATTGGGGTGTTGAAGCGGGATCAAAGTTGGTCGTATCTGGCTCCCGCATCGGCAATTGAGGTTTAGTCACTGTACTCGCTTTTCTAATCTGAAGTTGATGTTTCCATTTGTGACTGTGATTTTGTACCTGATATGTGGGTTCTCTATTGTTGCAGTTAAAATTTATGCTTTTGACGGCACTCGAGGCGAACAAAATTCGAAACTGGCCTGTCTTCGAACATAGAGTACAGATAATCGTCACAGATGCCTCATCTTATCCAGGAGTCTCCTCTCACTTTGCTTCTATTCGCTCCACTTCAAAGTCACCTGAATTTATTTCAAGTACACCTCATCTCGCTCCAAGTATCCTTAAGGTCACATATGGTAGGCCTTCCAGTCAATAGTTAGACGCTACTCCATCGTGTATGTCAGCCAAATATTGGGCGCCCATAATTTCCATCGATAGTCAACGCAGGTAATGTTTCTGTCATGCTTTCCGATGATTCTGTACACCACTCCTGCAATGACCCGGATTACACAGTTCTTGAACGCCTTTCCGCTAAAGTCGAGATAAAGCGCAGCATAACCATCAGTAGTGGTCTGTGTCCTAAAAGTTTTATTGAGATTGCAACAAGATCTCCATTGGAGGGCCGTGAGAGGTCAAGCGACCCAATAAGACGGCGTGGATGACCAGAGCCTCTTGACCAGAGCCTCTGGAGAGTTTTCCACCATTTTTGAACTGAAGTGATCATGGCAAGGTTATCTTTGCTCATATTGCTTACTATTACTCATAGATAAGAAAGCGAAGTATTTAATAGGCTCAATGGAGGCACATCGACGATTTCATTTCACGATTACTTTTCTTTCTTTGTTCCTTCCTTTTTTGTAAAAACTTATATTTACCAGAGCTGTGCCAATACCATCCTTAATATTCTGATTCAAAGCGCCTATTCGAATGGGCATACATGTCAGGACTTTGTATCGGAGAAGACTGTGAAAAGTGCTAGCCATTAGATTGGGCTCACCCCGTGCAAGATGGAGTTAAAAGAGGGCAAGAGGGCAACAAGATGGCGAGGTAAGGTCTCAAGGAAGGATGAGATCAACGTGCTGAAGAGCTCTGGACGCTGTTCAACAGTATCTTCATTTGGATCGTTAAACAATGCAAAACTAACTTGAGCAGACAAATCAGAGGTCTGCCTTTTTCATTTTCGACAATTAATTCTCATGCCTCCAATGTCCATATAGACAATCATTTATGACCAGGCATGGGAGCCAGTGACATACTGTAATTCAAGTTTGTGTCTAATTATATCATGACCCTTGTCAGACCCGGCCGTGGCCTGGTATAAATTACTCCGGCAGGGTCCACATCAAAAAAGCCCTTGACAAAATCTGCTCGCCCACAACGAGCTGAACCAATTTATCTCTCTAAATATGGTGTGAAAGATGCTATTTCTCTAAATTGTAATTATAATGAGCTCGAGCATAATATTGAAACCAGAGGGCTCATGGCCTTTTACCATGCACTGTGTCCACCAGAGCCGGGGCCGGCAAGCCGGTCTCTGTATCAGGTACTCCGATAACAAGGGTGATCGCCCAAGCCACAAACACGATCCACTTATATGCTTATTGCTGGCTGCTCTGCTAGGGGCCGGGTAAAGATAAATCGGAACAACCCGACGGAACTCGGTACAAAGTTGAATCTCTTGCTGTCACTATTAATGGAACGAAAAACCGTATAGCTCCTTAGTTAGGTCAGTCGGAGACTGGAAAGGTTAGTTGCCCGCGGCCTCTTGAACATTAGAACAAGGATAACAGCATGAATCCAGCTTTTCAATTTCAATAAATCGCATGATTAAAAGTCCCATTACAACATCACATTGGATCAATTAAAGGCCGTTCGAGCCATATTGTGCTCTCGTATGGCCCCACGGCAGTGTTATAGATTTACCCACGCCTTCACTGTTTAGGCATTTGTCCCATTCCAAGAAGCTGTGCTTGACCAACCGGATCACGCGGTTGACAATATCTGAAAGACCTCAGTCTAGATAGGTGATTATCAAAGTGACATGGTGAAGACGCGTCACAATATTTGCATGAAGCCACAGCAAGTGGGTAAGCCAAGACCCTGAATATCTCAGTGAGATGTGGAAAAACGCAGGGCACAATGATTTATCAAGTCGGAAGCAATATCCACATCGGCTAGCATTATAGTGCCCCGAGCTTAAGACAGAGTCGTCAGCATCGGCACTTTACAGGTCCAAAACGGACCAGGCAATTGGCCTTTAGTGGGCCTACATGCAACTAGAGACCAAATAGAAGACTAACTCCCGGTTCATTGACCCTCAGCCCCAATACATCTGTTGGTAGAGGAGCACTAGGTGGAAATTGCCAAGCAATAAAGGATATAGTGTTTTTGTCCAAAAATAAGCCATCGATGATATAAAGACGCCGACTCGGTTTAAATCTCACAGCCAGCAACCTCGTTCAGCTGAAACCAATTCAAGAAGTGTATACTTCAGTCCGCTCGTTCAACTTCATTACCTACCTCCCGTGAAAACCCTCCCAAACAACGAACATGTCAACCACCACCTCCTCGACCACCACCTTGGCCTCGGCCACCTCCAGCTGCTATGCCAAGTTATACGATATCCCGGTGCACGATGCCGCATGCGCAATGCCGATGAAGAGCAATTTCTCGTCAATCATGACCAGCTGCTGTGGCGAAGCACCTGTCGTCGAGTACGATGACTGTGACTACTACTGCCTGGCGCAGGGACAAACCGTTGGTACTCTTGCTGAGTGCCTGGAGAAGGCTTCGGAGGCTGGTGATTTCTGGTGCAACACCAATGCCAATGCTACGGCTACTGCGACTGCTACCGCTACCGGCACTGGAATCGTGACTCTCGGTGCCACCACGACTGGGGCAGACTCGACGGCCTCTGGCACCTCGAGTGGGGCTACTTCGACTTCGACTTCGACCTCTGCCGGAGTCGTTGTCTCTCGTCCTCTCTCGAAGTCTGCCATTGGCGTTGTTGGTATCCTGCTGGCTGGATCTGCCGTGGGTCTTTTCCTTTGAAGCGACAATCGGCATGGTATTGATATGAAAGGCGGCTATGCTGCATCATAGTCGGTGATTAGTGTTGATCGGTATGGGCCTTCGTTTAAAGACAATTGCTATCCAGTGGTTCCTTTCTTCTCTTCTTTGCTGCGGTATTGGATCCAACCTCCTTACCCATACTTTGTTATTTAGTCGCCAATGTTATCTGCTTGGGGAGATCGATTTAAATGCGTAACAGTTTCTCTATTGAAAGTCACTCGCAGCATTAAGGATACCTGACAAGACATCTAAGGATTGTCTGAGTCAATAAGTCCCAAATTATGGAGTAAACTCATCTATGTACACGGACAGAAGCAGTAAAAGTACAAACCCATTTGCACACCCCGTTTCCCAACCCACGCAGAAATGCGAAATATGGATGCTTTGAGCGCCGGAGTGAAGAGAGATCCGTAATGGAGAAATAAAATAAAGAAACAAAAGCCGTTGTAATACATCGCGGGTGGAGAGACAGGAGGTGTGGGGTTATAAACCACCGCCAGTGTCGTTGGAGACCGGAAAGGGTATGAGAGGTCGGTTCACCAGGGGATCATGGGAGGAAAAGACAATATGCCCGGGAATTTTAGATTTAGAAGAAGGCCTTGCGTGCCACCTGTCGGGAGTTAGCGGAATTCATATCAAGATCGCCAAACAGGAAAAACGTACGGTCCAAGTGCCAGCAATGGAAGCGACAATACCGCCAGAGATCATCATGGGCTTCAAGCCGCGAGTACTCTTAAACAGCATTCCACTCAATGCACCCGCGACGACACTGTTCGACGCATCGTGCTTGCCACGCGCGTAACCAATTGCCGAGTTGAACCCGTTGTAAACCATCGCGACAACACCGGCGGAGTTACCGAGGAACGGACCACGGCGGGTAATCGAGTTAAGCACACCGTTCAGACGAATCTTTGGAGGGGCGGTCGCCGGTGTCTTGTTCAATCCCTCGGCCAAACCCCATGCACCTCCGATAGTTAGCGCAGCCAGGTATGTGGTGCCAGCACCGTAGCAGAGGTCGTCGGACCAGCCGCGAGAGGGCAAAACTGAGCGGGAACCGGGGGTTTCATCAAGGGCGGTGTCTTCAAGGGAGAGATAATCGAGGGTGTCCTGGTTCAGGCCAGCCAGGGGATGGAGTCCTGAGGGATCGGGAATGGCGATCTCGGAAAGGAACGCAGTCGCATCTTGCGTGGTCGATGGGTCGAAAGCGGGAGCCTGATCTTGCTTGCGACCACTGATGGAGTCCCAGATAGCCATGATGAAGGGGGGGGAGGGAGGTCGATAAGATTACTAAAATACAGGATGAAGAAAGAGATGTCGACGTTCCCTTGAATCACGCAGCTCCACTGTTCTCGCGCCAGCAAAAACTTCGGTCCCGTGATCTGCGGCTCTCGGGGTTCGGATATATAGTGGTGCCGGAGCTAACCCTAATGAGGAAACACACGATAAAACTGATAAAAGAAATTAGTGCCTGAGGCCACCGCGGGGATCTTCACGATCTTTTAGGAATTTGCTATCCATTCTAATTGATTCATACGGGTCCAGAACGTGCTGTATTGGTTTTCTTGATAGCCATGAACAGCGACTCGTCCCGCGGGGTGCAATTCCCTTCAGCTGCAAGCATGGAGGTCATCGCACAAAATATACAAATTTTGTCTGAAAAGACACTAAGAGATATCGCCAAAGGCCCATTGATCAAATTTACCCTATCATGTGATGATCAGGAGTGAGTTGATAATTCATCATGTCTGCTATGTCTTTCCATTATTGATACTGACTACAAAAAGGAAAGTAAACCGAGTGTGGCAGTCATTGAGCAAGACACTATCATCGCCGTCTCTTGACCACCTGCATACAACCGCTGCATGCAATGCGGCATCTGCCTTCCTTGATGCAGCTGCAAATTCTCCAATTAAAGAAACCAAGCAACTTGCTTTGTCACCAGAAGTATGGCTGGCTGTCTTCGACGTCTTCATGACTAGATATGAGGACGTTAGGCCCAAGCCACTGAAGCAGCTGTTGGCCTCTCTCACGACCATCTTGGTCAAGCATTACAAGGGAGAAACTAGAATCATGGTACAAAATGCCGTTGTGCAGTCAATTCTTCCTTGCATTATCCTGGGTGAACCACGCTCGCGATTAAAGGGCTCCCTCGTGTGCTTAGAGATGTTCATCCGAAAGGGTGCCATCTCCCCATCCGAATTGATTCCCTTGGTACGAAGCTGGCTTTTGGATTCTCGGGATCAATGGGTTCCGTTTTTCAAGAAGGACCAGGATGCTATCTATCCTGGAGTGTCTGATTCTACAGTGATGTCAAGCGAGCCATCCGAGGAAGTGGCAGGAAGAATCCTCGTACTTGGTCTTTTGACCCAAACCAACAACCGCGGCATGGCTGGAACTTCGGGTAATATCTTGGCTGCTTTCCTGCAAAAGCTAAAGGCAGAAAGCCCAGATAAACAGATGTCAAGAATCTGGATTCACCCTGCGAGACATATGTTGCTACAGAACCTAGACTCTGTGGAAGTCCTCTCAATCCAAATCATGGAGCCAATTTTCAACACTGATCCGGCTGGCTTTTTGCCTTTCGTTGAAACTCTTCCTTTGCGCAGCCTCATGGCTGGTGATATGACCGAAGGATCACAGTCAGAATATATGCTTCTTTTTGTCTCTCTGCAAGTGGGAAAGAAGGTTAACTTAGTTCATGATGACTGTAAGTTTGATTTGGCAAGCTCTTTACAATATAAAGGTATATTCTAATATTTTTAGATGACGCCTCCAAAAAGGCCAGCCCTCACAATTTGGTCTTGAAGAGTGAGGTTATCGGTAGTTTCTTACTCCACCGAGACCCGACCATCCGCGTGGCAGCCTTGTCCCTACTCATTACGGCATTCTCAACATCGAAGCCATTCACAAAGGCTGCCACCAGTGCTATCCTGAGGGGACTGCCGTCTATGCATGCGGACTCTGACGCCTTCAGCAGAGGAGAGATTATGAGTCTCACCCGGAAGTTCATTATTCGTTTGAAGAGTGGCATCCTGACAGAAGAGGGAGTTTCGGCGGCACCAAAGGCGAAAGCTGGCAACGGGCCCACAACTTCGCCTGGGAGTGATTCTGAGACGAAGAGCTTCCTTAGTGACTACGTTAAATTCGTTCAGAGTGATCTTTGTGTCACAGCATCCTACCCTCGCCACATTACAGCATTGAAGGCTCTAAAGCTACTACTGGAGTCTGGCCTTGACGGACGAACAACTCCCAACCTTATCAAATCCGAAGTCCAAACGCGCTGGAATGTCCACTTGGAAGTCTTTAATTCTCGTCTTCTCAGATTGCTGGTAGATCTTCTTCTGGATCCGTTCGAGGAGGTTCGACAAACATCACTCTTGATTATCAACCTGTTTCCTTCCGATATTCTCATCGGAGGCCTTTCGGATAATGCGGGCCCAGTGGGAATGCGCTTAACAGACGCTCTTGCTAGAGCGGAAAGTCTTGCAAGCAAGACAAGCCGCGCAGACCATGCAGATACAGTTGCCCGTCTCTACCATATATTTTTCTCCGCGGCTCCGTCGCAAGCTGCGTCTGAGACTACCAATGATTGGTGGGCAACCAAATACACAGTAGTTGACACAATCCTGACTCGACTTGAAGAACGCCTTTCGTCTCCTAAGGGTTTGTTCAACTCTGCTATGCAACAAGCTCCCCTTCACGGATACATGTCTGGGCTTCGTTGTATCATTCTCGTTCCTGACTTTTATTCCCATGTTTCAGTGGACTCCAATCCATCTACCTGGAAGTCTGTCCATGACAGAATTGTGTCGATCTGCGATAGTGTTTGGCAGGAGGTGAAGCCTGTACTCTGCATTGACTCCCCAGAAGGTCATTCCGATCAGCCCCTCGAAGATTTTGAAGTCGGACCAAAGGACATTCTGTCCTATTCCTGGAGATCCTTACGAGAATCGAGTCTCTTGTTGCATGCCACTATGACCAATTTGACCTATGGACCGGCGGGTGATCAGGGCCTTCAGCGAGCTGACTTTGAGAATGTCGGCCGAGTTAGCTTCACTCAACTGGCTGAGCTCCGTCACAGGGGTGCATTCTCCACCGTGTCCACGACATTTGCCACCTGTTGCCAGCGATGCACTGACTCCAAAGACGCATCCATTCAGGAGCTCCCAGTCCTTTGGTATCAAGAAGCCAAATCGACCATTTTTGAGTCCGCTGCAAAGCTCACTCGTAGATCTGCTGGTTTGCCTGCCTTGGTAACTGGCGTTCTTTGCTCCAGCCCCGGAACACCATTCTTCAAGCAGGCATTTAATGAGCTCTACGAAATCTCGCGCCTTCCTGTGGATTACGATAAGGATCAGCAGTACTTGAAACTGCCGCAAGTTCACGCAATGAACTGCTTGAAGGATATATTCGTCAACAACAAGCTTGGGCCCCATACTGAGGCTTTCATCATGCCAGCACTGACTCTTTCTGCCGAGAGAATTGGCTCCCCAATGTAAGTGCTTCTTCTGAAGCTACGGTTACATGTGTCAGCTAACAAATTTCAGTTGGAATCTTCGCAACTCCGGACTGATGCTGTTCCGCGCTCTGTTGGTTCGGATGTGTCGCTTTGTACTCGGCACGGGAGCTGGTTTTGGTGGCATTTCGGGTTCTGAACCTGGATCTAAAATCTCGTTTCCCAAGTATCCTGGATTGCTTGAATTACTATCCAGCCTTCTTGCGCCAACTGCAGGAACCATAGTCGAAGGGACAGACATTGTAACTGAGCGCATTTTCCCTGCCCTCGAATTGATTGGAGAGAAGGTTCCAACATTTGATGATGACGATACCCTGTTACGAGGGCTGGTTCTTGAGCATTTCAAGAGCCCCGTTTGGGCTATCAGAGAGCATGCAGCTCGTGTCTACGCATCATTGTTAACTCGAACCAATATTCTCAAGGATTCATGCGATCTGGTTGGTCTTTTGAAAGGTGAGGTTACTGAGAATTATTTGCATGGAACAGTTCTCTGTATCCAGTACTCACTTCGCCGCTTTGCGGCCAGTACCGATGTGTTTTGGTCTTCCCAGCTGGATGAGCTCCTAGTAACTATTCGTCATGTTTTGGCAACGATTTTCCCACTGGCCAAATCTCCTTTCGTTGTAACAGCACTGGTCGAGATTCTGAATGATACCTTGGAGCGTGGTGTCAAGGCTGATATTGAAGAGCGCATGGTCTCTTTCCTCACGAGTGTGTTTGAAGAACACGATCTCAATGGAGTACTGAATGACGTTTTCGACGCCTCGCAAACAGGTTGGAATTTGCAGAGCGGCACTCGAGCTTCTTCTCTTTTCAGAAGAGCTCTTACCTGGTGTACAATTTCGAAATCTTTTGCTTCTCGGGATTGGAGTTCAATTTCGTCTTTTTTCAATGGAGTCGCGGCCTTCGATGCCGATGCTGCCAATTGGATCCTTGAGCGGGTCCAAGAAACACTTGGCGAGAAAGGAATTTACCATAGGCCTTTGGTTGATCTCTATTCGTCTGTCATTCTTGGTGACTACACACCCGACGTGAAAACAGTCGCTGCTTCAAACCTCGCCTCTATACTTGAGCATTTATTAAGTTCCCAAGTGAAGTTAATTACAGAGCTGGCACCCCCTTGTGGTGAGCTGATGCAAAGGTTCAGACCTGATCTGGCTATTGAAGAATGGAACCGACAGGCTACAGATGCAGAGCTTCGCCTACAAGGCTGTCTTCTTGCTGCCCAAGTCGTTTCGAGTGGAGATCAAAACATGTCTGCATTCAAGTCTACTCTCGATAGCTGGGCTATCAAATTGCGGTCGGCTCTCAGCGAAGAAACTGTAAGCCACCTTCATTTATTTGATGAGAAAATGAATTAACATAGTGACCTAGGAATTCACAACCCGTTATGCCGCTGTGATGTCTATCCAAAGCTTTTCGCTTGGTCTCCGGCCGACTGATAGTTCACCTCGGGTTGACGGTCCTTTACTGGATATCTACTTGATTTTGTATGATCTGCTAAACGATGACGACGAAGAGCTTCGAGATGTTGCCGCATCAACTGCATCATACGTACTGTCATACTCGTCTGTTTCACCTCGCACTGCAGTTGCGCTTGGACCCTTGAATGCCAGCTCACTTCTTGCAACTTTCATTGCCGATCACTACTCTGATTCTCCACAGTTGGCCAGACGAGTTATTCGCTACCTCACCGGTCAAAGTCAGCGTATCAGTGGTTCCGATGAGCAAGCTCATCTGGTTTCAGTGGCAGATCTCGTTACCGAATATTGCCAAGAGAGTACTGTCTTGTTTGTGGAGGAGAAGCAAAACCTATTTATTGACGATGTGAGGGAGATTGACGTATGGTCAAAAGCACTTTTGCATCTTCGTAAGGGTGCCTACCCCGAGACTCTAGTCCGACAATTCTCCAACTGGGTCTCTGAAGGGTTGGAGTACCTCACAAAGCGGGTCACTCAGGAAGCTGGTCAGGATGGACTTCTTGGTTGGATTTCGAAACCCGAGTCATTCACTCTGGGAGTTCGCATCATAAGTATTTCTTCCGCACTTGCATCCGATGGGTTTACGGCTCCACAGTACCTGGATGTCAATCCTAGTATATTGAAGAAGCAGCTCCAATTGCTGCTCGATGCTGGTCGAGGTGCCTCGGTACATGATGACTGGCTTTCGAGAATCCAGTCTGGGTTGAAGTCGAGCTCTTAAAAATCAGTTTATGTATAGATGAGACAAAAGCATTTGAAATAAATTCCAGCCTGTTCGTTCTGCGCAGGTTTCCAGATCAACGTTTCTTTGAACCTTTTGCTTTTCTTCTTGCTTCCGTTCATATCTTCACGGTTACAAACTCCTTCTCACAAACTCCACCGCAAATTTTATGACCTTTTCATTCCCTTAACCCCTATGTCCATCCTATGATTTCTCTCCTTAAGCCTTTCACAGTCCAGAAAACTTCAATTCGAGTCGGGTCATTGCAAACAACTCAGCACCTCAGTCTGGACAGATTTTCGTCGATTCGATAACATCACAGCTATTCTTCATTCCCTTCTTCTACAATGCAGCCAAACATACTCATCACAGTTTTGATCTGTGTTTTTCTCATCGTGGTGATTTTGGGGTTTCTGAGCTATTGCTGGTACTCACATCATGTAAAAGTTGGTGTCCTGTTTAGCAAAGCGATGGCACCAGGGCAAAGAAGAGTCGGCCGAGCACGTCGGCGTCAAGGAGACCGTGCTCCACATGACATTGAACGACAAATGCCTCCCCAGGTCCCTCGATACACCAGCAGAGGCTGGTCACGAGCACGAACTCGTAGTCAACCTCGCGAGGAACGACTCCGCAACCCAGCTTACTTGATTGTCGAGGAGGCAAAGCCAGGCGAACGCCCAAGAGTCACTCGCTACTCTCCAGGGAGGGCAATCATTTCCCCCAATTATGACTTTTATAACGGTGATAGGAGGAATCGGTATCGAAGCAACAGTCGCCCACAACTCGAATTGGAGCCCTGGAACAGGCTTGATACCCTCAGATCCCCGGAAGGCGTTATAACCAAGGAAGCTATCTATAAGTGGGCTAACAAAGCTCATCCAAATGGATCCGGATGGGAAGCTTTGTCCCATAGTCAGAAAAAAGAGCACCCTCCCAGTCACCATGATGAAAAAGCAGGAAGTCGGGGAAAGGACTCTACCTGGCGAAACCACCGCAAAGACGATCAAAAAAAGGAATCCAGTTGGAAGGACAGTGACAAAGGTGAAAACAATGCCAAACAGCCCAGGGGTTCAACACACAGCCCCAAGAAAAATGCGTCAATCAAGGACAACAACTCAGGCTGGAGCAAAGCTAGCAAGAAAGTGACCAGTCAACAAGGAGGAAATAGGGACAAAAACAATGACAAAGGCTCCAACGTTAGTGATTGGGGCAACCCAGATAACGGAAGTCGGCATGGCGGCAAAGACAGAAACTCCAAGAGCGGCCATGACAACAAAAAGACTGAAGGGGCAAATGACCCTGACACCTGGGTGAGCACAAATTCAAGTGTAAATGGAGGTACTGGAATTGACCGCCACAGGCATGATGAGCATGACTGTAAATACCGCTCACACAATGAGAGCATGGGCGCATCGCAGAATGATCAACTTGCTAGCGAAAAGGGATCTTTGAATGCAAGGAATTCCAAAGGTTTCAGTAAAGACTCCAAGGATGGCAGCCCCGAGAGTCACCCTGCTAACAACAATGAGCCTTGGTAGCTGAGATTGAGCTACAATGTGCTCTTTCTAGCGTCTGTGTGGGGGCGATGCTTCTAAGATGAGCATTATTATCGACGGGTGGAGATCAATTTGACAGAGGCCATTGTTATTATATTACATTGAGCTTTTTCTAATGTCATAGTGGAAGGATTCTTCCATATTCAACGAGTATCTATAAATATAAACACCCGTGGGTTGAAAACAGGGTCTCAAGACGAACTGTGACCTATTATGTACACAATGGGTTATACTAGGGAAGCCTTGGTTGGTTGTATATCTTATCGCTAGACTTGTTATCAATTTTGGCCATAGTGTGCATTCTCAGTCAACATAGGGGTTCAAACTCATGAATACTTCCATGCTGCGATCGATCACCTGTCAGCCAGGTCTGATTCATATTTCATCTAATATATACATGTACATGCAGCATGAACATGTCTGTACATGTTGCTGTTCGTCTTTGGTCGCTAAAATCTGCCGTAGTCGGTGACGTTGTGGCCCCCGCAGATCCCCAGGCACACAGCTTTCCAACCTCCACCACTCCGCACTTGTTTTGCTTGATTCAGATTCAAAATGTGGGACGACGAGGATAACAACCCCTATGGGGCATTTGACCAGCATGAAGCCCATCTGGCAGACTCGCTGCATTCCGCCGTACTCTCTCCCCGTAAGCTCCCCTCCCCCGGTTCAGTGTATGTCTCTGACCCTCGGTAGCCATTTACGAGCATGATTCGACTCCGCCCTCTAGCCGAGATTCCAACCTGGACCCTCCAGACTATATCTCTCACCCGGAGGACCTTAGTGATCCCGAGGAAGCTGCCTATGGCGCAGCAAGCGAACAATACCCGCGGAAGAATGTTTATGACAGCCGGATTGAGCAGATTCTCTACGAAAACCCCGAAATGCCCATTCTAATCACCGATGCTGGCAAGAACCACGAAGGTGGAGGCAGCTTTATTGTCTATACTATCCGAACCGCGGTAGGACTGGAACTTCCGATAGACGGAAATGCGGCTGAAGGCTGACACCATGAAATTAGGACCTGGAAGTGCGCCGGCGATACTCCGAGTTTGCGTCGCTACGACAGACCCTCGTGAACCTCCATCCTACTCTGATAGTGCCCCCAATCCCCGAGAAGCATAGCATGGCCGACTATGCCGCCAAGCCTACCAAAGCGAAAGAAGATACAGCCATTATTGAGCTGCGGAAGCGGATGCTAGGCGTCTTTCTAAACCGATGTCGCCGCATGAAAGAGATTCGGGAAGATGGAGTCTGGTGGCGCTTCCTGGACCCGAACGTCAGCTGGGTAAGTATTCGATATATCTTAGACGGACAGTGCTGATTTGTGATAGAGCGAGGTCTTAAATTCACACCCCGCATCATCCGTTCCGAAGAATAATCTCAAAGCGCCTCCTCTTGATCCCGCAAATCCAAGCCAAGCGCACAGCTATCTCCCAGTCCCATCATCCTCTGCGAAGCTTAAGGCTGGTGGAATGTCAGGAGCTTCAGGATCCCCTACATCTCCAAGAAACAGCACAGAAGGCCCACCTCCGCCGATTCCGGGCCCAGAAATACTCGGACGCTTCCCCCCAGAAACAAGAAATCTAAGTGAACAGGAGTTGGATCCATACTTCGTGAATTTCGAAGCTTCTACCCGCGAACTGGAGCTACTTCTGCAAGGAAACATCGAGAGGGTGAATCGCCGAACCTTGTCTCATCTATCAACGTTATCTGCCGACCTGATGGAGCTTGGCGCCCGTTATAACGGATTTTCTCTCTCCGAGCAGTCTCCAACCGTAGCTGCCGCAATCGAGCGCATTGGCCAAGCGGCAGACACATCTTATATTGCGACTGAGGAATTGTCTACTGCACTCAGTGCGAGCTTTGCTGAACCCATGCGGGAAAGTGCACAATTCGCTAGCGTGGTGCGCAGTGTATTACGGTACCGGGTTCTGAAACGGGTGCAAGAAGACATGACTCGCGACGAGCTGGCCAAGAAGAAGACTTTGCTGGATTCGCTTGAGCGTAGCGAGCTGGAGGCCAAGCGAATCGAACAGTATCTCAACCGCACAGACTCTCAATCCCGCACTAAATCGCAGCGTTCTTTGTCCACCTCCTCTACTGTGAGCAGTGAGGGCGATAACATCGCGAATGCATCTACTGATTCCGAGTTCCCACCTACTCACGGAGAATCGCTTGGATCACCCTCAGCATCCCAGACCGGAAGCAGGAAGCCAGAGCCATCACCTTCTCCTTCCCCAGCACACCGCAAATCGTCCAGTGGGACATTTGTCGCAAACAAGATTTTCGGTCGTATCAGCCACGCTATCCACGGCTTTGCAGACGTAGATCCCGAACGAACTCGACGGGACCAAATCGGAAAAACTAAGGAGAGTCTCATTCAGGTATGTGGGCCGAGAGTAGCAAAGTAGCTGTATTGAATTGTGTCCTAACAAGATCCACAGCTGGAGCAAGCGTTGGAGGTATCAGAGAAGGATGTGAAAGACGCTAGTGCAGGGGTAATGCAGGATCTGCGACGCTTCCAGAAGGATAAAGAAGGCGATCTTCGGCGTTACATGGTAGGGACCTCTCTTGCCCCCACTTCCTGCAGACAGCTAACCGGGATTGCGTTTAGGTCGCATATGCACGCTGCCATTTGGATTGGGCTCGCAAGAACCTCGAAACTTGGACAGAAGCCAATGACGAAGTTAACAAGATCGTTGCGCGCTAGACACTCGATTTCTACTCCCAATCCTCACGGCGTCGATGGTGTTCGGTTCTATCATATGTGGCGGAAAGCATTTGATATATTCTTCCTTTTCTGACTAGCGATCATGCTCTTGCCCGACAAGGTTTACCAACCGTGGCTTACAACAAACATATTCACAATCTTGTCCTTCCATTGTAGTTTCTCCTTTCCTTCGGGTTCTCCCAACGCGACTGTAGACGATAACGCCTTTGTCTTACCTGGGTTCATCTGATACAACCCTGTAACCCCATATTCACCGTGAACATGAATATTGTAACAATGTCTTGGGACCTATCGAAGGGCTTCCCTTTTGCAAATCAGAATTCAAGGTCCGTCGTCTATCACGGCAGTCCCTGGCCAAGAACCATGGATCCTTGGGACGGGAATGGGCAAGGGCGCTTCCTGACATTCCTTGAGTGGATCCATCAAGGTCCACTCCCGTTGGTCAGTTATCACCTCAAGTGGGTGATCGACAGGAACTGCATCGATCAGCGCAGACCTCAGACAAAGACTGATGCCTTCCACTCCCTTGCGTCGTGTCAACCGGTTCATGTCGAGCCCAGCGACAGCCCTGAATGTTAGCAAGAATTCAGCTTCTACGCCATCACCCTCGCACAAAGGCGTTAACATGCATAAATAATTCAGCGATCGCTGTAGCCTGTCCCACGATAACAAATCAATTGAGCCATCCTTCCGCATTCATCGGCGGAAGTAGCAAATCGTCACGAAGTTAGCTTCTGCAGAGCTTCCAGGTTTCTCCGCATTCCGTGCCTTGCAGCGCATACCCACAGGTGGAGCCTGATATTGAGTGGACCAGGTTGCATCCCTCACGGCGAGCCCCTCGGACAGGTCCCCGCATCGCAAAACCCACCCTACCGAGGTGGCACGCCGTGCGTCGCGACTGAAAACGATGAGTGCCTAGATCCATGGCGGACAGGATGATCGTCAGGAGTGGCCACTTATCACGGCCGGCGATGCCGCCTGCTGGACAGGTCAAGAATTCTCAACAGGGGTGGTCTTTACGGTCTCTTTGGCATCTATCGATTCCTCGACGTTGGATCAAGATGTTGATTTTGGTAGGTTTGGTTTGTTTCTTCTCGTTCGCACTTGGTTTGGGCTTGAACCAGAACCAGGTTCGCGATCTTGAGCAGGATAGCGACTTTCAGGATGATGATGTCTCCCAATTCCCTCCGCCCAGGCAGACGGGCCAGAAAACTCATGACCCGACTATTTTGAAGGTTGGTGATGAGTTCTATCTGTACAATGTTGGTGAACATATCTATATTCATACCGCGCCCTCCATGGCCGGTCCATGGAAGCATGTTGGCAGTGTGCTGGACGCCAACAGTGTCATCCCCAAGGGTGATCGTGCTGCCCCCTGGGCACCGACTGTCATCGAATTCGAAGGCGTTTACTACTGCTACTACAGCGTGAGCAAAGCTGGCTGCCGTGACAGTGCTGTTGGAGTGGCGACATCTAATTCCCCTGGACCCGGTAAATGGCATGACCACGGCGCCGTTGTCCAGACTGGGACGGGCAATGGTTCCGATGTGTCGCCCTACACTGTCTCAAATGCCATCGATCCTAGTGCATTGGTTCTGCCCAATGGTGAAGCGTACCTGACCTTCGGAAGCTACTGGACTGGTATCTATCAAGTTCCTCTTGGCAAGGACATGCTTTCACCTAAGAGTACTACTCAGCCTGATGCTCGTCACCTTGCCTACGAACCCAATACCCTGAGCGCTCCCAACCGCAACGCCAACTCATTATGCGGTGACCCAACTGGACCCCACGCCATCGAAGGAGCATTCATTTCCTACCGCGATGGATATTATTACCTCTGGTTCAGCCATGGAAACTGCTGCAATCTGCATGCAAACAAGCTCCCTGCTGCTGGCAAAGAGTATGTTGCATCACGCCACCTCGGTTCCTTCTATACTAATCCTCTCACAGATATAGTATTCGCGTTGGACGGTCCCAAAATCCTCGTGGGCCCTTCATCGACAAGAACGGCAAAGACCTGGTCAACGGTGGCGGCACCGTTATCTACGGCTCTAATGGCGAGACCTATGCCCCGGGCGGCCAAGGCGTCCTCGTCAACGGCGACACCGACCTTCTCTACTATCACTACCGTGAGTACAAGATCCTTATCCACGCGCACATTACCATTCTAATCCCGATCCAGAAAATAAAACTATTGGCGTGGCATTTGCGGTAAGTCATCCCGGCAGGCTTGTGGATCTCGATACCCGCCCATGTCGATCCTCCTTCATTCCCTTCCTTCCCTTTCACCCAATCGCATCCATTATACAGCATCAAATCTCTGACATAATCTCCAGGATGCCCTCCTTGGCTTCAGCCCACTAAAATACGTCAACGGATGGCCCGTTGCACAGCCATAATAACAACGTCACTCATTTTACCTGATCTGCGTCTCCAACTCCACACACATAATCCGATTCATAATCCGGTGATATCAACCTCGCCTTTCCTTCCTAATTCGCCATCGAATCATCTGGAATGTCAATCTCGCCGCTCTTTATCTCATATAGACTTTCGGCCTTGTCTCTCATTACACGCGCTTGCGCCCTGATCGACCGATCCGAGATCGACTGATATACATACTGGGGAGAATACTTGTTTCACTCTCAGCAAATACTTGCGTTTGCTTTTTGAGGCAAATGATTGTTTTTACCGGTTTTTCTTAGACCATGGGCATTTTGCTATTGGTTGTACATATTGTTCTTGCATATAGAGGGGTTTGGGTTTTAAAATTTGAACCTAACATTTATCCATGGAAGTTTACCATTTAGCAAAATCCAGATACAAATAATACTTCTTTTCAAAAACATCGATGTCCAACATTGGCGTAGATCTGATATGCTTAAAACCGCTTTATCTAATCCATTGGCCACAACCTTGAAATACCCATGCGATCCTGTAGAAAAAGGTGCAAGAGTTGTCTGAATGTCTTTCTGGTCGTCATCATATATGTTGAACATGCTGAATCAGCTCAAGGCTCTTCATTTTTACACCAATGAAAAACTTAATTTGAAAATTGCTCGAAGACTAAGACACAACACATGAATCTCCGCTACGTGGCGCTTTGCTCTTTTACCCAATGGCCCAGTGTAGAGAGCACAGAAACCACACCTTCAACTTGATCTTCTGTGAGTTTCTTGAAATCTCAAAAGGTTTTCTGGCCTTGCAAATTTTCCGAAGTATCCCAAATCTTCATTCGACTTGCTCAGTTGAGGAATTGATTTCGGAACAGCTGCAAATGAGATCTAGAAGCTTGAGCTTGTGATAATCGAAAGACGCTATTAAGCTGACAAAATTTACTATTCAAAAGGAGAAAAGACTGGAGATAAGTGATTGCTCCCTATCAAGATCCAAATGTCCGCATGAAACCGACATCATTTCCTAGTGATAGTATTGGCGTTCGCGTTTGTCCCTGCATCTCTATCAACGTCGGTCTTTGGAATGAACCTACCTGTAAGAGTTTGGCAGCCTGGTTTTGTTGGTCATTACAGCAGCAACATTTGCATTTCAAGCATATCATTCAAAGTTTAATGATTCGGATGAATTGTTTCATGGGACTCCTTTCTCGGTTCCATATGGCTTTCTTGTTTCGATCTGGAATTTGGCTTTTCTCCTTTGCCTCTAACAATAAGATATCCATCCTCAAAGCTCACAATGAAATGGATCATGCCCAAGCCAGTATTGCATTGAACACGCCATGAACCGAGCACTAACCCCAATGGGCTTTAGGATGCTATTCTTAGCGTCGTGCACGTTGCCATGACAAATCAAGACCGACTGGGCTGGGCTCCCACGTGGCCAGTCTCCAAACGCCCCACTGTGGTCCTCCATGTACGTACAGGAGGTCCACTGCAGACCCCGAGACAAGGTTACGTAATGGTGCGACAAGGCGCATATCCCCCGGGCAAGTGAATATGGCACTTACCTTGGCGGATCATTGCAAATCGGAGAATCGGTTCGAGTGATGGGGCTCAACTGATGGGAAGGCCGAAGCGCGACTCAATTGGAGATCGTGATATTGATAATTAGAGGTGAAATGACAGTTTCTGGCTATCCACTTTCTCTTCCGTTTGAGCTCACTTGCGACGATCTCCTCATTCTTCCAGGAATCTGACACCAAACTAGACAAGAAAGGGTGTATTGGACTGGCGATCAAAGGGTGGGACGTGTCAGAGCTCTGTATAAGGATTGAAGTTGACTTGCACGCCTTGGATTACCCAAATCACCACTTGCAGGACAAGAACCTTTGGTGTAGTCTTCAAGAACATGCTTCACTTACCGGGAGATACGGCACTTGGTGAACAATGGGGGATGCAGGGATCCGTGCAGTAAGTATCCTTGTCCTTGACCAAGTGGGGAGGCCAGTCAATTTACCAACCCTGCTTTCGGCAAATGCAGGGTGGGTCTTCTCGTATATCGGGAATAAAAACACCCCTTCGAAAAAAAAAGGCCGAAGCCTACCAACTGACCGGTAATTGCCCCCAAATCCTTGAATGAGAATCCATCGGTGGGAGTAGGTACAGGAGAATGTGCGGATTCAGAGCCAGTACAAGGCACAGAGGGAAATAATGGATTATTTTTTGTACATACAGGGTATCTCGATTTTCATGAATGTGCTTTATCATCCCCAACTACACTCCTGGGAAAATGGCGCGGCCCATCCTGTAAGCGACTATCATGCGAACGGGCATTCAAAGACCCCTCATCCCCATCCGACCTTTGGTCCATCTGTGTGAGTGGATACTCAATATCCACGTCATGTATCCGGTCGAACGTATTATTCTTGCTCAAGATAGGCTTAGGTCCCGATGCCGGCTGCGTTGAGTATACAGCTTTGGCACTGGCAAACAAGGACGGGCAAGCAGCCTTGAGAATAGGGCGAAGCATGGGGGCACACGAGTTTCCAATTGCGAGAGCCGGCTCGGTGACACTCCAGAATGCAGCCCAGGTCATCGAGTATGGAAGATCATTGAAGTCGACGGTCGTGAGGACACGGATTCGGATGATGGTGATGGAGGAGATACTGTGAGGCATTCAATTAGCGGGTAAAGGAATAAGGCGAGGAGAAGAAAGACTCACAATACACCCAGACCAAAGATTCCATACAAGGCCATCTTCGTTCCGATAGACATTTGCAGCTTCCAGATGAACCGGATTGGCAATGCCATGATCAATACGTCCGTGATAAGATTGAACGCGCCAATGGTTGAGAAAGCCACATTCTGACTGGCACAGTGACCTGGCACATTGCTCCAATTCTTCTCGAAAGGCGTGCAGATCAAGAAAATCTGGAGCATACTTCCAATCCAGTATGCCGCTGCACACCCCATACACACCCAGGTGAGGATGCGAAACTCCCTGGTCACAAAGATGCGGAGGTAGAAGAAAAGGTAGCTGAACTTGGCCAAGACCATCGCGTTGTAATACACAATTTGATAGATGATCAGCATCTTAGCGATCAGGACGGTATTCGCCGGTGGAAGAACGGTGACATGTTGCCGCATTCCCACGCGGGCGTAGTGATATTGCATTGCAAGCATGCCGTATGTGTGGAGCATCGCCGCAACACAGAATGCATCATCCCACCAGACCTGACTTCTTCTGAGACGTCGGGAGTAAAATCGCAAAACCACCATTAAGGTGGCCACGGCGACCAGCACAGTGTTAGCGATTAGCTGGTCCCGGACGATGGGGTAGGTGAACACATTGTAGAACTGCATTGTGCCAGCCCGTAACAGGGCGAAAGCGTGCCAAAGTACCCACTGACAAAATACAGTTACCAGGGGATATGCAATAACTTAAATTCAGCTGTCAGTTCGGCTGACGAAAATCTTTTAATCGTGCCGAAGCTAAAATTTGCCAGGGGCATACGCTGACCATAGAGACCTAAAGATCGGCAGGAGACAATAGGCTTGGTTGGTTGGCGGGCCGTTAGACTGCGGGCCGAAGGATTCACCCGGTGGATCTGGGGGCTGAACTGCTCGGTCTCCATTGGTGCGGAGGATAGGCTAATTGACACCGAGCCGTCAGCTTGCCCTAGTGACCAACACTGACTATCCACTTATGGAGGAACTAGTCCAATTTAAGAGTTGAACGGACTCGAATCTCCGAAACGGCTTCGGGGAGCATCCGGGCTTCTCGCTCTCGAGCCGTGCCCCTCATCCCGAATCTGGCGGTGTCTTCTTTCCCTTCCCCTGAATCTCGCCCCTAAATCACAATGGACGAAGAATACGACTATATCATTATTGGTGCAGGAATTGGTGGTCTGGTCCTGGCCAACCGGTTGAGTGAAGATGCGGAAGTCAAGGTCCTCCTCATTGAGGCCGGCCCCAATCATATCGGAGATCCGTTCATTGACACACCCGGTCTTTTGTCCACACTATATGGAAACCCGGATTATGACTGGGACTACATGAGTGTCCCGCAGGTACGGTCCATGGCCCCCGTACCCCTCGTATCAATGCTGACAAGGAAAGATCCATGCGAACAACCGACAAATCGGACAGCCCCGTGGCCGCGTCGTTGGCGGCTCTTCCGCCTTGAACTTCTCGGTGGTCATGTACCCCACCGCATCCAACTTCCAGGCATGGGAGGCATTGGGAAACCCCGGCTGGGATGCAAAAAGCATGGCTCCCTACCTTCGGAAATTCCACACTTACTCTCCCCCGAGCGAGGCCACGGCAGAGCTCCTCGGTACAGCTCGGTATATGGATGTAGCAAAACAAGGATCGACCGGTCCGGTCCCTGTCTCTCTACCAGACGTGTTTGGGCCGTTCAACAAGGCATGGGACGAGACATTTGCCGAGCTGGGCTGGCAAACGGATGCCGACCCCATCGAGGGCCGGAAACTGGGCGCTTTTACGTCCCCTCTGACAGTGGATGCTGAGAAGGGAAAGCGAGGATACGCGGCAGCATACTATTCCCCCGAGGTGGCCGCACGGCCGAATTTGCGCCTGATGGCGGAGATCATGGTGCAGAAAGTCATCCTTGCCGAAGAGGAAGGGGAGGTGGTCGCGAAGGGCGTGCAGGTCGAGACTTGGAAAGGTAAATTCGAAGTCCAGGCAAAGAAGGAAGTCATCGTCTGTGGAGGCAGTCTGAATACTCCTCAGATTCTCGAGCTCTCTGGAATCGGTAACGCGGAGCTCCTTCGCAAGCACGATATCCCCGTCGTGATCGATAATCCTGCCGTGGGAGAGAACCTCCAAGACCACGGTATCACGAGCATTAACTTCGAGATCGCCGATGGTCAGATCTCGGGAGATATCATGCGTGATCCTGCCGTGGTTGAGTCATTAATCAAGCTCTACGAGCAGACACATACAGGCCCTCTAGCTGGTATGCCAATTAGCATGGCCTATCTTCCTTTCGTGGATGGCAAGGGTGTCGTCCCGAAAGAAGAAGTCGAGAAGCTCCTCTCAAAATACCTTGACCAAGACGATATCCCTGCCAACCTGCGCGCACAGTATTCTCACCTCCGCAATATTATTCTTGATACCCAAGATGCATCATCGCATTTCCTCTTCCTTCCCGCGCAACTCCACATGAACCCGGGCAAGACTACGCTCTCTGAAGTCCTGGAGAAAAAGTTGCCTGAGAACTATGTCTCCATCATGATGCTGCATAATCACCCGTTCTCGCGTGGATCGGTTCATATTTCTTCTGCAAGCGCTGATGATAAGCCCATCTATGACCCGAACCTTCTTTCGCACCCACTTGATATCGAGCTCATGGCTCGGCAGATGCAGTTTGTGGAACAAATCAGTACGACTAGACCTTTTGCCGCTCTCCTTAAGCCTGGTATCCGCCAACCGGAAAATGCAAGAGATTTGAGTGACCTGGAGCATGTTAAGGAGATTGTCAAGGAGCGTCTGTTTACTTGTTTCCATCCTGCAGGTTCTTGTGCCATGTTGCCCAAGGAGATTGGGGGTGTTGTTGATTCCAATCTGAAGGTGTACGGCACAAGGAATTTGAGAGTTGTGGATGCCAGTGTCTTCCCTCTTGAGACGAGTGGAAATATCCAGGCGACGGTGTACGCTGTTGCAGAGAGAGCGGCTGACTTGATCAAGGGACAACGTTAATATTATGGATAGTTCAAGTCGAAGGCCAGAAGGTAATTTTAAGTAGTACATATAGATAAGATGCATCATGATTCTATTTTTTGATAAATCTTCCTCCAAGGACAGAGCAAGGGGAAATCATGACTGGGGATATTGATATAAAGCCACGCACCAGTTCAACGCCTGAAAATGTATAGTCTAAACCCCATGTACCATAACACTAGAAAACGAAAGGAAGACGACAAGACAACAAGAAGACTACAGAAGAACGACAGCTAAAATTATACACCAACATGAGCCAATAAAAATACAATATACATATACCTCATGCATGGATCTCAATCCTCGTTTGCACCCTCATCTGTCGGCTCGTTCGACTGATCTTCACCATGGTCATCAGAACCAGAATTTCTATCGGGAGCCACGCCGGGAAACAGCTCTAGGGTCTGCTCCCATCTCGTCAACATCGCATTCTGCCGAGTCACGATATCCATGTCCCCCTGCTTGGCAAACGTGTTGAAATACATGAACCGTTGGCGCCTAGGCGTCGATGGTCCAGCACCCGGCTCTGATTCATCTACATCTTCCGTCAGGAAGAAGTTGCCTGGCTCGTGCCCACCATAACCATATCCATAGTCGATGGGAGACTCTTCAATAGCAGCCGGACCTGGACGCAAGACTGGATCTGGAATCGAGGAAGGGCCTGGAAGTGAGGCAGGGCCTGGTACTGGAGCTTGTGGCGGCACCCGCCGAGCACGTCCACGTAACAGCCTTCGCCCTCTCGGAGGATCAGGCAGTAGATCCACAGCTGGAGCAACAGGGTGATGCTCATCATGTCTTCGAAGCCGATTGGACAGCGAATGTGGGTGTCCCGTCATCGGCATTTCCTCGTCAGATGTAACAGCCACCGACTCATCCAGCTCTTCAGCTCGAGAAGGACGTAGGATCGTAGCAGCTTGTGCTATAGGGACGGATTTGTTCTGTCGACGAGCGCGGGATGTAAGCGGATTTTCATTCACGATGGACATGTCATCAGAAGTGATGGCTACAGACTCGAGATCCTCTGTATACGAGGGACGCAAGACGGACGTAGCATCTGCGATACAAATGCCTGTGTTCTGGCGACGAGGATGCGCGGAAAGAGGGTTCTCATTTGTGAATGACATGTCGTCGAATGTGATGGCGACTGAGCCCTCGGAGTGGGCATCATCATCAGATTTGAATGGCCGGTTTAAATGGGGGAGCCTCGAGGAACCGAATTCCTGGGACATGGTGCAAAGTAAATAGATACGAAGAGAGAGATACTTCTATGTTTGGAGTGGACAGTGTGAAGGATTTGTATTACGGAACACGATTCTAAGTCGTAAAGTCCGAGAAACCAGGCGCACCTTCCGTTCCTGCTTCTTTCCTTCTTTCCGCTGCTTCTTCTTCTTCTGCAGCCTCGATTCACTCCTTTTTTGTATTTCCGTGATAAACGCCGATTCACCCGATAAATGACACAACATACATAAATGAGTCGGGGACGGTGTGATGTGTGCATAAGGGACATGAGACATTGAAACTTTGGGACATGATATCAGATACGAATCGGTGGATTCGATAAGGGTAACGAAACATTTTACTTCTCGTCCTCCCCAACACGGAGCTCAACAACAGGCAGCTCGTCGTCAGAGCCATCATCAAGGAGGGTGGGGACATCTTCAAAGGTGGAACCTTCATTGTCGAGTTCCTGCAGACGATCTTCGGGCTCGGAGTCGCCATCCTCGACGGCGACATTGCTGTCATTGTCTCCGAACAGATCTTCTTGGTCAGCATCCGCAGAGTCGTCGGGTCGGTTAAATGACCAGGAAGGCTGGCTGGAGATGTTACCCATTGGATTGGCCTCAGTTTCCTCGGCTGATTCCGGCTCAGACTCCTGCTGTGGTGGTTCCTGCATCTCGACCTCAACAGCGGGCTTCGCGGTACCATTGCGGTACTCGTTCACCATTCTCTGAAGCTCAGGGCCACCCAAGGGACCGGCAGACTTGCGACGGTAGAACAACAGGTAAGCTGCGGGGCAGACGACAGTGTCATTAGGATCGGATATGACAGTAGCAGAAGAATCTAAATTACCTCAATTAGTACATGAGATGAAAGGGTGTGGGCATAAACAAACCATTAAAAGAAACCCAGTCACCAGTGACCCAGTTCTTGGCATAAGCGAAGTAGTGTCCACCGGACATGGTGCCAGAATGGCAGTCAACGGCGAAAAGATCATACTCAAATGTCTTTCCATCAGTGGGCCCAGTCACATGCTTCGACAAGTCCAAGTTCTCAAGAGGGAAATGGACCAAGGTGCTGAGCTTCGATCGAGAAGTCCGGTTGGCAGACCCGAGCTGCATAAAGCGCTTAAGATGGATAACAAGAATGTCAGGAGCATACCACAGCTCGAACTTCTTGCTGGCTTGTCGGTGCTCCTTGCAGCGAGGACAGTACCAGGCATCATTCTGAGAGAGAACCTCCTCCTTGCTGAACTCTTTCAGACACTCCTCCAGCTGAATTCCCTCCTGGCGTTTGGCCTCACGCCTGGCGCGGCGTTGGGTAATTTGGGGATCGTGAATGAACTTGGGTTCGTTGAATGTGGGTTTTCCCTGCTTGGAGTTCCGCTTGTTGCTGGCACCGCCAAACAGAGCGTGACGAGCTGAATCTGTCCAGTCGAGGATGATAGCCTCACCCGAACGGATAAGCGGCTCGTCCTGCAGCCCAGTGGCCGAGTTTTCGGATTTGTCGGACACGCTGCGATTGTCGCTGTTGTCGTCATCAAAGCCATTGAAGCTACTCTCGGAATTCTGCTCTGAAGATTCGGATGTGACACGGGAAGTGATCAATGGGTAATCTTTGTAAGAGTCCATCGAACGGCCCCGAGGGATGGGCTCATCGGTCGTCATATACTTGACATCGAAAAGACCCAGAAGGCGCTCCGAAAGGGAAGAGGCGAGAGAGTGAACAGGGGTTTCGTCAGTGAATTCTGTGTTCTCGGTGGAGGCACTGGATGCCGGCGAGGCATCCTGCATCGACACATCCACAATGCTGTCGTCTCCCTCAACGGACGATGTTTTGATCTTCGAATCCACAGACTCGGCGTCATCTTCGTTCATCACCACAGTATCCGAATCCTCAGCGCCCTGTTCATCCTCAGACGGTTGCGGCAGCTGGCGGGTTGGGCTTTGCTCGTTCAGGATATCGCGGGTGGTCATAGTGGATACATGGCGCATGATTTTACGGTAAATTGTGGCCAAGTCTCGAGCTTCATCTCTGGAGAATGAAAGGATAGTGGGGCATCCAAACTGCTCATGCCGGAGACGGTTCTTGTTGCCCTTGATTGGCTGGTTCTTGCGGTGGAACACGGGCACGAGGATACGATCTTCCGAAGCAGGAGTGTCCAACTCCATGAAAGTCACTGCATCATCGGCCTTCAGGCGAAGGTCATGATAGGACAGGAGCTCTTTGTTGAAAACCTGCCAGAAACCGCCATTGTTCAGTTCAGCACCGATCAATCTTTCAGACGGGATCTCTGTTTTTTTGGCGACCGCGTCATTGAAATTCTTAACAGTACCAGCGTTATCAACTTCAACAGTGAACCGCACTGGAGCAGAGTCGACAGGCAGGAAGATGACATCGCGGCAAATGATGTTTCGCTGATCGGGTATAGGTAGCGTGAAACTGCTGAATGGGTCGAACATGATGCTAACTTTATCACATTCGGGGCAAACCAGAGTAGATTTGTACATGCCTGCAAACAAATCCGTGATCACAGAGTCATTCCGAGCCTTGTAGATATTCCAAGACTCTTTCGCGAATTCCTCTAACGCCTTGCGGTTGTGAACCATCTCATCCGTGGAATCCGGCTTCTCGATGTAAGGCTTCTTCAGGACTCTATTAAGATCCTCAGAAAGCCCATCCAAAGCAAACATAAGAAACTCTTGGCTGTCGTGCTGTTCCCATCCAGCCATCATCGGGTTATTGCGACCGACCTGGTTGCGAAAGCGGGTAGGTGAAAAATTGCTGGAGGCAGGTTCACGGTACATCTGAGTGATCAGGTGTGCATATGCTCTAGCAAGGTCGCCATTGTATCCCAGGGGATTGGTGGTATTCAATTCAGACAGATGCCCGCTTTTCAGGAAGTAGATGCTCAGTTCTTCCACTGCGCGCATACATTGTGTGGCAGCATTCAGGTAGCAGGTGTTGCCCAAATTGCTGAGACCAGTGCGACCCAACTGGTGACCTTTGGGCTTTTTGCCATGGGGCAAGTCTTGAACTGGAGTGGATCGGCCACTGGGCGCGGGACTTTTGATAGACAAAACAGCAGGCGAGGCCACTTCTCTCTTCGGCTGGTCAGTGGGGATTCCGAGGCGCTTCAGAGTCTTTGCAGAGACTTCTGATACCCATTCATCCTTGCCAACCCCCTCCTCAAGTACAACAGTTTCGGTCGTGCCCAGGCCAGCGACGGTTACTGTCATGCTACGGCCGTTGTAGTTGGGATTGTTGGTTTGATCCTTGAGTTCCAATAACTCCCGTTTCGAGTCGGGTAGAGAGAGGAAAGTGTTCAGGTCGACGATGAGGTTCTTGTGTGTGGGAGTAATGAGACCTGCGGGCGGTGCGGGCGACGCAGTGCGAGAGGGCGCCGGGGTGTTGGCAGTCGATGCATTGGCGCTGGGGATACCACCAGCAATTTTCCACACACGGACTTTGGTCGCCATGTCAATCCCGGCCAGCTGCTTCGCCTGCTTCAACCATTTCATGAAGTTTGTCTGGCGGCCTGTCAGCACTTTGGCTGGGGGGAGATTCTTCTCCTTCAAGACCTTGGGGGTCATGCCCGCAGCCGGGTTGGACACTTTGAAGATGGTAAGGATGGGCGGATTGAGTTCATAAATGACGTTTGATGGGCCATCGGGATTTGTTTCATGAGCAAACCGAGTGATGACGGGCGATGCATCAGCGATGCCGTACCACTTCATGATAAGATCCCAGGCCTCCTGCGGGGCAATTTCGTAATCTTCACCGAATTGTAAACCCGGTCGCATCGGAACATATACCTCTCCTTCTTCATCCTTCAAGTCGTCCTTGGGGCCGATATCGAGGACGATGTCGGTGTTGTCGAGCGGCCCCAGCTCGCTGTCCAGGGCTTCCTTGCTCGCCTTGTCGGCATGGGTGGAACTCCGAGCAAAGACCTTTTGCAACCAAGAGTAGGAGATCACATAGCCCTTTTGACCGTCCTTCAGCGGCTTCGCGATCAGCTCAGATACCTGCGCCACCTGGTCATCGATCGGGTTCGAGGCGCCCTTGCCGACTGTGCTCACGCCGCCTTCGAGGTCGGAGTCTTCAATCTCCGAGGCAGGGCGCTTCTCGCCGGGAGAGGGCTCGCGGCCATCGCCATTTGGGGTGATGGCGTCACGGGGCTCGGATTGCATATCGGAGTGGTCGGAGGAGAGGGTAAGGTCGGCGGTGGCGGTCGCGGGGGTAGGCGAACGGCCACCAGACTGGGACCGGGGACTGCGAGTGTGGGTTTGAAGATGAGCAGGGACGTAACGACGGGGTGACAAGGATGAGCTTTGGCTCCGGGAGTTTGAGCGAGAACTCTGTCGTGGCGGGTTAGATGTAGACGGCTGGGATCGGCCGTGACGTCGTGCCTCTCCTGGGCTACTGAGAGGCTCCGGGGAAACTTTGCGACGCTTTGTGGAAGACGTCGTGGCGGAGAGCTGCGCAGGTTGCGGCAGCTCGAGGCAATGGACACAAGGAAAAAGGAAAGAAACAGAGGTATGAACGATATACACAAGGGTTCGAACCCCAGATCCTTCTTCTTGTCCAGAGTGGGGACGAAAAAACGAACTGGAAAATTCGAAGGTTGCGATAGACTGGCAGAAAATTAGCTCCGAGTCAGTTTTTTTTTTCGGGCCGAGACATCTTACAGCAACAGAAGTAACAAGATTATTGAAAGATTGAGATTGAACAAATTAAAGCAGAGTAGGATTGAGAAATCGAAAGTAATATGAAGAAAGGGAGAAAAAAAAATCGAGTGGAATCTAACGTCTTCTTACATTTCAGCGAGAGCAGTGAATATATCGTGTGAATGACAACCTTGCCATAACAGTCCAAAACCCTAAGGCTTGGTCCAAGTTGGAGATAACATTCACTTGGTCATCAAGAATCAGAAAAGTAGAAGTCACACGCGTCCATCTATAACCACATGGGTGCATTCACTGAAATGCTGCTCACAACACATGCAGGCGCTGACTTGACAAAACCTTGTGACTTCCTTAACCTTGTCATCATTATTGGAGAACAACCTTGTCCTGCACATCCTTTGACCCTTCCATTGTAAGTCATATATTCTTAAGTCTTCGAAAGGCCTCCCAGTCAGAAGCAGGTGACGAATATGGCTGACTAGACTATGTCAGTACAAAACATCTAAGTCGTTCAATTGTAACCTCCGCTTACCGTTTCCAAGAGCTTCGTACGCGTTCATTGGAAGTCGCATTCAGTGATTGGGCTTGGGTGAAGATCTAGGAGTGTCTTTTGGTGGGGTGTAGTTCGTATCCGATTTGTCGTTGTCAATCCAGGCAGGGTGTCTCTCCACGCTTTTCTTCGCGTCGCGGGGGCGTAATTTGTAGCGAGGTCCTTGGGCTTGCCTGATGAGCTCAGCAGAGGGAGCATCAGACTTGGACTTGGGAGGAAACAAAGCTTTGGCTTCCTGGAGCTGTTCACTGGTGTATTCCATGGCAATATCTGAAGGGGGGTGTCAAAGAGAGTTGGCGATGATGTGAAGCAAGAGTCATGTGGTTGTAGCATAGAGGGAGGAATATTACGATAATGAAGATAGTAAGCCTATGATTTTACAAGCAAGATGAAATGTCAACTAATGATGTTGATTGATGGCACTTTGGCCTCATGAATGCCTCAGAACAGGACAAAAAAGACCATGAAGTCTGCAACAAAAACGAATTATGGTATCACGGGAAATGGAAGAAATCAAATAGTATCAACATAGAACTCAATCTAAAGCACATAAGTCACTGGCTCGAAGGCCCAACCTCAATCGCGATCATGTCCCAGACCAACTCTAGGAAAAGTCTTTGAAACTCTCGAAAGATTCTCTGGCGGCAGCATCAGCCAAGTAGTTCCGCGTTGCAGCATTAGGAATATCTGGAAGTATCCCGTGCAACATCAAGTAGAACCACATCAACAAGGCGATGGCCACCAAGACACAACCAAGGCATACAAAGAGCTTATAGGTACGCCACCATGGGTGTTCCGTCTCATCGTCAGACTCGAGTTAGAAGACTGAGCTTTCAAAGCCCCGATCTCCGGATCTTCAGTGACCTTGGGCTGTCGTCGCCCTATGAAGTAGGCCCGTTCGGGCAAAGCAAGCTTAAGTGAGGAGATACTCATATCGGCTATCATTCAAAAGAGATCTCAGGTTGTAGTGAGGTTTTTGAGAAGCGAAAAGTAAGAAGAGAATGATGGGAAGGAAGGGAAGGAGAAAGGAAGCAGCGGGCGAGAGAGGATCTTTATGCCCCTGTACTCAAAATTTGTTACTTTCCTACTATTCCTGCATTGTTGATAAGAATACTTATATTAGTACTAGTCTAGTCTATACTATACTGCGGAGGATAGAAAGTCGCTAAAATGAGCTTAGTCCTTCCATCCGGACAGGCGGCGGAGGGAAAGTATATATTGACTAATTTTATCCCGGATTTCGGAAATTGTAATTTCGTAGGCACACGGCAGTCGCCATAAATCTGCGTAGCGGGCTTCCAATAATAAACATAACACTATCACCTGTACCTATACCTAGGTAGCGTCCTTCACAGATGGAGAGAAGTATATATTTCCGAAAATGAGTAGCTAGGCACGTCGCGGGCAGGGATCTCCGGACCTTTTGCCCGCGTTCCAGTCATATTCAAAATCCGGAGATCAGATAATGTCAAGGTTTTTGACTGGAAATTATGACACGCATTCATGGATGTTTGTATTCCCGAGGTCCCGGGTTTGTCCTACGATGGAATATGGTGAGCGGTTGGCGCCCCTGGCTGTGGAACTTATCTTTAAAGACTAAGGTTTCATATGAAGGTTTAATCATTGTGCACACATCCGTCCTTATAGCGCCTAATACGGTGTACAGTATTTTAAACATTCATAAATCACCATATCCGGACATCGAATTAAGAGTTGGATAAGGTCTCGGCAGTTGGGATCTCGGCTCCACTACCCGCATTTTATGGATGCGATGCGAATTAGACTCAAGGCGTACCTACCTCACAAGGTTCCACAGCTGTGAATTTCTGGGGTTTCCCGGCGCCGATGGAACTAGCATGTTACTCTTGCCTCTCGAGCTATGACTGGCGCCACCAATCAAAATTGGTAGTTGGCACCCTGCCTTATGGTGTTTCAGAATTTACGAATGAAGAGGAAAAGAAATGCCCAATAGTAAAATATATTGTCAACGTGGATCATGACTAAGTTGGTATGTAAAGAAAAGAAGTAAAAGCAAATCCGTTGCACGCCGGCAATGCAACCATCCATGCTATCAGCCAAAAAATGACACGGATACGTGGCGCGTAGTTTGTACAATAAAGGTGTCGCTGGTTAAGCGCACCTGGGTATCCATCCATCCATGAGAGGCGCTGTATTGTGAAAAACAAAAAAGGAAACTGACTGCGCCTGGATGACGGAGGGCAGAGAATTGAGGCTGGTGGAACCAGATAAGGCAAGAAGAATTAGGCCCGGAAGTCGTACATGCGTACTTGGTAATCGTCGCCACCGGTGATGAAGCGACTGTCACTAAGTCCGATGCAGTTGACTGATGCCGAGTGGCCTTCGAAGGTGTCCTGGCAAGTGGGAATTCGAGGGTCCCAGATTTTGACCATGCGGTCCAATCCGCCAGAGGCAATGCGTAGAGTATCTGCGGAAAGTGCCCAAATACCTTCCAAGTGCCCGAAAAACGTTCGAAGACATCTGCCAGTATTTGTTTCCCACAGCCGGATTGTAGCGTCAACACCACTGGTAATGATGTAACGGGGAGGTTCAAGGCGATCTTTGTCCTGATCGAAGGATGCTCCGAATGAGGAAGGTTGCGAGGACAAAGATTTGTGCTCCAGGATTGGAGAAAGAATATTGACTGGCGTATCGCCATTTTGGGAGGAGGTGCTAACATGATCATTCTCGCAGTCGGGAAGATGGTTTTCGAGTTCAATCTCACGTGGCAAAGGAATGACCTGTTGGACTGCGCCAATGTGGTTATGGAAGACTCGAATGCAGGTCTTGGTGTCGAGGTCCCACAGGCGAGCCGCACCATCGTCACAGGCAGTCAGAACGGTGCGCGAGGCAGTGTCAATCTTGACTCCATTGACGCCTTCTGGGTGGGGTAGGACGAAAGTCGATTTATCCTTGAAATTCCAGATCTTGACAGTGTGATCCACCGAAGCGGAGGCCAAAAGAGTAGAATCGAAGTGAAGAGCGATGACGGCTCCGGAGTGGCCATTGTATTTGGAAATGCACTCTCCGGTCCGCCAGTTCCACACTCTAATACTGCGGTCCAGGCTGCCAGTGATCAATTTGGTGTCGTCAAACTGGAGGCAGCGAATCCCCGCGCTGTGGCCGCGCAGAGTGCGTAACTCCTCGCCGGTCTCCATATCCCAGATCTTGATGGTAGCATCGTAGGATCCAGTCATCAAGATGTGATCTTCGAATTGGAGACACATAACACTGTCCGTGTGACCTCGGAAGACCTTCACTGAACAACGTCGGTGTTTCCAATTCATGCCGACCACAAATCGATCCCGATAGACATCCTTCCAGGGACGATACCGGGTCTTGTAGTAGTCATCGTCAGGCTCCGGGCGGTAAGCTGGGGAAATACAGTGGCGTTTGATCATAGCGCAACTGTGATCATGATCTTCCGTGTCAATCTTGCGTTTACTGCCAGGGTTGGGCAGCTCGACCACAGAACAAGTTCCATTGGGAGCACCCTGAACGACATCCGTGGACGCCTGGTTGCCCCAGTTAGATGCTCGCAGTTCAATTTCACGCTTCGATTCCCGCAGACGCTTCCGATCCAAGAGGGGCAGCCCCCATCCACACTTGTTACATTTGCGACGAATATGCTGTTCACACATCCGATGCCACACAACATCATCGTCCGCCAACATCTTCCAGCGGTGAGAGACTTGGGCAGCGCGACATAAAGAAGCTGTGTCGAGGTATCGGAGAATTTTAAAAGAAAGCTCGGGAGGAAGGGCGGAGAGAAAATCGATTCGAATGAGTTCGCGGACACTGGCGGAGATGAAGGAGAGTTGTGGGAAGCAGCACTGAGCCAGAATTCCTTGCAGCATCAGTTTGCGCTGTTTTGCTGGCGCGGCAGAAAACATAGACCAGACGTGAGCTATACCCTGCTGATCATCTTGGGGAAGGGCATTTAATTCCTGTAGAGTCAGTCAGCACGAATGTAATATCAAGGGCAGCTTCTGGTACATACCTGCTGCAACTGGCGCATCGAGTGCTCATCGGCCTGGCGTCTGCATTTGGAATCCGGTTGGTGACGATAACAGTAGCCAGCGTTGGCTGGTCGCGGTACTGGGGTGCCATCTTCCGATCGAAGCGGAGCGTATTGGCGAGGGTTGTGTTTGTTGAGAAATGGGGCAACATTCAGCTTGGCCAGTTCTGCCAAAGACTCGGATGCCTCGTTGTCGCGAAGCGGGGTGCGGTTGGCGTCGGCCATAATCGCAACATCATCCACCTTCGAAGCAGAGTCCACATGGTATTGTGGCCTTGACATCGTGCAAGGATTCACTGGTGGATAGGAGATAAGCTGTGGTATTGTCGACTGATGGACCCGTCTTAACTCTGCGAAAGAGATAAGGATCACGTGGGCGATTGGTTCATGCGGCTTTGTCTCGAAGGGGGTTTGACTTGTCGGATATGTCTAGAGAAGAGGCAGGGAATATAGCAGGATGGTCAGGAGTGAATTGTTCAGATCCCTCGAGGTCCCGCAGTCATGGAGGTCCAGTGCCTGGGGGGATTGGTGCGTGACGAGTACCCTGGAAGATACTGCCGTGAAGTATGGGTCTGCAGGGATGTAGAGGTGACGTCAAGTTCGAGTAGGGGGAAGTTCTCAAATATATGTTTGAGCAAAAAGTCTCGAAGCAAAATTGCACAATCAGAATGCTCGGCTTTAGCCGTGAGTATATATATCAGTCCGATGAGGGAGAAATGTCGACGATCACGCAAGAACGGGAGGCGACATTCGCGAGCGGTGAGAAATTGCATAATGAAATCTGATATACGCTAGTCCTAATTAGGCTAGCGCTCTGGATAGTGTAGGCAATGGCCCCACGTGATGGCGCGATCTCCGCTAGCGATCACATCAGTCGCGAAAGTTATTTTTGACTCTTCGTTGATGTGATCGCCCCCAGACCGCCATTCTCTCTTTTCTCACCCGAAGTACCGGGGAAGCTTGATTAGCCCCTGATCGCGTCATTTTAGGTTGGATCTAGGTTAGATCCATAACTCATGGGTCAACACTACGCCGTGGACCTGTGAGCAATTGTACAAAGCAACCTTCAACAGTCGTCCACCTTGACCGGTCTGGACCGAGGTCTCATGGCGTGAGGTAAGCAGTTTTATTTTGACAGGCTCCACCAATCTGAGGAGCGGCAGCCGGTTAGGGCGGCCTGCCCCCCACAGCCTCTGAAAATCTACTGCACATAGTGCTTTCTTCACTCCTCTCCTCCGTCATCTCCATCATGGTTATTTAATGGACGACCACTGAACTTTCAAAAATCACAGCATCCTGATTATAGAACGTTGGTTCAACTTACAACGTAGCGCAGCAAGATCGGAACCTGCTCATACAAGTATCTACTTTATAAATCATCTCGGTAACCACAGCCATCAATCACGAATATGGCATCATCCCATTCATCTTCCGCATCAATCGCGGCTAGGGGACCAGGATCCGCTGAACCCAAAGCCATGCCCCAACTGGACACACTGATTTCCCACCTTCTAGCGGCTAAGCGGTCTCTTTCTTCTATTAGCCATGTTTGGCGTGCCAATGAGATTGTCACTGCGGCTCGGTCTGCCTTAGAAGACAGTGTGGTTGTATCTTCCCGGACGGGCTTCCTCCGGCGGGGCCTCGACAATCAACTACGGTTACTTTTCAATGTTCGATCAGAGATAGAGGAGATCTCATATCGCGGCCGAGAAGAATTCTCAGAGGCCCTGACAAGCCTGGATGCTGCTGACGCTCGGCTTCGGACCACCCTAGACTTGCTCCGAGAGACTATTGTTCATGCCTCATTTCGCCCCAAAGAGGAACAAACTAAATCCCTCCATGATTTTGTAGACGAGCGAGGTGTCGAAGAATTGCATGCTGCTCTCAAGAGCTCCATTGACCGCACTAATGCCGCACGGGCTGATTTGGATACTTCAAACCGTGAATTCGATGATGAGCTTCATGCCATCCGAAAAGCGCTTCGCCATTATCGATCGTCCACGAAAATGGCCTCTTCGCGTGCATCGGCGTCATCATCTTCTTCGGCCGCATCGGAGCCGGATCTCGCAGCTCTATCCACTATGCCGAGCATGCTCCGGTCTTTGGAGATGCAGGCACAAGAAATGGCAGGCCTCCTCTCATCCCTTGTACGCCATTTTGATCTTTGTGTCACAGCGGTCAAGCAAACAGAGGGTGGCGGCGCCGCTGCACACTCCATCACTGGCGACATGCCTGCAGAAGTTGGAGGAACTAGTGGTGAAGGGTTACCGCACATTGGAGAAGAAATCAACGCGAACCTGAACGCCCCGTTGGACCCAATGACGGACCAGGAGTACGAAGAAATGGTGCATGTCTTGTTGAATGATGCGCCTGAGGCAGAAGATGTGGTAGTGGAAATCCATGACCGTATCAACGAAATGGAATCCATCTTCGAACAAATGGGCTTGCAACGCGATTCACTTCTAAGTATCTCAGATGCCACCCTGCAGGTCCACCGTCACCTTTCCACTCTTGCGTCCACTCGATTGCCGCGGTACATTTCGCAGGCCCACAATTTTATCCAAGTGTGGAACGAGGAAAACGATCGCTTCAACTCAGGCCTGACGGAGCTTTCCGACTTACACTCCTTATACGATGGGTTCCTGAACGCATATGACAACCTCATTCTAGAGGTTGCTCGCCGAAATCATGTTCGTCACCGCGTAGAAAAGGTTCTCCGTGACACGAGGAACAAGCTCAATAATTTGTACGCGGAGGATGTCGCTGCTCGGGAGATATTCCGTGTAGAGCAAGGTGATTTTCTACCGTCGGACATCTGGCCTGGGGTTGGTCAGGCGCCGATGCACGTCGAGTTCTTGCGGTTGCCAGGCGGTCGTCTTGAAGGAGCTCTACCAGAGACAGAGGGACAAGTACCAGCAGAAGCTGGAGCTCTCCCAGAGGCGAAAAATGCGCCTCTCGGCAGCGAAGAGGAGGAAATTATGCCAGACCTTCCAAAGGAGGTGGTGGAGCACGCATATGCGCGTTTAAAGGCCCGAACTAGGGAATTCGTCTAGAGGACAAAGAAACGCCCCACCATGTATCCAATTGTACCGCAGCAATACCTCGGCAAGACTATCATGGTTGGTCGCAACATCCCCTTGCTAGGTAGTCTTGTGTCCGCGTGCGGGTTTCCCCCTACCCCTTGCTTATAAATGATCCCTTTGGCGTTTTTCTTTTTGCCGGACCAGCCTATATGATGAAAGCCCAATTGGTCTGATCTTCCGCTGGGATTCTCCCCATCTTGCATCCAGGGCCAGACAGTGATGCATACTCCTACAGTACCCCTAGGATGTAAGCACTCTTGATGGTCTACATGGACAGTGGGAAGAGAACATGGACAGACATGATTTCCAAAGAGAGCTCTGATGGCCACATGTGATGATTAGCATTTCTTCGAAGTCTACGTTATTGAAATAATTATTCAGAAATTATATGATTCCTGATGAGGGTGGAAGGGGGCCTTCCTTGTAGTATGTACACGACGTTAACCATAACCCGAGGCTCAAACTGATGAATCTATGCAAATCATCATTTTCGGTCGTCAGGAAGTTCTAGCCCGCTCTTGAACTTCAATTGAACCAAACAGAAGCCCCAGCGCTGCCCGGCCACAATGGCCACCAATGCCGCAGAAATGGCTAGATCCACCGCAGCACCAATCCGGCGAACATGAATACTTGTTTTGAGCACGGCATGTTCATTTGATATTAGCATTTGGACCTCGCGGCCAATCATTTGGCCTTGGAATGTGCGAACTCAGGACTGTTAGGCCAACTGGAATGTGAACAAGGAGTGGCGGGTGGCTGGATTGACGAATTTACGAGAATGGAACGGATGCAGCAATCTGTTGATAGAATAAAACGCGTGAAATAGCGCGACGCTTGGAAGTTGTATCACCGCCACTGTCGATATTTTCGTTTCTGCGACCTCTAATGATGGCACGCACGAAATGGCTCGCTCCGGTCGTGGCAGCGATGGACCTCATCGCCTCTGCTCAAGCCGCTCATGTTCATTACACTTTAGATCTCACCTGGAAAAAGGGATCTCCCAATGGACATGAACGGGAAATGATTTTCGTCAATGATCAGTTTCCTGGGCCGTCACTGATCATGGATGAAGGGGATGAAGTATCTGTCAGTTTTCTACAACCTTGGGAATGAATGCTTCAATAGCTAACGCGAGAAGATCGAAATCAAAAACCACCTACCTTTCAACACATCTGTTCATTTCCATGGCATTGAGTATGGTTCACGTCTCCTCAAGCGCGCGTAATGAGGCTAACCTTTCTTTTCGTTTTTCAGGCAGAAGAACACACCATGGGCTGATGGCGTATCCGGTCTCTCTCAATGGGCCGTGCTCCCTGGCGCAAGCTATACTTACAATTGGAACGCCACTCAATATGGAACATACTGGTATCATTCGCACGACAAGTCAAGGATTATGGATGGCTTGTATGGCGCAATATATATCCGGTAGGTTTGATTCTCACTCGGTATGCAGGCTCTGCTAAGACTGGATAGGCCTTCCCCCAATAGCGATTCGCCATTTTCAATGATTTCAAATGACCCGGAAGATATTCAGGCCATGGAAAATGCGAGGGATCATCCGCAGCTAGTGGTCCTTTCGGATTGGGACCATCTGACCTCAGATGCCTATATGCAGGCCGAAAAGGAGTCTGGCTATGATATTTTGTAAGCGGAAAACAATTTCTGGCTTGTCAAATGTGCTAACTTCACATTAGTTGCTCTGACAGCGTTCTTATCAACGGCCAAGGTTCGGTCATCTGCAAAGACCCAGAAGAGTTGACCAATTTGCAACCGCCACAGATCAGAGCAGTCGTCAACGGCACGCTCACCGACAAAGGGTAATTCCCTCATGTTTGTGTTGGTCCATGAATAAAATCTCCTAACGTACATTAGATGCGATCCAAATCTCCTTGTTCTGCAAGGCGATTGGGAGCACCATCCCGAGGCCCTGCCCGGCGGCCTCAACTCTGGGTGTGTCCCCAGCGAAGCCCCACCGTCCGTTTTTGAAGTCGACTCAAACGCAAAGTGGGCCAGTTTCAACTTCATCAGTGCTGCTGCCCTGAAAGCCTTTTGGGTATCGATCGATGAGCACCCGATGTACGTATACGAAGTGGACGGCCGATATATCGAGCCGCAACTGGCTCACACCATGCCACTTTATAATGGACAACGATACTCCGTCATGGTCAAGCTTGATCAAGATCCCGCGAACTACCAGATGCGCGTAGCTGGCAACGGAAATCAAGTAATTTCCGGCTTTGCAACGATCTCCTACAAAGGGGGTGAGGACAGCCAGCACGAATCAGTGCCGTACATCAACTATGGCGGCATCAACACTACAGATTCAGTGATAGTGCTCAACGACACAAACCTTCCTCCATACCCGGAGATTCAGCCCGCTACCTATGCCGATGATTTCCATCTTCTGAGTCTTGGACGGATCAATTCGTCTTGGGAATGGACCTTGGATGGATCCACTTTCCTTCCCGCGAATCTTGGTTCAATGGAGCCAGCTCTTATCAATCCCAAGTCCTCAGATCTTGATTCTTCACTCAAGATTGAGACGAAGAATAATACATGGGTCGATATCGTATTTCAACTAGTTATTCCACCGCCGACTCTACTCCAACCTCCTCACCCGATTCATAAGCATTCGAATAAAGCATTCCTGATTGGATCGAGCCAAGGGAATTTCACCTGGAACTCTATCGAAGATGCTGTCCGTGATTCACCGGGGAGCTTCTTCGATACTCCGGTATACAGGGATACATTTACTACTTCCCCGGCTGGTGCAGCGTGGATTGCGATTCGTTATCATGTCGAAAATCCAGGTGCTTTCTTGCTGCATTGCCACATGGAAACACATCTGGCTTCGGGAATGGGCGTGGTATTGCTAGATGGAATGGATGTTTGGCCAGATGTTCAATCGCCAAGACGCTCACATTTGGGACAATAAACAATTGGCAGGAACTGCGGGGATGAGTTGATCTGTATAGTGGACGAATTGTACCCAGTTCGACTTTTGGTGTTATTTGGATTGGGATAAACCTTGAAACCTGAGCAAACTTTGAAATTGCCATATAGTATTTTTTTTAATAGAATGAACTTGGAGTTTGAGATGTGTACAACTTGCCGTTGTTTTTCATCTCACCGTGTCTCTTCTCAACGTCATACGCATGATTGCACTTGAGATGTCTAAATATGAGCGACCAGGAACATGACAACGCACTAAAGTGGTCACTATCCGACAAAAAAGAAAGATGCATATCCAAATATAAACATAGAATATAAGCGTATTCTCGTTTAAGCTGTAGCTTTTTATCCTGTATCCTATCGAATCTATAAACAGGTATCATATGTCCAGATGCTCCATCCTTATATGCATTCATATCATCAAATCATGGCAAGAAACATTCGTCAACAAAGAAGCGACCAAATAAAACCGCATAAACCCAAACGCACATGCAAATAAATGTGAAGCATCAAGATATCTCGCTCATTTCTTCTTACGGGCAGAGTTAGAGACAAGTTTCTTCTTCAAATGCTTGGGCATCTTCTTGGTACGCTGATCACGCTTCTCCTCCTTGACCTTTGCCTTGTGCTCACGCTTGGCATCCTTGTCTTCGAAGCGCTTTCCACGAGGCGGCTTCGGAGCGAAGGGATCTTTTTCCTCTTCCTCGTCGTCCGACTCAGAGCCTGACACTGACACACCACCGCTAGCCTCTGACTCGGACTCATCCTCATCATCGACTGGCTTCTTGCCGGTTGCCAAAAGGTCTTTATAGACAAGGTCGGTACCAGTACCGGCATGAACCTTTTCGGCATCACGCTCAACATCGTAGACCTGCTCCAGAGTTTGGGGGATGTATTGTTGACGGAACACTGCGGTATCAACTTCTTCCGATTCCTCAGTGACGCCGGCCTCATCACGAGCAGTGAACAGTTTCTCGATGGCCTCGGTCATTTCTTCATTGCCATAGGTAGGATCCTTGGGGCCCTCAGGCGCCAGGATGAACTCGAAAAGAGTTCGCTCAGACAAGGTGTGAACACCCTTGCGACGGAAGAAATCGCTAACGTTCTTAATATCCATTCGGAGGAATTCCAAGCTGCGTGGGTGGTCATGCTCAACACTTTGACTGACATCAATGATGTACAGACGATCCTTGTGGTAAAGAATATTATACTCGCTCAGATCAGCGTGCACAAGCCTGCAGACCTGGTACATCACGCGCATGTAACCCAGCAGCTCCATATACAAAGCTCTCCAGCGAACATCAGGCTCAGGAATATCAAACTCAACATCCTTGAGTCGTGGTGCGGCGACTCCCTTGGAGTTACCAATGAAACCCATGGCCAGGACATGCAGACGGAGGTAGATGGGCTCAGGGCAAGGAATGCCAGCAGAGTAGATTCTCCGCAGGTTTCGCATTTCCTTTTCGGCCCACAGCTTCACCATCGCCCGGTTATTGCTCTTGCTGTATCCCTGACGGAAACGGAATTCACCAGTGACATACTTGTCACGATCCTTGAAGACCAGGATACTGGTCTTGTAAACTTTGATAGCCCGATGTTGCGGGGGTGCGTCTTCTTCATCAGGGAGCGAGATGGCACCGTAAACATTCGCCTCCTTTCCTGTAGACAGACAGCCGTGAATTTCCGAGACTAATCCACGGTTGATCATCTGCAACAGAAGCATGCGAGTGCGCGGATCCAACACTTGCTCTGATGTCGCACGATCCGCACGGTCTCCTCCCTTGTCGCGGTTGGCAGAAAGACCGGACTGTTGTTCATCGAGCTTGATCTTGGCAGCATGGCGGGTCAGGGACTTGACCTGGTCATCGATCGATGCGTGTGTGTTGACGGTAGGTTTCTGGGTATTCGTCTTCGGGTAAGTCCATCTCGGAGCGTTAGGGTCGGCAGCGAGAGTGTTCATTTTTCGCTGGCGGTTGTAGGCCTTAGTCAAGTCGTTCGAGTTCGAAGATGGGAAGTCTCCTTGGTCCATTTCTTCGTCAAAGATATCGTCGTAGTCTTCGTCATCTTCATTGTACTCCTCCTCTTCGGTGGGCTCTTGCCCCGCCACGGCGGAGTCGGTGGTATCGGCGTTCACATAGCCCTGATTGGGCACATAAGTATGAGTCGGGGCCAAGCCATCAGCAGGGCCAGATGCCTGGTCGGGGTTCTCTACAGAACTCATTTTCTCAAGGCAATTGTCTGTGGGCGAAAAAGAGAGAACCTTGGAAGAAAAAGTGTAGCCCACTACTTTTTTTTCTGTGGATGCCCGCCCCACCGCCCGGCAGAACCCCCGCGCCCAAAGACGCGCGATTTCGTTCCTCGCGTAGCCTCCTTGTCCATCGCGAATTATCAACCTCAAGCGCAAAGCCGAATTCTGACTATAAGACCTATTCGGCTGCTTTACTAATATTCAATTACTTACTCACATTTTATCCTCGCGCCCAGGCGCGTAATGCGCTGTTTCCAGTGATCATCGCGTCGCGCGTCTCCCAAGATGTATGTCAAGCAGATTATCATCCAAGGCTTTAAGAGGTATGACCCCAACAATGATCCACTTCAAGACCTTAAAGCGCCATCTACTAATTCTAATTTGATTCAAGCTACAAGGATCAGACGGTCATTGAACCTTTTTCTCCCAAGCATAATGTGATCGTTGGCCGCAACGGTTCCGGCAAAAGTAATTTCTTTGCGGCCATTCGTTTCGTCCTCAGCGATGCCTACACCCACCTCGGCCGAGAGGAGCGACAAGCTCTCCTTCATGTATGTGACGCTCGAATACCAACTCATATGTAGATACTGACAATGTGCAGGAAGGATCTGGCTCAGCCGTGATGTCGGCCTACGTGGAAATTATTTTCGACAACTCGGACGATCGGTTCCCTACGGGCAAGCCAGAGCTTGTCCTCCGTCGTACCATCGGTATCAAGAAGGACGAATATACGTTGGATCGGAAGAACGCTACCAAGAACGATGTGATGAACCTCCTCGAATCAGCCGGTTTCTCTCGGTCTAACCCATACTACATTGTCCCTCAAGGACGGGTGACTGCATTGACGAATATGAAAGACTCGGAACGTCTGGTACTACTCAAAGAGGTGGCGGGTACCCAGGTCTATGAAGCCCGTCGTTCGGAGTCCCTTAAAATCATGCACGAGACCAACAGCAAGCGAGCCAAGATCGATGAGCTCTTAGACTACATTAATGAGCGCCTGGCTGAACTCGAGGAGGAAAAGGACGAGCTTCGGAACTATCAAGACAAGGATAAAGAACGCCGTTGTCTCGAGTATACGATTTATTCTCGTGAACAGCATGAGATTGCGACGGTGCTCGAAAGTTTGGAGGAACAGCGCCAGAACGGAGTTGAAGACGCCGACAACAACCGTGACCAGTTCATTGAGGGTGAAAAGGCCATGGCGCAGATTGATGCTGAGATCGCCGAGTGTCGCCAGCAGATGGAGTTCTTGAAGGTTGACAAGTCTCAGCTAGAGGATGAACGCCGTCAAGCTTTCAAGGCATTGGCGCAGATTGAACTACAAGCCAAGTCTCTTGCTGATAACCAAGCTGCCGCGCAGGCTCTCAAGTCACGTCATGACAATGATCTCAATGCGGTTAAAGCGGCCATTCAAGAGCGCGAATCGGAGCTCCAGACACTTCTGCCCGATTTCAATGCCGCTAAGGACCAGGAAGATGCCGTTAAGGCTCAACTAACCGAGGCAGAGACATCACGTCAACGACTGTACGCTAAGCAGGGCCGGAATTCGCGTTTCAAGAATAAGTCAGAGCGGGACAAGTGGCTTCAAATGGAGGTCCGGGAGAGCAATCGGTCGGTCACTACTGTTGAAGGCGTCGTGGCACAGACAAAAGAGGATATCAGCGAGCTAGAAAAAGAAATCGCCTCGCTCGAGCCGGAAACAGAGCGTCTACGCCAGCAGATCGATGGACGCGGAGATACAATGCACTCCGTGGACGAGCAAGTTCAAACTGCCAAGGATGAGCGGGATCGATTGATGGACCAGCGAAAGGAGCTTTGGCGAGAAGAAGCAAAGTTGGATTCCGTTCTGTCCAGTGCCTCCCAAGAAATGGACCGTGCCGAGCGCAGTCTTTCTCATATGATGGATCAGAATACTAGCCGAGGTCTTGCCGCCGTGCGGAGGATCAAGCGCCAGCAAAACCTTGATGGTGTATTTGGTACTTTGGCCGAGCTTTTCGAAGTGAACGATCGATACCGGACGGCCGTCGAAGTTACAGCTGGTCAGAGCCTGTTTCACTATGTGGTCGATACCGACGAGACCGCGACTAAGGTCTTGGAGGCCTTGCAGAAAGAAAAAGCTGGTCGTGTAACCTTCATGCCCTTGAATCGACTACGCTCGAAGCCCATGAACCTCCCCCGTGCCAGCGATACTATTCCTATGATCGAAAAGATCCAATTCGACCCCGCATATGAACGTGCCTTCCAGCATGTATTCGGCAAGACCATTATTTGCCCTAACCTGCAGGTTGCTTCGCAGTATGCCCGCAGCCACGGCGTTAATGCCATCACTCCCGATGGTGACCGATCTGACAAACGCGGTGCTCTGACTGGTGGTTTCCATGACTCCCGTCAATCCCGACTTGAAGCAGTGAAGAATGTTGGCAAGTGGCGCGATGAATACGAGACCAAGCGGAGCCGTGGGACGGAAATTCGCAAAGAGTTAGAGAAACTGGACCAATTGATCACCAGGGCCGTTGGTGAGCTACAGAAACTTGAGCAGCAGCGACACCAGGTGCAGAACAGCAGTGGTCCCCTGCGGCAAGAGCTTCGCAGCAAACGTGATCTATTGCAAAATAAGAATGATACACTCGATGCTAAGCGTCGAGCCCTTCGCAATGTCGAGGCTAACCTTGCAGCTTTGAATGATCAAGTCAGCGCTTTCCAGGCTGAGCTGTCCTCGCCTTTCCAGAAGTCCCTTACGGACGAGGAGGAAGCCCACTTGGAGAGCCTGAGTGGGACCGCTCAAGACTTGCGTCGGCAGTACCAAGACCTTTCCGGCAAGCGCAGTGAACTCGAAGCCCGTAAATCCGTCCTGGAAGTTGAGCTTCGGGAGAATCTCAACCCTCGTCTCGACCAGCTCATGAACCGGGATATCGACATGGCCGATGACGAGGTGCAGGGTAATCTTAAGGAGACCCAGCGCGAGCAGAAGCGCCTCGATAAGGCGCTCGAAAAACTCAACGAGCGTCTTCAACAAGTTGATGCCTCGATCGAGGAGGCGAACATTCGAGTCGGCGAACTCGAACAACGCAACGTCGAGACCCGACGCGAGATGGAAGACCTGGCCCGCTCTATCGAAAAATACCAGCGTCGTATGGAGAAGAGCATGCAAAAGAGGGCGGCTCTTACCAAGCAAGCTTCTGAGTCTGCTGCAAACATCCGTGATTTGGGTGTCCTTCCTGACGAAGCTTTCACCAAGTATAAGAATACCGACTCGAATGCTGTGGTCAAGAAGCTGCACAAGACGAACGAGGCTTTGAAGAAGTACTCGCACGTCAACAAGAAAGCGTTTGAGCAGTACAACAGCTTCACCAAGCAACGTGAAACGCTTACGACTCGCCGGGAAGAGCTAGATGCGTCCCAGAAATCGATCGACGACTTGATTTCTGTTCTGGATCAGCGCAAGGACGAAGCGATCGAGCGAACCTTCAAGCAGGTATCCCGTGAATTTGCCAATGTGTTTGAGAAGCTGGTCCCCGCTGGACGTGGCCGTCTTATCATCCAGCGCAAGACCGACCGCAACGCGCGACCCGAGGAAGATGTGGATTCAGATGATGAGGCCGCGCGCCAGAGCGTGGAGAACTACGTCGGTGTGGGTATCAGTGTGAGCTTCAATAGTAAGCACGATGATCAGCAGCGTATCCAACAGCTGAGTGGTGGACAGAAAAGTACGTATTTGTCTTTCTTATTTTCATCTGCATTACACTAACAATTGAAATAGGTTTGTGTGCTCTGGCCCTCGTCTTTGCCATTCAAGCCTGTGACCCGGCGCCATTCTACCTATTTGATGAGATCGACGCCAATTTGGACGCCCAATACCGGACAGCGGTGGCGCAGATGTTGCAGTCGATCTCGGACTCGACCAATGGACAGTTCATCTGCACGACTTTCCGACCGGAGATGCTGCATGTGGCTGAGAAGTGCTATGGTGTTAGCTTCCGACAGAAGGCCAGTACCATTGACGTGGTGTCACGGGAAGAGGCTTTGAAGTTTGTCGAGGAGCAGAAGTCTTGATGAGGACCGGGATTCCATGGATATGTAAATTTTATGTTTTTTTTTTTGTGTGTCTGGCGTATGTGATACCGAAATGAGATGTTTATCTTCGCTCTATTGAAGATCTTGGCATGATTTGACAAACTTTAACCCCGGCGTCACATGAGAATATAGAATCGCTATCACCAGTGTAAATGTGCACCAGATGCCTGCACAGGTATAATCTATGATCTATCTTGACTCTCCCGACCATTCTTCTAAAATCTCCTCTGGCACATCCCTCACCAGGATATGAACATGCTCCAACGCACGTACACTCTGTAATCCAACCCAGTTCTTAAACCACAACACATGCGTTTCGGGAGCAGTAAACCGTCCAGCCTTATCCTCGGCCAAACGCTTTACAAACCTACGCTGCACAAAGTCATTGATCAGCGCCCGAGACTCGCTCGTCAAGTGCCCTTCATCCGATTCCACAGGAATAGGCGTGCGCAACCACACAACTAGATGAGAAATGCCGGCGTCCATGCCGTAAGGCCAGTCATTGCGCAAAATTCGGTAATCAGAGGGGTCGGCAAATGGCAGCGGGTTGTTAAAGGTTAGAACTCCACCAGAACCCGAAGAACCCGAGCCATTCACCGTAGCTGGATCATGTGTATCTTGTGCAGGCACAGTCCCCGATGAAGTAGATGGAAGTGGCCAATTCAATCGTTGTAAACAAATGTAGTTCATCATCGACCCGTACTCCGCCTTTATTTCGGCACTCCAGGCTAGGTATCGGCGTAAATCGGAAGGCTTCCGCTTGAGTGCACCTAGATCGTTCCGTGCTGATATTCCATGAGGGGTGCATCCTTGGAGAATGAGGGGATGCTCTTACCGATGATGTCTTGTAGATTGTTCCAGTCATGAGGGACGAATTCCTCGTCGGACATGGCTAGAAGCTGGTGATCCAGCGGCGTGAGATTGAATGCAGCAGCCATCTTGTCTGAATTCCAAAGCAGAGCTAAACCCGAGGTTCTTACCCTTGTGCGGTGTATCTAAGGAAAGTAAATTCGCGGGGGAAATCATGACAAAACGGGAGCGAAATTCCGTTGGGCGGAACCAACATAAACCCTTTTTCCCTCCTTTCTCTTCTCCCTCCACCTTTCTCAATCTCCATTGCCAAGATGAGGTATGTTCCTGAGCTTTCGATTTGTTCAATGCGATTGACATTTTCAAACTCCTCGTTCCTCTTTGGCATTGCAATTACTGACTTTACACAGTGCCTTCCTGGTCCTCCTCCCCTCGGCCCTGCTGGTCGCAGGTGTCTATGCGGTCAAGCCCGAGTATATTACCTACGCCGTCGCTATTGCCGGTGTCCTGTCTAGCGCCGCCTTCTTCCTGGGTGGTAGCAGCAGTATGTCTTCCCAACCCCTTGTGATCGCACGACCAGCTACCGAACGAATCGCTAACTCATCTTCTCCAACAGAGCCGCGCAAGGTCCTGAACCCCACCGAATTCCAAGACTTCGAGCTCAAGGAGATCAACAACATCTCCCACAATGTCGCCATCTATCGTTTCGCACTTCCCCGCCCCACTGACATCCTGGGTCTCCCGATCGGCCAGCACATCTCCCTCGCCGCCACCATTGCCGGTCAGCCCAAGGAGGTCGTCCGTTCCTACACTCCCATTTCCTCCGACAATGAGGCCGGTTACTTCGATTTGCTCGTCAAGGCTTACCCCCAGGGTAACATCTCCAAGTACCTGACCGAGCTGAAGGTCGGCCAGACCATGAAGGTCCGCGGTCCCAAGGGCGCCATGGTCTACACCCCCAATATGTGTCGCCACATCGGTATGATCTCTGGTGGTACCGGTATCACTCCCATGCTCCAGATTATTGAGGCTATCATCCGCAACCGTCCCCGTAACGGCGGTAACGACCGTACCAAGGTTGATCTGATCTTTGCCAACGTCAACGCTGAGGACATTCTGCTTAAGGAGAAGCTTGACAAGCTGAGCGCCGAGGACCCTGACTTTAACGTTTACTACGTTCTGAACACCCCTCCTGCTAACTGGATGGGTGGTATTGGTTTCGTCACCGCCGATATGATCAAGGAGCGCCTCCCTGCCCCGGCCAGCGATGTCAAGATCCTCCTCTGTGGTCCTCCTCCCATGGTCAGTGCTATGAAGAAGGCTACCGAGTCCCTGGGCTTCACCAAGGCTCGCCCGGTCAGCAAGCTCGAGGACCAAGTCTTCTGCTTCTAAGCGCTCGCATCCGGAGGATGTATCAAAAGTACCCGTTTTGGGGGTTTTACTCGATTTTTAATGGGTTGAACTAGGTTTAGATAGATTCTAGGATCAGTAGATATCCCTTAGAATTTTGGTGGAGAAGAAGTGGGTCTGGTGTATATGTGAAAGGGTCTGAATATAGACGTCGACAGACGTGAATGATGAACTGACCATGATATGTCTTATTTCGGTTGCTTCTCAATATTAATGTCTTTAAAATGCATACTTCCGGCTAAATCCAATATTTGATGGAATCGTAACATGACGCAATAAGGACTTGCTTCCAGATCTGAACGGCCCAAGCGTTGAGGCAGAACTAGTGCTCTAGTAAGAAAGAAGAATGAAAGAGCAATTTAAGCCAATAAACCCTACAACACAAATGCTTGAATGATCGAAGAGAAAAAATGGTATATTGAAATGAAAGAATGATGATGGTATAAAGCATGAGTCGTGACAATCCAAAGTGAGGCAAGTAACCTCGTAAGAAAATAAAAGTATGAGTGAAAGTATAATCGTATCCCTAAGGCTTCTTCAAATCAACCTCCTTCAACTCAACCCAAGGCTCTCCCTTGTCAGAAATAATATTATGCGGAACCCTCTCATCCGAGCCCCTCGAACTAGCAAGAGTCGTAGCCTCCTCCTTCATCGAAGAAACAGAGATAGTAGTTGTAATCAACGGCGGTGGGAAGTTCGGCGACATCGGACTGGCGACAGCCGTTGAGCCGTATAGCGGGACAGAGCCGTAGGCTTGATTATTCTTATATGCGTACTGCGGGCCACTCCGGGAGTTGGTCGATTTGATGAATCTGGATGTGAAGGGCCGGAAGAGGGGCCAAACAGGTGGAATAGACATTGTTATGAGGACGATCCATTCTTCAACTTCGCCCCAGCGGAACAGGATGCCGACGCCGTCTTTGATCTGTTAGTATACGTTGAAGAATTGATTGGATGAAGTGGGAGGGAATAATGCTTACAGGAAAAGTCCGTGGTAAGGATGAAACTCGCGGCCCATGTTCGGACGATGGCGGCGACACCGGCAAAAATACCACATCCCATGAGGAAACTTAGACCCCATTTCAGCTTTCGGTCGATGCGTAGTGGGATGAGCATGTGGATGGGAACGATTGCGAGGTAGAAGTCGGATAGGGCGGCGACTGCACCGACAAAGTAGGTGTAGTATACACTTTTTCTGTGGTCACAATTGGCCTGTCTTAGGGGATCCCATAGTGAGTCGACTGGACTGCACTGGAACCAGACCAATAGAACTTGAGGGATGTTGAGGATGATATTCAGGACGGCAACGGCGATGAGGCTGCGGCGGATTTTGGGGTCTAGGCGATGGAATCAGGACTTGTTTCCTAATGGCACGAGGATGGGACTTACTGCTAGGCCCATTCATTTCAATTAAGAAAGCCGAGACAGCCACTTTTCCGGTGGGAATCGCCAAATTGAAGAAAAACACCGTGATCCATGTGAATAGCAGGAAGTTGTGCAATTCACCAACTTCAGTAATGACTGTGATATGGTTTCCGAGACCGTGAAGGACTGATAGAATACCGAAGATCTGGGTAAGGGTTGTGAAGAACTGCTGATGTTAGTAGATGCATTTGGACGCACTCGGTATAGACATACCCAAGCAAGGAGTGAAAATGACAAGGCTGTTGTCCCGAATTTGTTGATTCTCAAGCGCACATAAAGCCGCATAACCATAAAGATAGTAGCAATGACACCCAAAGCAATACCTAGCCGCAGGTCGCTAGGCCCCCGGCCCCCATAGGCGGGGAATTTGTCTTGGAGAGACATTATCAAAAGAGTGACGAGGAGCGCATGTAAAAAGCAACACCCATTTTCCGGGGGAGGGCTCGAGCATGATCCGGTGGCGCGGACTCGGCTTTATAAAGCCCAATGTTAAATCGAGGCTGAATGGAGACCCGAGTCGCACGATCCTATAGCAAATGCAAATCAATCGCGTGGAGCCACGGCCATTGCAGCCCAAGGCTTGGTTGGTAGAGCGGCGGCCGATCTTGTGGAGTTACTATCGAAACTTCGCTCCGTTGTCTGCCGCGATTGGCTCCACCAAGCTAGACGAACCAATTTCCCAAGCCACAATCCAGAGCCATTGACAGATGTCAAATACATTTTAATTTTGAGACAATGCGTTGTGCCCTAGATTCAGTTGAGTCCCACTCGCAATGATGGGCCAGAGCCTACGGTGATATACATCACAATCACAAGTCCACGAGTCCATAGGCTGCATATGCAGGCTTTTCGAGCTTGCAGGGATGTAATCCACCTCCGCCTTCCGGTAGGTCGGCCTTCGTACAGTATTCCGTATTCGGAGACGGATTGACCAACATCATCCCATGGTCGTGTGGGGTCAATGCGGCAATTTGTGTTCCCCTGAATCATGCATCGGAGAAATAGCTTGGGTTTCTCATATATTTGCATTTGTTTCGCCTTCCAAGCCTGCGTACCTAGCTATGCGTTCTCGACATTTCCTTAATTTGCTTTTGGTGGAAGAAATTGACCGATTGGCCCTGTAGGAACGTGCTTGCTGGTCGGAAGGTTTCATAGATGCTCAAAGTTCGATCAAACACTTCAATAGTCTACCAGTGCAGGCAATAAACCTTAGACTACATGGTCATTTCGAATTATTCATATGAAAAGACTAAAGTGCAACTATTGAATTCGCTTCCAAACACAAGTACACGATGATCAGATTACAGTGCGAGCCGTTTTCACAATCGCCTCCACTTTCAGGGCTTTTAAGGGCAGGGATCGCCCACTAAGTTCGTTGTAACCCTGCCACACACTGATCATCTTCCTTTTCCAACTCCACTCGAATTGGAAATCAGGCACGAGTTCGTCGAAACGGTAGGAATATGCCAATCTGTTTACTCGTGTAATATTGTGCGATTTGAGGGCCAGTCTTCATTTTCAGCATTTGAAGATGGAATTTATAGATTGCAATTAAGCATGCAACGTCCTTGAGTATGACAGACTGTGGATGAGCTAGTCAATTATTTCCAGCGAGCCGTTTCTCTTGTCCGTACATGAATCATTCATAGTGCTTCTTGGATCGCACTAGTGAGAACTGTGACCGAGAATATTCCCGAGCCATTTTACCGGTTTCCGAAAAGGCTATTGAATTGCGAAAGTCAATGCCGCAGCATTGTCGATCCGGTCCATTTCGACATCAACGGGGGACCCCTGACTTTGCTGAAACCGATAAAATCCCTCAGGATAGACTCATATGCAAGTCTGTACGCCACATACTTATCCTCTGCCTTGCTACCTTGGAATACCAATTTATTTTGTTTTTTCGACTGATCCAAATGTCTCACCTGGAAATTCCACCGTGTTTCCAGTGGTCGAGATAGCAAGCATCGTGAAAAGCGAAATATGATTCGTTGGAGACTCATCTTTTTCAGAGCAGGCATCCGGTCTTGCAAGTTTGGGCGGTATGGCATCGCTGGATCGAGGTGGAGCTCCTCTGGCACAGTATATAGCTCAAATCATTCATTTGTGCTCTGATGAACGACCAAGTGTTACTGTAAGGCAGGAACAAGTGGTAGATACATGGATTGGTAAGGAATATAGGCCATCTCCCACTAGATTAATATTGAACTATCTAACCACACGTGATTCCGTGATGCATAAATAATAACTGCCTGACTCCACGAGAAGCGTCGAGGACGACGCTTTAGGATGGCAAGTTAAAAAGAAGCAAGTATGTTGAATGTGCCATCTCATGCATTATGACATCGTAACGTAACACGCAAGGAAAGCAAATATCAGTTATCCCATCCCTTTGTCCGAAGGCGCAAGGTAGTCTAAAAACAAGGATCCAAAAATTGCGACTCTCGCTGCTTCATAAATGGATTGAACACTAGCCTGATACTATATGTCGCCTGTTTGACTCAATCGCGCCCAGAATACGTACATCCGGCATCTTGTCGAGCGCATTTGCAACTCCGTAAGCTTTGTCCCTCTGACAGACGCATTGCCTTCTTAATACATTTGGCGCTGTTTTAGACGATTCTGTCCCAGAATTTTTTCGGGTGTATGAGAAGCAGGCCTGAAGACCCAAAAAACCAAGGAATACGAGGCGGAGCAATGGCAAGGATGCTATGCCGAGTGCAATGCACTATGAATTTTGATTGATGAACTCTTGAACAGTCTAATCTGTTGGTGATTTTTATGGATTCCGGATATTTTACAGCTCCGCCCAACACCTGTATATATTTGACGGAAGGGGACTATTGTCAAGTATCAAGGCTTTGATGCGGTCTAAATGGCACTCGATACGGTCTTAATCATTTGGCGAAGCTCCAGAAGTCATTGCGGTCTCGATTCTGAGTCCGACATTGGAAAAAGAGAAGCTGAGTTGGTCTACGTGTTAAGGTTCTTTCACTTGTCTAATAATACACCAAGGCGAAGAATTTTACCAGTATTCATCGATGCAGGTGATTGGAAGAAGGATATCCAGATGGCGAGTCAGTTCAGGGCTCATATTCATGATTTTGAGTTATGTGCAGCGATAATTAAGCAGAGATAAACAAGACGTGAGCAACCACGATTTATGTAGGAGCCATAAGGGAGGCCATTTGGGATTATTCCATTTAAAAGAGAGAAGGGTGAAGTGCGCTATGCAGATGTATATGTTAAAGGAGGTCACTGAAAGAGCCAGGTTTGGATTTGCAGGATAGGAGAAAGAAACACAAGCAAAGATGCCTAATTGTACCTGTGTCTATATGTTTTCAAAGGGTTTAGAAAGGGGATTGTGGGAAAGAGAAGAAGTATCGAAATATTATCAAGAAGCAATAACAGCCCCAGACTAGTGTTGAAAACAATAAATTCCTAGTAATCACCTCCACGTGACGAAAACGACCCTAATGCTGGTCGAGCTATCAAAGCGACTCCAAAACAGCGGCACATCCGCATTTTTCGCGCAACAACTGAGTGGATTAAGGCCAGCGGTAACCTTTTACCTGAAGGATGATTTAAGTTGAATTATCTCGTTTTGCACATTATGTGATGGGCTATACACTTGCAATCTGTGTGCCCAAGCTTAATTTGATAACCTCATGAGCACCATTTTCTCACGATTGAACTTGTGGATAATTGAATGAATTAACAGTGACAGTTGCGTTAGGTATAAGCTCAATTTAAATGAACAGAATCTGTTTGGTATTCTTTCATGCCAGACCACTTGTGCTCATTCTACGCAAGCTATTCTCACGCTGTGCTCTGCATATCTTTGAATTTTCACAACAGGTCCTCTCTCGACCTCATCAAGAATCAACAGTAGCCTTCATCCCAAGCATACAAGGTATGCATTCTCTCTGTCCACTGAAATTCTCTAAATGAAGTTAATCTTGCTTATTTCACGTGTTTCAGTCGTCTATCATTCATCACACTTCTCCTCATTGGAATCCATGAATACATCCTGGCTCACCTCAGCCGGCACCCTGCCTCACTTACCGGCTGGATACAACGTTGTCGGGATGCCTTGCTCAAGAACCTCAACCCCTGAAAGTACCGATCTCAGTGCAGAGTCAGTCATGGATTCCTCGCAGTCCTCTGACGGATGTGAGTCCGTCATACCACCCAGGAGTCCAGCCGAACCACTTAAGGTCGCTATTACCATCAACGCATGGGAGTTTAATGCGATGCGTCTGGCAAATGACCCCGTTTTCCTTGCACGCCAGTGGTTTTCCGACATTGAGGTAGGCCCTGATCAGCGCTGGTGGCGGGACATGTTCGATCGCGTTGCCTTCCACCATCTGCAAGGCCCGATGGTTCTTTGCGAAAGCGAAGCAGAGCAAGTAGCTTTCGAGGTAGGTAGATGTGATGCATCTATGTCATTCACCTGGGATTTGCCTGTTGGGCACGAGTTTTCCTAGACACAAGCTCCCAAGACAATGCGTCGGTCTGTTACCTGGCTTCTTCTTTTTCTTCGTTTTTTGTGGACAGAGATATGAGGCTTTCGTTGACTGGGGCTCACGTTGACTGAGATGGATTGAGTTGAAGGCGTACCGGCCGAGACGTGAAATTGAAACCGGGGGATATATTATTATTGGTGAGAGCCCCCTGTGCCGCAGCCTGTTGAATTTGTCAACAAATAAGACTAAATTTGTTCTGGACAATATGAATTTCCAATGTTTTTCTTCATAAAGTTAGAACTCTGGGCCTTTCCAGATGCGTCAATCTTCGGCACCTCAAATATAACCAGAGTATATGCATTATTAGTCCTCAGCGAGACCATTTTTAGGCCAATTCTGACCTCGAGAGCACCATTGGCCGTGGTTCAGCTTTCATTACCTGAAGCCTCCGAGGATTTCATGGATGCGTGGACAAGGCATCCAAACGAAATTTCGGGTGCATATGTGGATGAAAGAGATCGCTGGACAAGGAAGGAAAGGCTCTCGAGCCCTGAAGGTTCATATCGTTATTAACCTTGGAAACATCTTTCATATTAACTCATATATAGTAATTCAACGTTTCTAGAAGAGTTCTAGATATGGAATACTCCATTCGTTGACTGAAATAGGGGTTCAAGATCTTGGAATCTCCAGTTGCACTTCATGCTTCGAGGTAGGTTTCAATGCAATTCAATCATTTCCTCAACCATCCTAAGGAAATTCTGACGATACTCGCCTGCCGTCGTTGTGATAGACATAGGGCCATGACGACCAACGACGTTGAATGTTTGCACTACTCCAGATAGTGCCTGAGCGTGGAGCTTGTGCCGAGCCCAGAAAAAGTCCAACACTACGGCACGATACTTCCATTTGCCATCAGCAGATGGCAGTCCCACCCTCCAGGGACTCTGTCGTCCTGAAACGGTAGGTTTAGAAGAGGCCGGGATGCGCACAAGAAACAGAGAGTAGTCAACAGCGTTGGCGTCTTGTAAAAACTTCGTATCGGCTTTGATAGATTCCCAGAAAGTGGCATAATCTTTACGCCACAGGTGTAATTTATCGTTGAATGTATCTGCAAGCCTGCTCAAAGTGTCTTCGCTGACAAGGGATTCAGGCAGTAGATCACGCTCGGGGTAGAAATAGTCAATTGGCTTTAGGTCATATGTCTCCCAGTTCTGACCATTAGGGTCATCGTCTTGGCCGCAAAGTATGTTTTCCATGACGATATGATGTGCAGGCGTGCAACCAAAAATAGTCCCTAGAGTTTTATATGGAGCGACTATGTAGTCGGTAATCCATACAATTGTCGAATCAGGATTCTCCCCCATGTATGCGTAATATGGCTCGAGTAGATCTGCTTCGAAAAAAGAGTATTCAAACCGCCGAGGAATACTCTTTATGACGAAGCATCCGTCAAGAGTACTGAAAAATGACTGAAAAAAGGTTAGCCTTTGTTTTGGCTTCTAAGACAAGTTGATACGCACTGAACCTGAATATCCTAAGTCACCTATCGCTTTGAGAGCCTTCTGGCCGCTGGTGGTGCGAAAGCTTGCTTGATAGTCATCTTCATTAAATGCCCAGACTTCTCGTCGTAGCTTCGAGAACAGCTCGCTCTCGAAGCGAATGAGCTTGATTCGGCGCACTGTAAAGAATGCTATGAATCGACCCCATGGTGTCTTTTTAAATCTCTCTGGGTCGCGAAGCAAGCCCGCCTGAATGGATTTGGTCAAGGCTTTTTCTCGGCGACTGGATCCCATTTTGGTGACTGTGAGATTATTTAGACATGATAGATGATATGAGAATGAATTGGAAATATAAGATTTGTCTCCTAATCTTGCTTTCGGTCACGTCTAAATTGATCAGTTTATTAGTGACGTCAGATATTTCCTCGTCGCGTGGTGATTGGTCGGAATTAGCACTATACACATGACACTTAGTAAACGCGTGTACGTACGGCAGGAACAATATGGACTTCTCCATGTACTATTGACCGCCTTTAAAGGAGCCACAGATAGATACACAATCGTATGACAAGGCAGCGATCTCATTCAAGGATCTTCCATGACGGGTCACAGCCTTTGTTAGATTTATCTAAGACCCACTTTCGCGATCTACCAGAAAGTATAAGGCATGCGGCACATCAAACAAAGATAGATAGAAGGCAGGACAGCATTGGCTATCAGAATGCTCCGTTCAATATCCTATTAGTTTGATGGAGCAAAACAAACACCTCTCACACCTGATACCGCAGGCACCGAGTACCCCGCGATGCTATATATCACACGTGACTCACCGCCCTGGCATAGCGACTGAGTCACAGCAAAAAAAAATTAAGCAGAAAAGAATTGCTGTGTCGCTCCGAGAAATCCCCCTCTTTATGGGTCGCAGTTTGTTAAGCGGGGCTCGGCGACTCTCAGGTCTTTTTTCCCTCCCTCGTTCTTACCTCCAATCGCGATCCCCTTCTACCCTCACTTTGATATCCCCTTCCGCTCGCGCATTCTTGCACTCCCCTGCGCGACTTACGTCCTCTTTCGCAACAATGGCGTCCGACCTCCCCGCCTCTGTTGAGGCTCTTACCCTCCAATCCACAACAACTACATCCGACTACCCGGGATGCTTTCCCTCTTTGAACCCTATGGATATCTACCGCGAGCACATTGCGACCGAGTTGAGCAAGGGCACTGGCATCGATGCCGAGCTGATCTATACCCGTCTTGCATGGACCAACACTCTCGACAAGGGCGATTTGGCGCTCCCGGTACGTGAGAATAAATGACATCTACACCCGGAGAATAATTACTGAGATTTGTGCTAAACATTGTCGCTCTACAGGTCGCTGCTCTTCGTATCAAGAAGAAGCCCCAAGAGCTTGCCGAGGAGCTGGCTTCAAAATTCCCCGCATCCGATCTCGTCCACCCTCCCACCGCTTGTGGTCCTCACCTGCAGTTCTTCTGCAAGCCCCAGCCCTTGGCGAATACTGTTCTCGGTCGTGTTCTCACTGAGAAGGCCGCCTATGGCACAAACGGAAACGCTGGTCTGAAGGACCCCAAGGACCCCTCCAAGGGCCAGAAGAAGATCATCGTTGAGTTCTCTTCGCCCAACATTGCGAAGCCTTTCCACGCTGGTCACCTGCGTAGTACCATAATCGGTGGTTTCCTTGCCAACCTGTACACTGTCCTGGGATGGGATGTCATCAAAATGAACTACCTCGGTGACTGGGGTAAGCAGTACGGTCTGCTGGCCAATGGATTCAAGTACTTCGGTAATGAGGAGGCATTGCAGAAGGACCCCATTAACCACCTGTTCGACGTCTACGTTAAGGTGAATGGTCTTGTCGCCGAGCACGACAAGCCTATCAAGGAGCTCAAGGAGGAGATCAAGGCAAAGAAGGAGAAGAACGAGGATGTCTCCGCTCAAGAGGCTGAGCTCGCCAAGCTTGTTGAGGTCAGTGAGGACGAGAAGGCTCGCCGCTACTTCAAGAGCATCATGGATGGCGACCCAGAGGCATTGGCTCTCTGGCGCCGCTTCCGTGACCTGAGTATCGCCAAGTACAAGCAGACCTATGCCCGTCTCAACATTGACTTTGATGTCTACTCCGGTGAATCTCAGGTTAAGAGTGAGAGCATGACTGCGGCCTACAAGGCCATGGAGAAGGCCGGCGTCGCTGAGGAGTCTGAGGGTGCCATCATTGCCGATTTCACCAAGCACAATGCCAAGAAGCTCGGAAAGGCCATCATTGTCCGCAAGGACGGTACTCCCCTTTATTTGACCCGTGACATCGGTGCTATTATCGAGCGTGACGAGGCCTACCACTTCGATAAGATGATCTACGTTGTCGCTGCCCAGCAGGATCTCCACCTCGCTCAGCTGTTCAAGGTCACCGAGCTGATGGGCCGTAAGGACCTTTCTGACCGTTGCGAACACATCAACTTCGGTATGGTGCACGGCATGAGTACCCGCAAGGGTACCGTGAAGTTCTTGGATGATATCCTGCGGGATGTTGGTGAGAAGATGCACGAGGTGATGAAGAAGAACGAAGTCAAATATGCGCAGGTTGAGAACCCAGAGAAGGTCGCTGATACCCTGGGTATCACCGCCGTCATGGTCCAGGATATGACTGGCAAGCGGTAAGCAATTCCATATTATATTTTCATTCTTAACCCTACTGACAAACCATGTAGTATCAACGGCTACACCTTCAACTTGGAGGCCATGACCTCCTTCGAGGGTGACACTGGTCCTTACCTGCAGTACGCCCACGCCCGTCTCTGTTCCATGACCCGCAAGTCCGAGTTGAATGTGGATGAGTTGCCATCGGCCAACTTCGATCTCCTCACTGAGCCACATGCCATTGACCTCATCCGTCTGCTCGCATCTTGGCCGGATGTTCTCATCAACACCTCCAAGACTCTGGAACCCATCACTGTTCTGGCTTACCTCTTCCGCATGACCCACATGCTGAGCTCCAGTTACGATGTTCTCAAGGTTATTGGCAGTGAGCCCGAGGTTAAGAAGGCTCGCATGGCTCTGTATGCTGCCGCCCGCCAGGTCCTGCACAACGGTATGCGGGTTCTCGGCCTCAACCCTGTTGAACGGTATGTTTGCCTTACCCTTGTCAATATCTCATCTTCCATGCTAATAATGTCTGCAGGATGTAAATTCCTACCTTTCCCATTCCCAGACTTTAAAGATCATCTTAGCTCTATATTTCATATTTTCGGATGCATTCGGCGCTCAGAGCTGGAAAATAAAATTCACGGCTGTTTTTCTTTTCCATCCTTTCCTAAATATCATGTAGGCCAACGGTTATTTCTTGGCAAAGCCTGATAGGACAAACAAAGCGATTGTGCCAGCCTGTCACAAAAGCAGATAAGCTGGTCATTCAAGCCCCCGAGGTCCAAGCGCAGAGCTGATAGTCACAGCGCGTATCCCTCCAACTACAAAGAACGTTTACTTCCTATGATCTCACTATCTTCATTTTTACGAAACACTTATTGACATTTATACAAGACGAGCCAGATCCCAAGATCAATAAGCTCGGCCTTCTGACCTTCTAAGAAAAAAATCCTCCAACACCGGAACGGCGACCACGGGCTCCACTCATCTTACATCAGCCATCATAGTCCCATGTTGAAGCGGGCCGGCCCCCGACGCCACGCCCCATCTACACTCGAACCGAACCCGATCGGCGACCATCAAGGGGACCAGCTGAATATGCGAAAAACTCAAATCATCCTGCCCCAATGATGCTCATCAATAATAAACCCGGTTTCTTGGCAATAATCGGTCCCCGCAGACCATGGGGCGAGGCTCCACTAGACAGTATTAAAATCTATATAATGCCCGCTTAACCCGAATATCAGCCCTGCGAACTGGGACGGGAAAGATTCACACACCTTGTGCTATCGCTGGTATTGTCATTTAGCTGTGATATATTGGATACTGCGCACAACTGGTTCTACCCTGGCGATTAGTGCAGATATCGATTGCGACTAAATTGCGGGCGAGAACAATAATTGCACGAATACGATAGACATGGATAACGGTGCTTCGGATTCAAATGCGGGCTCCCCAGATCTGGACTTGGAGCGCAATGAGACCAGCCACTTCTTGATGAATGGGTCTGTGTCGCGGTTTTCGTGGAGTGGACTCAATGTTACTGTCAAGGATCGGCAGACGAAGAGACCGCGTGATTTGATTCATGATATCAGTGGTGATGTGCGACAGGGTATGTGCATTAGATTTAAGTTTTATTTGTTTGATTGGTGCGATGCTAATGTTCTTTGCGGTAGGGGAGCTGGTAGCTTTGATGGGTCCTTCGGGGTGTGGGAAGACAACATTGCTAAATGTGCTGGCGAGGAGACCTGCTACTTCCGGTGCGAAAGTGACTGGAGAGACCTATGTTAATGGAGCCACGGTCGAGTCGGGTGCGTTTGGTCGTATGACTTCGTATGTTGAGCAGGAGGATGCGTTGATCGGGTCGATGACTGTGCGGGAGACACTGAAGTTCGCGGCCGATCTGTCGTTGCCTAGGTATGCCTGTGTGTTTGGGATGTTGGCTGCTTGTACTGACAAATGGAAGCTCTGTGTCGAAGCGTCAACGGATGGAACGGATTCGGACTCTCCTCGAGGCATTTGGAATCCAGAAGCAGGCAGACTCGCTTATTGGGACTCCGATTCGGAAGGGGATCAGTGGAGGTCAGAAGCGGCGTGTCAGCGTGGCAAGCCAGTTGATCACTTGTCCCAAGATTTTGTTTTTGGATGAGCCGACCAGTGGCTTGGACTCGACTGCGAGTTACGAGGTCATTTCGTATGTGAAGCAGCTGGCGAGGGAAAGCAATGTGAGTTGGCCATCATCAACATTGACCTTTGTACTGACAAAGTAGATCATCATCATCGCTAGTATTCACCAACCCTCGACGACGACGTTCCAGCTATTTGATAAGCTACTTCTCCTTTCAGCCGGACAGACATGTTTCTTCGGTCCCGTTGCAAATGTCGGAGAGTACTTCCGAGACATTGGGCATCCCATCCCGGCCAATACCAACCCGGCAGAGTTTCTTCTCGATATCGTGAGCTCGGACTTTAGTGCCTTGACTGATGATGCGGATGCTCGAGTACAGCAGATCCAATCTGCTTGGAAGGAGTCTACAGATGCACAGGCTGTGACCCAGAAAATAAACGAGAGGTTGCGCATGGCGGAGAAAGAAATGGCAGTCGTCGTGGATGAGTTAGCTCGGGCGGGAACTATCAAAATCATCACGGCTCTCCTTCATCGGTCATTCATCAAAAGCTACCGCGATGTGGTTGCCTATGGAATTCGCATTGTTATGTACCTTGGTGAGTATACATGCTGCCTGATTAGTGACTCCAACTGACTGGAATAGGTCTTGCGATCATGATGGGGACGGTGTGGCTACGCTTACATCCATCTCAGGATTATATCCAGCCGTTCATCAATGCAATTGTAGGCTCCCTGGACATTCCTCGGGCAACAATCAAACAAACAACAAAGTGCTGACCATTCTAGTTCTTCGGATCAGCCTTCATGTCCTTCATGGCCGTGGCATATGTCCCAGCCTTCCTCGAAGACCGAGCAACGTTCGCCAAAGAACGAGCCAACGGGCTCTACGGCGCAACGCCATTCATGATCTCGAATTTCCTCATTGGACTACCTTTCCTGTGTATGTATCCCTGCCCGGGGAATCGTGATCAAGCTAACAAGATGCAGTCCTGATCGCAATTCTATTTTCGATTATATCATACTGGCTCTCAAACTTCCAACCCACGGCCCAAGCCTTCTTCACCTGGGTAATGTGGCTCTTCCTGGATCTCCTCGCCGCCGAGTCCCTAGTCGTCTTTGTCACTGCGATCTTCCCAAACTTCGTCATTTCCCTCGCGCTAGTTGCCTTCGCAAACGGACTCTGGATGAGTGTGGGCGGGTTCTTGGTAACTCCGACGATCCTCAATCCTTTCTGGAAATACGTGTTCCACTACATCGACTATCAAGTGAGGAACCAATCCATTGAATGATGACGTCTTTAGTGCTAACTTTATCAGGCATATGTATTCGAAGGGATGATGGTTAATGAGTTTTCTGAGCGGATTTATTCGTGTGGTGATGGGTGCCGGTGTCTGTATGACACGGACTTGGCATCGCAGTGCCAGATTCGTGGGACTGCCGTGTTGGAGACTTATGGGTATGCGACTGGTCGGACAGGCAAATGGGTTGGTATTCTCATTGGAATCATTGCTGTGTATAGGTTGTTTGGCTGGATCGCTCTGCAACTGCGCAGGAATTGATGCTACCCATGATGGGGGTCAAAAAGAGCAAGGGCAAGTATCTGTATATAGGTTACTTTTCTATTGATCGAATAGAATTCACTGTACAAAGAACTTTGTATCTCTATAGCTTACAATGCAAAAACAAACCAGCTCACTATCAGGGCCGAACTATCCATGAAAGGGCATCTCTCGAAGCGAATGCTGTAGCACCCGAGGTATCACCAGCCTTGCCCTGAGACCAGCCACTAACGACTATCTCTGTACCACATGAACGATCCGAGTTCCCAACAAATCCCAATTGCGCGAGTAGCATCAGCTCAAAGTCAATGCAGATCAGGAGGGCGAACCCCCTCATAGATTAATCTATCTAGCGGCATCCACGTTCCGCGGACAAGAAAGGAGCGGTGAAGGGGTCCCGATAACCCTGATGCCACCGTGCAGTAGGGAAGCAAGGGGGTGTGCCGTCCCAATGCTCCGAGCAGTCCAGAGTATGTTACTCATATATATATAACTATAATTATAAAACTATCAAATGACATGCGTATGAAGCTTAAAAGTGAACTCTTTGCAAGAGTACATGTTGCATACTAGTGTATGTGCATGCGGCTATCATGATTACGATGTCAACTGTCCCCATGAGCAAGACCGAGTAGGAAAAGAGAGAAATGAACCACCCTTGTCCGGATCACGGGCCCGATTCATATTCCCACGATCGCATCAAGATCGTGGTCGACAACGATTGACTGGGGAAAAAAGATGCGGGTCGCGGTTACAAATCAAAAGAGTTTCGCACGAGCCGCATGGATATTCCTTGGTTTGGGGTGAGTTGTTTCCAATCCTGCCCCGGTCGATTTGACAGAAAGTGCCAATACAATAGAAATGCATGGACCTCTACCCCTCGTGTCACCAATTGCAATCTTATCATGAACATTGTCTATCCACGTGCGGGGTTTGGGTTTTGTAGAAGATTGGAACAAGTTCTCAGATCTTCAGGACGCAAGGAGGTCGAGGATAAGACAAAAACCGGCAATGATGGACGTGCTGCATGTCATAGCGATCTAGACAAGGCTGGCTCGGATTTAGGGAAATTTACTCGACTAGGCATCGACCTAGAGATACTGGAAACACTACGAGCTATGTAGCTGGTACTTGTAGTAAATGACTCACATCAGAACCATAGATAGTCTGCCACATGCCGGACTTGAAGATGAGATGCAGTAGTTGAGTGTTAGTGTTAGTGCCCGTTCGTAGGATCCACTAGACATCAGTGGCGATTTCTCGGTTCCCACGGATTGTATCCTGCAGCATGTCATCCTCCACCGACTTTTCCCGTGTACCAGGTACATAGCCATTGTGGAAGGAAAGAGGGGGTTTCACTTTGGGATTCTGTTTACTCGGGGATTCTAATTTCCCATGAAGATTTGGTGCGAAATGAATAATTATTTCATTCTATAGAGGGGCATTCCCTTTAAAAAAGTGGAGGCGATCATTGGGCCGCAATGACATGTTGGGCGTTAGGCTGGAAAACAGAGACAAAAAGAAGGAAAGAAGAAGAAAAAAAAAAGTTCTACGGAGGGTGAGTAAACAGTACGGAGTAACTCTAGTGGAGGATTAAGTAAATCAAAGTATAGCAGAACCAGGGATTCCCTTCCAGCGGGTCCCGAGCTTAGATTGTTTATGACTCTTTCGCATCCCCCCACTTTGGCTTTTTTTTCTTTTCTTGTTGGGTACCCGAGAGCCTCTTCGTGCAACATTTGGCTTTTTCCATTTTGTGTTTATTTTTCCCTTTCTTTCTTCTTTTCTATCTGATACTTGACTCTCTTTTCTTCCTCCCCCCCCGAGTTTCCAACTGTTTTGGTTCCTTGGTTGCTTATCTGAATCTACCCGTTCCTTTACCCAAATCTCGCTGCCCATCGGACTCCACCATCCCCCACATCCGGTCAGGCTACTTCAAGAGCCCAACTGCAGCTGCAGATTCTGTCCAACCACCACGGATCCTTTGTCGGCAGACCCATAATACACACCCAACGACGCTTTTTCGCCTGACCACCCGATTTCCCCTTCGATGGAGACGCTGCGATCTGGAAAGTACCACATCGCTCTGTCTGCTCGCTGACACCACTCGTTCGACCAGTCAAGCCCTGCCATCGCCATCTGCGATCGGCAGGTCCGCCTTCTGGTTCGAGAGACGTGAGGAAGAAAAAGTACGGCCTTCTTGTGTGGGTTGGGCAAATAACGTTCCTGCGAGAAAAAAAAAGTACCCTACCGATACAGTGGAATTACCTGAGACGTCACTCGCGGGGGAGACGAAGCCACAAAAAAAAAAACCGAAATACACACACACCCAAACAAATATCGAAAAAGGGACTGGGTATACACGTAGGACTGAGTCATCTCGTTCTTTTTTCCATCCCAGTGCGGTGGCTTGCTGTAAGTCCAACCCAAGAGATCCCTTCCGGCCCCATTCCTCCCCCTCCCCCCGCCTGTGTGCGCTGGTGGGTAGCAAACCCACGTCCAGAACGGGACCAACCTGTTTCTTACCTAGGGACCGTCCCTCTTATCCGATCCTGCAGCAAGTCATGCCTGGCAGCCCTAAACCAGCCACTGTCGAGGAATGGGACGAAAGATTGCACGACATCGTACCCGACTCCCAACAAGTGGCTAATACTGGTGCAAAAGTTTCTTCCAGGTTGGATCACAGATTCCCGGAGCCACTGATCGACGGCGCGAGTGACTCAGGTTATTCTAGTCGCACCGCCGCCACTGTCAACAGCACCCAATCTGGGCCGTCGGGCGGGAAGAGCCCCCCAACCGTTCTTAAGCAAGTCGCGCCCAAACACACCGACATCACCAGAAAATCCTCCCGACGAGAACGCAAGGACAAGGAACGTGCCCGGCCGGACGAGACGATGCAGATGGGTGCCTATCCAGGCCCCGGCTACATTCAGCCTCGCGCGTCCCGGTCGCCGTCCAAGCCCCGCCGACGAGACTCATATCTTCGACAAGCAGACGTCTACTACGAAGGAAACCACACCCAGTACCACCCGTCCACCCCCGTCGAACCACGAGCCATGGAGTTCCCACCTCAGCAACCCTACTACGGGAGGCCTCCTATGCCGGACTATATCCCACAACAACCCATCGGATATCCAATGGAGGAATACCATACCAGCCGTTCGGGACGCCCTCACTCTGCTTATGGTCTGTATCATCAGGATCGAGCCGTGGGTTGGCCAGCAGCAGCACCGTCTCGAGGATATGGACAGCCACCACCGCCGCCGCCGCAGCAATATCATCACTATGAGCATGGCCCTCCACCAGTATCGTCGGCTTGGCATCAAGGATCCTACTCATCATCGCCCTATGGCGCTCAACACAACTTTCCTCCATCGGAGTATTATCCCCAGGATCACATGTATCAGCGTGAGCGGTCCGAGTCTCGTGAGCCATCCCGGCGCCGTAACTCCATGTATGGGATTCCGCCTCCGCCACCAACCGAACCTGAGGTCTTTCTAGATTTTGAGGACGATGCAGAGCAATACTACGCTCGTCAGCCCCGTGACAAACCCCGTGGCCGTGGTACTATCAAACCTAGTTCGGATTATTTCGACGAGGATACCGCAAAGATGCCACCGCCAGCTCTGCCTGCCCCAAGAAGTAGACACGCGCCCCAGGTTCACCAAGCCAAGCGGCCTGAAGCTCGGAAGGTTCACTCCGCTGCCGCTGCCGTTCCCTCACAACGCCGCTCCTCGAAGCCCATGGACCTGAGTGACATGAGAGAGGCTCTGCCCGAACTCGACTACCCCACACGCCGGGTGTCAAGGGAGGTTGCCATGCCAGAACGCAGCCAGAGCCAAAGCCTGCGTGGCAGTAGACGATCCAACTCATACCATGAGAATTCCAGAGGTGCTCGCATAGCAGTGGAGAACAGCGGGCGACGACGTCCGGAGTCTTTCTACTACGTTGACGAACGCCCCGAGAGTCCTGCCGCCATGGAAGACCGCGTTGGAGAAGCCGAACGATACCAGGCTGTCACCGCCGGCCGTTCTACCGCACAAGTGCCCTTGTCTCAGGAGACACTTATGTCCAAGGTAGGAAACGGCCTGGGTAGTGACAACGGCAGCCAGAAGAGCCGATCAAACAGCAGTCGTGGCAGTGCCACCAAGACTGAAAAAGAAGCTCAGAACATGACCCTGAACATGAACGGAATGACCATTGCGTTTGCTGAGGAAAGCCTCGCAGGCAAGTCCATCAGCATTCGTACGGGCGATGCAGGTGCTATGCAGTTTAATATTACTGATGGCACCACCCGTCGACCCAAGGCATACGTTCAGGGGTCTTCCTACTCTGATAATACGCATACGGGCGGCTCTGGCCGTCGAGTTCTGGAAGATGGACGACGTGCTGCACGCGAACGAGACGATCGACGATCGGAGAGATCTGTTCACCAGTCTACTGGCCACCGGTCTAGCCGGTCCAACTACTCTCGCCGATACCAGATCTAAGTCTTGAGTTTGCATAGCATAGCATGTTGCCTACTAGTACAGTCCTCTTTCCCGTTATTGTTTATCCATGGTTGGATGGTTCTGGTTTCTTTTTCGTTTCTTGGTCAGCCTGCAGTGATCGCTGACAGGGTCTTCTTCTTCTGTCTGTCAAAAGTTTGGATATGGATTATTTGGTTTCTTTACATTTCTGGGTGGATCTTGTTGGGATTTTCATAAAAAATCATGGTGTTCGAGCAATGTGTTCAGGGCTAGCAGGGCTGCTTTTTATTTCTCAAGCTTCGGGTTTTCACAACCGCCCTCAAGCCTCGAACTGGGAGGACTCTTTGGTTTTTTATTATGTTTGCAATTGCTATCTCTTGCGTTTTTGGAAGAGTGTCGGGCGAAAGAAAGAAAAAAGTGCTTCTCTTACAAGAAAAGTTTTTTTCTTTTGTTTTTGCTGACTGAACTCCCCCGTTACGGTGTGATATGATTGTACGATTCTGATGACCTGCGATGACAAGTTCGATGTCTGCTTTTGCCCTTGGTTCTGGTTCTGGTTTTGGTTTTTCGATCATGATGAGTCCTTATTTCTCTTTCTAGCGTCTTATGTACATCTCATCATGTCACTTGTTCATGTCTTATGATTTCTTTTCTTGACCATATTGGGCCTTGTCTCTTTCTCCGGTTGTTGGTTTTGAGCGTGAGCTTGTCTTGGAGAGAGATGATACCCATACCTTGTTTACTTGTCATGTCTCAACATCAGGTCATCTTCTATTTCGTTTGGCCGTCTTAAGTTTTACTTCCTTTGATTCTAGTAGCCTTCGTATTACAGTTGGACAAAGATGATGATGCCGGTTGCCGTATGCAAACCTGCCGTTAAGACAGGGGCTGTTGGTATGAACATGATGTTTCACGGCATATCGTGCTTGCGTCTGTATGTTAATTTTGATCCCATCTCAACGGCCCTAAGAGAAAAAGGCGGCTCCCCGGGCTAGCCTGGTCTAGAACATTTAACCCTAGGTTTCGGAGGATTCGTTGTGGGGTCGAGGTTAGCTTGGGGCTAGTACCCCATAATGGGTAATACTTGAATCTTTATGATACGTGTAACAGAGCCACCAACCACAGAGAAAATAGAAGCAAAATCAACTGATACGGATAGCCGCATCTTCCAAGGTTGCTTGCAGTCTAGGTTCGGGTTGAAGCGCGCGCTTTACGAGCATGCATATTTCCAAGGAAATAAGCTAGGGCAACATAGAAAAGATCATTTTGAGATTTGGTCCACATAAGACGCAACTATAATTCGGCGGGGTAACGGACGGTGATGCTCCATATCTCATCCCGTCGGTGCAAAGAGCTCCGTCCCCAACGGCTCTTCTATCTCCGTAACCGGGGAAGCTCACCAATTCCAATATTTAAAGAGTATAGTCCCCAAATACACCAATTGAACCCCGAAAGACATAATTCGCTTAAACATGACAGCAAAAATCAAAGTCCTCACTCCCCTCGTCGAGCTCGTCGGCGACGAATTAACCCGAGTAATGATCGGGAACGCTGTCTGGCTCTACTAAGGTTGAAGACGCATAGAGAAACTTTGACGTGGTGAGAGTGAAAAGCCACACTCGATATGCGTTTTTTAGCACGGCCCGTGTGGGTCACCATCGCTCCCAAGCCATCCCCACTCATTGAAATTTAGTGGCATTGAAGATAGTCAAAGAGAGAACTGGTACAGCAATAATCCAGAAGGATCTTAAGAATTTCATCATCTTATTTTGATTTTCATAATGAACTTACTACAGATCGCAAGATGGTCACATGTTCGTTCTGCCTGAGGTGTGAGATCAGTGCGTTGTCGGGCCAACCACGGAGTAAACACAACCCCAGCCTCCTCCAACCTCCTCAATTCCAGACTCGCCACAAGTGCGCAGCTGGATATTTCTGCCTTGTAATTCCCTTCAGTCACTCTCATATTCTACTGACACCTGTTAGGTTGACCATATCCCACATCTCACATTCTTCGTCTATATTCCTTCAACTACGATCCTCTCGTTTTGGTCTGGTCAACTGTTTAAGGTGTGTTCTGTTCTTACTCCGAAGAATGTGTCAGATCTAACATTCCATAGAGTCTTGTCTTGAGCGGAGTGCTCTTGGCCACTCGATTTCGCCATGGCTCCCGTTCCAGTTGAAGACCCCGGCATGCCAGGCGTGCCAATGGAGCTGCGGGATATGGACGGTATTCCTGGAGTCCCACTCGAAGCCCGCGATAACGAAGACACAAAGCTCTCCCTGGAGGCTCGCTCATTCAACGAAGAAATTATTGCCGATAGATCACCCTCCATCAGTAACAACCTCGTTGCTCGATCCGATTCCACCTCCACCTCAACTTCCACCATCAAGTATGGCCAAGGCACGATCGACCCTCACAGCATCAAAATGCAAGGTCTATTGGCACTTTTTGCCCTTATCGGCGCAGCTTTTGTACTCGGCAGTATTTGGTTCTTCTTCTGGGCCAAGAACGGCGGCTTCCACTGGCGCAAAGGCGACTGGGATGACTACAAGTCTACCGTCCTGCGTCGCAAAGGCCCAGACGGTCGCACCCTCAGTAACGCAACAAAGAGTACAAAGCTTGGTGGCGGCAGTGTTGTGGGCAAAGGATACACCGACGACGGATACACCTACACGGACGAAACATACACGCAAACCGCTTCGACTATCATGACGGCAGACGAGAAGCCCAAACGCAAACGCAACTTCAAGGAAAAGATCCTTCGCCGCCACCGCGATGACCACTGGGAAGGTGAAGGAGACGCCGATGTTCGCGCATACCGTGAGGAGAAGCCCGCACAGATTGGTGGCATGAACCGCGAGGCAGACGGCACCTACCACGGTAGTGACTATGACTCCTCCGCACCGCCTACACACTACAACCGCAGCGAGATGAGCGAGGTCCGTGACTACGCTTACGAAAAGCCTCGTCGGTCTAAGACAAAGCAGAAACGCAATCCATCTGGCTTCTCCTTCACTGCTGGCAGTGAAGATGTGCTTAGCCAAGCTACCGAGGAACATTCGTTGCGTGACCCCGGCCGCCGGGAGCGGGACCGCGAGCGTGAGATCCGTCGAGAGAACCGTCGTCGTGACCGACGCAGTGCAGCCGCCTCTTCTGTTCCCTCCGCTCCTTCTTCTCGGACAAGCAGCCCGCGTAAGAAGGAGACTCGCAACATGCCTGGCCACTTCACTGAGCCGCTGGATTTCTCGTCCTCTGGCACTCGCTCTGAGTACCAATATTCCAACGTTGATACTGAAGATTCGGGCACGAAGAGTTATCACCACCCGATTGCTGGTTTGAGTAAGGGTTACCGACGTGATGATCGCCGTGATGGCCGACGAAGCCGTCGCCGTGATAGTCTGAGTGACAGTGATGGTGACGAAACCCGTTATTCATGAGTTACCAATGCTATTCTTTTCTTTCGCGAGCACGACCTGTTATTGATTTCTGATTTCGACGACGGTATTGACATGGATTATCTATTTGAGCGTCACAATTTGTTGGATTATGGATATGGGAAACTGGGAATGTAAATAACGAACATAACGGACATGGAATTGTCTTTGATTTGTTGCCTTTTATGGTGATATCTACAACACTATTATGCACTCGGATAGCAATAGGCTTCGGGGTCAATTACATTATTTGATTTCAACTACCTCATTTCACCTCTGATTTCTGAGCCTTAGTCCTCATACAATACTAAAATACTCTGGCAAACGATTAGAATGATTCTTGAAACTCTATACATTCAGAATCCATTTTCGATATTAGTTCCGTAGTGTACGGAAGATAATAATAAAATATCGACATAATCAAACACACCTGTACAACAACACTTGAACTGTTTGTCTGACTGAAACCCTCTCTCAACACGAGACCAGAACTATAGCATCATTATGACCTCTGAATACTCAAAGCCGCTGCATATTCACGCGCATCCTCGCCAGTAACCGCCGATCTCTCGTATGACTCGATATCATCCGACATCTTCCACTCAGCAAGCACCTCATACTTCGATGAACCAGGATACTTAAACCAGTACTCATAGCCGCCTCCCTTCTTCTCTCGGCGCTGGTAGTTTGATCCTGCTAACCGAATGGGACGATACTCAGTCTCTTGAACGCGGTAGCCGACAACAGGGTGAACTTGCTCAAAAGTCTCGCCGAGCTTGTTCCCATCTTTATCGACGGCGTAACGACCCGGTGTTCGGGGCCGAGATCCATTGACATAGTATAAAAGGCTAAAGTTGTCTGGTAGATCGCTCAGACCCCAGCTATAGGTGCGATGCTTTGGGTAGGCTGGCACATCTCCTGCTGAGAAAGGATGAAGAATTGAAGAAGCGACGGATTGGCCGCTTCGCAAAGCCCATTGCGCCCACGATTCCCTCTTCTGCCTGGCGATTTTTGCCTCGTACGCATCGAGGGCGTCGTTGATGTCAACGAGTCGCTTGTGGCGAGCCTTCTGATCTTCCTCCAGGGTCCGGGTATTGAGGGATACAAATTCTTTGATTTGGTCCAGCATCCAGGAGAAAGCAATGTTTGACATCTCCTCCATGTTCCCCTTGTTTTTCAGGCTGAGGTCGGATCCACCGCCGACGTTGATGTGGACTCCTGGGAACCAGACTTGCAGCAGATTCGTACGTTCTTTCAGGCTATCCTTCAGCTCCAGTAACTCTCGCTCGGCTTTATTTTTTTCTCTGATCGCATTCTGTATCTCCGCAAGGGGCGGACGGTAGGTAGTCAAAACCGTCTCCCACTCGGCCTTCGCGATGTCGACCTTCTTTTCTTGGTCCCTGATTTGCCGTTCCGTGGCTTGGGTGACCGGCGGAATGTAGAATAGAGTCGGTGTGAATGCGGCACGGTGCTCATCCAGAGCTAGTGCTTGAAACGCGTTGTTAATGTCTATAGTTTGAGTCAGTTGCATGCTCCCAGAGCCAAAGACAGGAGCCTTACTTGGAGAAAGTCCCACATTATGCCATTCCGGCTTATCAGTCCGGCTAAGCCACTGAGGCACCTCATGCCCAAATAGCTCGGGGAATCCAAGCGCACCAACCGTTTCAAAAACACCAACCACCTCAACCGATCTTGACTCATCAGAAGCCCACCGACCACGCCCAGGATACTCCCACGCAATGCTGTCGTTAGCTCCCATTTGCTCTAATGGCTGAGGATCAGCCGGTTTCCCTTTACGATAATCGAAATAGGCATCACTGCCGTAAAATCGTTCGCCAGTAACAGCTGGATGAGCCTTCTTGTAAAGCTTCCACACCTCGGGGAAATTCTGCAGATCAGCCCTGGAGCAGATACCCAGATCAGAGATCAACCCTGCGATAGCGCGCGCAGCGTATGCACCCCGCGAGAAGCCAAAGCACATGATCTGGTCCCCGGGGCTCCAGTTTAGCACACAGAAGTTGTAGGCCTCGATAACATTTCCTTCGAGGTCTTTTCCGGCTGGGACTTTGCCGGCTGAGTTTGTGCCAATACCGGAGTCGTACCAGACAACTTGTTGCCAAGGGAGTTTGTCATGCTTATCGATACCGACGGGGTTGATGGCGCGGCAGAGGCGGGTAACGTTGGATGGAATGCTTTCCACGCCTGAGACAGCTGATTGTCCACTTCCGTCGCAGCAGATAATGATGCGCTTGCGCGCTAGGCCCGGAATCTTGGGGTGGAGTGTAATCCCATCTTGTAATAAGCTGTCGTCCATTATTCTAGAGGTGGTGTTGGAACTGTGTGTGGATGATGTTGGAGGTTCGCAGGGTTAAAGGAAGGCAACACTGGTTGTCATGTGGGGAAACCGCGCATTATCAATGTTCAAAGAATAGCATTAGCCTGACCTGGCTCAGCTGAGCTCGCGCTGGATTGCCGATATTTGTTCTGGTCGCGCTCGCTAGAAATCACCGATTTGCTCGGATCAAGGCCGTCGGGAATCATAGCCACTTTTAGGGTCTGAGTTGGAGATGCGCACTCCCCTTTCTCTTCTTGGTATCGGCTAGACGAGGAATATGAATATTTCCTTGTCGCATATTAGCGAAGTCAATAATTTACTGTGTCACTGGATGTGTAGCAAAATAAAAAGAGTATACAACACTGAAGAATCCAGGTGGGGCGTAGATGCGTGGTTCGGGCAAATCCGTGTGGCGCCGCGTGGGAAGAACCACGATTAGATGTACCGATACCGCCTCGTCATTCGCCAGTCCAACTTTATGATTGGATCCTCACTGGGAGCTACGTATAAGCCCCCCAATTGCAGCTGAAGAGACAGCCATCCTTCTATCAAATTACTTTTTGTCTCACTCCTCCCGGTGGTCGTCTTGATAGAGCAGGAGGTCCGCAGTCCGACAGACTTTCATTGCTCACATCATCAAATTACATGCGTTGAGTCCCTTCATAATTGCTAGCTACTACCATGACCTCGAACTCATCCTGCGAGGCAATTCTCTGACAGCTCTCTCTCAATCAAAGGATGCCTTATCGGAATACTAACCTTTGCTTATGCACTCATTACCACGGTATCATACCGTACGCGAGAGCTAGGAAATGGCGATCAGAATATTCTCTACATCAGCAGACAGATAGAAAGAAAACCTCGCCGATTCGAATTTTTTAGTGCACTTGATGCATACTCTGCACCAAATCCACGATAGACACCATGAATTCTGGGGTGGGGCAAATGACTTGGTCAAAGAAGCCCAAAGGTTATTCAACTGGATATTAATGCACCACTATCAGCGACAGCACAATTAAATATAAGTTTTGATGTCCTAATTAAGACCAGTACCTTCCTTCCTACACTACTTAGGCTCCACCTCTCGTAGATCCTCTTCTTCCTTCCTTGCCGCACTTACACAATACTATATACGTATCCTAATGCTTCGTGTTGGTCCTTGCTACTCAGCTCATACGATAAGGTCACTACCGCCGTATGGTGAAGAGTGTTTAGCCCGTAGACAGACTGTACATACTCCAGTCCCTTCCGACTATTTAAGCCCGGATCTGGTTTTGCTGTTTCTTGTTATCGGTGTCGCATGCTGAGAATCTATACTGTCCACCAGAACTTCTCCATCGTCTTCTCTTCTTCCACTCTACATCCCCACACAATACGAGATCGTTCTGTCTGTCTGTTTTCCATTTTATGGGACACGAGCACGTATGTTACAGCGTGTGCTCTTTCTTCCCTCTTCGTCTCCTCTGACCTTCGATTTGGCCTAGGCATGCGCTGAAAGGTATAATTCGGGCACTAGATTCTAGTACTTTGGTATGCTTATTGACGTCCATTCTAGGACTAGTGCCTTCCTCTGACTACTTAAGCTTCACTTTCGTAGACTATCCTTCTTCCTTCCTTGTCGCACTCAATACAGTCCATTCGTACTTAATTTTTCTGCTTCCATTCTCTCTTTCTGCCCTCATTAATGCTGAGCCCGGAGACATCATTGCGAAACCACTATGAGAGCACATCAGTCTTTGTAGATATCAGCGCTTCTTTTTCGCTTAACTTTCTCCCCCCCCCCTCCACATACCATCATAATAATATGAGATATTGTTCTGTCTGATCCATTCCTTCCTTTGCTGCCTACCATGTAGCTAGCAACAGGTGTGTACCGTCATTCCTGTCTCCTCTGATCCCTTCGACCAGCATTACACGCTGGCAACCGCCATATAGTTTCAGACCATACGTCATCATTACTCCTCCACCAATGTAATAAAAGGAAGGAATTTTACTCAGACAGTATTTGGAATTCCCAATCATTCACAAGCAACACTCTCGATCAATATGGATATGATGGAGATCACCGCATTATATTCTCCTTGTCCTGAGGACGTTTATACTACAGCGGGTTGTTTCGGCCTGAAGACGAAGCGCAGCCCCAAATTGGGTGACCTTACTGGTCGCTTTATAGCGACGCAGAAGCCATTTTACAATTGCAAAGACCTTCGTGCTCATGGTGTGGACGCCATTGCTCTTCCTGATATCTGCTCCTTATCTTCTGAAGGGTGTCACTTCAAACCCCTTGATTCACTCGGCTCTATCACTGCAGCCTACCCTTCAATTGATACCCACTACAAAGTCAGGAGACCCGGTCCCTATGCTGCGTTAGACGAGAAGCCCATCATCAGTTGTCTGGAACCTATCCAATATGGGGAACGGACTGGGCTTGCCCCTTTGAAAGTCAACCAGGATAATGGGTATTGGAATGAAATCCAGTATGGCTCATAAGAATAATGTGGTCAACCTTCTAAGAGATACTAATAATTATGTTTCTAGTCCTATAGGCTCCAGTAAATTCTACCTGAACGGAGTGGAAAGTACTAATATAATGAATCTGGTTTTAGATATGAGTTCTCTTTACGAGTGGGCTGGACCAACACCTGAAGATGGGAATCTTAGTCCGCCTCATTTGAAGATATACATGGCGACCGAATGCAATGGGGAAAGTAGCATACTCACTCACTGCGAGATGGGTGTTATTATGAGCGCATTCTATAGCCGAGTCTACGAGCCAGGTTATGAAGGCCACTCAATTTTCCCAGTGAGTTTCCTTTGGAGGGCCCTAGAGGGCATGAAGATTTGACTAAATAATGGCTGCATAGATTCTGATAATCTCAGAGTATTTTTGGCGCCGTGTCCGCATCATCGAAGCAGTATTTGATCAACCTCGTGAGAAGTTCACGGTGAAATTCACCCCGATTTGTTATTTTGGAGGAAGGGATGATAATCTTTGGAATTTGTTCTTGCGTTATGAAGGGAGCAAGCCACAATATTGATAATACGTATTGAATGGGTAGCTTATCATAAATCTACTACATTTGCTCTTCAGTAGGTTGGGGAAGAAAATCCATGCTTGTCGAGTAATAATAATGATTATAACAAAGGTGGTCAGCCAAATTATACATACGTGCAATTGGGACTTTGGGACCGCGTTGACGAATACGGTGTATGGGCACAAATGACTCAGAGAACTTCTTGTCTGTAGGTAGCATGTGTTTGGCGTTGCCGTAGGCGGAGCGGTACTTGTTACAAAGGCTGTGTAGGCATCTTCCGGTTTATAGACGCAACAAGCAAGTTAATGGACGTGCCATAAACTTATAAATGTTAAAATCTTGCAACATATCAAAGGGTGACAGTGCAATGTAATACTGCAGATGGAATCTCGGAATGCTAGAAGAAATCCATATCACTCATAACCTCGGTCAACATACGATCTTGGATACTTATAAATATCTGTGAGGAACCGAGAGAGCGGTACCTTGTAGTAGAAGACCCAAAACCTACAAGCTATTTAGCTCGCGAGCATGCCCGACTTGCGAACTTGCTACTGAATTTACTCTTGCCCTTCACCGCGGTGGGATCCACCGGGTCCACAAAATGGTGATACATGAAGTTTAACTGATGTGTATGGGATAATGTGGTCTGCCTAGATTAAAAAGTACTGTACTGTAATTGTATATGATTAGCGAGATATATTGGCTGGGTATAATCGTATAATTGCAAAGACCTTTCGGCTCTGCCTTTTGGTCTGAACTTCGAAGGGTATCATGCTTCAGTAAGAGTCAGAAAAAAATCCTTCTGACGGAGTAGACTCCTCGGGCGGAATAACGGGAATAACAGGAGCAACAAGTAATGAACGTTTCCAAAGTCCTCTCAAAGTCCCCAGCGACACAATAATCCATAGGACTATGACAATAGCGGAGAATACCTAATGAACTGTAAATTAGCCAATTTTCACGCTTCTGGCAGATTTGTTCGTGCTTACCGTTCCCAGAACACGGAAAAACAACGAAGACATCCCAAGCCCAAGCTCAATCGTGCTTGCAGCAAAAACTCCCAAGGGAAAAGTGAATCCCCACCATCCCATGTTGAACGGAAAAGGCCAGCTATGGTAGATAGAGGCAAGTGCGAAAACAAACCACGTCAGGCCGAAGCTCCAAATAATCAACCCGAGCAGCATACAGAACATGTAGACACCTTCACCAGCAACAGCCATCGCTGGTTCGGAATCAGCCAGTAAAGACCTGGATACTTTACCCAGATACATGATGCTATACAAATTTTTGTCAGTGCTGGGCCTAGTCACAAGAACAGCGCATGCATACCTGTAGGAGCCAAAGCCCAGCGGGCTGAGTGGCAGAAAACAGCTGACAATGACTTCGCGGGATGGCAGTTTATGAACAGCCAGTCTCTGGTAGTAAATGATAAGAATTATACCGGACAGTGGCATTGCCATTCCCCAGAGCACAAAGCTTGCTATAAGTGTAGCCTGGGCTCTTCCATGTGATGAAAGTACTCCTGCCACCTCGGCCCCAACGCCAGAAGCGATGACGGTAGATGCTATGGGAAGTAGCTGAACAGCCGTGACCATTTTCAATGAGTCCAAGTGAGACTTTGACATCCTAATTTGGTGATTAGTAAAATTCACAATTGAGGTTGGGGCAACTTACAGCAAGAATGATAACGAAGTTGTGATAATCACTGCGACAATGGCATCGAGTATCCAGCATACCCAAGCAAGGATACTCGCCCATTCACCCCAAAGGGGCACACATATGAACACCCAGAGTTCGATCAATATAACAAAAGCAATAGGTATGGTACCCAAGAACGGGGCAGTCGCAGGATCTGTCAAAGTAGCCCGCCAAAGCGTTGGCTCAAGGGTATAGCGCAAAATGGTGATAGAAGATATGATGCAAAAGAGAATTGCATCGAGAATAAAGAGAATTATAGATAAATAAAAAAGCCATCTCGCTTTAAACGGGATGAAATAAAAGAGGACCGCCACGATTCCTGTCCCCATGCAGGCTGTAAACCACCTGTACAAGATTAGATTCATGAAGACATGTCGAAGCGTAGAGACAATTGTGTAAACATACGATGGGCTGAAGCCAATGATAATCTCTCTCCATTTTGATCGTCGTTTATCGGGGACTGTCGATGCCACTTCATATGGGATTCCTGGATTGTCGTATGCTGACACCGTTCGTTCGACAAAGCATTCCTCTGCATCCATGTCGACCTCTGCCATTTGGCTATCCCAAGGTTATATTATTAATTATGTTGTTAATCGGATGGACGCTGAAGGTTAAGTTTTTCATTTTCGACTCCACTGGCACGTTTTTCGCCATGATCCAGGAAATTCGGCCCGATAAGGAGTGGATGGTCAGATCTAGATCTTTTCGCTTAATTGGGGGAATTCCGAGGTTTGAATGGATCTCTATATAGACCCAAGTTGTGTAGTAGCCAATCAGCAGGCGCTTGCTTGGTGAGCCCGCTAGCAACCATGGTTCGATGCTCGGAGGCTACCGGTTACAACGGTAAGCCCGGTATCACGGGAATCCACACTTAGGCATCACGTTCCCTCTTTCTACTGTTCAATGAAATTGGATGAAAAGGCAGTAGGCTTGGAACATCTTTAGATAGCTAAGTCTTCCAAAATTGACCGTTAGGTCTAGTCCTTGGCGAGTTTGATATGCATGGAAACGGGCAACAATGCACACCCATTCCCCTCTACATATTGAGCTTATTTTCCTAGCTTCCACCACCAATTGATACTTAGACATCCTGGAGGCCTCTAGTTTCAATCAATGAGAATGTTCAGGTATGTTCTATTGAAAGTCCTGACGCGTTAATTGACATTAGTAATGAAATTCTTTCATTGACCGAGTTAATCTTTGTAACTGGGTGGAGTCACCGATTTTCGACCGATCTTTAACCGAAACAAAAGTGGGTCATGGACGTAGGGAACTTGACCTTCCGAACATCTTCCATTTGGCCGTCTTTTGCTTATGTTAGCCAAACACCATAACTAAGTCGGAAGCTCGACTGAATATGAATCTTCCCATGATCGTCGATGATCACATGGCATTCATGAGTAGAGAGATTAGAGAACATTTGAAGGTCACCTGACCGATGGTCTCTATCGTTAGAGCGAGAGGCTTCTCTTCTCTTCCCTTCTTATCATAATCTCCCTTACTTTCTCTCTCTTGGGGTGTGGTTTTATATCCTGTTCGTTATTTTTCGGTTTATGCGACTGCATATGATGTAGCTGTCTTTATTCTCCTTGGCCAACTAAGGCATTAACGACAGTATTCCCCTCCTACGCTTGCAGCTTTCATCAAGGCTCAGTCGAAGGTCAATTGACCGATGCGATCTAAATGAACTTATTTGCTGATTAATATCCATACAAGTCGCGACTCAATCTGCGTATGTATATCATATTTCGAACTAAAAATGCAACATATCTACGCCTCTGATTGGCCCGAGTCCACGTCATTTGTTGTCGTCGTGTGCAGTGGCATTTCCAATGGGGTCAGCTCGTCACGCAAGGGTAAACACACAACACCCAGTTAAAATGGCGTGCCAGACAAAGATCCGGTGATTTCCAAGCAGCGTTATAGCTTTTGTCTGCGACTTTAAAAGCCTACCATCTTCCACAGTGTCCCACATTCTTGACAGATCCTAAATTAGATAGCGCCCCAAACAAATGCCAGACCAAAGCCGCGAGCAACGCGAACACGCGACCTAACCATGTCCAATAGCGAAAGACGACCATTATTAGAACCCGCTCAACATGACATACTTATCTCCCCGGGTATACCCGTTTTCCCGGACAGTCTTCCAGGTACAACCTATGGAAAGAACATCAGCTGGACCAGCGCTTATATCCTGGTGGTTTCACGGGTGATTGGGAGCGGTATCTTCGCCACTCCTGGATCGATCGTGAAATCTGCGGGTAGTGTTGGCCTGACACTTCTAGTGTGGCTAGTTGGCACTATCCTATCAGCATGTGGCTTGTCAGTGTCGATGGAATATGGCTGCATGCTACCCCGGTCAGGAGGAGATAAGGTATACCTGGAGTATGCTTATCGCCGACCGAAGTTTCTCGCGTCGACTGTGGTCGCGGTGCATGCAGTAGTTTTGGGCTTTACAGCGAGCAACAGCATTATATTCGCCAAGTATACCTTATTTGCGTTGAACATCGAGCCGACCGATCTGCAATACAAGGCTCTGGCGATTGGTCTTTTGACCGCCATTACAGTAATCCATGGCTTCTTTTTCAGAACCGGCATTTTCATCCAAAATGCGCTGGGGTGGGTCAAGATATTTTTGATCGGCGCCATGTCTTTGACAGGTGTTGGGGTGCTGCTTCTGCAGTTCTTGGGTGGTGATGTCAATGCTTCGCCCGGGGCTAAGCGATTCAGTGGTATTTCTTGGGATACCTTGTGGGAGGGATCTAATTGGAGCTGGAGTTTGCTGTCGACGGCGCTTTTCAAGGTCATTTACTCTTATGCCGGACTAAGCAACATCAACAACGTGCTCAATGAGGTACAAGACCCTGTTAGCACACTCAAAACTGTGTGTCCTTCAGCTTTGCTTACAGCTGGTGGTCTCTATTTGTTGGCCAATCTATCCTATCTTCTGGTTATTCCATTGGATGAAATCAAGAACAGTGGAGAGCTGGTTGGTGGACTACTGTTCGAGCGGCTTTTTGGTAACATTGGAAGCACACTCTTTCCACTCGCCATCGCAATTTCAGCTGCAGGCAATGTTCTGGTAGTAACCTTTGCTTTGGTACGTCATATCCATACACCTGACCAAGATTTGCACATCTCTAATGGAAACACAGGCGCGAGTCAACCAAGAAATTGCCCGTCAAGGTTTCTTACCGTGGCAAAAGCTGCTATCGTCTTCGCGTCCCTTTGGCACTCCGCTCGGTGGCCTTATTGTGCACTATGTACCATCTCTATTAGTCATTGCGCTACCACCCCAACAGGATGTCTACAACTTTATCCTTGATGTGGAGGGATACCCCGGTAACATCATGGCCCTCGCCGTTACCATTGGGCTATTGGTACTACGATACAAAGAGCCAAATCTCCCGCGACCCTTCAAGGCATGGCTCCCGGCTGTTTGGCTACGAGTTGTAGTTTGCATTACACTATTGGTGACACCCTTTGTTCCACCTCCAGGCGGGCAAGGAGATGTCCACTTTTTCTATGCAACATATGCCATTGTCGGGATAAGCATGTGAGTGTTCCTCCCTATACTCTGTTTATCCTACTGATATCCGCAGAATCATCTTTGCTATCCTTTATTGGTATGTCTGGACGGTGGTTTTGCCCCGTAGGGGAGGGTATAAGTTGGAAGAGGCTGTGGAGACACTGGATGATGGCACAACAATTACTCGACTTGTTCGCTCATTTCCCTCGCTTTCAAGAGATTAGAGAGTACTCACGGCTTGAACATCCTTAGAAAACAGAAAACAATGCAACTCATGAGTCATCACTTTCTCCATATCCAATAATCCAATCAACAAGATTCAGGCACATAAAGAATTCAAGTTCGACAGCCCTGGAGCTCAGCCCAGCTCAACTCCTCGGATGACTTCTTACCCAGTCAGGTTGCATACCTAAGAGGCCCGTCCTTCGCAGTAACTACAATATCATGACTCAGCCAACCAAATATCGTTGGAGTGCAATTGAAGCGCAAACTTCCTCCCGTGATAACAACTAATGCTGTACCTTTGTCAAGTGCATCATTAGTGGCTTCTTCTCCCAGATATTGAATGATTTCTGGATGTCCCATCCCTCTGAACTCTTGTCCAGTGCCATATCAAAGCTCCAGAAAGCCTTGGCCACAATAACCCGCATTTCAGCATAGGCGAGGCTGTTCAACATTAATTAATTGAAAATATCAAAGATCTAGAATATGCGACAATTACTTTTTTCCAATGCAGTTCCGGGGCCCGAGCGAGAATGCAACAAGAGACGATCTGTTATCCGACTCGAAGCGCTTCTCCCGGTCCTCCAGCCATCGTTCTGGGATGAAAGAATCCGCTTCGGCGAAGTTGGACTCAGCATGGTAGGTCGAGTAGTGCGCTCCGGAGACAGACACCTAGTCGGCTCAGTCAGTCGATGTCAGCTTTAGTGCAATGAGAATACTCACTCCCTCTGGAACATATATCCCATCAATGATCGAGCCTCCCTTTGGCACGACACGCGGTACCACCCCCGGGACGGGCGGATAAACCCGCAGAGCCTCCTCAAGAGCAGCATTCAAGTATGTCAATTGACTCACGCCCATGAAATTAATATCATCATAAGACTTAAAGGTACTCCGAATTTCCTCCACGAGCCTTTTGTACGCAGCCGGGTTCTGGACAAGGTAGTAGCTAACACCCGCGAGTAAGGTGGCAGTCGTTTCACTTCCGGCAACAATCAACAGAGCCGCGTTTGCTTCCATTTCCTTTGCAGTCATCGCCCGATCATCAGTGTGTCGTAAGATATAAGTCATGAAATCCGGTCTTTCAGTCTTAGTCTCCAATCGACGATGAACCTTTTCCGCACTCATGGCGAAGTGTTCATTCCTCATTCTCATGATTCGCTTTGGAAGCAGCATCTTCACAATTGGTGCGATGGAAGGGTATATTTGGAGAGGGCGTAGCAGCGCTCCACCCTTCACGCTTAAAAACACCATCTTCACCCACGGGTGATACTTGCCCTCTTGGAGGCAGTTAAACGGTTCCCCGAATGCAAGGTCTCCGATTATATCGAATGTGGTGAAGTTGTACCAGCGACACATATCGATTGCGCCACTTGTAGCTTCGATCTGTTCATTCAGTCGATCCACCATGAGATCCACGTACGACTGGATGAGAGACTCTTGGTCGCGGAGTGCTTTTTCTGAAAAGGCATGCGAGAGCAATCGTCTTTCTCTCGAGTGATCTGCATCGTCGGCGTTGAGGATGTTGGGTCCTGTTGGACCCCGCACATAGAATTGAGAATCCTTTAGGAATGACCCCGCGCCTGACTTTCGGTGGCCGTAAATATCTTTCCAGGCTTTTGGGCTGCGGTATACAAGGGCATTGGGTCCGACTCGGACCACATCTCCGTATTTATCGTGGAGCTCCTTCATCTTCGTGTGATTTTTGCCTGATGACGTCCAGTAGATGGTTGGGATGTATGTGCATGCTGCCAATTTTGGACCTGGGAATTTTGAAAGAGGGCTCAAGAATAAATTGTACACCACGCTCCAAAGTACATAGGCTAGCACCTGATCATATGTGTTGATTTATTTAGGAAGTTGCCAGGTGAGAGAAAAGGAGATTGGACTTACAGTACCAGCAAAGATCAATACGACAGGATTCAACCCCATGGTTCCAGTTTTACTCATTGATAGCGCAAATAATAATGACCCGAGAGAAAAAAGCAAAGAACCAAGAGCGGGATATGAAGCTTGCATTTATTCCTGCGCGTGTCGCACAGGATACAAGTACAAACACCGGCTCGGCATGGGAATGTCTCATTTAACATCCGTAATGCACATATATGCTTGCACAATTACTCGGCAAAGCTTAAATATAATGACATACTCTTAGGTTGACGAATGAAAATCGAGTTATTTTTGTTCGACTTCGTTCGCGGTATCTTTGTGGGTTACCTTGCATGAAGAGTCTACCCCCCGCTTTCAAACGTAACCATGACCTGAATGGCGAGGATCTACAAACCGGCTCGGACGGCACGGAAGATGAAAACCAATAATAATTCATAACATTCTGGACTGGGGCGAATAACCTTTGCCATGATGATGTGGCACAATGAAGGTCTGGAAGCCGTCAATTGGCATACACTTGTGTTAAGGGAGTTTAAACCATCTCCTTTCAGGTTGATTATAGAAATCCCTGCCATTTCTTCTGTCTGTCAAAACACCACATTACATTTTGTGTTCATTTGTTCACACGCCTCGGTACAAGGCAATCAGATAAGAACAGTGGGCCTTAGAAATGGCGGCGCAGATGGCATTTAAAACTCCCTCGATGCCACTGAATCGCAAACCTTGGAATCATAGCATATAAGAAAAAGCTCCTACATATAACCATTATGGAGATGCAAAGCTGCAATACATCCCATTTACTAATGCAGTAGGTTGCCAGGGTGCATATTTAGGTAGCTCGCATGTAGATTATGTTAATACCGAAGGTTGTGCTAACTAGGGTAAGCAAGCTGTCTCCAAGATTATAAAATAGAATACACAAAGAGTAGTTTCAACATTTTCTCTTTCTTGTTTGTATCAATATTGCTATATACTGCGCGGTGCATTCATTCCTAGCTTTATACCTGTCGTGACTCCTCCAAAATTGTATCACAACAAAATCATGCATCTAGAATTGTGGGGGGCATGAGCTTCAAAATGCAGAGGGGCGGACAGTCCACGTGTCTGCTGTGAAAATGAGTCTCCCCTCTTGTCGGAGTCTCTCTGGATCAAAGTATAGTTTCATCCCTATATTACTACTTGTGACTTTGGACACTCTGAAGATCATGTAGACTCTGTCATCCCTTGTGGGCTCAGCTCCGGGGCTGAGGGCGTATGATTGCATCTGTGAGGTTGATCCCTATTAGCAAAATAACATCATCCGAACAGGGGTAACCTCTGACGCACCCTCGAATATTGACTGTTGCTCATGAAAAACGGAGTTTCGCATGTAGCTGTGGTCGTCTTGACTTCTATATAGTATGTTGGTGTGAAGTTATTTCTTAGTGACTGTGGGAGATGCCCCTGGTCGATGAGGATAGATGTCAAAATCAAATTCGAATCATGATATACTATGTCAGCAGTCTCGGCCCCGTTCCAGGGAGTGAGGTTATGATAATCTGGGTGAACATTGACATGTTTGCGAATGGTGCTTTTCCAGTTGGATCGACTGAAGCCTGGAAGACCAAGTTGCAACAGACGCTCGAAGACCTATTATACTTGTAAGATCTGAAAAAGGGCAGTAATTTTGGGAAATGGTAACGTACATATAATTCACCGGCAGCGCCAATCTTGATATCCCGTTCCAATCGATTGGGTGATGAAATGTTAAGTTCGAATGCCGACGCATTATGCCAGCCACTCGGGTGGTTGTTTGCTGGTGTTTGTAGGATTCCACGGAAGTTTGCAGCCCGTGCTTGGTCAATAACATTTGTGAGCGCTTCAACATAATGTGACTGGCTGGTTGTGGTGCTGACGCTGGGGTGGATATGAAACGCAGAAGATGGAATAAGTTGACGGCGAATAGCTGGCTGCAGGTCATAGACACTGTCTATTGAATGGAAAGTCTGTGAAGATATGTCAAATCCTGTGCTCCTAGGTATTGTGCTTCGACTTTCGTTATTGAGTAGACTTGGGTCTGCATCCTGTGAATCATTTATTGATTCTTCGCCCGGCTCCTCCCTAGACAAAGTATGGGAGCTGATGGAGATCGTGTCAGAATCTGCCTCGACTGAGGACTGTGAATCTGCTTCCCGACCATCCGGATGGGACAATGGTATGATCCCGTCATCATTAAGGACAATTTCAAGGATTTTCTCGTTTGTCGTGAATATGGTGCGAAAGGTTGCTAGGGCCCTTTCATCTAGGATCCCAAGGTAGCTTGACAATACTTTTGGAAGCTCGGTGCGATAACACCTCTCCTGATCAAGAGTGTCCCTGGGAATAAAGATTTTCAGGTCATCGTTTTGAACCTCAATATGGACTAGTCCATTGCCACTCTGAGCAGTTGCTTCAATGTCGCCGTACTGGAGTACAAGGGTCCTTTGAAAACCCTCGCTCTCGTATATGTTGGCTGTCTGCAATTGGCGTAAAACCTCTGACGGGTTGGCTCGCAAACCCATAGCGTCATAATTGGACCCGCATCTTGGGATAAAGTTAGCCATTCATCCTTTTTGAAGAAACAATAAGAAGGAAAGGAAAAAAGAAAAGGAATAGGTAGGGGATTGCCACATACCGGTAGAGGTGCTTTGCTCTTGCTCGGAAGCGACGTGTTGCGCGAGCACATATTTCAGAAGCAGGATTTTGAGCTTCGGTCACTATTTGAACCAACCGAGACATATATCGACCTTCTAACCTTAAGGCCAAAAGAAAGGATTTGAATTTTACTATCTGCTCCAGTGAGAAGCTTAATGTCGGGATCTGATCCCGAAATGCTGTCTCGAATTCAAGTCGATTCAGAATAAAGAAATCGTCACCTGGCCGTGCTAGATGTTGCATTCCGTCTGCGTTTCTCACTGGCAGGAATGCCAATTGGTAGAGCTCTTCCACCTGTGCGTCAGAGAAATGCATTCCGTTCATATGTTGTATGGTATCTTCGATATCCTGGATATTTGCATTGCCAGATAACACCAGATCTTTTAGCTGCTCAATATATGTCTCGGTAGATGGATCCCGCACGTGCAGAATATCCTGGAAAAACCTGGCCAGGTGCCCGTATTCTTTGCTGATGCCGTACTGCCTCCCTATCTTGGGAGCCGCTGCCCATACACACAAGTTTGGAGAAACCCAAAGCTCCTGAGAGGGCAGATAAACGAGCTCTTTGTCGTTGAAAATTGCTCTTTGATTGTAGTCAGCGCATCGCATTTAGAGTGTGCTCCAGAATATAGATTAGCACTCACCGGATGTGACATGCATCCTCGTTCTCCATGGCTCTCTGATCAATTTCCTCGTACATCGCGACGAGAGCTGACAGATTCACGTAGATTTGGGTTACCTCATTTTCCTCCCATTCCAGGTACTCGGAGTTTAGGCCGTCGAAGTGATGGTCACTCAAGACTAAATCTCCAGATTGTGTAAATTCGGGGTTGGTAGATTCAGGAGGTGTGTGTTCGGGGCTGATATATTCGGGGTTTGTATCTTCTGAGTTCACGCCATCGAATTCTACTATCTGGCATTGTGCTTTGTAGAATTCGACTTCTCTGAGATAGGTGGTCAAGTCTGCATCGTCTAGGCAGAGGACATTGGTGAATAATTGCACCACGTGTGGTCGACTCACGAAATCCTCATGCATGCTAAGCGGACGCTTGGTTCGCAGCGAGGGGTGTCCCATCCATAAACAATCTTCAAGTTGTCTCCATTCCGCATAAATCTCACCATTTGAGGGAACCAACACAGAGACAGAATCCTCAAATAGATGCCTTAGAGCTGTTAGTTAAAAGAAAATGTAAGACTCAACTTAACAGGGCATACTTAAGTTCATCTTCAAGGAAGCGCTTCGAGAGTTCATCGTACATCGCAATTGCTCCAGCCACGGCATCCTCTGGGTCAACATTCTCCTCAAGTTTGATGAATATTTTTGAGAAAAACGTCGGTTCTGGCCTCATCCCAACCCCAAACTCGGCGAGAAAATTCCATTTACTAATATTATCAGTTGGCCAGTCATCATCGATGTCAAGAAACCAGTCGAACGAATCACCAAAGCCAGCCCACTCGCATATCTCTTTCATCTTCTTCGAGGGATAGTAGGTGTCGTTCAATAAATTAAGCTCATTATCTGTGCAAGGCACTTCTAAGCTGCGGATCTCTTCTATAGCGCCGGGGGTCATCTCTCGGTTGTATAAAGCTTGGTGATATTTGAAAAGCCCCAAAAGCTTGATAGGGTCAACCTCTACAATTCGACGAAATAGGTCTGACAATTCTCCCGTTCTTGGATTCACGAACCGCGGAACATGTCGAATCAACACGGCCTTTTCAAGCCATTCCATCCAGGACAAACCAAAAACCCGAGTCTCTTGTGGAACAGCATTAATGTACGCTTTATGAATGATGTGAATTGCACAGTTGTCGTCACCATAGTATTCTTCTTCTTGTTGTTGTTCTTCTTCTTCACCATAGTCGTAATTGATGGCTTGTAGATCTAGAGCGAGCTGCACAGTACCGTATTTGCCACTTGTTTGAAAGTACAAATCGTCCACTGTGATTTCCACTCCATACGGAACAAAAACACGGTAGACAGGCAACTCGTGCTGATCCATGAGATAAATGCGATTATTCAAGAGGGCTCCTTCGTCCGATGACCAGAATAGGTAAATGAGGTGTGCAACAGAGTCTTGAAGCGTGACATCACCGGGCCGATTATATCTCCTAAGAATGAGCGATTTCACATATTCCGGACTACATGGAGTCACCCCCAGAAGCCAAAAAAGCTTCTCTCTGGTTTTATCTTCCAGGGCCTCGTAAGCCATGATGTTGATATTTAAGTCATATGGGATGTAAATACCATTGACGTCCTCTGGGAAGTAAACCCTAGAGCTCCCTGTAGAAAGCAGAGTGCCATCTGAGCTTGGGATAAGAAGCATTCGTCTGATTTGCTCGATCTTTTCTGGCTGGGTCTCGATTGCTCCAATAAGTAGTTCTGCTACTTTCTTGTGCCAATCATTGTCCAGCTCAGGGCTGAGAAATCGGGGGCAGACACCTTCCAGATAAGGGGTTAGGAGGCGGAGAATGTTTTCAAGGGAAATCTCTGTAATTCCCAAAATTCCCAGGGACTCCTTGTGCGCCAAACAATTGTATGATGGGGAGAGATAGATTTCACGATTCATGTCGTCAAATAGAGGTTGTCCATTTTTATCACAGTGTCGGGAAGTTAAGTATTGCAAGCCGAGGGGAGAGACCAACGTTCCTTTACGCGTAAAAAAAAGTTTCGATTCACGTAATGCCGAGAATATCATATCGCGACAAAGTCTCCAGAAAGGATCGTGGATTGGTCCTTGTGGAAGGTATTTAATCCAATCATATCGCAAAGTCTCTGTCTTGGAGAATTTCTCGACGGCCGCAACGAACAAGAGGCAGATTCTGTCTCGAATGGCTTTATTTCTGTCACAGTGATGAACACCCTGGCGACTAGCTTGGGTGATAAAGTCTGATTGAATGAGAAACTGGTCATATTGTTATGAGGGCTTATTATCAACGATATTGGAAAGCTTACATTAAACCCTTCATAGCGCATGGGCAAAAATGAGTAAACAAATTGCGGCTCCAAAATAGGTTTCAGCGAAGAATCCACGGGAAAAGCAAGAGTAGCCTCTGCAGTTGACTGATGCGGTCGACTTGGATGTTCTGGGAGGCCACTTATTATATTTCTCTGGGTGATAAAACGATCAGTCTCATGTCTGCCATTTGATATCTTGGTCAGAGTGACCATTTGATTCTGGATAGTGCGTTTGAACTCAAGGCAAAGCGAAGATCCTCGAGGGGGGGCAAATGTCCACTCTTATCATTTGTAGTCTCCGGAGGAATAGCAAGATAGTCTTCGGAATCTCCTTCAACTCTTGAGCCCGTGCACCAAAGTCTTTAGTGCTGGTAAGGAATAACGTCATACGGGTCGTGACCATCATCGGGAGATTTTCGCGTGGCACGTTGGATGGAGTAACCATTCCCAGGCCGGAGTCTCCTTCTTTGTGCTCCAACGAAAAACAAAATGGACCTGATTGCACGTGAACTTTGTGCGCAACTTTGAAGACTGATTTGAAACCAATTCCTTTGTGACCGACATAGCCACCTGCTTGGCGCTTGGTGCTCTGGTGGATGCTGCAAATGGCTCGGAGGTCTTGCTCAGTGAAGCCATCCTCATTCGATTCCACCAAGATCCTGTCGTGGAACAACCTGAAGTGGAGAAACTTTACTTGTTTTCGATGATTTGCGGTATTGTACTCGTTGTCGTCTGCGTTTTGAATCAGTTCAAACATGAACCGAGCATCGGCATCGTATAGATCCTTTGCTACATGAATGATCCCGTTGCCCGCTAGCACCTGAAGGTTTATGTAGGATCGTTTTCCTTTCTCACTCATTCTCGCCCAATCCTCTTCTGATAACCCCCCGTTGAGCACTCGGATGTCATCCATGATTGCCCTTGCCGCATGCGGGGAGATCTCATTCCCTCGGAGCTGCGTCTTATTCTGAGGAGACATCTCGTCCCATATGTTGTCGTTGAACTTGGAGAAGAAAAATGAGTGTTAGTGATGGATACAGTCATAATATCGGCCATGCTAAGATCCTGATCATAGGCGCCCGTGGGTTTGGAGCTAACGCGGCCCTAGATTAGCAACGGTTTCGTCTAAAATAAGAATATTTGGCGTTTCACGTATTTTAAACTACGAGTTCCATAGGTCTACATAGGTAGGAAGCAGTCATGAATTTATGGGGTAGAAATTCAGGTGTCAGACTCTTGTTGGACTTCGCCGACTTTAGGTGAAATATGGTTACTGGAAGTTTCTCGGTCAAATTGAATATATTCCACTGAACACCTGACTGCAATCAAATGTTGAAACTTCGACTGCTTGATGGCATTTCAAGGTTCCATCAAGCATTGTTTTGCAAGCAAACTCATCTTGAAATTCTTGTCTGCAGGACAATTAGCAGACCTTTGTCAGCTATCTGGGCGTCAAGTTCACGGCTATACATAGCGCAATGTCTGTGCGGGGAAGCCGGGGAAGGATTTTGGAGGCGTCAATGATTGGCTTGAGAATTAGCTTTGCGGACCAAATCATTATTCCTGTTTATTCTGCAAATCTATATCGATATCAATTGTACACAACACGCCTGTATAACAGAGTCGGAGTGAACCGCAATTATGGATTAGTTCGTTTCCTTGGCGCGTAATTGGTCATCAAGGAATTATTCCGTCTCAACATCAGATGTAATGTGTCCATTCGGCAACTAGCCAATTGGTATCTTTTACTCTTAATCCCACATATCCTTCGGGCTCTCACGTCTTTCATTCTTGAAGCCCACGTCATTCAACCCAATCCTCGAGAAGTTCCACTGATCAAGTGGATCGAATACCCCGCCACCATGAGCTCCCAACCAACATATACCGAGGCACAGCTCGAAGCATACCTAAAGCGTATAGGGTACCCAGACACAAAAGGCACAGTCTTAGAAGAAGTGCGCGAAAAAATTAAAGCAGATTCCCTCGCGACATTATCCGATCTGCAGAGGCGGCATCTCTGTGCCATTCCGTGGGGCAATTCTGGATTGCACTATTCGCAGCACCATACAATTTCTTTGCACCCAGAAACTTTGTTTGAGAAAATTGTTGAGCGCAGGCTTGATGGTTACTGCATGGAGAACTCGGGTGTGTTCTTCGTCGTCTTGCGGTCCTTGGGGTTCCATGTATACGCTACTGGGGGGAGAGTGAGCCGCGCTGCTGCGACGGGGGTGGATGATGGGCGGTACATGTCATTGTGTGCAATCCTTGTCTCTGGGGTTATATAATCTTGCTAATGCTACTGTTCAGTGGACATATGATCTTGATAGTGGTCATCAACGGAGAGAAATATATGGTGAGCGACTCTGGCGCTTCGATAGGATTCTCTTGCATGTGTCATCGGGGCTGATCTTTCTAGGTGGATGTTGGATTTGGGAATAACTGTGCGACTGCACCTCTACCTCTCCGGGAAGGTGCAACAGCTACACATATCGGGACTTCTGAAATGCGTCTTATCAGAGACAGTCTTGTTGAATTCATCGACAAAGAGCAAAAAGTTTGGATCTACCAGACCAGATACAACCCTACCAGCGTTTGGGTTCCCAACATCTGCTTTTCAGACGTCGAGTTCCTCCCCCAGGATTTCGCAATGATCAATTTCTCCGTCAGTCAGAAACGAACTAGCTGGTTTGGTCAGGTATTCGTCTGCATGCGGATGATTATGGACCAAAGCGAGGCACAGATTATTGGGCAATACGTCATGTCTGGCAAGGAAGTTAAAAAACGAGTCCTTGGGCAGACAGAAATCCTGCAGGTCCTCCATAATGAAGAGGACCGTGTCAAAGCGCTCGCCAAGTACTTTGGTATGTCTCTGCGCCAGAGCGAAATCCAAGGCATCCAGGGCTTGACTTCGGAGATCAGATAGACCGCAGGTATTATCGAAGAGTGAAAGAAATGGGCTTCAATTGTATGGTACAGCATCGTTTTCTAGAAAAAATGCGGTGGATATGTATGATCGAGAAACAAAAGCGCGGAGGCATAACAAGGAAAAGACGTTGCAATTTTCGGGAATCTAGTAAATCCGCTTCTCGATCTATGGGAATGTGTTAGTATGCTATCGAAGCGAAACCCTCCACAAAGGAAATTGGTTGTTCATACCTTCCACGGGTTGCTGAGCTCGAATCCCTTGGGCGCAATGTGATTGCTGGACTGTCCTCTCAATGTACCGGTAATGCGGAGGTCCCGCTCCATCACTATTCGGAGTACTTGGTAAGCATCGGCCAATTACGCAAGCATTGGTCGTATCGGTCTGTGCAATTGAGTACAACTTACTTTGCTGTAAAAGAGTTAGCGGACGCATTCTGTGAGTTCCGACCGCAGCCGACGCGCGAAGTGAGGACTTGACTTACCCGATCCCAGAGGTCAGAGTTCCAGCGAGGCTTCTTGCCTTCGTTGATGAAGCGCTTGGAGACGTACAGACCAGCACCGGTCACACCGAACATCTGTGGTGGTGGTCAGTTCTAGCTCCGGCAGGACTGACGAATGATACGCACGGTAATGACAATCCCGTAAGGGAGCAAAGCCTCAAAGGGAACACCCATGATTATGATGCTCGAATAACAAGCCTAGAAGACAAGAGTAGTATGATAAGCAGGCAATGGGCTATCTGAGGGCCACAAAGGGAATTGGTGGAGTGAACGAGGGAGTGTGGAGGGTGTGACTTTAGATTCGTGAATGGGAGGAGGTCTGCGCAGCCCGATGTGGTTTAGCGCCACCTGACTCAGCCCGCCTGCGACGACAACTCCAAAGGGCCAAGGGGCAGCGCATCGCATTTGATTGCAAGAGGGATCGTCTCCTAGCGCTTAGATTGCCTATCGACGCGTCTTGGATTCGTCTACTACGAACATACCAGCTATATTTGCCCTGGAAGTGAGTCGCCTCTATCCCGCGACACGTGTTTAGGAAGTGGCACCTTACTAACACCTTGGACCTCTTCCAGCTACATTGCGACTTCAACAAAGCAGCCTCGGCGGAAAAGCGCAAATTCCATACTGCAGGTACTGGCTTTGAAACTTGAGCTTTCAACGGACTCGCCTGGGCTCCCGATGCACCCCCGATTCGCCACCAACGTGAGCGGGGTGGGTCTTCAGCTTGAATCGGCTGGCCCTTGAACAAAGACAGTTGTGACACTTCGGCGCGCATTACCTGTGGTGACATACCTGTCGACCTGGCCTCTGCGGTAACCTTCACCATGGCGGCGACCGTGCCGCCCGCGAACGAGGATCCCGGTCGGCCTGACCTGCCCGCTGACCAGGTTGACAGTGATCTCGATGCGGAGGGAGAAGAGGAGACCGATCTTTATGGGATGGATCAACAGCTTCAAGATGCTGTACACAGAGCATTCTCCAGAGAGGGGGAGGCAGACAACGGAGACGGCGAGGCAGATGCCGCGGCTGCCCGTGTGAGGAGCCAACAAAACGGTGGCGACGATGAGACAGAACCCGTCGGTGCAGTCAAATTACCAGACGACGAATCATCTGGGGATGATGATGACGCTGATGGAGAGTCCGAAAATGCCGACGGCGAGGGTGATCCCGCATTTGAGGATGAGAATGACCGAGAGGCATCCGAATCAAGCGACTCTGAATCAGAGGCAGAGGACTGGGAGGCTGAAAGCAATGGACACGAGGATGGAGATGCTGAAATCCGCAGCCGAACGGATTGCATGTGAGTAATGACTCGTTCAAATTCACGAAAATAGTTTTGCTAATCCCATATTTACATCAGTTTCTGTGGCCAGGATGAGGAACATGATCCAGGCGAGGACTTTGAAGAATGGCTCACTTGTGTGGTCTGTGGCGACCACTGTAGGTTTAATCTTTGGAGACAAGACTGTACGTTGGACCCGTGCTGACTTGAATAGCTCACCGACAATGCGCGCGAGAACAAGAAGCTTTCAATGATACCGAGGGTGAGTTGCGGTCATAGCTTTGAGGACGTCAAAGTAACTAACTTTGGTAGATCTTTGGAAATGCCCCTCTTGTGTTCAAAATAAACTAGAGCCTGACCCGGTCGAAAGTCCCTCTCAAGTGAAATCCGGGCAGTCACACCTGCCTAAAGAGCTTCTTCCTGCGCATGTGGGGAAGGAAGGATCTGATTTCCATTCGATATTTGACACCGGAATCAGCGATGAGGTGTTGAACAGTTCCCGCGCACTACGGAAACGAAAAGCATCATCAGTGGAAGCAGAGGAACACACCCCTGTGCTTCGAAAGCGACGGCGTCAAACAGATCACTCCGATTCCAATGATCTTCCTGCTGAAGGAGAGATGCCTGAGGACCCATCCCAGCCACGCCCTTTGCGGGCGCGCCGGACACGTGGAGTTGAACGAGAACACGCGCGTGTTGTGACTAAACAATATGGCAAACTCATCATGGCATTCCGATTGGATGAAGGGAGAGTGAATCGAATACTGAACACCCAGAGTCAACCGCAACGCAAGAAGAAGAAAGCACCAAAACCCCCACCCGTACATCATGAACCTCAAGCCCATTTCGCCCCTATTCCTCCTGCCCCATACAACCATTTTACCCCTTTCCACGACCGCGACAGTGATGACTCAAAATCCAAGCCGTACGGCGGTATCTTATCCGAAGTTGACGCAGACACATCGAAGACACTTCCTACACAGCTGGACCGTGACAAATTTGAATCGGCTCGACAGAAGGCCGAGGATGAATGGCAACGCAGAGTACGAGAAGCGGAGCTCAATGGTGAAGTCACTACAACCTCAAAGGTGTCAGGTCCGCCCTCCAAGATTAAGTACATCAACTTTGGCGGTTATGAGATTGAAACCTGGTATGCTGCTCCGTACCCAGAAGAGTACAGTCGCAACCGTGTGCTCTACATTTGCGAGTTTTGCCTCAAATACATGAACTCGGACTATGTGGCTTGGCGACATAAGCTTAAATGCCCTGCCAAGCATGCACCTGGTGACGAAATTTATCGTGATGGCTCGATCTCAATCTTCGAGGTAGATGGCAGGAAGAATCCGGTCTATTGCCAGAATTTGTGTCTTCTAGCCAAGCTTTTCCTCGGATCTAAGACCCTTTACTACGATGTTGAACCGTTTTTGTTTTATGTCATGAGCGAGTACGATGACCTTGGTTGCCATTTTGTGGGTTATTTCAGCAAGGAGAAGAGGCCAAGCTCGGCGAACAACGTATCGTGCATTCTCACCCTCCCTATTCACCAACGCAAAGGTTACGGCAATCTCCTCATCGATTTCTCATACCTCTTGACACGCATTGAGGGCAAAAATGGGTCGCCTGAGAAGCCCTTGTCCGATATGGGTCTAGTTTCTTACCGCAATTACTGGCGTCTGATTTTGTCATACCAGCTGCGTGACTTGAAAACACCTGTTAGCATCGCAGATCTTTCCGACCGGACTGGAATGACAGCAGACGATATTGTGTCCGCCCTTGAGGGGCTTCGAGCTCTAGTTCGGGACCCTATCACAAAAACCTACGCCTTCCGTCTGGACAACAAGTACTTCGAGGAGGTCATCCAGAAGTGGGAAAGTAAGGGCTACGTCACACTGAACCCTGATGCATTGCTGTGGACTCCGTATATTATGGGTCGCAACAATCAGTCTCAGTTTGATCGCGCCCCAATGCATGCTGTTGCGCCTCGTGAGGATCTTGATGAGGAAGATGAAGATGCCGAGATGAAGGATGTGGAGGATAGAGATCAGGTACCGGCCATGAATGGTCATGCTGATGGTCTTGGGGAACCTGCCGGGCCACCATCCACCTCTCTTCAGCAACCGAATGGAGTTCATCCTCCCGACAACTCGGCCACGCCAGTTCCTCCCCCTGCCGCCGGCATTCCTCCTTCTCGATTTGAGCTCTGGCCTCCGGTCCATATTCCTCCCACCGGTCGGCGCAAACCCGGTCGCCCGATGGGCAGTAGGCTTAGTAACGCTCGAGCATCAATGACACCAACAACGGTGCGCACAAGTGGTCGCAACACCCCGCGGAGGCCATCTGGACTCCCGGCAGTCACATCATCCATCAGTCGTCGCGGGCGAAGTAAGTTGACTGGTTCTCCGGCTGCGGAGGACAACCCTCCTCAATTGAATGGTATCGATGCGGACGCAGATGTGGATGGCGATGGAGAGCCGGACGACGCCGTTGAAGAGCCGGTGGAAGATGAGTTAGTGGTTGACGCAGTTTCTGACGAGCTTGTCGACGAGTCACCCGAGGTGGATGACAGTGCCGAGCCAGCCAATGGTGATGAATCACCCAACGAAGTCATCAAAACAAATGGCGTCGATCATGAGTCTTCAGCTGGGGCCGAGGCCGAAACCAAGTTTGATTCTGATTCTAGGCTCGAGTCCGAGCCTGTACCCGAGCCCGAAGCTCCGAAGACACCAGAGAAGAAATCCAAATCCAAGTCACGATCTCCAGAGACGGCAACTTCTCACCGCTCTAGGCGGAAGCAGCCGGACAATCCTCCTAAGACTCCCACCTCGGTCGGCCGCAAAGCCTTGGTCGAAAAAATCCAGGTCGTGGTCCCTGAGCCTAGTTCCGTTCGAAGCAGTGCCAAGAAAAGTGCTCCCCTTACGAATGGCATGAGCCCTGATATTGATGCCGAAGGCGAGGATGATCCCGATGCGGACGGGGAGTACGAGGTGGATGGCGACATGGTAATGGAAACATGAACAGTGCCAGGCAATGGGATCTGGGCCGCAAAGAGCTATTCACGCATATAGGACCAGGCGTTTCTTTTTTTTTTTTTTTTTCTACTCCCTTTTTCTCCTCCCCTTTTCGTTGGTTTTCCAATTCTAATAGCACTGTTTTTTCCTATGGACCGTTTGTTTCTATTTTTCTCGTGCCCAACAGAGACTTATGTCGGGATATAGGGGCTCTCGATCTATCACGCAGCATAAGGGCTCGCTCACTTTGTACTTTTTATTCTGTCCAGCAAGGAGCGTGGGTTGCGGAGCCAGGAGTTGGGTGTTTTGGTTATCTTCATTTATTAATTCATCTTCCCGATGTCTTTTCATTCCAAGTAGCCAAGCGCATGTCGGGAGCATGTAATGTAGTTATACCAATTCACGTCATAACTGATCTATTTGAAATTACTCTTGTGTCTCAACCATTCTATTTGGATCCTTGCCTTTATCCGTACTAGCTTACTTAGACAAGTACTTTCGGGCAAAGTCCGACCACCCATACATTTGGCTATGTAGTCATTGTAAAGTGCAAGGACCCCTTCTGGTAAGCAAAGCAGAAACCAGAATATGATATCGCTCGAGCCACCGATAGACATAATTCATCATAAAATTCCCATCGCGCTCAAACCCCAACCATGTTTGTTTCCAACGGAGCCCGGCACATAGAAATTACTTAACGCACCAACCCTCAACGCGGGGCAAGCGGGGGGCAAGAAAGCGATATCAAAAATACGGTGTGATATGTCTAATCAAGGGAGAATTTTATCCGTGAGAGTAATCACCCTCAAAATGAAACACGAATATGACGTGCGAGTTAAAAGGTGAGTACATAGCCTGAACGGGGCACACAAGCGTTGTTGGAACCGGGGGTGGGACCTTGGTTTCCGGAATGATTATATCATCTTTAAATTCATGGACGCAACAGAATTTAGAATTGGATGTTTGTAAAGGATAAGAATTAAAATAGGCACTACCCCTGTAGAAGATTAGAGATCTACACGATCGGCAGTACCCAGGGGCGGGTGCTAGGCGGTGTTCCATGGATCCTAAACACCAAGGAACAAGGCATTTAAGCATAATCGCGTAGCGTTCCAGAGTGCCGTAGTTCCTGGGTCGCTGCCGCTGTCATACTGCCACATTCCAAGGTTATACTAGACCCTAGGGTATATAGCGTCCAGTCCTGGAGAATAAAGGAGGATCCCTAATGAAAGAGGATCCCATTCATGAAACCATCGATGCTCATTGATCAGTCAAGTTAATCCGGCCCCATTAAATTTCCGGGCCACTTCATCGTGCAGGGTTGAGTTGTTCATTCCCCACGTAGTCTAGTCACCGTTTAGTTGACTTGCCTTTCCGTCATTTTTGTGGGATTGAACTGCTGCTTTTCCTTTCTCTTTTGTTTCCTCTTTTATTTGCTCTTTCTATATCCGACTGTCATCCGAGTCGCAAGCTTCGGTCTATTCTCCCATGTACCCTTTTTTTTTTTACCCCTCTTAATCGGGCCATGGTATTCACGGGATGCAACCGAGTCACGTCTTAAACAGGGCCATGTGTCCATCCAGGAAGATGATTCGGATAGGCGCAGATGTGGAATCAAATCTCAGCTGAGGAGGCTAGCCTCAGCCTCCTGCACATGCTCATCCGGCGCGATTTTTTGCGTCTTCTTTTCTTCTTCCCCCCCCTTTTCAAAACTAGTTTTCCGCATCTAGTTTTTGTGTGTGTGTGTGTGTGTGTGTGTGTGTGTGTGTGTTTTTTTGCCAGGGGGGTTTTTTTCTTCCTCCTCTCCCTGGATAGCCGTCTCCACTGCTTGTCATCCCGTGGACCTCAAGCCCCGCTTACCTGATGAGAATGAGAATGCTCTGGGTTTTTTTCAATCCGATCATCCCCCAAATTTGATGGTCCTCCTTGCATGAGATCGCCGCGGTGCTACCGGCATATCTGCGGAGATAGATGGAATCGATTCTCAAGAACAAGTGGCCCGCTTGTCATATCCATCTGCACATGCACTCCAAGTCTGTGCGTTGGCTATGCCCCTCAACCCCAACAGCCACACCCGGACCAAAAAATGATGATGCTCTGCACCCATCACGGGCGCACTAATCGAAAAAGGAAAAAAAAAGTCTGCATATCTCCCCAACGCGCTGCAGCAATCAATGCACCGTTGACGCAGGCTAAGCCTAGGGAGAAGGTCTTAATCTCTCCCTGCTCATACTCAGCCGCAGCGGATAAAGCAATGGCAGATGTGGCGCAAAGACAGCATCCTATAGTCCGAGTAAAGCCGGGTTGAAGAACGCACTGATCTGCAAACCATTAGGGCTCCACCTTGACGGTGTGTGACGATGATTCGTCTCGAAGCAGCTGCAGGATGCCCGATCGCGTGAGTCCCCGGTCCAGACAATGTTCGCACACAATGTCGGGCTCTTGGCTTGATCAAGGCATCTCCGGCTACCTAACACCAAGGCATCAGCGTCCCCACTGGTTGGTACAAACTCCCCATAGAGTAGGGTGCAGGTCGCGAATCCTGCATGACCGGATGTGACGCATCGACTTCCCAACTGTGCAAAGCTGAGTTCATATCCACCCCTTTCATCTTTTCTTTTCTTTTCTTTTCTATTCGTCTTTTTTTTTTCTTTCCTTTTACTTTTTCTTCTTTTAAATCTCTCGACGCGCATCGCTGGTCGCGTTCATCGAGAGATTCACTCCGTTTTGTTTTTTTTTTTCTTCCCTCTATCTCATCATGACCGGTATGCGAGGGGGTGCCTGATGTCGACCTAACGTGTTCGGCCACGTTCTTCGTTCTTTGCGATTTGCGACTGCTTGATGCTGCACGAGCTTGACGACATCATATTTCCCAATACAGATCGCCGTATCCATCACGGATGGTTTCTGACGAACCAGCAAATACACGAGTCGAATTGCGTGCCTTAGGGAATCGTGGGAGGGAGCCGGGAACAAGCTTCCAAGGAGTCACATTGAACACAACGTCTCAACGAGGAAGAGAAGCCAAATAGGCCACAATTATCTGCGCAATATTAGCAGACAACAGGTACGAGAAGTGTGTTGTGAAGTGTGAGCTGTTGTGGATCTGGATGGCCCCTGGAACAGGAGCTCCTCGGGAAGGACCCAGAATCTGGATGACATAAGAAGTCAGGCGGCCAGAGGGCATGACCAGCTTATTTGGGGGGCAATTATTTTCTTTGAGCTATCGAAACTCTGCTTTTTTGTTAAACCTTCGCTAACGCCTCAAAAGTTAACTAGTTCAGATTTGGGTGGAGACAATAATCCCGATCTTTGCGTCTGGAGAGATCAACGATTCCTGTGACCAGACCAGGGCCATGCGGGCTTGGATCTTGCATATCCGGGAACCCACCGTGACTGGAATGCTTAGACGCCGGACCAGGGACCGAGTCCACTTTGGCGTTTAGACTGAACTTCTGTGGTCCACGACGCGAGCCGGGTCCTGATCACCTGCATAGCCGGCGCCATCGAGCCGTTACGTTTTACAAGTGGATTCTAGCTCGAAAAAAAAGGAACCACTTAGAATACAGAAAGGATCCGAGGACAAATCAGGCTCCAATCATCGCCACCAGAGAAAGACAAAAAAAATCAAAAGAAACTATATGTTATATGATTTTTTTTTTCTTCTCCCTTCTTTCTTCAACTACCGAGCTACTGGATGTGCGCATCATTGTTCCTGTGTGATCGTCACCAGGCATCATTTAGCCCCAACCGTGGTTACTCTTCAGCTGAACCCCAATTCCCCTACCACTTTTACCGCTGCTCTTAACCGTCTCGGGTTTAACTTGATTTTTACGGCGTAACGGTCTGGAAAAAAAAAAAAACCAAACCTTGACTCCACACCTCAGCTATACAGTGCCGGCCGAAAAAAGAACAACTGAAAGAGGAAACCAAAAAGAGAAAACCAAAAAGGAAAAATTGCGAAGAATCGCATGCATCTGATTGGATCCAACCCCAACTGAATTTTTTTTCCGTCCGTGCGGAACCTCAGAAAGTGGACGATTGACAAGTTGATTGGCTGCTGGCACGCAATTCAATACCCAATTGAAATTTGCCTCTGAATCCGGTCGGAGAGAACAGAGACGCAACTGCAACTTAGAAGATACCACTTCTAAAAAGCAAAGACAAGAAACAAAGTACTCTAATCCATCGCGGACCCTAAAACGTCATCACTACCGTTTTCAGTCACGACAGGCCAGTACTAAACTCGATCCATGGGAAAACGTTGCTCTTACCGTGAATCCCGCACCGTTCCAAGTCCTCAATCCCCCCACTACAGCTTGTTCTTCTCTCCCACACCCCAAATTCCAACGACATCGTGACTCGTTGAGTGTGGTTTTCTAAAGACTGGATCCATTTTCTTTCTTTCCCTTCCACATCTTCCTGTCTTTACTGTCTGTGTTCCTCGGAAACGCAGTGTACACCTTACCCAAAAACCGCCCGTGGTTCACTGACCAAAATTCTTGACCCTCTGTGCGCTATACCCGGGTCCTGGTTCCACCCGTCGTCTTGATGAGTGCATCGACGTTCTCCGACGCCTCTCTTTCGCGCGAAGCCCAGAGGTTCGTAGACCTTTAAGCTCCTCTTTGACTCATATTTATCAATTTGATTGTTGTATTACACCTGTGCTTGTTCTCTGCGCTATCATCCATTGTCCGGGTCCAAGACTTTTCCCACTGACTATGTTGACCAACACCAGTTCTGACTTTGACCTGACCATACGCCAGCAGCCCGACCGGGCGCGCGTGGCTGGGGGCAAGGAAAAGGAGCGCAAACCTATCGATCCACCCCCGATCGTCCAGCTCCGGGTACGCGAGGAAGGTTCTTATCTAGCACAGTGAGCCAAACCCTCTTTTTTCGAAACCCCTCGGTTGAGGCGGAGAGGAGAGCGAGCCTGCTAACCCCACCCGCAACCAGACACTATCTGCAAAGCCCCTACTATTTTATGTGCTGCAGCTTGTACGATGCCTCAGATGATCGTCCAGTGCCGGTCGCTCCGTCGACAGCATTAGCAGGAACTCTAGTCTCGTCTCTTCACCGGTTGAAGGACGTTGACAACAGTGGTAAGGGCCCGCTTGATTGTGGGGTAACGCATTGACCCTGGAGCTGACCAGCTGTGCAGATGGAGGATTCTTTGTTTTTGGAGATCTGTCCGTTAAGATTGAGGGCGAATTTCGATTGAAATTCACCCTGTTTGAGATGCGAAGGTGAGTCGCGTGCGCGATCGCGGGAAGTCGGGCGGAGCACTGACGAGTTTCGGAATCCAGAGATCAAGTCACCTACCTGAAGACCATTATTTCAGAACGTTTCACAGGTGAGTTCGATCAAAGAGCAGGAACAATTGCCTTGGGTCGCGCTAATGTGAGGCAGTGTCACCCCCCAAGAGCTTCCCAGGCATGATGGAGTCCACCTTTCTCTCGCGCTCTTTTGCCGACCAAGGAGTTAAGTTGCGTATTCGCAAAGAGCCGCGGACCATGATGTAAGTGATCATTGCAAAGAGGTCCAAGAACCTAATTGCTAACAGCTAGCGAAGGAAACGTCCTCGACCGGACGAGTTTCCGCAAGCCCTTCCTCCTCGGTCTCCTGACCGCCAGGCAGTCCAAATCCCTCCTGCGGCGGGCTTTGCGGGCTATCCAGCGACCAGTCGGGAATACGCTTATTATGGAGCACCGGTCAAGCGCACGCGGACCTCCATCGACTATGGTCGCCAGAGTCTCTACCCGGACACGGACGCTCGCATGGCTCGTCCAATGGAGACATACGCTCAACCAGCTGCCATGTACGGACAGCCGAATGCGTATCAGACTCCGACAATGCAGTACTCAACGGGCCAGGTGGTGCCGGATTACGGGGTTCGTGTTTCCCCGGAGGACAAATGGCCTGGTCCATGGCAGCAGAACCTCTACTAACATTCTGTTCTGTGCAGATGTCTTACGGTCTCCCACCGTCAGGTCCCATGTCCCAGATGCCAGACCCATCAGGCCAAGCCCGATCCAGCCAACAAGCCGCGGTGGGACAGCTGATGGCGATGAACCAACCTGGTACTCCTGTACGGCACCCCTCTGCGAACCAGTGAGTTTGGATTTTGGGAGGACCCTGCTAAGGATTTTCTTTTGTTTTCGCACGCGACACAGACCCCGGACTCGACAGGAGCGATGATGGCCCAGGGATACCCTCGGGCTACATACTCGACCGGTTCTACTATTCTCCCTCCGTTACAGCGCAATCGCAGTTATCCGGCAGGCACCAATGGGACTGGCACCCCTCGAGCCTATTTCGATCCGCCATCTCCATCGGCCACCCCGATTTTGCCATCTCAGATGGCTCCCGAAGGTGACCGATACGGCACTGCCTTTGACCCCTCCGGATCTCCGAATGGAACTCCTCAGTGATGAGGATTCCAGATTTACCCTTCTATTCGCTCGTTTGATAAACGTTGTGAGCCTGGTCGTTTGGACCTCGACGGTCCTATTTGGCTCTACTTATTGTTTCAATTAAAATTTCCTGTCTGTCTGGATAGACTGGGGTGTTAGATATCACGTTTATGGTTATGTCTCTGGGTGGCTTTGGGTCTTTTTTGTTTTACAGTTTCCAGGCGCAATTGGTGGGTAGAAAAGGGTGGAGGGAGGTCTTTTGTCTTGGTTTGTTTCTTCGTTGTCTTCTTCTTGTTCTCGAAAAGAAAAAGAAAAAGTCTGTTTCTTATTTCTTCATGTACATATTGGACCCTATTAGCAGTCCATTACTGTTTTTTTTTTTTAATTCGTGGCTTATGCAACTTGCTTGCCCTTTGAATTCCTTCCTTTTCTTCACTTGTGCCTTGTTTACCTTTTTTTCTGAACCTCTTTCCTTTCCCTCTCCACGTCATCTAACCCCATCACCATGGATTCCTCCGAGAGTCCCTTTAGCGATCTGGACGTTTTTGCAGACTGGTCCGGTGATCCTGCAGATCATGTGGAAGTCAAGTTTGTTGTGGAGGTGAGATCTCAACCCTAACCGCTCCTGCGGGTACTATGGATGGTAACTGTAGATGGTACCGCTCACACAACATCAGATCCATTGCAGACCTTTCCTTGACAAAGCCGTCTTAAACACTCGTCTACCAAAGGAATTTATCGTGGACTCCTCTCTCAAACTCGCTCCGCTGAAGGAAACCCTCACCCAGCTCCATGACAACGAATCGGTCGAACGCAACTCCCAGACACCCGAAAGCCAAATCGTGAACACAGACGCAGGGAAGTTTCCAATTCATCTGGACTATTTGTCGGAGCAAGGTACCGTCCTGCTCGACAGCCCAAACGATGCCTTCCAAGGCGCTACTATCGTGAACAACGTCTACACTGATCCTCAGGAAAACCACCCTCTTGGAAATATTCGTCATTCTCGGAAGAGAAGTGCTAAGACTGCGTCATTGCCTGACTCTATCTCTGACTCTGAGCGGCCAATTGGTGGACTCAGGCACAAGAGCAGCTTGTCTGTTCATGTGTCTGGCGCAACGTCGAATAATTCTCTGAAGTTGAATCGTCGGAGTCTTATTCCGCGTCCTGTCGGTCTTTTTTCCCACTCCCATCAGGCGAGTGCGCCTGGGAGAATCCTAATGTTGAACTCGACCTCTGGATCTGAGTCTGGTTCTGGATATCTGCTGCGAAAGAAATTCGCAGCCATGAAAAAGTCCAATGAAAGTGTCGATGACAATATGAATATGACTCCAAATATGGATACACCACCAATCTATGGAGATGATGGATTCATGCTGCCCAGCCCGCTGACAGCCATAGACCACAATTCGAGTATCGCGGAAAGTGGCCCCACACACGTTTTCGAAGGCAAGGATGCAACAAAATATTACTCGGAGACCCTTTCCAATGCGGTATCATGCGAGACTCCGTGTGGTGTCCACAACATTCTGGATTGCTACGGCTCAGTGAACGATTGCCCAAAGAGCCCTGCTGAGCCACTGTATTCTATTCGAACTCCGGGCTCACCCCTCTCGCCGTACGGTCCTCTTTTCGACTTGTCGACCCCTCAACTTCTTCACGAGAACAGTGTATTCCGCATTTCTTGTCCTCGCGATACCAAGCCTGCCGTCTACCAAGCGACTATTTCATTCAACATGCCCATGGAGAAGGGAACACCTCGGGGGTGGTTAAACTTTATCATTCCAGGACTACCTCGACTGCGGAATAACTCCACTGGCTATCTTTATTTCTGGACCCCTCCCAGTCAAGGAATAGAGTTCCGTACCACCCACTTGAAGCGACACACTCTCGTTGAAAGCTGCTTGATGGGCCAGTTCCCGATATTCGAGAAGCTAGTCATTCCGGTGCGGCCTTGTGATGGACGGTTCTATGGGTTCATCAAGGACTTCAAAGTAACGCAGACTATCCGTGCTGATTTTCGCGATGAAGAGGATAAGGATTCCCAGAAATGGATCGTCACATATCATGCCGTCTGTGCCATCGATCTTATTCAGCGTGACTTTTGGGCCGAAAAGTGCGGCTTAACTCTCTACGTGTATGGTGGGCCTGACACTGAATTTTCTGCTCATCTCCTTGAGTCCCGGGAAGGGTTCCAGACGATCAACCTTGAATCATCGCCTGACGCTCGGATTGGTATTTCCGAAGTTCATATTATCTGCTCTCCTTCTAATCTGAGCATGCTTGCCATTACCTGGAAAGTCCGACTGCCACGAGACCGTCCCATTTGGATGCCTCGCATTCGAGGCACTGTGGATACCGAAGGATTTATTGATGATCTGGAGGACCGTTACACAGAAGCAGAAGAAAATGACACTCATGAAGTTGTGAATTTCTCACCCGCTCACGAGTCTGACGCCTCTACTGTTTGTGTTCCTGGGCCCAAGTCCGACAATTCCAAAACGTCGTGGAGTATGGCCCGTGCCATCATCGTAATTTGTCTCGTATCTGTTTTGGGTCGAATCACCTACCGACTCTACGATATTGTCTTCTTCGGTGGGCCTTTTGATATTGCGACAGGTTCGATTGTAAACGCTCCGGTCGTGGACGGTGATATGGCCATTGATGTGACCATTCCTGTGACTGATGAAGCCCCTGTGCCAATTCCTGTTGTTCCTCATGTACCTGTCCCTCCCACTGCCACTCCCCTCCGAGATCAGATCGATTATTTGCTCGGTTGGCGAGGACCCTATTGAGTCTTCTTGCGAAACAAAAGTGTACGAATAGTTGTATCCCCATTATTACAGTGGCAATGTATTTCATAACGACCAAATCTATGCTTAGCAAGTCATCTACTAGATCAATTATCACAACCCAGCATGGAATTCCAAAATCTGCTCAACAGCCCATCTCAAAACAACATCCATACCTAATTGCCCCCGCCCCGGCGCAACCCTCACGCCAGCATCAACTCTGACATCAACTCCCTCCCCAACCTTCTCCACCAAACCCCCGTCAACACTTTCATCAGCAATAAGCAACCACGCATGATCCTCCACATACCGCGGCCAGACAATGTCATCCACGTATCCAGGCGGATCGACCCAGAAATTCTGCGGCGGCCGATCATCTTCTGCTTCCAGATCGATCGGTGCATCCTTAGATCCTACATTCGATTTCGACTCCGCTTCTGTATTTGTCGGTGCATCCGGTACAGGTCCAATAGTAACATACCCACTCCGAGCTTCGCGACGAGTCTTCACATTCGTGTACGAAGCCGGTAAGAAAAGAGGGAGGTGGATCTGGTCTTGAACGGCGCGGAGTGGACTTTTATCCTTGTCGGCTTCCGGCGCAGAGTACAGAAGAAATCCTTCCATAAATGCGATTGTTTTGGGTTGAGACTGGGTGCTAGAATTAGAGACCAGTCGCTTTGCAACAAGTCTTCTTAACTCCTGCACTAATCCATCCTCAACGCCGGAATCGGTCTCGTCATTCTGATCCTCTTTGCTTTGGAGTCTTGGTGGTAGTTTTCCGTGCTCGCGGACGTAGGCTAGTGCTTGGGCGAGGAAGTTTGTATCGATTGCGTCGGCTGTATCCCAGTCTTGGATTCTTTCGCCGGATTTCGTGGTTGTGTAGGGGATTCTATGCGGATCGTGTTAGCCGGTGTGCTTGGATAGTGGCTGGTTGAGGACGTACTGGTCATCGGGGTAGTAGAAGTCGTCTTCATGAATGATGAATGTATTCAATCTCTCTTTCTCGGTCCCTGGTCCTGTTCCTGGGGTCGGCTGTACAAGATCCACCCCGCAGAAGATGCGCTGCAGGAGGCGGGCGAGGGTTGTTTTTCCGCTGGAGGAGGGGCCGGATATACCCACTACCAGCGTATTGCCTTGACCCCTTGCTTGTGAGTCTGCCATTTTGTCTGGATGGCTTGACTGTACTAGGGCGGGGCTTGAGTCGATGAGATGACGAAGATTGATTTGGTGAGGGGCTTATCGGGCTTATCAGTTTCAGTGCATGGAGTTGCCTGTTTGGGTTTAGGGCGACAATCTAGATCTTGACGCTTGGACCAGGGGGAGCTTTCAATGTGGGACTTTGACGTAGATTCATTTCAGAGGTCTCGGAGAGCGCGGAGGCAATTCAGAATCTTCAATGCCTCGAATAAAGTTACAGATCATATGGAAGAACATCTTCGGCAAAGACTGTGGTGAGTCCCATTGATGGTGAGTAGCACTTCTCGGGGTATCGTCGTTGCGTCAATAAATGGTGGTTGAATGCCAAAAGGCTTGTGTACCACCGGGTCTGTAGCTCTGGTCACACAGTCCGCCGTTGGGCTACATTCTAATTTTTGGGATATCAGGAAGAGAAGCAAATTGGCCTTAGGTCAGAGCACAGTAAAGTTCTAAGCTACGTGTCTGTTGAAGGTGGCATACATGGTAAGATAGCCCAGCTTACTGTGACAGGGACAACTGCTGAAAGAAGATACCACTAAAATACCTTAAAAGGCGATCTGTCTGCGGTTCGTGATCGCATCATTCAATGACCGTTGCACTTGCTGCACACGCTCGAATCGCATAAACGCACAAGACTCGCTCTCGAGGTGTGAAAACAGACCAGCCAGCGAGATAAACTCCTTAGGACAGTTTTGGTTGGGGCAGTGGTAAGCCTTCTGCTTGTGAACAGGCGAGTTGATATGCTGGGTCAAGGCTCTGGATGTATTGAACTCGCGGTGACAGATGTAACACTCCCAGAGATAGCCGTTGTGAGCGCGGTTGGTCACCATGTACTCGACGTTTTCTTCTTTGTGCCATCCGATCTGCTTGTTGGCGATCAAGCCTTGGCGATCAGAAGCCTGAATGATTTTGAGCAGAGACTCGCGGTTCAGATTGGGGGCGTTGGGGCAAGACCCGGTCTCAACGTGATGGGACGCGCCACTGGCTGTCACAAATGCAGTCTGGCAGAAGGGGCAATGAAAGTCCTTGCCACGGTGGATACGCGAGTTCCGGTGCTTGTCATAGTTAGAAACGTTTTTGTCCTCGAACATAATATAAGAAGAAAATTATACCATGCGGAGGTTGTTGCTACTGCGAAATTCGCGACCACAGGGAACACAGAAAGTTTCCCAATGATCAAGGGTATTCATATGCTGGTTAACTGCCTTCTGACTGCCAAATCGGCGGGTGCAGGTCTCACATTCAAACTGTGGGGCATGGTGATCCAATGCATTCATGTGTTGATCGCAGGCCCGCTGAGAGCGGAACACGCTGTTGCAAGTGTCGCATTCGATCCAATGATGATAATCATCCATATGCTCATCACAATCTTCACGATAATAGAAGTCATCGGTGCAGGTCGCACATGCGTACATTTTGGGCAAACTTGACGAAGCGTTGGAAACGACCCCAGGGTTCTTAAAAAAAAAAGCTGGTGGGGATGAACTGATGTGAAGGAGGGAGAAGCCTGGTTGGACGAGAGATTGAGATGGGAAGAGAGATGCAGACACAGGGGTACAGCAGCTGAAATACGAATCACATTCACACCTCCATCCCCACCCCATCAAAGATGGAGTTATCTCTTGAATGAAGATGAAGAGGTAGGTCAGTTACCTATATGAAGCAGTATTGCATGGACTCAGAAGCTGTATCAAGGTTTTGGATACACTCTGTGGGGTAGAAGGCTCGCAGTAAGGTAGCGATGTTCCTGAATCCTGAATTTCCAGAAGTTGTTGGTGTGTTTGCAAGTCTGTTCCCCACTAGCCTCACCAATGTTAAACAACCGTATCTGATGATAACCCACACTCTCATGGAATTGACTGTATATATTCACTCAGTGGAACTAAAAAGTGGAGTGGGGGCTTTCAAACACCAATAGTTCATACTTGGTAAACAGTCGAACATTACATAGTGTGGACAGGTCACATGACTTGGTCGATTCGAGAGGCAATGCGGCTTGACAGCCAACATGCAGCGTCTGGAACACTCGTTTGAAGTGAATAACTTCTTCGATTGATGGTTTCTGCAGATACTCAAATATCTGTACCACTCAAATAGGCTGCAATCCGCAGTTGCAAAATTCCCAGCACGAATGCCCATGGCCATTGGTGAGATTTCGTTATCGTACAGGAATTCTAGAATACCACTCCTCCAATTCTGTCTTACCTTACTTGTTCCAGACTTGAATAAAGAATGATAACTGTCTGCAGTCACGTCCATTTTCTGCACATGTCTGCAGGGCTACTGATGATTGACCGTGACAGTCGCAGCTTAAAGCGGGGATCATTGACAATCCATTGGGATGAAGCTTGGAATGAAGGATATGAGTGGGTTGAAAATTTCCTATTTAACAGTCTAAGGCAAATCATTCCGCTGGTAGCATGAAAATGATGACCGTCAGATTCGATGATATAACCTACCAGGTGGGCAGCCATGAATGACTGAATAAGCCCTCCAAGTTGGTATCCCACCAACGTTCAAATGCGTTCAATTCTATTGGCTAAGATAAGTAGTCCACGGGCTAAATTTCCCTGTTAGCAGAAACTCCATGAATCTGCACATCCCAGGCGTAAAATGTGGAGAATGCGGGGATAACCCTTGAGTTTCGCCTCGCTGAGGAAATATACCCCGGAGATCATGCTTGGCACTGATCATCAGAGCCAATCACCCGTCGTGAATGATGCGGCCTACATCTCGTACTCGGAAAAGGCCTCAAAAGGCTAATTCTCCCCGGATCGATGATGTAGTAGTCTCCGCTACCCCACGGGGAAATCAGGAAGTGGGAATCTTATAGATTCGGTTTAAAAGGCCCATGGAACTCCGCATGTCAATCTTTTCAATTCCTATCACTTCCGATAGTCTTATCCCACTCGAATATGGATACCGCTAAGAAACCGAGCCATCTGGATGACCCTTACAAGGGTGATGATGATGTTGAAGAAATCGAAAACATCAAATACGATAATGTCAATATCCAGACAGAGCTCAGCAGCATCGAGTCAACGGCTGCCTCGAAAGCGGCCTGGTTGATCTCGATCGTTGTCTCCATTGGCGGTTTCTTATTCGGTATGTCCCTTCTTTCTTTCAGAGCTCCACGCGAGAGACTAGAATCTGACGTCTATTAGGTTACGATACGGGATACATCTCTTCCGTCCTGGTTACCATCGACACATCCCTCGGTCATGTATTGAGCTCGAACGAACAGGAAATGGTGACCTCTTTGACTAGTGGTGGTGCCTTGGTGGGAGCGATAGGAGCCGGCTTAACTGCTGATCGATTTGGTCGTCGCTGGCCCATCTGGGGTGCTTGTCTATTGTTCGTGATTGGCTCAGTGCTTCAGACATGTGCATACTCAGTCGGTCAGTTTGCAACCGGGAGATTCGTGGTCGGTCTTGGGGTAGGAGGTGCAGCCATGATCGTCCCTCTTTACAGTAAGTATTGTTTCAGATCTTCAAGGCTTCCGCTAACGTACTTCATTTTCACAGTTGGAGAGCTGGCTCCTGCACAATACCGTGGCCGCATGGTGGCGTTCAACAACATGAGCGTAACGTTCGGCCAACTAGTGGCCAGTGCGATTGGTGCCGGTTTCGCCGAAGTCAAAGGTGAGGGATGGAGAGCTACTGTGGGAATTGGGGCGGTCCCAGCTATTCTACTCGCAGTGCTATTGGTTACCTGTCCAGAGTCACCTCGTCAGCTTGTCTCTCATGGCAAGTTTGATGAAGCACACGCCGTCCTCACACGCATCTACCCTACATCTACTGAGGAACAACGTCAAGCGAAGATCACCTCCATTGAGCTTTCTCTCCAAGAGACCTCCAATGGAATGTCGGAAGATTCTCTGTGGACTACGCTGAAAAGGGTGTTTAACACCCCGGCAACTGCCCGTGCGGTTGTAACAGCTTGTGTTGTTATGGCGATCAGTCAGCTCGGTGGCTTCAACACGTTGATGTATTATGCCGCGTCACTATTCTCGATGGTCGGATTCACCAACTCCACTGCAGTCGGGATTACCGTGTCAGGTACAAATTTTGTCTTTTCGTTCGTGAATCTCTTCCTTGTTGATCGATTTGGTCGCCGAATTATTCTCACGGTCACTGTACTGGGAATGTCTATCTGTATGATTGTAGCCGTGGTTGCATTTATGTATATCCCCGTGAACCTCCAGACTTTGGAAGTAGAGACTTCGCAGGTCGGATGGCCCGGTGATCTTGTTCTCGTCGCTATTATATGCTACGTTGCATGTTTCTCATCGGGCGTCGCTACAATCGCCTGGATTGGCATGGAATTAATTCCACTGGAGGTTCGAGCCGTAGGGACTATGCTGGTATGTTTACTCTTACTTGTCAAGTCTTCTACTTATACTAATGGGCATATGATAGAACACTGTTACCTGCTGGGGCTGTAACATTATTATCTCTTCGACATACCTCTCTATGATGCAAAGCTGGACACCGAGTGGTACCTTTGGATTTTATGCCGCAATATGTTTCTTCGGCTGGATATTTGTTGTTTTCTTCTACCCCGAGTGCAAAGGTATGCCACTGGAGGCTGTGCGGGAAGTTTTCAGCAAGGGCTTTGGGGTCCGGTATTCGAAGCAGTGGCAGAGAGACCATAAAGATGACGCCAAAGTGGAGACAATAGTCATGGGCCATTAAATTTGGACAATATAATTCCTTTCGCTTATTTGAGATATTTGCTCTGCCACATACCTCTGTATTTCACAGGCTAGTGGACTTCTGGAAAGGGCTCTTGCCAAACGTGTTTTGAGTCCGATTGCGATATTGTAGGAGAACATACATGAGAACAAACAAACCGTAAGACGCGGTCTCGGTTAGTTCCGACTTGTTTACTTGCCCTGACCCAAGCTCGGCCTCTATCCCACTCCCCCACGCAATCATGTCACAGTGACATTGAACGGTTGTCTTCAAATCGTGCGGGGTTGGCAGTTGGAGAAAACAGGAGCCAACCACAACAGGGCGATCTACAAGGTACAACTTGGAAGCCAGAAGATCTACATCTTCTGTCGCAATAGAGTCTTAGCGAAGAGGTCCGAGCGATATTAAGTCCTGGATCCAAGCAAATATAAAAAATGGAAAGTTCCGCTTCCTCGGACAACGACCGTGTCGATCCAAGTCGACAGAAAAAGCCCATCATGATATTGAAACCCTTTCTTATAGCCCTGGGCTTCTTATCAGCAGCCCAGGCAATCAAGCCTTTCACATGGAACAAGCAAACATTCCTCCTGCACGGCAAACCATTCCAAATGATCGGCGGACAAATGGACCCTCAACGCATTCCCCATGAGCTCTGGACCGACCGACTAGCCAAGGCACGCGCAATGGGTCTTAACACTATCTTCTCATACGTCTACTGGGACCAGCTAGTCCCGGAAGAAGGCGCCTGGGAAACAAGCGGAAACAACGACATCGCACGCTACTTCAAGATTGCCCAAGAACAAGGATTGAACGTCGTCTTACGCTCTGGACCTTATATCTGCGGCGAGCATGAATGGGGCGGATACCCAGCTTGGCTGAGTGAAGTACCCGGGATGGTCGTTCGAACTAGTAACAAGGCATACCTTGAAGCAGCGAAATTCTACATCGACCATCTGGGCACAGAACTGAAGGATTTAATGGTCACAAATGGCGGACCTATCCTGATGGCTCAAGTTGAAAATGAGTATGGATCTTACGGTGATGATCATGTCTATATTTCTGCTTTACGTGATATGATGAGCCAGGCTTACGGTGTTCCACTGTATACCAATGACGGCGGGCAGAAGTCGATGCTTATCGGTGGCCAGATACCAGGTGCACTGGCTGAGACGGACGGGAGTCCACAGACGGGGTTCGCGGCAAGAAATGAATATGTTACTGATCCGAGTAGTCTAGGCCCTCAGCTTGATGGGGAGTATTATGTTACGTGGCTGGATCAGTGGGCGAGCAACTACACTCACGAAACGGATGTTGGGAACACGGATGCAATTACGCAGGTGACCTCCGACTTGGATTGGATTTTGAAGAACGACAGTTCGTTCAGTATCTATATGTTCCATGGTGGTACGAATTGGGGATTCCAGAATGGTGCTGATTGGGGGGATGCGTTGGAGCCGATTACTACGAGTTATGACTACGGTGCACCGCTCGATGAAAGTGGGCGGACGAATGAAATATATCACGCAATCCGGGAGGTGATCGCTGCTTACGCTGGCAATGATAGCATTCCTGATTTAGTGCCTGAAAGCCCGTTGATCACTATCCCCTCGATCAAGCTCGAACCCGCCGTGAGCATGTTCGATGCACTCCCCGACCCGATTCGAAGGACGATGCCTGTCAATATGGAAGCGGTTGGCCAGTCTACTGGGTTCATCCTATACCGACACACTGCTACCTCTGTTGTAAGCGGGGTTGTGAAGACGGGCGACCAACCTCGAGACCGGGTCCTCGTTTACGTGAATGGGAAGCGCGTCGGTGTGATCGACAGCACCTACGAAGTGCCGAATACGGTTTCTGTCACATTAAAGAAGCATGATGTACTTGACCTTTTGGTCGAGAACATGGGTCGCGTGAACTACGGTTCTAAGATTGTGGATCAACGGAAGGGAATAGTAGGGAATGTCACTGTTGATGGAACGGTTATCTCGAATTGGGAGTTGTATCCTCTTCCTCTGACAACGCTTCCTGTGGCTGCACCTGCAGCTCCCCTGGTCACGACGACCTCGGGCCCAATTTTCTATACGGGATCCTTTGATATTGATACAGTGGGTGATACATTCCTCGAGCTACCTGGATGGACGAAGGGCGTTGTCTGGGTGAATGGTGTGAATCTGGGTCGGTATTGGGTTATCGGACCACAGCAGACACTGTATCTTCCAGGGGTATATCTTCGTCGGACTGCGAACAGTATCACTGTATTGGCACTGGAGCCTACTGGGAGCGAGGGCGAGGTTCGCGGAATTACGACGCGGAACTGGGGAAATAATCCTGACCCTGATATGTGAGATTCTGGTTTGAATTTGTGCATAGAAGACTCCTAAGAGCCCAAGTATAGTGGCGACCGTTATCGCTTTCCATGTCAAACAACATAAGAAAGCTCCTTCAAACCCTCATCGTATTGACTTTGTGACATGGATCCTTTATCTTTGTTTCCATTTTGGATGATTTCTCCATCATTAAGAGAAGCGTTTTGGGGTTTAAAGGGGTACATGATTTATGTAAATACCAAGGGCACCCTTTGGAAGATTTTATACTAAAGGTAGATATAAAAGTAGATATATTATCAGGCACTAGTGTCCATCTTTGATATTCAACTTGCCAAGCTGCTCTAGAACTCTTTGGGTCATTCTGTGATCTGAACCTAAGGTCTTCTCATAGCCTGCCAATGCCCTCTGGTACATCTTCTCTGCCTCCTTCAGATTATCCTGGTGCCTGTAGAGATTCCCAAGGCAGCGGATTATAGCAAGAGTGGAAGCATGATCTGAACCTAGGGCCTTCTCGTACCCTGCTAGTGCTCGCTGGTACATCTCATTTGCCTCCTTCAGCTTATCCTGGATATAGTAGAGATTGCCAAGGCTGTGAACTGCATCAAGAGTGCGAGTATGATCTGGGCCAAGGGTCTTCTCATGCCCTGCGATTGCTCGTTGGTACATTGCCTCTGCCTCCTTCTGCTTACCCTGGATATAGTAAAGATGACCAAGGCCGAGTACTGTAGTAAGAGTGTAAGTATGATCTGGACCTAGGGCCATCTCATAACCTACTAGTGCTCTCTGGTACATCTTCTCTGCCTCCTCTAGCTTGTCCTGGCGCCTATAGAGACTCCCGAGGCTGCGCACTATAGCAAGTGTGGAAACATGATCTGGACCTAGGGCTTTCTCGTACCCTACTAGTACCCTCTGGTACATCTCCTCTGCCTCCTTCAGCTTATTGTACTGAGCACAGTAGAGATGACCAAGGCTGTGAACTGCATCAAGAGTGTGAGTATGATCTGGACCAACCTTCTCGAACCCTACCAGTGCTCGCTGGTATATCTCCTCTGCTTCCTTTCGTTTATCCTGGATATGGTAGAGATGACCAAGGCTGTGAACAACATTGAGAGTGTAGGTATGGTCTGGACCTAGGGCAATCTCACAGCCTGCTAATGCTCTCTGGTACATCTTCTCTGCCAACTGTAGCTTATCCTGGCGCTTATAGAGAGTACCAAGGTCATGAACTGTATGAAGAGTGGAAGCATGATCTGGACCTAGAGCCTTCTCGTACCCTGCTAGTGCTCGTTGATATGTCTCATTTGCCTCCTTTAGCTTGCCCTGAGTGGAGTAGAGATTTCCTAAGCCATGAAACGCCCTCCATATAGCAAAGTCGTTACCAGATAATTCCCCATGTTGAACGTAGTTTGCATGGGGAATAAGCCGTCGCTGAAGCTCTGAGCTATTCTTATCATTCGCACCAGGGACAATACATCCAACGGAGATTAGCGCTAGTTCACAGATCTGGATAGAATTCACATTGTTGTCGTTGCTGATAATGTGAAGACACCAGTCTTTTACCACTGGGTGCATTGCATAGCTTCCCTCCTGTTGCTTAGTCTCAAGAAAAGAGAATCCGATGAGAGTCCTCAACGTGGTTTTAAAGGCGAGTCCGCTCGATGTAGCCTTTTTAAGCCAGCTGGGGATATTGGAGGCACATTGACCACCTTTCACTAACTCATACCAGATATCCCGGTTATCAAAGCGAGCAAGTAGTAATAGTAGCTGTGCTGCGTTTGGGTCCCGCTTTTGAATTTCACGATATGAGATCATCCACGTTTGTAACATATTGCCCTGCTGGTACTGACGTCCAGCACTTGATTGTAACTGTAAATCAGACCAAGATTCTTGGTAATATTGCAAGTATTCAGTGACGCTGGCTCCAGTTTGGCGCATGAATGCGGCCGCGATGGTAATCGCTAGTGGCAGTCCATCAAGACGACTACTTAGGGTAAGGATGTCTAGAAATATTAGTATCACCAGTAAGGGATAAGATCCATGTATCAAATATACTCATACCTGGACTACTCTCAAGGTCCTTGGTGGTATTTGTCGTTAGACCGCAATTCTGGGATAGTAATTGAATTGCATCCGTTAAATCAAGCTTACGGACTGGGAAAGACCTTCCTAGCTCGGTTAAGCCTAATAGTCGAGAGGTAATAAGAATAAAGCCATGATCTGCTGGAGGGAAGAATGTTCCAATATCATATCCACCGTCAATGTCGCTATCAATAGGAGAATATTGATCGATATTGTCGAAAATCAGTAGCCAGCGTGAATTGCCATCAGTCGCTAGCCACCGTAAAACCTGTTTAGCTCGCCCCTCCAGCTCCTCGTTATTAATCGCCTCGTGATTTTGGGAGTGCCCAGGTAACCGCGATAAAGTAGAGCTGAATGATTGCAAGAGTGTGTCTCGATCTTTGCCATTTAACCAAAGTACAGTGGTGAAATCGTGTTTATGTTCTCGTGCAAAACGAACCGCGAGCTGTGTCTTTCCCATGCCCCCAAGCCCATGCAGAACCGCAACTTTCCGTGACTGGGAATCTGTCGGTTTTAAATACTGCCATAGGCTGTCTAGCTCCGCTTGCCGCCCCACGAAGTTGTCAATCACAGGCACGGAGGTGAGGTCTAATGGGACTTCAAAGCGGTGAACTAAAGACCAGAGGAATCTTAGCACCATCGCAAATTAAGATAAGAGGTAGTATACACTTGCGGTTCCTTACTGGAGTCTGTTGAAGTGCGTTGTGCTGCAGGGTGACAAAAATAGAAATTAGTGTAACTATTTAAATAGGAAGGGTCTGTTAAACCTACTTGGGTGAAGGTGGATTGTCCCGTAATTGACTCCCACCTGGTTACCTGAATTTTGCTCCCCAAATGATAAAGATTCCATCGTAAACACTCTTTATCAAAGAGTTTGTGGATCTAGACAGGGTCACAGGCTCCTACTCCGCAGGTTGATCCCAAGCCCCGCTATCAGGTGATCTCTCGCGCGCTAACCTCTTTTTCCTTCTTAATACATTACAGGTTACTTACGTACTTTCTACATTCAGCTTAGAGTATATCTGAATGGGCATTGAAGAGCCTCCCTGTGTTTTCCGCGTAAAAGATGAAACCGGTCGCCAATGTATCTCGGTAGATGTACAGTGAAATGCCATTTTGCGCAAAGATTATCTAGAATAAATTACAGACGAGGTCTACATATCTGATATTATACATACAAAGAAACCACCAACACTAGGCTAAATCTAATGATAAAAAGGAGAAACGAAGAAAAGAAGAAAACTCAGGACCCGAAGATTGACACTCGCTTCCTGTCCGTGACAGTTTCGTTATTGACCAGAGGAGACGACGAAGCAGGGGAACGACGGCGCGGAGATGCAGAATCACTGCCCCCCTCAGATTCAGTCCTAAATATTTGCACATTCGGCGCAAAGCCAATACGTGATTTCTTATGCACAGGTGTCGGAGATGGCCTGTTCTCCGGCCAAGTAACCGCATCAGAGTCAGCATCAGACTCCACAGCAATATCTGTGTGAGAACGCTTCCTAGAACTGCCTTCATCGGCGACCTCATGATCCGGAATAGGCAAACGATGACGATCAAAGAAGCCCGTCGGATGGTCTAAGTATGCCGCACCGGAAGAACCCTCATCAGACATATCCAGGAAAGGCTCGTTCTGGATGATATCATTCATGGTGGTATCATCCAACAAACTCTTTTCAGCGTGCTGCATCTCTGCTTCGGACATCTCTTTCCTCCGTCGCAACATCTTGTCTTCGAGTGTATCTTGTAGGACAAGTGTCTCAACGTACACGGGTCTAGTTTGACCAATGCGGTGGGCACGTTTTATCGCTTGGCTTTCCACGTTGGGCTGCCAGATGGGATTGACTATGTATACACGTGAAGCTTGAGCGATGTGTAGACCATGTGAGGCTTGGCGGAGATCCATTAGAAGTACTCGGACCTCGGCTTTTTCGCGGAATAGTGCTAGGTATTCCGTGCGGAGTTTGGGGCTGAGGGTACTAGCGTAGATACGGAAATCTATACCGAGAAGCTCGAGGCCTTCGGCGATCCAGAAGGCGGAGTTGATATTGTCGTAGAAGATGATGATCTTCTCCGTTTCTTGATATTGCAGAACTTGGTCAAGGAGATAGGTGAGTTTAGCGGATGCCGTGGCGATGAATTTGGTTTTTTTGAGCGGCGAGTGCTCGGGAAGTGTGCAGAAGATGTTACGGTCGAAGGTCTTGACCTTCTTAGGCGATTTTTTGGTTGGGTTAGGACTGGGTTTTGATTGACTAGGAGATGTCTGCGTATTGGCGGATTCTGGGGCACCCTTTGTCGAGGTACGTTGATGGCTCCGCTTGAGATCCTGACGCACATGGATACCATGTCCCGACAGACCCTGCGTGGGGTCGATCTGTCTAAGCTGTTTTGTTACAAACTTTTGCGCAGAACGAGCCTGGGTAATGCCGATAAGGAGCGGATCATTCTCTTCCTGGGGATCAAGTGCCCAATGGGCTCGGTTATCTTCTGGGAATTCTGTCACGAAGACCCCCAGCTCATGCAAATGCTGAAGTTCGCGCCACCTACTAGACTCTAGGGCTCCGCGAGCAATCTCAAGACCATTGTTTAAAAGGTTGATGTCTGCAGTTGTCATGATCTCTCGCTTCTTCTGAAGATATTCAAGCGCAACTTCAACTGTTTTTGGCAGGTCCTTGTCAAAACCCACCCACCAGAATCCAGCCTGACGCAAGTTGTTGATGGTCTGGTTCAGACTCTTTCGGTTGCTTGAATCGAACATGTAATCTGGACCTTGGCGCTCAGAAGTGATCGAGTTGACAGCGAGGCTAAAAAGGAACAGGTTGATGGACAAGCGGTCGTAATATGTCGGCTGGAGATAAACGACCTTATTGAAAAGCTTTGGGAGAGTAACTTCCTTATTGACCACATCCAGTCGATGTCGCACCACTAGTCCTTGAAGTGTAGCACGTATCGCCGGTGTTTTGCGTCGCTTGCCATCTGTCCCAAGAGGCTTGATATACTTGGTCCAATCAGCAGGGTCATCCGCTCGCGAGTTCGACCAAGGCTTCAAGTCCAGGAACTCGATCACAATCCGCCTGATTTTATCCAGATCCTTCATCTCATTGTCAATCGCATTTCCGGTCTTCTTTCGAGTTTTCAACGCAGCAGCAGTGATCTGCTCGGATTGCTCTGTATCGCTCGTCTTGGCCTCAAGCGAAGCAAGACTGACCTCGACCCCGTAGAGTCCTGAAGATGGCGTACCAGAAATCACCCAGCGACGCTCAAAGTGGAGTTGATTGATCAGGTGAATCATATTCGTTTTTGAGCCATTCCCTGCGACATTATGGCCTTCGTCAACAATCATTCGTAGCCAATGAAGTTCCGTAAGAGGCGACTCAATCGGGACATAGCTGTTGCGGCGGTTGTGTACAGCCTCCCCCGCTTCTCTCTCGAAACGAGTTTTAGCGAACAGAAGAATGTCATATTCCATGAGTTTGTCAGCAGAAGGGAGCGTGTCGGACCCCGATCTCAGCGTCAGAACCTTTAGGTTTTCGGTATGAGTCCCGATTTCGCGCTCCCAGTGATCCACCAAGTTGTTCGGGGCGACAATAATTGTACCCGAGCAAATGCGAATGCGTTTCGCCGGGGGTCTTTGATAAGACATGCTATTTCGACCTTGATATCGAGTCTGATGTGGTGGGATTTCATAAAATCCACACTCATGTTCACACGCCTTCATGCACCTGTGGTAATAAGCGCCCTGTTTGCGCTTTTCCATGAAAAAAGTTTTTCCAGGGCTGAGAATGCCGACCAGTAGCTGCTGCTGCCATTTCCAAGAGAGACCCGACTTTTTCTCTGACTGGCCTAGGATCCGGTTTATCCGCTGAGGACAAATACTGGATCGGGATCTTGGGAACATATCCACGAGTAGCACAGATAACAGCAAGGCAGATAAGTGTTTTCCCGCAACCCATAGTCTCCGCAAGGATACCTGTTCCGAGGTTATTATCTTCAAAGAACCAAGAGCTGGATGAGTTACCTACCTCCACAAGCCTCAGAATACATCGATTTCTCACGAACAATAATGCCATCTTCCTTGTCATAATAATACTCCACACCTGTAGGAGTTCGACAAGGTTGCAGGCGTGGATCAAGCATCTGCGCCGGTTGCGCCTCCCGCTGAACCATAGTAGCTGCAGATCGACACTGATATGGATACAGCGGGGTCTTGACACCGTACGCCAAGAAATCGGTTGCGGACAATAAGTCCTCCATAGCGCCTTGAGCCCAGGGATCTTTCATAGCTTCCACGTCGGGATTGGGATTCTCAAGAGTATTGAAAATGTACCAAAGGGATTCATCTTCGGTGCCATTCGAAATATCGGCATCTGATATCTTTGCGGCGCGTTGCCCCGTCCATGCTTCAGGCGATCGATCAATATTAGCCATAATTTGTTTGACGGCATTTCGCAGTTTTGAAATGAATCGCTGCGAGTGACGCCGACCTGTCACATCGGTATTGATCCATATCCTCAAATTAGTATCATTAATATCATTGTCACGAAGCCAACCATGTTGACGCAAAAACAGGAAATGGTGTCCCAAGGCCTGGTCTTGGACGATATCTTTACTGAATGCACCGATTGGAAGCCAGATAACCGATTCTTCCTTCGGAATGCTATTTTGTTGAGACGTATATGCAGGCACTGGTTCAGCTGATGCATCCGTGGTGGGCACCGATAGCTCGGAGATATCAGGAACATCCGGGACCAATGGGACTTCAGCAATTCCTTGCAGGCCATTCTGGGGTTCTTCTCTGTTCAATTCGTATATTGACTGCAGATCCCATGCAGCACCCAGCATACTGGCCCTTGGCTCCCAGCGCTCCATGGTGACGAGTTGGCTAAGTTACAAAGGAAAGAGAACAGTTGATAGATCATATGGGCAGAAATCTCACCGCCCTAGTGGGACCCACTCGGAAGCGATCCACATCGCGCCCAGTGTGGAGATGTTTGATTGTCCCGTGCATAAGCCCATGGAGTGCTTGGGGAATCGATAGTCTTGACTGATATGATCGCAATATTCCAACTGGTGGGGCTTGATGGTGTGAAGAAGACGAACAAGGAATAGTACCGAGATACAGGGATATCAGGATGCAATGCGGGAGCAATCAGGTCGTAATTTCATGCAGGGTAAGTCAAGTTAGGAAGGAGTACTATTACGAAGTGAAATGAGATCAATCAAATTAATATTTTTAGTATCAGTGTATTCAATACACAATCTATCGTATTCGCAGTCACCATCAAATCTAAAATGGATGAGATCACTGTGTCAAGAAATCCTCAATCTCAAAGCCTACGCGCTTCAACGCCTTCTCCTCCAATTCTCGCGATGATCCAACAACCTTCCTGAGTATAATGGTCCGTGCATCTTGTAATCGTACTTCAACGGCATTCCCGCCCGCACGCTCCAGTTCCTCACGAGTACATTCCCGGATATAAACGGTGATGTCAGGCCCAACACAGGCACGCCAGAGCGACGCCATCCATTGCCAATGATCAAGAGGAGCGTATGAATCATGAATGGGGATTGAACAGGCGAATGCGTCTGCCGTCGTGATCTGATACCGCGGAACGAGCGCAATAGGAATAGAACACGGGGTTCCAAGTGCACTTGGCGAAACACTAGCATCGGAGCCATTTTCGCTTGATTGTGCAGGTGAGTGGATCTGCATGCTAGCAGTTTTTGGAATGAGAGATTTAGGCGAGAGGTTTACTTTGATGGGCTCCTCTTCCGGGCTAGAACGGGAGTCAACGGACATGGCTGTTGAGATAGACTTGACGAAGCTGACGACTTCGTCGGAGATGCGATGCCATGCCGAGATGGTGTCCAGGTAATCGACTGTTGCGTCGCCCATTGGGCCGCCTTCTGAATTGGGGTCGCGTTGTGGCTTGATGTCTGGTCCGTCGAAGACACGGACGTGGTATTTGGGTTCCTTCCTTAATAGGCGGTGGAGGTATTCCACTGCGACTTGGACCAGTTCTGGGTCGTGGCCGTCGACTGCAATGACGGGACCTCGAATTTGGGGGCTGGACTCCCGGAACGATGGGACCAGAGGTGGGGAGATTTTGGCAAGGACCTTGATTTTGTTGAGGAAGGGGATTGTCATGACGGTGGTCTCCACGCTGGGTTCGGTGGAGAAATTCGGTGTAATAGGAGTCATGACAGGTGTGCCGGTTTGAAGCGGTGGTAGTTTTAAGCTTGGGTCAGGGTGTGACTGGCCCTGTACGCTGCTGTATTGGCGTTGTGGATGTAGCATCGGAAGCATGCTTCGGGGTTGCATGTCCGGACGAGCACTATACGGTGCTGCCGAGTATGGAGACTCGGGACTTATATCTTGGCGGGCGATCATGCCCGGCTTAGGGGAGATTTGGGAAATATGGGTATGCGAAATACGACGACGTTTGTTGTCTGGTGATCTCCCACCGATCTCCTCTGTCTGGCGAGAGCGAGAGCGAGAGTCCATTGCGTCAATTTTAATCAGCTTGGGCTCGTCTCTATCCCTGCCGTGCGAGCTCCTGGCTGTCATGACGGTCTTTTGCGTGACGGGTGTTGAGAGACCAGATGGTCGGTACTCTGAGGTAGCAGTCGTTGGTGTGAATGGGGTCATTGGTGATGGCGGATGCATAAACCGACCCCCACAGCGAGTGCAGTGAGTGCCACCAGATGTATTGTTACTGATACCCGAGCCAGGGCCACGACTGCCACCGTCCCGACCACTTCGTCGGGGCTGGTAGCGATAGCCAGGATATTGCTGGTTATGGCGGATTTTCTCTTCCTATTAGACATCAGCTATGTTCAAAACAGGGATTATTCAGTAAAATTCACCTCCGCTAAAGTCCTCCACTTCGACTTTTCTTCTTCTGAGAGATTCCTCCACTGCACCCCGATAATCTTGGAGATATCTGGATTTGCCATGCCCGGATTATGGGCCACTACGGTCGCCTGGTAGTGCTGTCGATATAGAATAAATGCTATGAATCACGAATTAGCCATCCAATTCTCTTAATTGATAATTGCAAGTCTGGCCACCGCCTCGACTGTTCAAGAATTGAAGTAAAAAGCACTTGCCATGCTCATTTAACTGCGCAGGTTGCATCAACTCACCATTACGAGGTCGTGGCACTTTCGGATCCGGCTGGCAAAGACAAAACATGTCTCTCTCCTTGACAGATCTCACCGGGCTCGCACTGCCAGAAGAGGAAGAGGAGCGGGAGACTTCCGTGGAGACCATAGCCCCGGGTGTTCTCGCCACTAGATTGAGATTCGGATGTGCATTTGCCATCAGCGTCATTTGATCGCTCTGAATGCCAGTTTCGCTTTTGTTCAAGACTGCCATTTGCTGATGGGCCTGTGGCACTTCATTTAGGCGCAGATCGGCATATTTGAACGAGTCCTGGCGGTACACCAAAGGCCCGTGAGACTTGGGAAGGTCACTCATTATCTTGTGGTCGAGAAGGTCGCTAGGTCTGACTTGGGGATGCTCATAGTGCAGACCAGCTGGAGCGGGGAGCACTCGGTCCCAAGACATTTATCTATGAGTTGGTCGAGAGGGCAATAGCCGCCACAAACAACCAAAACAAGGAAACCGGCTCCGACGGTCACAAAGAAAAAAGATCAATCTTGGGGTTTGATGCAACGAATGCGAAATGAAAGCCGGTCAACCCGAACAAGAGGAATAACAAGCCTCCCACGAAAAAGCAGTGACAAGAGGTCGGAACAAAAAAAAACAGAATTATCAACAAGGGAAAGCGATGTGGTTGGGAGAATAACTGAAAGAGAATTTGAAAGAGAAGAAGACCGAATTAAAACGGGGGAATGACTTCAAGTGTATATCAGCAAATGACATGGAAAGACAAAGACAGTGGACCTATTTTTGCGGTTTCTTTGTTGTCTTAGGGCCATTCGGCTCGCAATCCCTGCCGAGTGGCTTGTCCTTTGACAATAGATCCTAGATCAATCTCGTTGCCATTCAAGCCGCGCCAACCGAGCAAGGGCCCAATTCTAGACCAGGAAAAAGAAAGTATAGATCAGAAATCAGGGGAGGAGAGCGCCAAAAAGTACGAAAGTGTAGACCTTGGAACATGCATATCACCCATGGTTGAGGGTGTTCCCAGGGACCTCTTGTTACAACCACCTGAACCACCAACCCAATGAGTTTAATTCGATCGGGCAAAGTAACAGCAAACGAGATCATTGTTTTCTTTGTCTCCGGATGCGGCGACTCGCAGCGGATCCCGCGATGATCCGCCCGTTGATTGGTCGCGGCTTCCCCCTCGGTTCCCCGACAAATCGAACAAAGAAAAAACCCAGCAAACATCTTTCTTCCTGGCAAACAAGATGGGGTGAATCAAGTCATTTCCCCCAAAGACATCAAATGAGATAAAGGAAAATAATGCAAGATTCAATTGAGAGAAACCGGGTCGAGACAGATCAGCCCTAGAACATGTCACAGCGCTAAGATGATCTCATTGCCGATCCCTCTCCACACTCCGTGCAACTGTCGAGCTTGGAACAATACTACCTTATACAGGAAATTTCTTCCCTTTTGAATCTGCCAAATCATTCTAAGGTGGATCCGCCTGGCTAGATTGACACGTCTCGGCTACTACCGTGCCTCCTCGATCTTGTTCGCCGCATCAGGCACGTTTGATAAGTATGACATCGGGTACCGACGCTCATGTTTCGGTTATGCTCATTCGTCATCTATATACTTTTGAGGATTTTTTACACAATGTCTAAGCTGCAAAGCCCCGGGTGTGGCGGCGTTTAGACGGTTCCTGGTTCAAGAGAACTCCATCAATCCCTTGGTACACTTCCGCCGCCATCAGTCGGTGGGCAGACGGTCCCAGACTCATTTCGTTCCTGGATCTCGGTCAGCGAGAGAAGAAAAAAAAAAAAAAAAAAATTGTCGATCATTGCCCGCCTCGAAAGGGCGCGGAAAACCAAGGCACTTACCAGAACAGATACTTGTCTGGATGTTCACACTGTTTCTTATCCTTGCCCTTTGACATCATGACCTGGAACGAACCCGGTGATTCGACGCAGGCGTCAGCGACATTTTCCCACCCGGGATCCTCGTTCGTACCCAATCCACTTTCCGCCTTGATGCCTGCCGCAAAGAGCTGCCAGTCGCGAATACAATCTAACAAGAAGGCATTCGTATCGAACAAGTAAATCGTGCCCTTCTCCCAGGGCTTCGCTGCCTCTCGTAGCTTCTGGTTCCAATGGCCCAGCATCTTAACGGCGTTCTTGTACTCGTCGCCCTGCGAGGTGAAAGCGGATGCGAATGCCGGTAAAAAGGTCACGTCGACGGACTGTGTCAGAATCACCTTCACCTGATCAGAGCCCCAACGCCTGGAGAGAAGATCCAATTGATCCATCACGGTCTGGACCCGGCGCTCAATAGAGGTGGTGGCGATATCATAGTCCTTGGCGACGAGGGACCAAATGTCCCAGATACCGAAGGAGACGACGAAAATGGTGCGATCTTGACGGGACTTGATCTCGTCCTCGGTCAAGCCTTCAATGCTTTTTTGTTCGGCGTCGAGCCAGTGTTGGAGCTGAGTCTTGAAGTCACTGAGCCTTGTCTGAGACAGGCGGCCTAGTACGTCTAGTTCGGTGTTGTCGACCACGGAGCCTGCGTATTTACCCCTTAGTATTGACTTGGCTGTCTCGGCGAGGTTCTCCTGGTGACACGAGAACTATAGTGAAAACATCGTCAGTGTACGGATCCAAGACATGTAGAATATGATAAAACACCCGGTGTCGGGTACAAGCTTCTCCAGACCAAGACCCAAGCCCACCAAGACCAAAACCAAGACATTGACAACCCGCCTGTCGAGTGGATGCTGAGTAACTCACCTTCTCACAAAGCCAATCAGTCCACACCTTCCCTTGTGGCTCCTCTGTCTCATTATCACTCCATGAATCTCCAAACACCACCAATCGTCGATCAAAGTCGGCCGCTGTCTCAAACTTGTTCGTCGCGAGCGGAACAATATCACCAAAATTGCGAGAGGTTAAGAACCATGCCGAGTAGAGTATTGTGCAGACGGCGATGGCGCAAAGGGCGTAGAATCGGTTAAAGAGGCGCATCATACTGATAAGGAGCGCGCCAGGCGCACGACCAAATATGTACCTCGATTCGAGGCGTGAAATATATCGAAATCAAATGTACAACCCGTGCCCAGGTGGAAGTATTCTCCAATGACCCTGAACTCCTGAGTTCCTCTGGACCGTCCAGATCCCCGTTGCGATCGGAATGGGAGTCGCCACTGTGTGTTGCGCTTTCTCTCCCAACACTATCAGCCGCAAAGATAGCTCGTATGTTCAATTCTCGGAAAGGCCGTTTCGCTCTTGAGAGCGTTGAGAAAAAGAAAAGGGGAGATAAGATTGTAATCGGAGTCAGTCTTTCTCCACCGGGACAACCGGCAAAAAGTAGCGGAGCCCTGGAAATCCACGGATAGAAAAGTCAATTGAATTGGAAAACCTGAACGCCTCCGTGGTTAACGAGATTATAAAAAAAATGAAACCCATCTCAATATCGTGACGATCTGAAGGCCACGCGGCCAGGGTGGGGAGTCCAACGTGGAAACGTATCGCGTGCGGCGTCGCACTGCAGTCAACGCGAAAGCTTATGTTTCGGCTCTTGCGACTTCCGCCGCATACGAAGTGGGGGTCGTATATCTTCCGTATTATATAATGATCTTATTCATTACTATATTCATGTAGCATCAAAACTCAATCGTCTTTTGTGAAGCGCGGTGTTGAATAGCCGGGATACTGCAGATGACGAGTCCCTGCGTGCCACCGGCTGATTGGTGGAATGGCGCGATCGGAGTTGAGCCACCTTGAACCGGTATGCTGTACGAGACGTACGAATGCCAAGTCTTCTTATCAAGGCAGTGCATAATCCTGTGGATAAATAGAACGTTAGTTTGGACTTTGGCGATTCTTTGCTTGACGTTGGAGGATTTTTTGCTTGATTACACCAGCAAAGTATGCTTCCTTTCCTTTTTTTCGCGCTATGTGCTCTTTGTACCTTAATGTGGGCCTCGCCCACAGATCATTGTGCGAGACGAAACATATTCCATAGACAGTAAAGACAGCCTGGAGCATCGCAGACTTGACGCTACGTAAATGAGCGAATTGGCAGCACTGCAAAGATCTTGATGATCAGAGTCGTTAAAATATGCAGAAGTCTAAGGAGCCCTACATAGGCTAACACAAGGCCAATACCCCATTGGAAATTACTCACCAACAATTGATCATGGATGAAAGACATCAGTGTCCACAGGGCTATACTTCGTGTGCACAATCTGCCGGGGAGACTTATGCCGTATAATTCGGGTGTCATTTTTAGCCTCAGGCATTAATAATGACGAAGGCTCTCACGTGACATCCTTAGCGACGCTGACTGTTCCGGGACCCAAAGAGGTTAGCGTCGGCTGAGTCAGACACACACACACTCGCTACACCAAACCTTTGGAACTCGCAAAATCCACACGACCGAACCCTTCAACCTCACCTGTCGACAAACTCCGCGCTACCGTCTTGACCGCGCAACCCCCGTCAAGATGAAGCTCAACATTTCCTACCCGGCCAATGGGTCGCAGAAGATCGTCGAGGTCGACGATGAGCGCAAGCTGCGCCCCTTCATGGAGAAGCGCATGGGCACCGAAGTCAGCAATCCCCCGATCCTTAAATCTTCAATCCACACAAATCCACACCACCACGACTCCGATACAAAAAAAATTATTACACACAACGCGAATGATAAGAACGATTGGGCTGATGGGTTTTTCTTTTCGATTAGGTTGTCGGTGACTCCCTCGGCGATGAGTTCAAGGGTTACCTGTTCAAGATCACCGGTGGTAACGACAAGCAAGGTACGACGACTTCTTTTACAACTCCGGGGATGCTATGAAGAATACGAATCAATATCTGAATGGGATCATGATTGCTAACTCGAATCTACAGGTTTCCCCATGAAGCAGGGTGGTACGTTGGCACTAAGCCCTTCCTGAAGATTCGACCAGGAATACCGCACACAAAATCCCCAGCATACTTATCGATTCTCTACAGTTCTCCTCCCCACCCGTACCCGTCTGCTCCTCGCCGACGGCCACAGCTGCTACCGCCCCCGCCGCACTGGTGAGCGCAAGCGCAAGTCCGTCCGTGGTGGTACGTGAAGATTCTTTTCTTCCCCTCGACAAAATCAGAATCACCCATTGACATCATATCTAGCCATCACCGGTCTGGACCTCTCCGTCCTTGCCCTCTCCATCCTCAAGCAGGGTGAGCAGGAGCTCCCCGGCCTGACCGACACCGTCGTCCCCAAGCGCCTGGGTCCCAAGCGTGCCACCAAGATCCGCAGCTTCTTCGGTCTTGACAAGAAGGACGACGTCCGCAAGTTCGTCATCCGCCGCACCGTCACCAAGGAGGGCAAGCAGGACTACACCAAGGCCCCCAAGATCCAGCGTCTGGTTACTCCCCAGCGTCTGCAGCGCAAGCGTCACCGCATTGCCATCAAGCGCCGTGCCGCTGAGGCCGGCCGCGAGGCTGCGTAAGTTTTCTCTCAACGGAGATCATATCCTCATGTTTCACTGAACATTTCACTAACCTCTTTCCAGCAACGACTACGCCAAGCTCCTGGCCAACCGTGTCCACGAGGAGAAGGCCAAGCGTGACGAGCTCCGCAAGCGGAGGGCTTCGTCTATGCGGAAGTAAATCTACACTACGGTGTAGTAATTCATTTCCGTGGGGATGTTTAATCGAGGGGAGCTTCACGTTACTGGGATGATTGAGGGATTCACAAAAAAAAAGAAGATCACTCCCAGCAACGCGGATATGTCTGATACGAAAAAGGGCTTAAAAAAGTATGGGGGATCAGGTTTTAGCGTATAAGGCGAATGGTTTGATCACCCTACCCCGAGATGCTACTGTGATTCGGGCCTCGGGGCGATGCATCTGTGCTGAACCTATCTTTTGACTACCCTTTTTTGAATGGAGTGCATGCCAATTTCAATGTTTTTGTTTCATCGTGATTGCGTGTAGTTGTAAGCCTCGTAATGTCCGCCCTACTCTCCGTTCCTTTGCCGCTGTCGTCCCAGTCCGAGCATTCAACCCATGTCGAGTGTATGAAGCACCTAAAAACTGGTGAAACCTGGGGATCTTCCAAGCAAGATACCGAGGTCCTATTTCGAATCATGCAAGTTTGTTCAATATTGCGAGATGCCCCTCACCGCCGTTTACCCTATGTACAGCCCTAAGCAAAATATCCCCTACGAGTCAGAACTTGAACCAATATAATATATCCAAATATTCATATCTATGTACTTACCTCGAAGTCTAATATTGTAATATGATTTCTCGAGCACGATCCATGGATCCTACGGGAAAAACTCATATCATATCCTTAGAAAATGTAAATTTCCAGCCCTAACTATATTCACTACCCCGCCATTCCAATTTATATATTTCAACCTAGGAACGATCACCCGTGTACTTTTTGGAAAGATGCCACACAACACTTCAACATATTCACGAAGCAGCAATGAATTGAGTTATAATACAGAGTAGAGAATAGACCATCTGAGAGTCATTATCAATCATAGGATCGGAAGACATAAACGCAACACTATAGGAGATTAATTGCAAAGTCTAGACCTCTCTAGAGGTCTATTCATCGCAAACCATAGCCTGAAGCCTTAGAGAATGGTACTGAATGTCCCGAACCTAGGCTTAAGATGTAGATGTCCAGCGATGAAAAAAGAGTTGTTCATAATCGCATACGCACAAACAGGTATAAACCTTAGCACAAGAACAGGGAAAGTGTCCCCTGCAGTCTTCAATGCACGATATTCAGAAGTTTTGCTCAACATAATTCATTTAGTATATAGATGCAAACAACAACACGACATTAAAAATAACATAAATGGATTGAGCTGGTAAAGAACTGCGTTGATCGTAGCAGAAGACCTCAAAAAGAAGAAGAGGAAGGTGAGATGAAGGGAAGGGTGGTACAGAGAAGAAAAAAGGGAAGATACAGTTGAGAACTAGGGACATGATGGCCTTGATGTTGTTGTCATCACTTGGAGCTTGAACCCTAAATATATCATGACAGACTAAACTCCCCTCGCAGACCCTATACAATCTTACAATCGTCCTGTCCCTAGCCCCAACATAATCACCCGTAGCCTTGCAGAAATAAGGAAAGAAAAGGTTCAATATCAAAGGCCATCGAGGCTTCTAATCATGATCTAAAGATACAAAGAGGAAATTCGAGAAATGCACAATGCAATTGGAAAAAAAAACCCCCGAAATCACCAATAGAGAAAAGCTACTCGACTGTAGACTATCCTCGGATTAAAGGGGAAAAAGGCAAGAACAGCAAACGAAAAGAATCCTGGAATCTCGTATCCTCGGAAATGTCAAATAATGGTCATAAGAATCGTATTTTTGTTTATCCCGCCCACACCCTCTGCATCGCATCGCATGAAAACCTTGCCAATCACACACGGGTCCCCCTGGCAGTCAAGTGAAATTGGTTGAAATTGGGGTATTGGATTTAATTTTCGGAAGAAGGCAATTATGCGACAGCGTGCGAGAAGAGGAAGCTGACGGACTCTCCGTTGTGAGTACGACGGCAAGCTTCAGCCAGCGTGGGGCTGATGTCGATGGTCTCGATCTTATCGCAAGCCTCCTTCTTCTCGGCATGAGGGACAGTGTTAGTCACAACCAGGCGGTTCAGGCGGCTACCATTCAGGTTCTCGATGGCCTTGCCGGAGAGGATACCGTGGACGACAATAGCGTTGACTTCCTTAGCACCGTGCTGGAGGATAGTGTCGGCGGCTTTGACGAGGGTGCCACAGGTATCGGCCATGTCGTCGACAATGATGGCGACCTTGTCCTGGACGTTACCGACAAGGACCATGCGGGAGACCTCATTGGGACGGGCGCGCTCCTTGTGGATCAGGGCGAATTGCAGATCGAGACGGTCAGCAATGGCAGTCGCACTAAAGAAAAGAACTTGTTAGACTTGACATCATAGAATATGAAGGGTTCATGATATTAATTACTTACCGCTTGGCACCACCAGCATCGGGACTGACAATAACGCAGTTGCTCACATCCAGGTTCTCGCGAATCCACTTGAGCATGCTGGGCTCAGCATACAAGTTGTCGACGGGGACGTTGAAGAAACCCTGGATCTGGCTCGCATGCAGATCCATGGTGATGACGTGGTTGCAGCCGGCAGTCTGCAGCATATTGGCCATAAGCTTGGCGGTAATGGGAGCACGGCTCTTATCCTTCTTGTCCTGGCGAGCATAAGGGAAGTTGGGAATGACAGCGGTAATGCGGCGGGCAGAAGCAGTCTTGCAAGCGTTGATCATGATCAAGAGTTCCATGAGGCCGTCATTGATATCGTTGGGCCGTGTTGACTGCAGAATGAAGACTGCGCGAGAACAAAATGAAGATCAGCAACGGGCTTCCATGGCTTCCTTCCATTCTTCATTTCTTTATTCGAGACACCACGGCGGGGTCAGCGTACCATCTTCGTCCCGAACACTTTCACCGATTGTGACGCTGGTCTCCTGGTTAGAGTACTGCAGTACCATGATCTTGGTCAACTCGCTGCCGAGGCTGTGGTCATCCTTGAATTAGTCTTTGCCGCTAAAAATTGCTTTTGCAGAACGCAAGGATCCTTACCGGTCCGCCACGAGCTGGGCAAGCTCCGGGTGACTGTTGCCAGTCAGCAACTTAATGGAGTTGGTCGCCATGGTGTGCGGGGTGTGAAATAGAAGTGAAGTTCTTTCCCAAGAAGAAAGAAAAGCAAAAGAACCGTCAGCTTGCGAAGCTTTAAAAATCGAATCCCGGCACCTGCCATTTTGGGCCCCGCATTTTTTTCGTATCCCGTGACTACTCACCGCCTTTGCATCGTCATCCGTCATCTGGATCTATATTCAGCCTTACGTGTAGTACGGTGTGATCTGGGTAACTCAAGAAAACACAATATGGATATTTCCCGTAAGAAAAGCAGCAATCTAAGTACAGTTGTTGAAAGGGTCCTTGGAATCAGTTGACCTGCACATCACCTGATACCCAAAGGTTCCCTGGAGTTTTTCCCATCTTCCTCCACTTCCCCACGAACATTCCCGGGAAAACGCCATTGAATGCTTGGGTCTGACATGAAGAACGCGAACAAAAATCAAGTAAAATAAAGCTATCTATGCGAATCCAAAGTACTCGCTACCAGCTGTCATCGCAGTATACAGCCGTTGACGGAGATCTTCATAACTTTCGTATTCAGGGAGATCAAGCTCTGGAGATATCGTTAGCAGATGAACCAGTATAAATTGGGAGGCGAAAGCTTACGGTTGAAACATGTGTGCGAGCTGGGCAGCCGGGTCTTGTTGCCATAGTCTCGGTGAATATTGAACTTGCTCACTCCGTTCATTCCTTCCAGCTCCTTGAAACCGTTGAGAGGCACCTTGGAGGTACCAGTGACGAACTGCAACAGCTTGGCACGCTCCTCCTTGTCAAATGAGCGAACGGCGCGCCAGAACCACTGGATCTGTGGTGACGAGGCAGAGTAGTTGTGGTACTCAGTGTTGTTCTTCCACTCATCGACCTCGATCTCGGGCAGGCCGGAGATCAGAAGCTCCAGTTCCTGCTCGTTGAAGATGGAAATGAGATCAGGAGGAATGATTTCATGGAAACCTGTAGACTATGTTAGTTGTCATTCTACACCAAAAGAAGAGTGTGTATGGCACTGTACCTTTCAGGAAGTTGTCAAGCTGTTCTCGGACGGACTCTACCAGACGGTACTCAACTACGCGTTGGATATATTCTTCCTTGTTCTCCTGGGTGACTGGAATGTTACGACCATCGGGAATCAGGTCGATTGTCTGCTTCTCACCAAAGGCATCGGTCTCAATGGAAAAGGTCTCGGTGATGATGTCGGTGATATCGTTCTCCAGCATCCAGAGTAAGGACTTGTAGTAGTCTAGGTCGAGTGTTTCCATGTCTTTGATGGATACAGAACGCCCAAGGATGTTCTTGTAGACGGCACGAGAGAAGTGACAGTCTAGAACACGACCCTCGTAGAGAGCCTTGCCAATGATTCGGCCAATGAACTTGAAGAACATCAAGTGTTCGGAGTTGACACCACTCAGACGATTGGGGTGGAAAGTAGTCCGATCGGCAGCAACAGGAATGAATAGAGCGTAGTTGGGGTTGAACATGCCACGGGCAAGGACTTGGAACCATTCTCGAGTGACACCACCAGCATCGACACCCTCTTCGCCATGGAAGCGGACGTTCAATTTGCCGTACTTGAGCTCATCGGCACTCTTGAAGTAGAGAGACTTGAACGAGTCCAGGAAGACTTGGTCTCGGCGCACAGAGAGCTGGAGAGGAGGGTGAGGGTGACGAGGCTCGGCACCACGGGAGTGGACGCGACGAGTGAAGTAATTGCGCTTGTTATCAAACTCAAGGACCTTAGGGTTCTTCACCAGCAGGGAGAATGTGCCACTCATCAAGCGGGGATTTTGGCGAACAAGTTCGTTGAGAATCTTACGGTGTTCCTCAGTAAATTTGAAGAAAAGATTCTCCATGCTAAGACCAGCATCAGCCGAGGCACTGTTGACAGACAACTCGCGGCTGCCCCGAGAAATTGCCTGGTCTTTGAGAGTGGTGTTCTTGCAGACAACCATTAATGCCTCGATCAAAGGCAGGAGAATGGTGGCTACGTTCAGCATGTTCTCCTTCTGGCGAATGACGGTCAAGCAGTCACTGAGCTTCGTCCAGAGGGGACCGAAAGTGGCACTCTCGTACAGTCTCTTGAGAACGTCTTCCTTCGGAGCGGATTCGGGCTCGCTTCCCTTCGACTTGTCAACCCGAGATGGATCAAAGAGATAGTCGAGCGCGGTGAGGATACGAAGCAATTTTGCCTGATCAGAGCTGGGCGGAGAAAACTTAGCCAAGGCTAAACCTTGCATGTCTGTGCCAGTCTTAGACTGGTGA